AATAGTCAGGTAGTACACTTGGTGTCTGATTACCTGAAAGGCAGGAAGCAGTGTGTAATGGTTAATGGTTGTGTATCGGAAGTTATTAATGTTACTAGCGGTGTGCCGCAAGGGTCAGTTGTTGGGCCGTGTTTCTTCCTTTGTGTATTAAATTTTTTACCGTCTGCGCTGCTCAACAACAGCGAGCTGCTTATTTTCGCCGATGATATAGCTCTTTACCGACCAGTTTCAACAAGAGCTGATGAAATTGCGTTACAGTCTGATCTTACTGCGGTAGAAAGTTGGGCTAAAAACCATAAACTTCTATTTAATGTTCTGAAATCGTACCATATTTCCTTTTCGAAAAAACGGGTACCGATCGTTGACTCACGGTATTATCTTAATGGTAATGCGATCGAGAAAAGCGACTGTGTAAAATATTTAGGTATACTTTTTGACCGCAGTTTGAAATTCAAAGACAATACCGACATTTTGGTAACTAAACTGCGTAAAAAAATACGCTGGATTAATATTGCGTTCAGGAAAGCTGATTCTGCCGCTCGAATTCAGTTGTTCAAGTCTTTGGTGTTCACGGCGTTTGACTATTGCTGCCCTTTTATTGCGCCTGTTAATAAAACTTGCCGGGAAAAATTAGAACGTTGTTTATCTCGTTTCCTTGATTTACTTTATCTTGGTAATACCAGTCTTAAAGGGCGGTTGCTGGAGCTAAACTGGGACTGTTTTGAATTACGTAGGTTGAAACATAGCCTTGTCTTAATTTATAAACTTGTGTTCAACCGTATCCCACTTGGTGAACGGTTCTTTTTACTGTATGAGCAAACTGCTGTCGCTGTGTCCTCTGTTTCAGGTAATACACGGTCAGCGTTGCGGCTATGTGGACACCCGTTCCCCATTGTGGCGGCACCAACAACTTTATGTGGAAAAACTCTACCGCCTCCCCGGACTCCTCTCGAGTCGCCTGGCGCTATTATGGAATGAAATTGCTCTAGACAAGAAAAGTTATACCACGCTCAACGTGTTCACGACTGCGCTCGATACCGTCAACTGGAGCCAGCTGACCTTTGTTAAACGTTTTGTAACACCGTTACTCAAGGAATGAACCGGCATGATTACAGTAGATAGTGTCAGTAGGCTATTTAATGTGGTTGCGATTTAGTTGAAAAGTACAGAAAGGCGATTACGTGCGCAAGTGTCCTTGCTTTCCTTTTTTCCCACGATTTCTTTTGAAAATCTTTCTGAGTACTTAAAAATTTAACTACACGTGGGTTTTGGTTTTATGCATCGACCCCAGCGCGATCGTCTCCCTTCCATTTTGTTTTCCACCATAGCGTCAACTTATCGCAAGTTCGCAACCAACATAAAAATGTTTACTTCCGCTTGTATGCATCTAATGTTACTGCTGCTAACTGTTTTGGCTGATGTTGTTGATTGTGACTACACGCTTCAATGTTTTTATTATTTTGTTGTTAGACTTCTGCTGTCTGTAGCCTAGAGGGAGCAACTGCTCCGTGCAAAGGACAATAAACATTAATTAATTATTAAGAAACCTAAGAAATCTTCAGAGTCAGAGTCAGACTTTGAGTAGTCAGAGTCAGAGTTTGAGTGGTCAGAATCAGAGTCAGAGTTGGAGTCTAGGCCCTTTCATATGGTGATTGTACGCTGCTACGAAAGTCGCTTTGGTAACCGCCTCGAGTTGCAATGCTGACTACCTGCGTTTGACTGTGTTTCGCAAAGTGGTGTTTTCTTTTTTATTAGATTGTAGTCGCACGCACAAAAAGGCTTACGATAGACGGTACGATATACGATAGGCTCTTGCATCATCACAGCGTACCTTACCGGACCGTTTGACGATAGGATTGACGGTAAAGGCTCAGATATCGTCGAGCATACCGTTGTGCTCAGCGATATAGCAACCACTCATGGTGGCGGTGGCCTCCATAACAACGGCTGCACTTGCCAAAACACGGAAGTTTTGAATTGGTAGAGTAAGCTCTAAGTATTCTTGATTAACCAGCAAAGTAAATCAAAAGAAGGATGAAATTATTTGAAGTTTTTGATACCAAGTGGAGCGGTTTATCCAAAATTCACGATTCTACAGCCATTTGCGTTTACCATGCTAAGCTTACGGAGCAGTTGGAGCTCTGCGCAAGCTGTTGACTCAGACTCCGTAGACTTCTGTGTTAATTAAAAAATGCTCCTAGACACGTTCACTGGCGCTCAAATTTGGATGTTCTGATATCGAAAAATAATCTGGAATTTTAGTTTTAATATGACGCGGTTTATCTCATACAAAGTGCCAAGGCTGATTGAAACTTTTCACGTTTCTTTCACGAAAGCATGACTCGGCTGTATGTATCGTACACCGTTTGCGATGAGTGCGACAGCTCTGAGGTGTTAACGATACGGTGTCCCACCGTATCGTTTACCGGACCGTATACCGTGACTGTGTAGCGACTACAATCTTTGTGTAGCGATTTTCCATCGCGGATGTTTTTTGCGTTAATTTTTCATCGGCGATTTACCTTAATTTAATTTAATTTTGCCACTTAAAAACCTAAAGTTTATTTTACTCCGACGATTTTCCTGTTTGTGTGTACTCCGACTGCCGTTCTGCCCTACTCAGTCTTCCTGCCTTCTTGCCTACGCTCAATCTCCATCCCGTCCAGGATCCTCTCCTCACTTTCCATCTCATTCAGTCACCCTTGGAGGAGGATCAGTCATTCGTTCGTGGACGGAGGATGGACTTGCCCGCCTTTGCCCAGTCGTGAGCATGAGAACTCGTTCAGTTTTTATTCCTGTTTTTGCTTTTCTTTTCGGTTCTTTTTGTGTTGGGTTCCCCAAAAGCCGTTTGCGGGGGTGACGGAATATAGCAGTACAGTACGTAAAGTGACGGCTTGACTCGTACTTTCTATTATTCGCTGTACTTTCTCGATCTTTCTCTTTTGTGTTCGGATTTACTTTTGGTTGTTTCTACACGGATGCGCCGTGTCTATATAAGTCCGTGAGTGGCAGTACTTTGAGGATCAGTTCTCTCATTATGAGTTTGGCAGTGATCGGAGTTTCTAATTAAAATATCGTCGGAGATGCAGTCTCGCTTCGCGTAGATTCGTAGACTTAGCTATGCCACATTGAGATATTAGCTCATTCTCTGTCGTTGAGTTAGGTCGGTAGGATAGATTATTTACGGTAATTATTCCTATCGTACTGATCTCTCCGTCAATGGCTTCGAATGCAGTCTTCAGATGACCCCTTATCACTTCTGGTTCAAATGTTGCCGTTCTCAGGCCAAGTCCGAGAACGGCAAATTGGGTGGCCGACTCGAATGGGCGGCCTTGCAGATCACAGTATACATTTGTTTCCTCGTTCATGACAAGCAATCTTGTAAGGGGCATTAAAGCACAAAATTATAAATATTACAACAGACTTAATGATAAACCGTTGTGGTTGCTGTTATTATTTGCGAGCGTGCTTTTCCGAGGGTCAACTTGTCATCAACCGTAGTCTTACCACACCAGCACAGTGTGTGTAGTTATTTACTGTAATGGAAAATCAGTTTATTTTCTAGAGTCTACTTCTTAGAGCAGTATCTATAAAGTATTTTTGACTGAAGTGGTTCAATATTGAAGTTCAGTAACGAAAGAAATAGTTCATTATTGAACTATCTATTTCGTTATATACCGGGTGGCTGAACAAAATGGCGGTCTCATTTGAACCGTCGCACTGGGTCCGTCAAATATTCGATTGCCATAACCTTAATTTCATTCGAAAGAGCAAAGTTTACCGCATACAAAAATTAAACTCGGATTACATAAGGCAGAGGTTTAATTTTATCTTGAATTATTTTTAAAAATTGGGCAGGTTTTAATGATGTCCTGAAGACGGAAATCTGAAATTACCTTATTATAAAGTAAAAATTGCTGTTGTTCAGCAAAGAGCCGTAATGTAACTTACGTTGCTGTTTCGGGTTGAGGGGTGGTCTCTAGTTTTTTTTTATGTCAAGAACTGTTGTATTCTAGTAACCATGTTTGGCCAATACACGGAATGGCGGCGATTAGGCACGGGACAATTTTCATGAAATTCGTAAGCAGGGATTTTTGGTAGTAAATTTCTGCCAACCCTTCAGAAGTTTATCAGGTTCAACAGTGCATCTGCACGCAATACATTAGCTACTGTAAAAGCTAAAACCGGCATTTTTGGTGCAGTCCTTATTGCGGCCAAAATTTAGATTAAAAATACTCTTAAAAAATAAATTAAAACCAGCATTTTTCGAAAGTTACAAACTGTCCTGACTGCATAACTCTTCCTGGGAAAGCACGATGTCTACAACTTTTTTTATAATCAAAGTAGACGTCATGCTCTAGATAAAACACTGGAGATTTTTCAAAAAGTACTTACGAGAAGGCAGTGCTACGAGATTCTGGGTTTTGAAACCTGGGACACGAAAAATTTTCCCCCGATTTCAAATGGCTCCAGAGCAAGTGAGGACGACTAAACATTTTTAGGAACGCTTTGCTGATTTTTGTAGTTGAATGAATTCTCTATCGAATGAACTTAAGCAGTTCGCGGTGCGACAACTGCCCCGCAAGAGACAAACGAAAATCCGAGACCGCCATTTTGTTCAGCCACCCGGTATTGAACTTCGTAGATTAAATAAACACATATTTAATTATAAAGTATTTTGTGATAGCAGTTCTTAGTGATAGAAGTTTTGGATTGCTGTGACTTCTTTCACGATTATAGGAAGGCTTAAGTAAGCCTTATTAAAGTCACAAATTTTTCACTCTTTTTACCGAAAACACTGCGGTGTTACGGTACGTGAGATTATTCGTTCACGATACACTAAACTGTTAAGTACGTACATTAATTTTCTAACTTTCTAACATAATCTCATGAGTTTCCTTTTTAATTTGTTAAAATGTACAGTTACACATTCCATATCCAGTATTATATTTATGGCTATCAAGTCGAAGATGCCGCCGTACCATGCAACCGTATGAATGCATAACAAAATCAAATATGCGCGACCAGCGATAAAATTTAAGGAAATATGCCACTTACAACGGTACAACACGTCTGGTGTTATTTTGAGGAACATTAATAATTTTAAGGTTGCTAGCAAACAGAAACGATAGTAGACCGGGTGTAGCAAGTATAAAGTATTTCTGAACAATCAAACATCGTAAAAACTTTATTACAACCAATCATCTAGCAATGCGTTACATTTTTATTTGGCCATATTTACACAAAAATTCTGTGTGCCATTCAGCTGCTTCTTCCGTTGATTCCTTGTGGTAAAAGCGGGTCTTTCCGTATCATTCGAACTGCTTCTGGTCGTAATTTGATGACAGATTTTATGGATTTTTGAAATCGCTGTAAGATGGTAAAAGTGCGCAAACAAAAAACAGCCATTAACAGATAAAACGTTTTAAAACTGACCTCTCGCAGTGTGCCCGTTTCTCTTGACAACCTGTAGATTGCATATATGGGCACCGCCACCATGGATGAACCGGCCAGCACCCAGCAAAGGGCCTGCGCCCAGTCAGGATACAGGTAGACGCGATTGTAGCGCAGTGGCTCATTCATCACGATCGCGAAAATCATGATAAACTAAAAATAAGAATGTTTCCTTATCGATCCAAATTTTTAGAGAGTGCCCAAAAACCAGTGTCTCACAGATGTGAAAAACGGTCCAGCATATTTCCAACAAAACTTCATCCAGGGATTAATTGAGTATCCCAGCATCCGTGAAATATCTTCGTAAAAGCGATCTGCGCCATAGAACCACCCTACGCAGGTGCATTCCCAAAAGGCGAACCATAGCAGCGCCACTCCACTGGCAGCGAAAGTGTCCATCAGTTCAAAAACGTACATTCCGCCCTGCGTTAAAAAATTAAAAGGAACAACAATTAGATGCGCGTGTGGGTAGTGCTGAAATTCAACGTTGCAATTAATAAGTATGAGATGTCATATAGATATTCCCGGCATAGCGCGTGTAAATAATTAATTACTGTACGAGTAGTGGTATAATGGCATTAATGGAAGGTATCCGCTATTGGGTCGTGTATCAGCAGATAATATTATGTGTTATTTGTGTAACAAATAATGATCAATCGCACCCTAAATAATGATATAGTGCGTTTCAAGCCCACCTTACCCTTGTGATTAGGAAAAATCCAAGGAAAAACCAAATCACGCAGCACACAGCGATAAAACCTTCCTTAGAGTACTTTTTGCGAAACCACTTTGGATAGGCATCCATAACCGCCGTGAAGAAGCCTTCCATTGTGACGAACTACCATTGATTTTACCAAATATTAGAAAATGAAAATCGAATCCGGTCAGTAAAAATATTTTTTACTTGACTGTCCATTCCGAGGAACAACAACATCAGGAAAAACAGGATAGCCCACAGTGCACCAACTGGCATCTGTGCGGCAGCTTTGGGATATGCAATAAATGCTAAGCCGGGACCTATTAAACAGAATTCAAAGTTAATTTATATTCAGACGAATATATGAAATATGAATGAATGAAACAGAGGAACTTAGGCAGTGCAGGTATATGAAATACGACTGTAGGTTGTCTTACCAGATTCGGCGACATCTTTCACCTCTACTCCCATTTCGTGGGCCATGAATCCCAACACGGAAAACACGACAAAGCCGGCGAAAATGCTGGTCAAACTATCACACGCGCATAATGCTAACGAATGTTTGTAGCAGTTGTAGTCGAATTTGTTGTAGCTTCCCAGTGCTGTAGCGAAAACTTCGTAAGTTCGTATTATAGTGTGACTGCGGTATTGTTACGGTGTATTATGGTACAGTTGCCGATCTGTTTGTTTAAAGCACCTCCAGAAAAAAAGCAAGACTTTTGTTCGAAATATTCCGCATACCGGCAAGTGTCGTTAATTACAGTTACGTGGACTGCAGATCTACAGATTATTTGATACTCGTAATGTAAACAACTAGCACTGCCCAGTGCGTATAAACCACTAACTGTATTAAGCCATAACACAATTTTGGGTTGCCCATCTTATATTATACTTTAAAGGGTTTTTATTACCTAACTTCATTAACTTATTGTTAGCTTCTGAGGATATTTTCCAACCTATTTAACTCCACGAGTCATGCGTGAATAAGTTTCAAGGAATGTGTCGCACAACACATTACGCGGAAATTGTTTGATGGTAAGAGAAGCACAAAATTGACGCTTAAAGTTTCTCCTAACCTGTTAACGATCCCAGTGCAATGGCGTAGGAAAAGAACACCTGCGTGACAGCACCCACCCAAACATTCGCTTCACCGAGTTTGGATATTTCCGGCTTCAGGTAGTATATAATCCCATCGATAGCGTGCGGTAGAGTAACTCCCCGAAAAAATAGGATAATGAGCATGACATAGGGGAATAGCGCCGTGAAGTAAACCACCTATAAAGAGCCATACAAATGTGGAAGAAAGCGAAGCTACAGTGCAAAGTGACACGTTGTTTTAAGAGCCCTGTTACAAGTAGTTAAGTGGCGTGTAAAGGCCGGCGAAAATCTCTCTCAGCTACCCACTTTTCCGGATGATTTAACGCCTTTCCACACACAAAAGTAGCAAATAATCCACATAATCAGTAGTGTCACTGCCAGCTGCCACTGCACTTCACCAACATCATCAATCCCAGTAGAAATCTTCAAGATCTGTCTCCTGTGAGTATTATATCGATGATCAATGTTGTGATTTATAACGCAAGACAAATTAAATTGTTCTGCATGCACACATGTCCGGCTAGTGTTTTACACTTAATCAATGCATATTGTAGAGGCTTAAGTCGAAACACATACTCCCAGAATTCGGTAGTCGGATCGACTTTGCTTTGATTGGCAGGAGTTTGTTGTGCCGATTCAAGTCTGTTAAGAAAAGGCCGTGTAACATTATCGGCGACATTGTGCACGTTTTCCAGAAAGGACTTCGTTTCGTTAGATTTTTCCAACAGGCTAACGGAGCAGTTTGGAGTATTCCTGAATAAATAACCAGAATATGCAATTAAAATAATATGTGCTAGAACACCATTTACACATTTAGGCCGGCTACTAGCGGGATCTCTCATTTCTTAGTTATGGTTCTACTTAGTGTATTTCGGCGAGGATTTTCCAAAGATTATGAAAGCGCCATACGCATAAAAGTATAAGTGCTTTCACACATCCCTTGTCAGTGACGTTGTTGCTATCATATTTATAAATATTACACACAGAGTTTACGTATCGCGACCGGCAACCTTAACGAAAGATACATTTACAATTTTCTTGCTGAATCGGTATAGATTAAAAAAACACGCAATCTTATGCTCTCCTGAAGTGTCAAAGGGAATATCAAACATCAACATTTAAACCACGCTCAAGGGATTTAAATCAACAACTGCTGTACGGTGTACCCGAAGCCGTAATCAAGCTCATGGCCATTATTTGTTACTATGAAAAATGAGTATTACCTAAAATTACGTGGTTTCCCTTGTCATGGATTGCAGCTACCTAGGTACTAGGTAGGCATCGTTAATATTTACTATAAACTGATCACTATATATAAACGTAATTAAACAGTGCACTATACAATACAAACAGTGCAGTACATAAAAAATTCTGTGACCGAACGTAATGCTGCATTGCATAGCAGGTGAGTTTCCTAATGTATTGTACGGCCACCTAAAGGTATGGAGCGATCAAACACCAACTGCGCATAGAACTCTATCTGGTTCATTTATGACCTTTACACTTTCTTTATCGATAATCGCGGTTTGGTTTACATAAAGCCTAAATGAAGAACGAGCCATTTATATAAAGCTTTAAGCTCGGATACTAATATTGCTACGTACGTAAATAGACCATTACTAAGTTACACAATCCAAATCCGACCATCAAAAATGCTGACGTTACATCGTAATTATATACCAACATTTTTTAGCTATAATGCGAAACCCTTTCAGACTAGATAATTTTTTCCCCTTACCAAGCATTGTCGCAGGTACTCCAAGGCACATCGTATCTGATATAATATAAGGTGTAAAATAAATACAGTAGTCCCCACGACAAAACCACAATGTAATACACGTTTAACCAGCCAGCCATCAGCGTCGTACCGTATCCAACTCCTAACGCAAACAAATGATATCTAATTGTTCTGTAATTTCATGATATTCCTGTAATAGTTCCAAATTCCTACTACCGCTTTTTCTGTTTTCCTTTCTTGGCTAATTTAATAATGATCGGTACTTCTATTTCGACAGCTGTTGGTCGGAGGTATCGATAAAAAAGTATCTTTAGATCAATAAATTCACAGTAATCAAACTACAAGCACTTTCAGTTTTTTTTAGTTACCTCTAAATATAGGCGATATGTCCCAAACAGATATTCCACCAGTAGCAAAGTACTGTCCTACGGCTATTTCCAAAAATACTACAGGAACTCCAGTTGTTATTAGGCATAATAAATAAGGAATGAAAAAGGCACCTGTAAAAAAGGAGCGTATGACAATCAAGTGAATCACGTAGACCTTTACGACAGCGATCGAGGTATGTTTAATTTTGGCTACACAACTTTTTTCTTTGCGTTAATTGCAGCATCGTAACTTAATGATGTATTTTCCTAATAAATTTGGAATATCCATAATTGTAATTACACAAATGCAATTATACAAATGCTCTTCAGGTTTGCAATTCTGAGTCATGTCTTCTGACCTCCGCCGTTTTTGTAGCAGACATAAGGGAACCGCCACACATTTCCCAAGCCAATGCAGCATCCTATATGGGACAGTATGAACTCCCATTTGTTACCCCATTGTGGCCGGTCCGACACGCCGATATCATCCACTGGTAATGTGGTTTGGTTGTCATATACCGGTGCTGGGGATTTGTCATTGCTGCTGGAATCTGATACGCCATTGGCATTAGCGGCCCATGGTGAGAGAGCCACCTGGTCCGGCAGGGCGTCTGCCCTGGCAGAGCCTTTCCGGCTAACCATTTGATTATGTCAATAAATGCAACGCCGTAGTCTAGCCTGGCTCAATAATAAAAAATAATGTCGTCTTCGGAAAACTGTTTCAACCAGTTCTTTATCCCAATTGACCGGCGCTCCACTAAACACGAATCCTGGCGATGATGGCGCAGTATAAGACTGTAACGCCGGCTAATCCAGGCAGCGGCTTCTAGGCATCATGCGTGCGAATCGGTTTTATTTCCAAATCACCTACCAAGTAAAAGAACAAATTATCGCTTTATCTTTTGCGTGAATGTCGATAAAATCTATAAGAACAAATTTCGCTTTCGTAGGACCATCTCTACAGAAAAACGTGCATAGAATGCATTCATTTAATCACTATACCAAGCTGCAAACCCGCTCAATCGTTTGCGATTGGTTGCTAAATCTTGATGGGTTATTATTGGTCTCTATAGTATGCATATACCAGTGCGGCATGTTCTGCACAAACAGACGTATATCGACGCGCAGATTGAGCGAATTTGGCAGAACTTTAAAAATGCCGGGCCGTGATAATCGCAGCTTTGTTTTCATTAAATAGTGTCCATTTCTGTTGTGATTATCGAAGCTGTACAGGACAGAGTGCTGTATAGTATCGTAGTATCGAGGTGCTGCTTGCGGTTTACCATAAACGTAGTAGTTACAAGTGGTACAACCCGTGAAGATATAATTATTATGAGGGTGACATGCATATGACGCCTATTGAGAAGCATCCACTCAGTTGTTTGCATCGGTAAGAAATAACCGTAACTTAATCGAAACCCAAAAACTTCGTGCTGTAGTGTTCAAGTAGCATCAGGAAAAAATTGCTAAAGCGATAAATTACAAGGCAAACAAAATCCCAGTAATTCAGCGTTCTGTTGCATAAACTCGGGCGAATATCAGTAACAAAAGTCATTAAGTTTATACAGAATATAAATTTAAGTGCCCATCGGCATGCAGCAAAGATCGCTCTTCGCATTTGTTTATATTAATTTTCGTTGCGAAACTTAATTCCTAAAGGAGACCAGTTACACTGGTTAATCAAACTGCATTTTCCGAACATACGCAGATCAGTACTGAATTCTGTAGAATATTTCAAACATCCGCTGGGTAACAGCTAACAGCAGTCAGCTTATGGTTAGATTATTAGTTAGGTATTCCGAAGTACTATAGTGCCGTACATATACAATGCCTTAAATTCAATAAATTGGATGGTGGGTTATATGATTATTAATTGTCATGCGAGTATACAATATTACAGCTAGCTACTTTAGTGCGTTACATAAGGAGCATAATAAAAGCGAGACGCACGATTATTATATCCGGCAATTTACTAACACCTTCAGAAGTTTTAGATAATTCTTCTAAATTATTAATCCCATTAATACATTCTGTATGACCAAGGGATGGTCCCGAGCGCATATGCATATGGTGTCGTGGAAACTCAGTTTTTTTGCAGACTGCAAAGTTATAATTATAATAGTATTTTTCGAAGGTAGTATTCAATCAAATCGTTCTCGCCCGCATGCCCTTTCGTTCACTATAATACAAGCATATTAAGCAGTATCTGCCAAATAAACCGAAGCGTACAAAAAAGTGTGGTCAAAGAAGAACATGTCGAACGGTTCAAACAGAAGTGCTGTTGAGCAACGATTATCAGTCAGTTCAGCTGTTGTATTCCCAAATGTAACACAATACCAATCGTTCTAATGTACACTGACTACAAGGTTTCCCCTAGTGATCGCTTCTGACACCGCGCCACTTGCACCTTTGCCAAATACATATTTATATGAAAACTGACGATCTTTGGTAATTATCAATAATACCGACACTGACCAATAGTGCCGCGTAAGCATTTATGCCAGCGCCATTGAGCGATCATAATAAATGATGCATCAGATTTCTTTAACCGTAATATAACTATCGATGAGCTACTTGAAATGCGGCTCGTATTTTGCAGTTTTTTGTAAAACGTTTACTTTAACAACAAAAGCCAAATCTGGGTTGTATAAGAGAGATGGGCGTCTTTGAGGTTCGTAGCACATCACCCTTTGCAAAGTTCTTCGCAATCATTTGGAGATAACAATATTAATTAATAACTGCAAACTAAAACTTACGAACGCAGCACCACGCTTCCGATTGGCGTACGTATGCCGTCTCACATATGTATTGGAAGTGCATCATATATTCTGAGATGTTCAGCCATGTTATCACGGCTATCCCGCGTAATCTTGCATGCAAAATGCTTTGATTCATAGTTGTAATTTTAAATCTTCGTTTTAAAAAATGGGTGCACTTTGGACAGTCCACGGAATGAATCAGGACATGACTGCCCCGACATGCGTTATACTTACATCCAGTACTTACCTTAATGAAAACACTGTTCAGATTCAGCATAATCAACTCTTCTAACAGTTACGTAAACTAGCGCTGCAGTAGTTTTAATATTTTAAAGCGATAGAATGGACTGTTATAAAACATTTCTCCCAAACGCCACGTTTCGCTGGAAGAATATGGAAACTCACAAGTGACCTTTGCTTAACTGCGGCTTTTTGGTCTGACGCCTGGCTGTTGTTTCTGCTCATACCGGAACATATATTTAGAGTGTAAAAACATTAGCTGTCAATTGTGTGTACCGGACCAGTAAGCTCGAGTAGAAACAATTTATACTTACTAGCTGCCACCTTGCGACCGAAAATTTCTGTTTCATTACTAAAGCTTAATAGTTTTCCTCCACAAATAGTATGCGAAATAAAAGCGATCGCCTTAATGTATTTTTCGAATAGGTCACTTACCTGGTTGACATCTGTCAAAGGTCACAAAATGGTCGGGGACGATGCATGTTTATTGCATCGAAGTCAGCTTATAGCCGAAACAGCGGCAAACATCGTACAGCCTTGTTTTTTTAACTGCACGATTAGCCAAGGAGAAATGCGATATATTCACCAAGTCTCAATAAAATCACCTGTAAAAGGACCGGAAGCATCCTGTCAATCAGTACTGCTAAAGTAGTCCAAATCAACCGTATTGCACATTTCCGTATCCTTGTTCAAAACCATTTACATGAACCAACAGAACTGATTACACAATGCCCGTGCGTACTGTAGACAGCTTGTGCGATTTCCAGCGCTAAGGCTCGCGCCTGCAAGGTAATGATTGCCGTTAGTCGGATTGTTTCCTTAAGGATAAAACAGGATGAGAAACAGACACTGCATACACACATCACACAACTAGTCTGATTAAGAGCCTATTCAACAGAAATTTGTCCGGGACTTCAAAAGCGAATTTCTCCACACCAATTAAATGGCCTACAGCGTCAAGAGAAATCTAGCTAACCAGGCATCGGCCAAAAGTTGCTCCAGCTGGATGGGATCGATTGGCATAAACAGCTGCTTCGTGCAGCTAAAATTGTAAATGGCAAGATACACAAAGGCACTCGGTAATTTACCCTTTCAATAGTCAACAATATATTTATTCCCAAAGTAAAGACAAAAAAGTACATCTGCAAGTCAAAATTTAAATGCATAAAACCCCAGGCTTCAAACTGAGAAAAACAGGCACTAGTTCATTCTTTGGATCAAACAGAAACGGGTTACACACGTCTCCTTCGCGAAATCAGCATAACGCCTTCTTATAAATCACTTCACGACTGTTTTGGCTTTGGCCACCATTGCTTAACAAAGCTCAAATCAATGTACAGCAAGGTTCCCAAGAACACGAAAAACGTGCCTACCCAGTGGCGTGTGTGAAACGTATTATCGAACCAGTATACAGAAATGAAAATACTGAAAAATTTTCTAAGTGTCAAGACTAGCGTCACGGTCAAGGAGGAACAAATGGTCATCAAAGACACCACCGAACTTGAGCATCCGAAGAAGGTTATCACGTTGGCCAACATCAACAGCCATAATCTCGGCACCGGGATTTGCCGCATTAACACGTCGGAAAAATATGGCTCCGACGCGTTGTACACGTGAACATGCTGGATAAGGGATTCAGCGGCGAATATGAAACAGGGCAAGGGCAGAATGTGAGTATAGAATACTCCTTCCTGTGAATGCCGCCCATAACGTTTAAACAAAATCTCTTGGAAAAGACCGAGTCCAGCGGCAACGAACACCGAAAAACTAACCAATCCAACACCTAAAAAACAAACTAACTAATAGCTGTCGGTTTTTATATAATTCATTGACTATCAATCTCTTCACGATTGCTGCCCTAGTTTTCTTTCTATATTATAAAACGGTACTACCAATAAAGGTTTCGAATTTCTGGTTCAAAACAACAACGATCTCGGCGCTTTTATGTATACCTTTTATGTCTGCAAGTTCAGAGTATTTACAGCAAACGCTGGTAAGTACGTACCGATACACAACGACACAAAGCCACCTCGTTCGCTCCTGCTGTCCTTCTCAACGGCAGTCGAGGATATCTCATCCACATCCATCTCACGATTCTCATGTTTCTTCTATAAAAATAAGTCAGCAAACTTATTGGTTACTTTAACAAAAGATGTCGCAACATCCGTACCAAAGCATCGTCAGCTGACGCTAACGTGCAAAGAATAATTCCGCCGGAAACCAGAAAAATTGACACCCATTTTGATGCAGGATACCTGTCAAACACAAGTAAAACGCCCTTTGCGACTGGCAAATTTATGTTCTTTTGGTTATATATTCTAACTGACATTTTAATTCCAAAGCGCAACATGCTCTGCACATCTCAATATCAATGCAAAGCCAGAAGAGAAGCTTGGCGCCACGCTGTTCAACAAGTTAAATAAGGATTCTTAAATTATTCAAGCTCCTTCCATAAAACAAAACAGAACGTCCAAGAGTATCTAAATTACCAAGTCTACCGAATACATTATTAAATGCAGCTAAAAACCTCATCAAACCTGTAGGAAACTTTGAAACATAAACTACAGAGCAATCTTCTTAAGAAACGTGTGTCACAAATCTGATAGCAAAACAAAGCGAAAATCCAAACGCATAGTCACAAAAAAGCACGGCAAAAATGAGAAATTCAAAAAACTCTTAAACGCCTTCAACTGCAGAGGAAAACTATCACTCACCTTTTTCCTGCAAGGGATACTCCAAGTATCATGTTAGCCACTAACGAGCCCTGCGCGAGCACACCACAGGATTATTTCTCATACGCAAATTCAAATGCGGAATCCACTAAAGTTTCATATTTACTCAAAGCAAAAAACGTAGAAGTTTCTGAGTGCTCCGATAAAAGATGCAATATCGAATGTATGCATAATGAAGCAATTTTAATCCACCTACCGATTTTATTATCATATGCATTGGCATGGATATGTTATACGACAAAGCCTTGTTGTTGGCAAAACTCTGTACGAAATACAGCGTCGTTAGCACGGCATAGTGTCTGCAAAGAAAAAACAACTACATATCTCTGTCCAAAATTTGACGGACATGAATATATATGTATGCACAGTATTTCACGAATGTTTGGAAAGGTACCGTAACATTAAGACGCTATTTTTAATATCCGTTTCATACACAACATCCGATTCACAGACTCAAAAATTTAGGTAATTGAAGCTGCACAGTTTCATAATGAAAAACATAATAAAACTAAGGAAAAACAAGCCTGTTAACTGCATAATTGAGTAACAAAATAATACAATTATTTCGGCATTCAGACTAACATAGTAAAGTTACGATTGTATTTTGAGTTGCCTACACCCAGCACCCGCTGCACTGTTACTACTGTATCATTATTCCTGTGCCTAATCAGTAATCACGATCAAAAAACAGCTGTTTAAGGTGAGCCAGTGATGCTGTCTCTGACGGACAAAACGGTTATAACTGTCGGAATTGCCTTTTGCACCAAAAAGACTAAACCTGAACCGGGTTAGCAAACCCAAACGAAAAACGCACCAAACGCAGAATAAACCGTACCTCAGCGGAATAACCCTGGTTTTGCGACCGAAATTTGTTCCGGTCATAAATCCAACGACAGCCACAAAAAGAAACTGGCAAAACGTTATCAAATTGGCTGAGCCTGGGTCCGCCCTGAAAGAAAGCACAAAACTGAAAAAAGAGATCACTTGTTCATTCTCGCAATCTGTGCAAACGAAAAAAATAGAACAGCAATAATTTGGTGTGTTCCCAGTACGTGGAGACAATCCTTAAATACATAGTCGCTTCAATCCCCGACCATTGTCTGAGTTCTATCATTCTTGATTTGGTAGGGGTTCATTATGGCTAAATATTTATTTATGTTATAAAATTTTGTATACTTTTGCGCTCACGCTCTCTGCTAAAAGATTTAGTACGTCGTCAATAACGAAAGCTGAAATTCCCGAACACATTATCGCTCTGACTTATGCGCTTACTTAATCTGCAGCTCCAGGATCATCACATTTACAGAGCAGCAAAAGAGAACTCCGGAAACCAAAAAAGCCGCGCTCATGGTGCTGGAAAGAACAGCAGCGTGTCTGTCACTAGGTATCAGCGGTTTTTTCTTCCGTTTCTATTTAATCCTGACTCAGCGGATGTCATTAGTAAGGAAATCGCCACTTCCAACTCATACGAATACGGAATATAGAAAACAACAACAAAACTAACGAAAATCAGAACGGGAATATTCAAAACAGCTGACTAGTTCACATAACAAACTCTCAACAGCATAACAATGGCGTAAGATGTCGCTCTAGTTATGTAAGCGGTAAGACCAAAACAAATTACTAATACAACGAATGCCACTCCTAAGTCACTCTGTTCAAATTTAAAGTTAAAAAGTTATTTAAAACGTTTAAATTTCATCTCGAGTTTCCGAACGTTTTTGTGGTTATCAAGGAACTTTCTGAATGCTATGGCTCGATAGTCACTACTGTACAAAAGTGCCGTACGCACCGGAAGCTATCCAGCCGCCCGCGCTTCGGACTGCAAACTGTTCATAAGATTGCAACAATGCCCGTACCGGAAGAGAAAGTAGGTCTGTCGGCCAGGGGGCAGTTTCTCGAGAGAGAGAGAGAGAGAGAGAATACAGTAGTGATGGCCAAACCATTACACGCATTTTCTAATTTCTTATGATATTTTTGAAATCCTTTTGGATTCGATTACAACTTACACCTACTGTACTTCGTATAATTAAGAGCAAGCTGCCCACGGCCTGGTACAACGTGCCACTTCGCTTGCTTCCATTAAACGCGGTACTCTACTTATTTTAATAATTTCGAGGCTTCATCCTAATAATATCCTTGAAAAGTTACAATATTAAAATGGACACCACTTTTCTCTATAATTCTTTATTCAGATGCCAGCATCTTTATTCGGATTTCACCTTGTCGAATTCGCTTTTCCATTGTAGCTTGCAGCAAATACAGCGCATAAAAAAGATCAAAATCATCGCACATATTAATCCAATGTATTGTACAAGCTTGTCCGCAATCCATACAGCGATTTACAAATTTGTTACAAACCACTACGGCGCGCATACACGTAAACTTGCATTTGACTGAGTGGCTTCGTACGCCATAATTTTATGAGAATAATAGTACTGCCTCGCGGAAGGAGGCTAGAAAATGATCGGTGCAGTAAGCGACAACCTGACTGCTGTGCGCATTTACGAAATTTGATGAACGTAGTGAAGTGGCCATCGTTATATGCGCAAACTTCGCGCTAGCTGTACCTTTACGTAGGAAATTACCGGACAAGCTTGTACACATGTACAGACTGTACAATAGTGCACTGTAGTGTAATAAGTACAGTATGTGCGTATCCACTATCCACTTCGACCACGTCCAAGTTCCAACGAATATAAACTGGCCCCAGAAAGTCCAGAATTTTAGAGCCATAAGCATTTATTTTCGAAGGGTTTCTTGCCTTTTTTCGTTTTCAGTGCGTTCTATTACTTTGCAGTTATTTGCCGCATTATGATGGTTTTTGTGCACTTGCTTATAGTAGCCATTTGAACGTGAAAAAATTTCTCTAACACAACTTTCAATTGATGGATATATCTGGCTGTGAGGACAGTTTACTGCAGCTGCAATTGGCGATTTCAGAAGAAATCCACACCGTGGTTTCCACTGAACAGCAAGTGTAGACTGCAAGTGTAAGTCAGAACTAACAGTAAGATTAACTAATTATGTATTGTAAGGACGCAGTTTTGATTAATATTGAGAAATTGTGCAGGCAGACAACATTTTGATATTCTGTGGCTATGTATTTTGTACGTGTCAGCGAATGACTTAAACCTATTAGGAAAGCCAAATCAAAAAGTTTAACTGTTAAACAATAACTGTTATGGTCCATGGAACATGTTATGCAATAATTATAATACAGCAACTAAATAGCAGAAAATTTTGATGCTTCGGAATAAGTGGACACGGCATAAATGGCAGTATGGCACTAAATGCATGAAGTGTAAGCCTTGGTGGTTAAATGCAGTTTTTAGCATTTCTGTTGATTGTAAACATATAGCATTTCATAGCATTGACTTTATCATTTGTGCAGTTTATGTTTTGAAAATGCAGTTCAGAAGCTTATTGCATGTGTTAAGATTGCATGATGCATCAGGGAGTGACTATAGATGCGATATATTGATGCCTTGTGCCGTTGTGCACCTTTGCGGACTGCGAGCGAAGATCTTCTCGAGGCGATTTATCGGAAAATAATTAGATTAGTATTGCTTGTTGGCTTAAATAAAAACTTTGCTGGATTTTGTTTCCGCGTCCACATGCTTGAACCTTGTACTATACTGTACTTTGCATGACGCTGGATTTTTGCCGTTTCTATCAAGTGGAAAATTCTCATTTTCGACAATGAAAACCGACTTAACTGTTTAACAGATTTTAAAGCTAACTTCTTTACCGGAAGTGGGGTGATCTTTGCAAGTTAGACTGTCTTTGATGGCTTGAAGTTTGAACAAATTTTACTTGTACCGGACGATACTCGTACATATCGTTGAGACATAATTATGAGACGTTGTGTTAATTATAACAGATTATCAGCTAACTCATAGTGATACATGTTATTATGATAAAATTATGTACCGCCTACACCAGTTTCCCTCTGCTTTTACACGAAGCTGTAAGCCACGCATGTCTTCTACAATCAGTAAAATGGAATAGATAGGTATGTTACACACTAACAGGGACGTTTAGACTTAACGGATAAAACTGGTATTTTGTTGCATCCTTTTCACTTCGTGTTCGTTCTCATGCATAATTCAGAATATTAGCTATAATTACTGTCAAATATCATGCTTGTATGATGCTACATCGGTTACTCATCTTTCCGCTATGACTGAAACATGTTCACTGAAATACATGTAGTAAATTTGAGCGTGATTCTGCAATGAATCTGCCTTCAGTGCCATTCACTACGATGGACAATAACATATTAATAATTTCGCTTAATGACATGTAATATTAATTTTTTCTTCATGTCAATTTGCTAATTAGGTGATACATGGTAAATTCAATTAGCAGATTGCTAATTAATTAAGTGCTAAATGTGCTAATTAGGTGAATGACTTGAGTTCATCAAATTTTCTCAATTACTAATTATTAAGAATTAAATAAACTTAAAATGACGAATACAGTAGTAGTTACATACAGTTTACTGCAGCCTGGATCATTACGAACGTTTATTAGCAGCGCAAGTTTAGTCGACAAGCGGTCATGATTGAGCGTTATCCGATCAACAGCTGGTCTAATTGCAACTGATTTCCATCTGACGTTTCAGTGAATCTGTCTGATCAAATCAGTGCGTGATTCGTCATGCTTATACAATTCGCATCAGTCCCATATATATTACAGCAGCTAATATCGTCCTAGATGGCAGTCTGATGACGCTTATTGCAGACTGCAATGTGGTACGCATACACTAATACACTGTTTTGAACCGGTAAAACTCGGACCGTGAACGAGGCGACAAGCTAGCATCTGCGCAACTGCGCTTATTGTCAGTATTATGCCTTTAATTGCAAAAGTCAACCGTAATGAAAAAGGGCCTCTGGGTAATTCAAAGCCGGCAGTCAATGAAGCTTATGTACGTCGAAGAGCGAAGCATGCCATACGAATTGTACACAATTATCCTTCGCCGTCGTTAAGGACACTGCCGGTTATATTAACGTTAATCCAGGTTACGCATTAAGTAAGCTATCCGATTCCTGGTTGCATTTAAAATTCCACAGGAACAGGGATGCTATGTTGGCCATGGCTTCTCTAGAGCGTTAACGATATGATTGTACGGCATTCTCTATGCAGCGAAATTGAAATTACATGATTTATAGGCCATTCCGTCAATTTGGATGATATGTAATCGTGTGACATTGACGTTGGGCATGTTTGACTGTATCCAACTTTTCCTCTGGCTGAAGTCACTGGACCTCGCAGTGCCGATGCTTCGTTGTTTGACAAGCTGCTCTTATCGGTTGATGACTGGGAAAAGTGTATCACGTATTTTCTGAGCTCAAACAGAAAGGCCTCTCATATCAGTCGACCTTTTTATCGCACATGACACTACATGAGAATTTGAAAAATACTTCGCGTACAGTTTTCGGAAGGATTATCTGCAGTTGTTATCCCTGCATTTTTTTCGTTTCGAATTGCTGCAAATATCTGAGCCTGTTGGATGCTACTGGTACTAAAACTTACAGATTTTGTTTTTTTGGTTTTAATGTCGGTTTACAAAAACAGGTATATAATCAGATAGTGTTTCTTAACACAAATTTGTTTATGTGTATTTTCGACTGCTCCGGTCTGCTGGTCAGTGCGTGGATATATATATATCAAGATAATTATATATAACTGCATGTGATTGTTATTTACTCTTATTTTAATTTTTTGTAAGATGAGTTATTGTATGATATTGTATTTAACCATGTGTTGCTTGCTTTTTACAGTGTTTTGGTTAACTAATGCAGGGACGAGCCATCTGCTGCATAACGCATAATACTAGTTTTTGCAGCAATTTTCTGAAATATTTGCACGTTCACCTAGATAAATAAATACTCTTATGGCGCGTTATGTACCAGGAATCGAGTCATGCAGTGCCGTTGGTGTAGTGAGATAGACATAGTTCTTGAGTTACAGTATGCATAAAAGGTGTCCATGGATAGCGCCGTCGCATGTTTTTCGGGTGTGATTTTGTTTTGTAATTTGCAGTCTTATTGCAGTACCAAAGAGTTTGAGATAGAGTAAATTATTTGTCAGAAATTTGGAATGTTTGTATGTTTGCCGGAAAATATTCACCTGAGTTTTCTGAATTGACAATTATCTGCTTGTTCATGATGTCACTGCCCGTAATCCGCTTTGCCATTATCGTAGGTTACGAAAATGAAACGGTTGCGACGACGATTGAAAGCGGCTCTTTACAGCCGAGAGAACAGAGTGGAGGAAGAAGTAACAACCACCACTTTCCATGTTAGCCACATGCATTTCGGTGATCACCGTTCCCGGGAAAACGGTAAGCTATTGTGGCTAACCAGAAATGTTTTTGTGGCAATAGAATAATTTTATGAAAATATAATATGTTTTCCCTTGCTCTGTGCTTGGCCCTCGTACAGTGAGTGTTGTTTATTGTGCGGTAGTTCTCTTTTGACTGGAGCGACTTATTTATCGTTCTTGATCGAATTTGGTCATGCTTGCAAAATGATGAGACGCTGACAGCGACCTGGGTTACTTCCATTGTAACCGGGTCAGACTATGAGCAGGGGTTCGGTGTAAATAAAAACATTCGCCGTCCATGTGGTCGGACTTTGTTCGTAGTGGAACTATTTTACTATGATTCCACAAAACCACGAGTACACCGTGCATTCTGGCGTGAAATTTATGGTTTGGACTTTGCAGTGACAGTCTGGTAGTTTGAGCCTGTAACAAAAAACTGCCGGCGTGCGCGGTTTCTAGCACGTAAAAATATAGTGCATCGCGGTTGTAAGCGCGTAAATCTGGTACATCAGAGATGCTGTTTTTATTATTATTATTAACTTTAGTATTTGTGTGGTAATTCGCAGAGAACCATCATTCTGGATGGCAATTTTATTAAAGCGATTGTTTTCTGTATTACAGTCGCGTCATTTCCACATATAGTTATAATACACATACCCACCTTTCATTTACTTGTGATCAAAAAATGTTAATAATCTGAGTTCTCCTTCTGCGAATATTTCGTAAATCTGTCTTAAGTATCTTGTTTTTCTTGACATCAAGATTCGCAAAATTGTACGACATTCTGGAGACTTCTTAAAAGAGACCAACCATAAAAACCCTGAATTTTATGTGAAGTACACAGACAGAGTACTTCTTTATATAAAATGTTTTTACTGTGGTCAGGTCGGAAAAAATCGATGCGTTTTGCCGTTTTCTATTCGATGCAGGGCAGACCTATGGAAGAGCCGCATTGGAGCAAAAACCTGAACGGGAAAAGTTACATGGGATTTTTATGCGTGGACATTTTCGGGTTAATATTGAGACACTGGTTAAAAAAGTGCTCATTAGACAGTCTGATATAGCAATTTGGAAGTCCTCTAACTGACCAAATCAGAACCAGTCATGAAGATTTGCACTTGAATGTGGACATTATGTGTAGTCGAAAATTTCCGCGTTGAGTGGATTAGCAACTGATGCGGATCCCTCTCGTTATCCGCAGCAGTGGGTGTGCCAAAAAGGGAAAGGATGCTAGACGTTAGCTCCTGTTGGGGTGACATTTTTAGCACAACGGACACGAGTTTAAATGCTCATTTAATTCTTGGACGTTAGTATTCTTGGACGTTAGTGTCTCGTTTGCGAGCCCGAAGTTCAGGTTGTTGGATAGTTAAGGCTTCATTCAAAGTTGCAAAAGAATTGATGGTTTGTTTGGACAATGGTTTGTTGAGCATTTCATATTAAACTGAACACTAATAACAGCTGACAAACCGCCTGTATTACAAGATAATAGGGAAAACTGTTACGTACCTAAATATGTAGCTCTTTAAGCACTTAATGTGCTCGTTTTATAACGTGCTATGGCTTTTCAGATTTTGACTTCGTACACCTTGCGACAGAAATTTTTGTCTGCAAGACCAGAGCGCTTCATAGAAGCGCGCTTCATTTTTGTCTGCTTCCGAAGCGCGCTTCTTCTAGACCAGAGCGCTTCATTTTTGTCTGCTTCATAGAAATGTGTTGTGACATACGTAAAATGAAAACTTATGTACAGCGATATACGTGCACTTATGTATGTTGCACTTATGTACAGCGATATACTCGTAAATACTGTACAAGGCAATTGCATAATTATGGCAGACGAAATGCCGTCTTATTGCACACGGTACACCTCTTTATACAAAATCGATACAGTATTAGTTTAAAGATTTCATAGTTTATGTCTTAGTTTATTTCTTAGTTTATGATTTATTAGTTTATGTCATTTATTTTCGTTATTGACTGTGGGAAACTGTACGAGTACCGGTAAGTTCGGTCGTGCGGATAGCAAGGCCCGGTATAGAGCAAAATCCTGGATGCGGTTGTTTTGTTACTCCAAAATCCATACGAGTACTTTATATCATAAGAAGTGGAGCGCTACTGTTGCGGCGCTTGCTTGCAGAAGAATAATTTGATTGTCTGTGAGTCCACTTCCTCAATAACTAATCCGAATATATTCTCTACGTAGTGCATAACATTACGCGCTAATAGTCGCGCGCAACGTCTTAATATGCATTGGTGAGAACTCAACTTTTCAAAAATCTTCAGCGAAAAATTAAGTATGCTAGGATCATGGCAGACGGAAATTAGGATGCGCAGATACGCTCATTTCCTCTGAAATTGTGGTTGGGATTTCGGAAGGGATCGTCGGTGCGCAGGGATCGTGTATCACCGTACCCATTTCAGGGATGAAAGTGAATTCATCATAAAGCAATGAAGTGGGCGTATATTGCATACGAGGCTTCAATTACGAACTCGAGTATTATATTAGGTACAACGGTACAAGTAGAAGTATCTGTCTTATGTTTTGTTATGCGTTTGGATGTCTGCATTGAATTTGGAAGAACTTGCAAACATCAATGGCCCTGCACGCCGTGCTCCCATTGCGCTCTCACCAATACGCCCTGCAACAAAGTTCTTAAAGCCGCGGGAAATTCTTAAGAAATTTGTGAATTAACGGTATAAGTAACGATTGGTTTGGCAGGTTTTGGTTTCTGCGTGGATTGCGGCTCAGACACTGAAGTGGAAAGCTAGAGTTCTGCTATGTAATGTTTAGGCGGCGAGCGGAAAAGCTCGCCGAGAACATCGCATTAGGTTTTTGAAGGCTTGGAGCTAGCTAGCGTCAGCTGTTTCTGAGATACAGTTGCCTCTAGATCTGCTTTTGCCCGTTGCCGGTCATTGCAGATTAGTCACATATACGCTGTAGTATACGAGTACTTTCCGATGCGCCGATTCATATTTATTGATTTTTGTTGTGCTGCTTTTTCGGCATTGGCGTACTACTGGTAAATGACTGGCACATGCAGCTGACACTGTAGACATATGTCAGTTTAACAGAGTCATCTGTCTGCACAGTGCAGAACTCCAAAGGAGACCTTAATATTATACTGGAGACAGTTTTTCCACCAGCTGCAGTCATATTAATGCAACATCTAACGCTTCCCCAGAATATTTGTCTGATTTGTTTATGACTACTCAAAACATTGACAGTAAGTTAAGTGCCCGGTCGGGAAAGGATTTGGAAAGTTATCTCGGTGATTCCCGCACCTTTTGCATTATGGTGGATTCCGAGGAAGCGCGAGAGCAATCCGTGCCGCGCACAGCGTTACCAACGAGCCAGAGCCTGATATCGTTTACTCAGCTTCAAAAATTATCTAATCAACCTAAACGATTCGCGAACGCTTCCTTAAAATGGCTCTCTATGTTTAATATCAATAAAACAACAACAGCAACAGCTGCCGCACCAACCGCCTCTACCTGTACACGAGTCAACGAAATTGAAGTGGTAACACAAAGTAACAGAATCGTCAAATCGCGGAGTTTATTGCACCGGATCGTGCGACCCTCACAGAGTGTCGTAACCAATTTGAGTAAGTACCTTTTAATAATCATCAGTTTAAAGGGGCTTCAGTTTGAAGAGAGCGGTATGATTGGTTTTACTGTATATGAAAAATAATCATATACTTGCTCGTAAATTTGTGTTTGCACATGCAAAGAGATTGACCGTCGGGACACATATCCCAGTCGTCATTCGAAGCTTGTCGCGGGGCAGTATTCACGTCTGCTGAAATATCCTCCAGGCTCCCATGATGTTTGTTCAGGAGACCATTCATTAAAACGAAACCTTATATGCTCATTTTACACTCTTCCTGCTTTCTTTCTTAATGAAATCGGCGTCATTTGCGAAATTTAGTGTGGTTGTAGCTTGCACTGCAACAGTTCTTCTTACTTTTGTGAGTCGTTAATCGTTATATATGCATGTGGTACTGTAAGGTTGGTTCCGCAGCGTTCTAAGCGATAAGGGTATAAATATTATAACCTGCGGTTAATTCCGTTGGTGTTCGGTCAGCATTCAACTACGTACACCGTGAAATTCTGGGTGTGATGATTGTAATATTTCTTTCATGTATGTTTGCGTGGCACGAGATTTTATTTTTGGGAATGGAAAATAAAATTTCGAAGAATTAACCTGTACCACCATAGCGTGTATAAATAGGCATGCCTGCAGGTTGCTGCTACATAGTTGAAGTGTACAATTGTAAATTACTTACAGCGAGGCATTTAAAAATAAATTACAGGATTATGGTTCCGTATAGTGGGAGTGTTATCCGTTAATTTAATTACTGTAGTAACCTCTACTGCACATTGCGAAAATGGTGTTTGACATTGTATTTCTAAATTCTACCCACTTTGTGTAGTTTGTGCCTAATGTAAGCCACTATGCTTTTTGTTACAATCCGATAACGCCATATTTTGATTATTATGTTTAAAGTATTAGTGTTATAAAAAATTTGCTGGACGACTGAGCACTGGCTCTCGCTGATACTTTCGATGCGTGTATGATCTTCTTGCCGCATTTGGATTGATCATGGTTTTGAATTCCGTAAAGTAAGGAGATGTGCCGTGGATTTTGTGATGCGACGCGACATCAATGTTGCAGCGCACTCCGTGCCGGTTTATTTTTGTCGTTTGCGTGCGTAATTGTTTGTTCTTGAATGACAAGAGCGCGGTTCATCTACTGAAAATCTTCCAACTGCTTGCCGTTTGCGTTTCGTATGGAATATATAAAGAACGAACGAACTGTGAAACGGAGCCGGAAACGCTCAAATTTTGCTAAATGGGGGAAATTATAATAATTACTAAAGTACTCGTAAATAATCATTCTAGTGTCGGCACATTCTCCCGTAAATGTTGAGCAGTATGTCTGTAAAGATAATCGAAATACGAAGCACTGCATACTGGATACAGATATTGGGCAGAATAAGTTTATATGGATATTTTTGTGCATAACCACTGGAAACGAGAAGAATTCTGCGAAATTCATGATGCTACTTGCTTGTTTGCAGCTTACTTGTTTAGTGTCCTTATTTCTAGCTAGGTGGTTGAAAGTATTCTGACTTCATAGGACGGGTGTTGTAAATACTTTTTGCTACGTTATTGTTAAGAATTTTGAGTGCGAAGAGCGAACGCAGATATTGTCTGGTAGACTTGCACTGATTTAAAATGTAAATTTCGGCTCTTCATTGCATCAGATGCTGCGTTTAGCAGCTTTAGCTGTATTTTCACTCCGGTTCACGAGCAGTCGCCAACTGGAGCGGCATCCTTGCAATATTCAGATTACGTTAATACAATAAAAAACTGGCGTCATCCTTGACTCGTTCGTTAAGTTGATAAGCCTGACGCTTAGGACGATCAGAATCACTCCTTTTTCGGGCTGGAAGAAGCCTGATGCTGGTGTGGATCGATGCGATAAATGTTTATGAAAGCGTAAAATTTGTATCGCTGCAACTGCAGCCTTGAGAGTTGAGATACCCTGATTGTGCCGAATGACTGCAGAGCGTACACTCTTATGAATGCGACATGCAGTGTTATACATCCATTGAGAATTAGCCCAGTTGGATGTATGAAGTGCTGCATATTTGCTGCTGTTTTCCTAAAATAGTAATGTAAAATACATTTTTAACTTACGCCAGATTGTGAGAAAGGACACAGAAAGTGATATACTAGAAATGAAGAAATATGACCGGAAAGCATTAGGTCGGTTCAAATGCTAAATGGTAATTAGTGTTCGTATAAATTTGCAATATCATCAGCAAAATTCAGTTCTCACAACCTGAATTCTGTGAAATAGTTCTGATTCTTTTACCGCGTATAAGACTTCAGAAAACAATGAGTACTGAAAACGTTTTCATCTTTTTTCACTAGAAACTATATATGGTCGTTTTGTTGTTGCTGCTGTCGTTGTCGTTGAGACTGTACTTGTACATCGTAAACAAAGCGTTCATCCAGGGATATTTGATTTTTCTCACATGGATTTGGGAAAATGAGCTTTTGCCTGTTTCTCATTAGGTGTTGTTCCCGAATATCCACCGTGTCCTTATGGCTCCGATGGAGAAAGCGAGGGTTTGTCAGGAGGCTCGGAAGAAATTGTGTCCTCACCAAATACAACCACTATTTCCACCGAGCATGTCGTAATGAGACGTCGTCCCAGAACTTTGCGGAATGGTGACACATCGTTAACCGAAACACCGGGGCTTTGTAATAACGCCAGGCGGTGGAACGCTCAGGATATATCCAAGCGTCTGTCTTTACCGGCAGAACTGAATGTTCCTGAAAGTTTCATCGCTCGGCACATTGGACCAGGTCTGTTACCTTATGTTTAGAACATGCTGATGTAACGTCCGCTAGAATATTTATTACGACGATTTTGATTTTTCAATGACAAATCGAACAAATGGTTCACGATAGTTACGATTCTTCTGATTTGAATTTATTTTCAACGGAAATGTCTCCGAGCTTCCCGAACGATGGCTGAGCTATTATAGTAAACTAAGTGATGTCAGTATGTGGTGCGTAATGCGCACTGCGCAGTGAGAAGCAGATGATCAACACTGTTTTTTTTTTCGTAACGAATCCCAAGTCGTCAGAGAGCAATTTGTTACAGACAGCCCATTGGATGGTCCACTGACCCGCAAGCTACGGCGCACCAGTTTATCTGAGCTGGGATTTGGTAAGGTTAACGTCGTGCCAGTATAAGATTGGTTGGTGTTAAGATGCTCCAGTGGAGCGCGATCATGTAATAAGCCTGCTTGTTATTTGCAGGCAAATTGGAAACATACCTCAAACTGGAGCGACTGGGCGAAGGAACATACGCTACAGTGTACAAAGGCAAAAGCCGCCTAACCGACGGTCTTGTGGCATTAAAAGAAATTAGGTAGGTTGCATGTTGGACGGGGCTTGGCGGATTCTCGGGAGCAGCATCAATCGATAATTGCCATTAATATATATGCCATTGTTGTTTTACAGATTGGAGCACGATGAGGGTGCCCCCTGCACGGCCATCCGTGAAGGTTAGTTGTTTGTCCATGACATTCTCTTCCATATTGCTTGCCAGGGAAACGGATTTATAGCGATGGCTGGCAGCCTTCCGGCACAATGCAAATCGTTGCGTAACGTACCAACTGGAATATCATATGTTGTGCTTACAAGTTAGCTACAAAAATATATCAAGCGGTTTATCAGCAGGCGCACATGACAGGACACAACACTTAATGCCTTTCAACTGATCTTGTTCACAGCTTTTCAGAGAAAAGACCTTTTGTTTCACATTGCGTTTTGTAAAAAAATAATGACGGCAAGAATATCCTTTTTAAGTGTGTTTGTAGCTACGCGAACGGTTGCTGTTTTATTCCTTGCCGGTTTCACACCAGTTTGTCTTTCAGAAACTGTTGTATCCGTCTTATGTTTTTGTCGATCTTACCCTTTTCCTGAGGAAGTCATTATTGCTGATTTAGAAAAACTTTTAACATCTCGTAACTTTGTAAGCGACTACAACTAAATTTTAATATAAAACGTATAGAGTTAATATGTATGCGAGTATAACACAGAGAATATTTTAAGTTGTACTATAGTTCTTTTCTTTTAACCGGCTATTCTTTAGCCACCTTACAAAACTTTCGATACAACACGAGCTTATTCTAGAATGTGTATGTCGTTCATGTCGTTGGCTATTGCAAACGACATGAACCGATTGCACTTGTTAGATCGGAAATGCAGTAACTGGTTCGACACTAGTTTTGTTTCCAGAATTATTTATGAGACTTAATGGAAACTTGTCGTTGTGCTCAATATGTGATGGTTTTAGTTTCCTTGCTGCGCGACCTTCGACACGCCAATATTGTAACCTTGCATGACATTATCCACAGCGAAAAGTCGCTGGTACTAGTCTTTGAATATTTGGAAAGCGATCTCAAATCTTATATGGAACGCTACAACAACTACATCAACCTCAAAAATATTCGAGTACGTTTCCCATGAATGAGACTGGATAATGTGATTAATTTTGCATTTACGTTCACTCTATAATTCAGCATCTCTCCATTGACCTACTTCTCAGCATTTACACAAAATATATAATATTCTCCTTTTCAATTTGCAGCTGTTCCTCTTGCAACTACTGCGCGGTCTGAATTACTGCCACAAACGTCGAGTGAGTGTGTTGATTGTGCAGGCGTTGACAATTTCAATTTTGCTGTCTACTACGGATCGATTCCGATCTATAAAAGACATTATTAATTTGCAGGTATTACACAGGGATTTGAAACCGCAGAATTTATTGATTAGTGATCGCGGCGAGCTAAAGTTAGCCGATTTTGGACTGGCCCGAGCGAAATCTGTTCCAACCAAAACATTCTCCAATGAAGTTGTCACCTTATGGTAAGTTTTTGAGATAATGTACGAGGATATTGTAGTATAATTCTGTTGCTATTCTGACTACTACACAGTAACATAGTTTACAGTTCACGATGCACCACAGGAACGAAACCTGAACAGAACAATGGTTACATACCAAAATTTTGCAAGACTAGCATATGCACATAATTATATATGTACGGTACCGCGCCAAAGCCACAATAATAACATAAGCTAGAATTGGGTATGATTATTGCTATAACTATTTGACCAATCCTTTAAAAAGGAAAACTCAATAGAATGCTCGTAGCATCGCGATAAGGGTGCATTCCTTATTTTGCGATATACCATACGTCTGTTTAAATACCGACTGTCTCGTGGTGTTTTCTGAAATATACCAACAAATATTGCTAAAATGATAGGTATCGGCCGCCGGATATTCTTTTGGGCGCCACAGATTACACGACGCACATTGACATGTGGGGTAAGTCTGCTGCTATTTCCGTTCTGGCACTTTAGCGACCCAGCCTCGAAGAAGCGGTATGAATGCGTAGTGCGCACAGTACTTTTAATATCCGTAATGAGACCACTTCCGACCACATCCTCTCGATGATTGATTTTTCCTAACAACTTTGGATGCATCTAACGCGTAGTGCAGATCTTTCAGCTCAGTTTATAGTTAATACACAAAGGACAAGTTTTCTAGGCTTCATAAGCTAACGTACTTTATGTATTGTTTCGTTTAATAAAAAATATCACTTTACCTGGTAGTTAACTGAAGTCTGCATAGCTCTAGATCATGTCGCCTAGATTTTAAAGAAAGCTTAACTACGTGCATTACCAGATGTAAGATTTATGATGCAAGCATTTGTAACGCACTTTGATGCTTCTTTGATATCTACTGCCACTACGGCTCACCTTTTTGACATAACTTACGTTGGTGACCGTGATGGATCATTGTGATTAGGTGTGGGATGTATATTCTATGAAATGGCCACTGGTCGCCCAATGTTTCCCGGCTCGACAACCGAAGATGAAATGCATTTAATCTTCAAGATGTTGGGCACACCCACGGAGGGCGAATGGCCCCATATCCAGGAAAGCGAGGAGTTTAAAGCCCTGGGATTGCCCTTCTATGAGCCGCAGCCCCTCATCAACCAGGTTCCCCGACTGGACTTGGATGGCCTCGATCTGATCACTCGTTTTCTCTGTGTAATTATTTGCTTTCTTGGTTTCTTATGTTATATCCCTGTTTAACGAAGATATTGACCTGAATTGCCATTTTGTCTAACACTTTCTGTGTGTGCTTGCAGTATAATGTGCGCCAGCGGATAACTGCCGGTGACGCAATGCGTCATCCCTACTTCCGACCGTTGGGCCCGTCCATTCTGCAGCTTGACGACAGTGAGTGCTCCTGTGGCCTCTCTCCACGAGTACTGTATTCAAACATTACCATATAATCAATAGAAATAATGGGGCTGATTTTCTTTAGCCGCTTCCATATTCTCATTACCCAATATTGCGATGGAGCGGGAGAACACCTTACACTACTCTGTGCCAAGTGAGTACCATTGGCAGATTTAAGCACTAAATTTTGTTTGTAATCTCCTACTCGTACGTGCCGATGTTGGATTTCGTTTTTTGCAAATTAAAAATAGTTATCAGATGTGGAATGTCGATAGTTTATACTGCATTACCGTAGCAAGTTAATTAACGAAGTTAAGTACGAAAATTTTGTGTTGATTAACAATTAAATATAAATTATTTTGCTATCGATATCTAGCCTAATACCGACAGGTACGAGCACAGCCACACAGGGGTTGTGTGCACAGAGAAAACAAGATAATCGAGGCTTAGTACTTTTTGGATCTTTTCGATCATATTAGTTTGCGAAGTAGTTGCACGATAGAAACTGATGGGAGTCTGTTTCTTTCAGGCTCATCACATGGAAAGCCTCGCAGACAAAGCATGCTGCTGTGATTATCAATGACGCAGGCAGAGTGCAATACGAAAATTTATTATCGGATGGAGATGTCAGATCTACTCAGGCATTCCGTGCTTCATTATAGCGGAAAGAGGAGCACTGACGATGCAGCTGCAAGGATCCTGCCAAACAATATTTGCTCGCTTAGAAAGATGTAAAAACATATCTCGCTCAAATAGATGGTTTTTTGCTGCCCTTCGATTGCCAAAAATCCGAATGTGAATTGTGAACTGAATGACTGCATCACCGTGTTTTTGCATGGTTTCGTCGTTAGAGTATACCACCGGACTTTCTGTTTTACCGTTTTATTTCTATGTATCGAAAACTCAAGATCTCGTTATTAGTAGCCGTGCCTTGGAATAATCTGGCTGCTTAGGAAACGCATGGTTTTGTTTGTTATTTTTTGTTATTTCAGATATAGAAGTAAAGAAACAGTTTGCCATAAATTCACAATTGGTAAATCATTAAAATCAAATCGAACTCTTTGTCACATTAAAACCTGCACAGAACTGCAACGGTGCATCTCCTTACAAGTCAGAACATTTCAAGAGGCAACCACCACGGTTTCCCTGTGAATACCGGAATATTTAGTCCACCATCATCCAAGTCAGGAAACAATGTAGCGAAATTTTTCTTTGGTTTCCACATCTAGCATTTTCCATAAATTAGCAATAAACGCATCTCCTGTTTTGGCAGCCAATTCTCGCCATTTGTCTTTGAGATACCGAACCATATCGATGGAATAACAAATATTGCGATTTTTCAAGTCGTGCTTCCTCAAATCATCATAACTTCCGGTCGCCATCAGCGAATGGGTCAGTTTCTCATTGGAGAATGATTCATCCTGACTAATATTTAGCAAATCAATTTCACCATCTGCCCGAGGGGCGTCTCCACCGTAGACATCACCGGTTGAGAGCTGCGACATGATGTCGACGAGCGCCAGACTTACAGCAGGAAAATGCACAGCCATCAGCCTGAGGAAAAACAAAAAAAGACTAAACAGTAACAAAAACGCATGACAAATTTATACGTTCTTAAACCTGCGGTGTTATATCGCGTATGCTTCGCTTGTGGAATACAAAGTCGTCTTAAACTTTACAAAAAAGCGATGCCTGCTTTTCAAATGGACAGAAAGAACCTGCGGTGCATAATCCTCGATCCTATTACTTATGATCTTCACACAGTACGTACTTGGGATCAGCTGTCATCATTTGCATCAGCGCCAAACCACACAATTTTGTCCGCTCCAACTTGGAAATCCACGTGATCTGATCAGTCCATATTTTTACAAACGCATGGAAAACATCGACAGGATCCGGCGCATGCTTCTCAATGGCAACTGCGGAGAATACAGCGGAAAACGCAGAAAAATTGGCGTATATGCAGCGCGCAAGTAAACCCATTTTCAGCGCAAAAACTCGATTGCCATCTGTTGGTAAATCACAAATAAGCACAACGAGCAATGGCACCAATTTGGGAATGGCCGCCGCATCAAACACCTGCACACTCAAATCCAGCATTTTGATGATTATGGCCAGGCCTTCTTCCTTTACTTTGTTGACTTCCTCAGCACCCCAGACAATCAATTTTTCATAAAACTCTGTAAAGAATACTTCCGGACACAACAACATATAGTTATCAATTACATCCCGAACCAATTCCCTGTTTTCAGAAGCAATCTCCAGCATGGCAGGCAGGCGCTCCACTAAGAGTTTTTTTAACGAATCTCCACAGAACTCACTATTCTGAATCAAACTATTCCATAATTCCAGTCCATCCGTAATCAAATGGACAGACACGGGATTGGTTAAGTCGGTACTGAGGGCAATGAGTTCACACGCGAATGGCTCAATTTTCGCTGCATCATGGCGCAAAGCACGGACGGCTGTTCGCACCGCAGTAACAATCCCACACTGCACCAAATGATTCTCTGCACTGCTGTGCCACAATCCGGAGAGACACTGCAGTAGCTGGCCAACAAACGGCTGGATATGGGACTCCAGCCGTTCCAAGGTCACATTTAGGGAATTGAGCACAACAACTTGACTGTCATTCGATGTGCATTCGGACAATAGACTTAGCAGACCCTCAATGATAGCCGGGGCTGCCGGCATAATATCATCCACACGAAACTCGAAGATGTCCACCGTGGACTTGATGACACGAGCGGCCATCAACCGCACAGCGAAATGTTCAGATTTTTGAAGGCCATCTACGATCATTTTGAACATGACAGCTCGAGATTCATTAGCCAGACGAACAGAAGACCATTCTCCAACAAGCCATAAAATTCGCCGACGAATGATCATATTGCTAAAAATAAGGGTATACACTCATTACAATGTACTGAGCAGCAAACAATGCTTCGATAAAGAAATCATGCCCAACTTAACCTTAAGAGAGTCATTCAATGGAAAATCGCAAACGCCCAAAGTGGAAACGGTTAAACTGAAACTGCGGACGGTATTCGGATAACAGTTTCTATGTACTCACCTAGGGGATTTGTTCTGATATTCCTGCCAAAGATTTTGTTTGAAAAGTGAGTCAAAATCCAATGAATCAAACAGATGAAAAGCTGCTAAACCAGCAGCAAAATATATGCCTTCCCGCATCACTGGCGCCATGGCAGTATCCACCGTAGTGCTTTTTATCAGTTCCACAATTCTGCAACAAAATTTACCAATGAGAGCCACATGTAAATAGAACGGGTTGATCATGACTCTGCGAAAAGTGCAAAAATTCGAAAATTCAGACCCTGCATACTTTTGAGATCCAACGTCAGGATTGCAATAACACAATGCAGAAAGAAGGGTTTCTGCAGCAGCACGTACGCAGAACTTCCAGTTTTCGTGACCTTCGATTTCGTTGCCTTAAAAAAGGAATGGAGTTACAGCGCTGCCATTGGAAATTTACATCGCTACACTTGCACACTTACAAAAATCCTCTGTGTCGTGCTCCAAACGATCAATATCGGCTTCAGAAAGCGGTAAATATCGAGTAATAACCATGTCCACCATGTGTATCACGTTAGCAGAGCCAAAACAATTTTCCCTAATCCGCATGAAATCCGCAGTTTCTGGACCATCTGCACATACTCTGAATTTTATCTTTCGCACATCCAGATTCCCAACAGTAACAATACGAACCTTCCAGTCGAACAGAACGATAGCTTCGCTCCGAATGGAAAATCTTTATGATGTTCATGGCAGTCACTAGCACGCGCTCCGATAAGTTGAAGCGGGCAACATCTCCAAAAACGATCGGAATTACTTGTACCATCAACCGCTCCAGACACTGAGATGTTGCTAGTGGATGCTCCTCCATCATGTTCAAGAGCTATAATAACGCAAATAAAAACCAGTGGAGTCAAAAACAGGAAATCATCAACGAAAGACGACAACATTAGTTTTGAAAAATTTGGAATTCACTATCTTCCGTATCGTAACAGCGGTATAAACAAGTTTACACTTTCTGTTGCACTAATTGTGAATTAATTCTTACCGTTCGTAGAATGCGATGACCGATCTTCCGCAAATTAGAAGCGACATCCACGATATCGGGCCGCTGCAGTAGATTCTCGCTTGTCGAGGCGTAATCAAATAAACTGAACACCAGATTAGTGTCGCCGACAAAATCCCAGTATTTTCGATATGGTCCAAACGCTTTGTGATCCTTAATTCCATTGACCATCAATGTTTGCAGAACTTTCGCCGCGTACAAGGCTTTCTGCACATAAATCGCATTGCTCGGAAGCGCTTCACAGGGGCTTTTCAAAACCACGCCCAGATTATTCTGGAACAAATCCAGAACCGGAAGAAATATGTTTCCAGAGACCTAAAGCGAGGTAACATCTGCGTTTTTTAAATAAGTTCATAATCTTCAAAAAATACCAAGATAAAAAATAATTCTATCCACAAACCTCAAGAAATGCCTTCCGATCAGCTGGCAGTCGTTTACACGCCAATTCACGAGTGCATTCGTGCAGCAGACGCATGGCACGATACTGGATTTCATGGTTATCCTCCACCAACTTCTGTCCGATTTCTTCGATCAGCGTGGACCACGACCGTGGAAAATCAAAACGGGCAATTTTTCCAATAACCGCTAGCAGCTGCTTTAATGTCTGCGTCCAGAAAATTCATTTTTATAACATTCCGGCACCACAAATATGATTCAGCGAAATCAAATATACAGCAATTTATTACATGCGGGCCATAACTGAGAACACAGAAAAACATGAAATAAATGCATACAGCGCAACGAAACTTACAGCGATGCACTGCTGCTGGAAACAGGAAGCAAACATCAGACTGCGCAAAGCTCGCTTGTCGCGCTCCTGCAGCATAAGAGGACCGCTGCGCCAGAATCGCTCGATCGAGCTCTTGAAAACAATGGCCGCCAGTGTGCGTACTGTATCATTGGTGCTTGCATCGGAGACGATGGTGGCGAGTGCCGGCAGAAATTGCGCATGGTTGCGATAATCCTGGAGTTTCTGTTCCCCGGCACGAACACTCTCAGGATCCAGGGACGATGTGCAAAGGTTGAGCGCGTGGAAAATCTCCGCGATATTCAGCTGGGAATTATCACGGCTCTGAGTATTCTGATCTTCAGTACCCATCGCGGCGCTCCAACACGAACGGTGTTCGCTTATTGTGTTACCGTAATTTATCTGCTAATAAAACATTTTATCGTTTCTGTCATGCAGGTAAGTTTGACCACTCATACATCAACAGGTTGAAGGTTCCTTCAATCAGGATGTGAGTTTGCGGAAGTAAGGTTGGGATCTTCAAACCAAACTGACTGCGCTGTACCTCAAATCCGTAAATCTGGATTCCGAATCAAACCGCAACTAGTGAAAATTACCAACAACAAAACAAATAGAGCCAGGAAGGATTTTGTACATGGCACCATTCAATATTAACTACTGTGCGATAAACTTACCACATGTTTCACTTTCATACGATAAGCTGGAAAAAATGTTTTTTTGGAATTTTTTTAACTTTTTGTGTGTCAAATCCGGAAAACGCAGTCAACCAATGCAGATCCAAGTTAAAGCGCAAGCGTAGTGTATAGGCAGTGCACTAGCAGGTAACTGGCATCTTAAGGTAGGTCAGAATGTCAGACTATTTATGTTTTAATCTCATTTCGCTGCAATAATGCTTCAAACGGTAATGTAGTTAAGGCTGTATGGTGTAGTGGTTAGCACGTCGGACTTTGAATCCGTCGACCCGAGTTCGACTCTCGGTACGGCCTTGTTTTTCTCATCGCAAGGGCTAGTGGGGCAGCCCTTTTAATTTTTTTTGGCCATTTTTAGTCTCCCCAGACGTTCAACCTTTCTTTGCTTTCTCTTCCTGCCTCCTGGTGGCCGACGGCAGGCTTCTAAGCTTATTCCGTGATCAGTTTCTAGCGGAAATTATTGCGCTAACACAATGCACAGTGATGACCGGAAGTCAGAAGTCATCAGTTACATTCTTGGTAGTTACGATTTCGGATAATAAACCATGGAATTAAAATGTAGGAACTGAAAAATTATAAAAGCCAAGGAGATGATTTATAATGATATTACACACTATACATAATAATGCACTTTGAATTTGAAAATTTTAATACCATTCTAAACAGCTGTGGTCCTGCCAAAAGTGCTCATTTTACGAAGTACAGTTCAAGAAAAAAACTAATCATTACACAGAAAACACACAATACGTCTACGAAGGGTTCTTTGATATGTAATCCAAACTTCGTGATAGCATCCAGTAAGGATGTTGAATGTTTTGGCTCAAAACAGATAACGGACTGGACAGACTGGCACTGACTTCAGCATGCAGTCCCGTGATACCGGCTTTGTATGTTTTAGCAAACGCCTGCAGTTGCGGATACGATACAACCCGACTGCCTTCCACGATTGCCAGCAGCGGTACATACGATGAGAAAAACTTCAAAGCCTTGACCATGGCTTGGAAATTCAATTCTGGGGATGTAATCAGAATGGTCTCCAGGTAATCGTTCTAAAATAAACCAGAAACAAATAGTAATAATTATAACCGAAAACTTAATAAGATATTGGTCTTATCTGACGCTTCAGTGGCCGCAGGCCATTGAAAACCGTACTTTGACGTTAAAAAATGGACACCATAGGCGTACAGTACGCAGACGAGCACAATAAATTAGCAGTGGAAATACTTTTACCTGCATAAAAGGTTTCATAACCTCGAATCTCGTTCCTTTTGTTGCCTCCATTAAAACACGATTGTCGAAGATTCTCCAAAGTCGAATGCCCGTTTTAAATACCTTATTTTGGTAAGTCTTCCAAGTATTTATCGAAGTCGGGTTGGTATGGGCAAGCACTAATAATTTGGCATCAGCAATAACTTCGCGTGCTCTCATGGCTAATAAAAATTCCAGCGGATTGAGAGGGAAAGGCTAAGAAAAAAAGCAATACCATGCTCGTAACACATTGTCAATTTTGTAATATACGATTAAAATTAAAATAAGCAATCAGTAACAAAGTAACTACACGTACCTCGTCTCGTGGCATAAGATTGACACAGCTTTCATTAACCGGTCGCTTCAAAGGAAAGTAGAAGGGTTTTGTGACATGCAGAATTCGTCGTTTTCGAGCGTGCGGAGAAGGAGGATGTTGGAAATTAAGTTTGGTTCTCCGCTGTTCCCAAAACACCGAAGTCGTTCCAGTCCAGTTTTGCAAAAGCGCGTTTTTCCGTGTATTAATCAAGCCCAAGGAGTCTAGCGATGCACTCCATACTCCACGGGAAGGTGCGGAGATATCAAAAGCACACCGGGAGCAACTTACTCTGGCAGCGAGCATTTCGCAAATTAATTTGCAGAGTAGTAAAAGCTGAGCAAACTACAAAGAAGTACTTGAAATATTGCGAATATTGCAGAATTTGCAGTCAAATCGCAGTGTGCGTGCTGCAGATTCGAGATTTAAGCGCGAGCACATAGCCTGAATTCTTCATCGGTTCAAGGGACCATGGTCATGGACGAAAAATCGCTCTGTCAAGCACACCAGAAGGATGACATCGGGACTCTGGAGAAGTTCGAAATATCCTGGAATAAAAGTGACAAGAATAATAATGTTATGATTGTTATCAACGTTCCTTATTTTTGCCAAGCTAGATTCTGGAAGTACAGACTCGTAGTTCGTACTGTACCATTTAATTATTATTAATTTTTGTGTTGTTGTTAAATGTTAAGTTGTTATTATTTTGTTCGAGCTCGCAGTGCGAAGTTGCGAGCACTTGAATTTTAAATGAAACGGAAGTAAGTAATACTTCACAGTGTCATAGCACCGACAGCCCTATGTTCCGACAAAGTCGAACTAGACCACCGGTGCGGGGTACGCGTTGTCGTGGACGTTGGGCTGGTGGTGCAGCGTCAAGGCCAGCCTTGAACCACTGACATGTGAATGGCCGAGCCGCCGAAGTCACCGAAAGACTGCGGACATTTTTAAAGCTATCTGGCTGGCTGAAAAATTAATTTTCTTGCTAGTTTTATTGGTAGACTGGTAGTACAATTTTTGTACGGTACTTGTTTTTGTTTATTAAAGTAGAATTTCATATACGAATAATTTATTTGTGCGGCACCTTTACAACAGGTGGACCTCATTATTTACAATATCTCAGTGTGATATTTTTGTTTGGAGTCTGGATGAGGCTGAATTCGTGATCGTTAATTTTGCGCCTCATATCGAATTAGAGGGACAATAGTCACAATACTTGTCTGGCATTTAAGATTCTGGAAATACCACTGATCTATAGAATCCTGACCAAGATTGTTTGTTTTGTTGGCTTCCAGTTCCAAGGTTTTTGATGAGTATTGCTGCTATTGCCTAAAACAGCCGATGTGAGTCAAGTTCGTCTGCTCGTACCGTCGTACGGTAGATTTGCATGAAATCTTAACCGTAGACTGCTAAGTTTGTATACTTTTTAGTTTTTACTTCGTGGTGTTGCTGTTTTGCAAATTTCGAGGATCTTACAATCCTGTCATAAGGAGCTTAATGAGTTGTTGCAGCCCGCAGTTGTATGTGTTTTGAAATGTGCTGTTTAGTGCAAGTTAATGGAAGATCTGTCAATATTTATGTTTTTGAATGTCTAGTTTAAGGCATTGCCAGTATTTATTTTACTTTTCGGTTTTCATACTCTGAAGTTATAAGTTATTAATAAATTTGAAACGGTACAGGTACGTACATGCAACAATAAGTGCACCAGAATATACTGTTGTTATGCTAATCAACTACAGTACCTTTCTGCATCTGCGTGTTTGACAGTTTGCGTTCAAGGTCTCCGTAGTCCGTACCGTACTGAAATTAAGCTGTATGCCTGTGAATTTACAATATAAGTACTGTTATTCTGTTTACTATCCGTTATCGTACTCCGAGTCTGTTTTTTCGGTTTTCAAATTCACCGAAACTTTCAAACTTGCTTTTTATTGTTAGAACCGGACCTTTAAATCGTCCCGCGAGAATGTCTGACCGAAATAGTGTGGACGATAAGGAGGTGGCCGCTCTGGCGAAGAACGATTCCACGCGCAAGAGCGATGAGATCCGCAAGTACAAAATCCGTTCTCCCAGCCAGTCACCTGTTACCGTCCACAGTGCGGAGGCGGTGTTTCCCTCGCCCGAGGAGCGCGATAAATTTCGCGGTAATACCAAATGGTTCAGCAACATCGAAGCGGGCTACTTCGCTAAAATGGAGAGGGCTTTCGACACGGAAAGCATCAATGGCTACGGCATGGAGAACGGGATCGAACTGGATGTATCAGGAGCGGCTGATGAGGAGCATTCCAGCGGCAACATGCACGGTGGACACCTGAATGCGGATCGCGCTGCGGTGGCCAGCGAGTACTGGCAGGAAGTCAGCGCCAAGGCTAACTCCAGTAATTCCCGGAATGCTAACTCAAACAGCATTTCCGGTTCCGGTGGTGATCATTCGGCTTCCAACCTTGCCCAGCCTGGGCCGCTCTTGGGAGAGAGGCCATCCGGCGACGCGTCAGCGGCTGGCATGCGCGGCCCGGAGTCTCAGCAGATGCTGAGGTAAGTTTTTGCTGTTCATTGTATTTTTCCTGTGTTCGATTACTCCATTATGCCTTTCCGATCCGAAAATAATCAGCGGGGGCTGTGCTTTTCAGTTTTGGAATAATTTTATTATTATATTTGTAATATTTCATAGTTAATTTAAGAATACATTAGTGTATTTGGTTACATTTTTGTTTTTCCGCCATACAGTTGCTTATTATTCAGTTTTTCGACGTTGCAGAAGTTCCTTTGTCCAGCTCTCTCCACAGCGATATTCTCCCAAGCTGGAAAGCCACGGAAGTGCATCCAGCTTATCTGATATGAGGCAAACGCGGTCTCCGGGTATCCTTCCTTATCGAGGTCCGTCGATAAGAAATTCCGGAGGGGGTCGCTCGGGCGGGGTGATACAGAGCGGATACATGCGCAATGCTCGCTACGATGATCGAGATGACCTAATGAGTGATTTTCGGGAGATGAGGATTCGTGGTGGGGATTCCTATCCTACGCGCAAATTCCAGCGAATTAGTTTGGGCCCATACGAAGAATTGTTCAAATTTCCGCTTCCTGATAATGCGAAATTTTTTGATTCGCATGCCCATTGGTGTTTCGGTATAAAAAAACTTCAGAGTCAGGGAATTGAAACGTATCGCGACATGCGCAATGCGTTTCCGGAGATGTTCCCTCCGTCATTCGCTGGTTCCATCCAAGTCTTTTGCTTGCCATTATATTTGCGATCGTACGACCACTGGCACAGAAAACTGATCGAAGGTACCGAAGGAGAATTATGGTTTACGTATGGATGTCACCCAAATTTTGTGGATGACTGGAACGAAGAAGTTAAAGCCGGTATGAGCTTCAGTATGCAACGGGCCAATGAAATTAAGCGATTAGTTGGACTGGGCGAAATAGGATTGGACTACAACCGGCAGAATAAGTACGTGTGATCCAATTTTGAAGTGTTCATACAAAATGAATTTGTATGAAACGCTTTCTTTTAATGGGTGTTGTGCATTTGTTTAGCAACGAGGAAAAAAAACAACGTCAACGAGACGTGTTTCGAACGCAGTTGGATATGGCTACAAAGCACAATTTGCCAATTGTTATACACTGCCGTAACGATGAGGGGCTAAATGGAAATAACCAAGCGGAATTAGACTGTTTTGATATTATCCGCGAGGTTAGTTTAGCTAGCTAGTTTTGAAATCCGAACTGCTTGTAAAAATTTAAAATCGGTATTTTCAGCGTGTCCCACATAATTGGCCCATACATCGACACTGTTTTCGAGGATCATTTGGGGAAGCCCAAAAATGGATGGATCACTTCACGAATGTTGCGTTCGGATTTACGCCTTGCATAGCCGGAAACAAAGATGTTTTAGCGCGAGAAGCCGTTAAGCAGTTACCACTGGACAAAATCCTTTTAGAAACGGATGCGCCATATTATACTCCGGCATCGGTACGGATCGCTGAAATCAAATACTGAGTTAGAGAGTTGATATAAGTAACAGTTCCTGGGCGACGTGTGCCAATCTGAAGATGAATAACAATGCATGAAAAACAGTTGACATTTTATTTTCTCGTAGATGTCGAATTTTCCCATGGAAAGTTCAGGGGATAAGCAACCTAGGAAGGTTGCCATTCCGGGTGGAATTGCCCTGGTGACAGCTGATGAGATTAGCAAGATCAAAAATATCCCGATTGAAACCGTCGCCAATCAGACCCGAGAGAATACACTTCGTTTGTACCAGATTGATGCGCTTTAATTTATTTGCGGGTAGTTTAATTAATAATTTAAAAATAAACTAAACTTATTTCGTTTTTCCATTAAATTTTTGATTTTAGCCTACTAAATTTGGATGGCATGCTTTTTTGCGAATGGTGCTGCTGACCATTGCCAATGTCTTATAATTTATATGGAAAATCATTTTCGGGATATTCTCGATGTCCAAAGCCCTGGTTTAATCCCTTTTTATTTAACTGCGCAAAAATCTCTTCCTGAGTGAAATAATTGGTTCTATAAGTTTTTGATGATGACAGTCTTTTTGTTTGTTTTTGTTTTACCATAATTAGGTATTCCGTTTGGTGGCTATTTCTACGGTTTATATGTTCATCTGGAGTTTGAATGTTCGAAAAATATACCTTGTCTGCAGATTAGAAAAGCTTCGTGCAGGCTATACTGATCTTGGCGGGCAAATTATGACCCAGACTATGGAATTAGGTGGTGATTATTGCGAAAGCCCCCAGTAGTTTTGACTTTTGAGACCCGAAAGTCTGTGAATTCTGCAGTTGCAAGTTGCAAGATTGCGGGGCAGTGCGTTCGTATTACAGAGTAACAGCAGCGGCATTTACCAGTATTAGCTTCACGTCGTTCAAGTAAAATTGTTAATTTTTATACTTCTAGTTTTAGTAATCATTTATTAATTTTATGCTCACTACTTTACTTGGTCATAATAATTCATTGGAAAGCCTACACTTTAACACTAAGACATAGTATTAAAGTGTGAGCTTTTTTACTTGTGGTAATAGGAAGACTGCTGTACTGTAGCAATTAATGGACAATTAACGAAGTGAAGTTTTCCGACTTAAAATATTTTTGTACGAGTCTGTTAAAAAAATTGTATCAATAATGTGTAGTACTGTGTAGTGAGTGTGTACGTACATGATATGCCGATACTACGTCATGTCCATGGAAGCAAAGTTGGTTTCGCCAGTGCATGTACGTGCACTGTCGTACAGTCATGTCGTCGTCAACTGTGCTGCATTTTTGCTGCCTTTATCGTTTCTGCCTCCTATCCATTTCCCGTTGCTTTGCATTTTTTTCGTTCGCCATGCTGAGTTTTGATTTTCGGAAATCGGATGTTTTGTGTTTTGCGCGTTCTGAAAGTGCTGTTTACTATGTAGTTTTTAATATAGATAGTTATTGTGATTCCCAAGTCTGACTTATAGACGGTACTGAACAATACAGCAACTAATGCTTAATAGTTTTGTGCGTTTCCAGAATCATTGGGTTGTAAATGAATTGATACGGTGTTGCATGTTGACAATTGACTCCTGTAGAGTGTGCTCGTGCTCTCGTAGTGTTTAGAGTTGATTGACGAACGTTTTGCGAATTGTAGCTATCTCTTTGTGGCTGGGAATCTGCTAGCCGAAGCCTGGAACATCACTATTCTTTGTCATCCAGCGATTCTCTCTGTAAGTTCAGCACTGCTCGTCATGCCATTGTTTTCATCTCTTGGCAAGTAAAAGTAACGTAAGTTACTAAGTAAGATCCTTAGCTTAATATTACAGGAGCACGAAACAGGTGCACAATTTATCTGAAAAGTGTAGGGTGCGCAGTTTTCAGATCAAATTAAGTAACTTGAATAAAAGTATAAGAGATATATCCATGAGAAAACAACATAACGAAAAACCGTCGTGGTTGTACACAGGAAAGGTTAATCTTTATGGGACTCAGAATTTTAGACGTTTGTTATTGGTGTATTATATTATTTGATGTTCGTTTGGTTTATGTAAACTTAAAAAGGGTTTTGAATTTCGTAAATGGTTTTACTATTTTTATTGTGTAAATGGGCTGACTAATTTAAAACATTGAAACATTTTTATCCAGGAAGTGTTGTCAAAATGATGTCCATGTTGAACCGCTTCTTGGACTGGATTCGCAGTCTGTTCTGGAAAGAGGAAATGGAGCTGACTCTTGTGGGACTGCAAAATTCCGGCAAAACCACTTTCGTCAATGTTATTGCTGTACGAATATGGAACGTAAAACTAAAACAAAATACTAGATTATAGAACGTACAATCGATAATATGGTTCCTGGTTTGTAAATGTTTGTTTTTTTTTAGAGTGGCCAGTTCACCGAGGACATGATCCCGACTGTGGGGTTTAATATGCGCAAAATCACCAAAGGAAATGTCACAATTAAGGTAAACACAACAGCAGCTGGGCCAGAAAATTGGTTAATACGCTTCTTTATTCGAATTTATTAACAAAGATTTCGCGTGGGCTGTAATTTTATACGAATTACGATTAAAAAAGCGGATATCGCCAGAAAATAATCCCGTTAGCGAGGAATGCTTTTGATTTAAGGTGTGCTCGTTTTTGCTCTGCATGTGAGTAGAGATGGTACTGAGTTTGGCGTTGCGAACTCAAGCAGTTAGCTCTCGAGTAATCCTAAAATTAAATAAATACAGCATTAAGCATTAGGCTGTTTGAAAATGCATGTTAAGTGTGCGTAATGAATCCGGAAACTTGTTGAGAAAATCGATTAACCAACTTCGCCGTACGACGTCAATCGATAGGGCGCGGAATCTCCTGATCATTTTATCTGAACAATGGGCAAAAGGCGTTTCTGTCAATGTGCCTATTTGCAGTTATGGGACATCGGCGGCCAGCCTCGATTCCGTAGTATGTGGGAGCGCTACTGCCGCGGTGTGACGGCCATTGTCTACATGGTGGATGCTGCCGATCAGGAGAAACTGGAAGCATCCAAGAATGAATTGCACAATTTGCTCGAAAAGCCACAGCTTCACGGCATTCCGGTTTTGGTTCTGGGGAACAAGAAAGACTTGCCGGGTGCATTTAATGAGAAAGAGCTCATCGATAGGCTGTACGTGTTTCAAGGTTGACACCAGTGTATTTAACCTGCAAGTACGTTTTCGTTGTTGGTGTAGGAATTTGAACGCTATACAGGACAGAGAAATTTGCTGCTACTCGATTTCTTGCAAGGAAAAGCAGAATATTGGTAAGGATTTGTTGTGAAGGGTATAAGTGGAACTAGAAGCACTTATTGTTCCTTATGATTTGTTTTTATGATTGTTTTCCTCTCGTAGATATTACTCTTCAGTGGTTGATTCGCCATTCAAAGTCCAACCGACATTGAAGTGAAGCATTTTTATGGGAGACACGACCGTTTTCTTTAGATTATGACCTGGAATTCCTTTAGCATGTTTTCTTAATTATCGGTGGTTTTGATTACGATTAATGTTTGACTGTTAATTGGTTTCTCCGGAAGATGACTTTGGGATTTTTTTTACTCGTGTTCAGTTGTATGAAGCTGTTCCCGTTTTCGCTTTCTGACATTATGCCAATGACTTGAAATATTTTAATTCAAATGGCCCATTAAATTTCTAGCGATAGTATTTACAAATCAAGGTTCTATAATGTTTTCGTGAAATACCAAACACTAATAATACTGTACTATAATGTCTAATGATGTTCTAATACTGTAACATATTAATAAGTCCTCGTTAAAAGCGTTCTCGTCATATCTTAAAAATATTAAACAAGCAATGTCGGGCTGGGATGTTTGATTGAGGCTAAGGCCTAAGCTCGCCACGCAGTGTGACAACTTGTCACCAATTTTCGCAGATTTTTCAGTTCTGTTCTGTCGCTGTACTACTTCTGAAAGTGAGCGCAGGTGTATTCTGGTTTAGAGATTTGGTAGTTGGATCTTTTAAATTTCTAGTTTGTTTTGAAAGACGGACTATCAAACGGTGTAGAATCAGAATTCCAGTCTCTGTCGGCTCTGGATTTCCATGCCAGCGTTTTGCCGTTAATCACGTTAATGGCTAATGCGCTGATGTTATCTGCATCGACGAAATCTTCAGGAATTCGGGCTGCATATTTTTAAGGAGCGTGATCTTGAACAAAATCGTTGCTGCATAGGCGGTGCCGCGGTAGCACAATATTTATCAGAGAAATCGCTCCGATCAGCGTGCGGAAGATGTCGACGCATATAAGAAACCTGGGTGCCAACCAGAACACGAACGGGCATTCCACCCCCAAAGCAGAGCTTTTGTACAAGATTGACGATTTCACTGATGATATTAATGGGGCTGCTATTATTGCTCGGGAAGACGGAATTATAACAATATCTGAGGACAGGTAAATTGGTGTGGCTGTCTGTTGTTTTTTGATTATTACATCCCTTTCGTCAACTTTTGATTCTCTTCGCCTGCAGTTTGTAGTTTGCTCCTTGCCAATAATTTGCTTCCCAATTACTTGAACCTTCTTCGGCAGGTTGTAAACTTGTAATTCTATTCGTGTGATTTCAGAACTGTGAGAATTTGGTTGAAACGGGATAATGGAAAATATTGGCCCAGTATTTGCCAGTACATGCCTACTGCGGCCAGCGCTTTTGCATATAATTCCGAAACACGAAAGCTCTTTGTGGGAACTGACGCAGGACTGATCTCTGTAAGTAATGCACGGATACTACGCGTGTAAATCCGCTTGAACTTTCTTGGCCGAGTAAAACGTACTTGAATAATCTGCTTCGTAGAGACGTGTTTTGATTACCTGTTGTGGTGCTAAAGCTATGTCGTGTTCGCTTAGGAATACGTTATTTCCAATGATTCCAATAGACTCACCCATTTGAAGGATTACACAGGTAAAACTGAAAAATTGCATTTTTTGCACAATTCTGCAACATATTATTTCAACAGAAATTTGGATATTGAGTAATATGACTAACTTTACTATTATGAATGTACATGAAACATGATATTTGCATTTTGCACGACTTGATCTTAGCTAAGAGTCGTATTCATTTTTGCAGTGTGAACTCATCAAATGAATTTTTCCTTTCAGGCCATACCAAACGTGTCACCGCGTTGCACTTCGCACTGGAATGTGAATGGCTGCTCAGCTGTGGTCGCGATAAAACCGTACGGTGGTACTGCAGCGAAAGCGGAAGACAGTTAGGGATTTTCTCACTACAAGGATGGGCCACCGCTTTACAGTCAGTGCACAGAATTCCAGGCTTTTGGATTCATATAATCTTTTGACATTGGATTTGTCCGTAGGTTTGATTTTGCTTCGAAGTACGCATTCGTGGGAGATTATTCCGGAGCTATCAGTGTACTACGCATTAACGAAACTGGCCATCAACTGGTTTCGACGATCAAAGGCCACAATGGATCCGTGCGTTCCTTGGCCTGGGACGCCAAGAGGCAGTTGCTGTTTTCCGGTGGATACGATCAGAATGTGATTGTATGGGATATTGGCGGAAAAGAAGGGGTTGCCTATGAACTTCAAATTCACAAGTATATTTCAGAATCTGAAATTGTAGGATTAATTGCAGACACTGTTTTGAATTTGGTTTTTTATAGTGGGAAAGTGGCTACGTTGTTTTACGCACCAGCTACTCAGCAACTGTTGTCCGGTGGAGATGATGGTGTTGTGGCCGCTTGGGACATGTCTATAAAAAGAAAAGAGGCACGCTATATGCTTCATTGTTTGATTTGCGTGGCAGTGTAATACATGTTGTTTTCATCTTGTATTTTAAAAAGTCTATGCATGCAATTGTTTAAGTAATGTGAGAGTTTGTTTAGACTCCGGCTTGGGGCGAAAGCGACACATGCCAACAGTGTAATAAGCCTTTTTTCTGGAATTTCCGAATGATGTTCGATACAAAAACGATTGGAAGTCGACAGCATCATTGCCGCCATTGTGGGAAAGCTGTGTGTGATCCATGCAGTCCCAACACATTGCCTATACCGATTATGGGCTTCGAGAGTGCCGTGCGTCTGTGCAAACTGTGTTATAATTCTTTGAAAGATGAACCACGTCCCAGTCATGCCAATGTCATTAACGTTATGCACTCCCTTATCTGCATGGATATTGACGAAACGAAAAAGCGAATGATCACCGTCGGTCAGGACAAAGTCGTAAAAGTACGCATTTGGTCTACCATGGGACGGAAGAAAACAATAAAAACATGACGAGCTTCCCTAATTTAGAATGTTGTTTTGGTTTAGATTTGGGATGTGCGACAGCTGCTGGTCAGTTCGACGGAATCACATGAGTAACTGCACACACTTCGCTGGCCACTGCTTTTCAAGGGGATTCATCACGTTTTGAGCGCTTTCTGTTGCGGCATGTTCTGTGATTGGTGATACTTAATTTTCCAGTTTGTCTTACCGCAGCAAGAAATCTTGATGTTAATGATTATGTTACTGTATTTCGGCTGATTATAATTTTTATTTACGAGTATTCAAATTCGGTTTGATTTTGTTTTATTGTGTATACAGATACAGTAGACTGTTCGCTAAGCGAATATTGCGTTAATGTTCAACCTAATAATAAAGGAATTTCGTCTAGTTTGCAACTTTGAATTAAGTATATAGTGGATCGCATTTTATTGGCTATTCCAAAAAATGCTTTGCCCATAAGATTTTTTACTTTTATTTTAAAAACCGACGAATTATTCTTGCCTTGACATAATACTGAAATAAGTACTTACTTACTGACTAACAAAATTCGAGCAAGCCTTACTGTTTCATTCACTGATTGTTTTTTATCAGAAATTAATAGCTTTGTTAAGGGATTTGGCCCGGTACATAGCGCTAAAATCGTGTACATGGACGGGAATATTCGCTTTCGCGCACTTTCAAACATTTTTTGGGTTGCTTTTTGACATTGTGTAGCCAAATGATTGGTGTACATAGACGTGAAATCCGTTTTCGCGCGCAACATCCGGTTGCGGAGTTATGAGGGTAACAAAAATTCCAAAAAGTTTAAATGCATTCAGGTTTACCAAAAGTCTCATTATGGACCGATCCCTTTACAACTTTGCACGTAAATGCACATAACCATGAAGATCGTTTTGACACGGATCCACTGTTCTAGCCTGTTTTTTAAATTTTAAAACGAATTTCAAAAATTTTAAAATTCATTTTAAAATTCGAAAAAAATCATAGAAGTCTGGATCCATGTCAAAACGATCTTCATGGTTATGTGCATTTACGCGCAAAATTTGAAAGAGATCGGTCTATAATGAGACTTTTGGTACATCTGAATGCATTTAAACTTTTTGGAATTTTGATACCCTCATAACTTCGCAACCGGATGTTGCGCGCGCAAACGGTTTTCTCACCTAGGTATACAATTCTTCTGGCTACAAAATACCATAAAGCAATGCAAGAAAGTGTTTGGGAGCGCGCAACAGCGAAAGTTCCCCTGGATGTACACGATGGATGTACCTGGTGCTATGTACCGGGCCAAATCCCTTAAGTTAATTAAGTTAATATCATCATGGCGTAGTGCCTGTTAATGTAACTCACACTCGTGTGCTTTTGATGTTTCGTTGGGTTTATGTCGCCATAAACCGCCCGCGAATGGCGTGCGCTTAGCGTTTCGAACCGTTGTATGTATTTTAACTTTTTAGTTTTTAAATATCGACAGAAGTTCAGACGCCAGGTGTCGAATAATGGGTTGAAGTTGAATCTGTTATTCTGTTGATATTTTTATCAGAGCTGAATTGTTTTGTTTAATTCCAATGTTTTCCGTATTTGCAGCTTTGCAATAGTTGGTAATACTATTACTTATCAATCAGTGTTTAATTTTCCTGGACATTCAAAGACGTATACGAACAAGATATTTGTGGTCGGAACTGACTGTGCACGTGCTGGATGTTGGCAAACTTAGGGTTGCTTCGCTCTGCTTGCCGATCATTCGTTGTCACCAGCATTTGGAAGAGGTCCTACATACTGCCCGAAAAATTATCAAAATGAGGTAAAAGTTTATCATTAAATGTGTAACATGAACTGTTTGGTTCGCTTGTGTTGTAGTGTGCTTCGGACGGGTTAATTTTTCTTTGTGCAGGTTGGACATTGAGGGACTTGAGGTGCTCTTTCCGTATGACTTCATCTATCCCGAACAGTATTCGTATATGGTGGAGCTGAAACGCACTCTGGACGCTCGGGGCCATGGACTGCTCGAAATGCCTTCGGGCACGGGAAAGACCATCTCCTTGCTGTCGCTCATTGTGGCGTATCTGAAATTCAATCCGGACCATCTGACGAAGCTGGTGTACTGCACACGAACGGTGCCAGAAATGCTGAAAGTCTTGGAGGAGCTGCGTAATCTGCTGAAATATTACGAGAAAGAGTTCGGGGAGCCGTTGAATTTCATGGGCATTGCGTTGTCATCTAGAAAAAATCTGTGCATTAATCCGGAGGTATATCCGCTGCGAGACGGTAAACTGGTAGATGGAAAATGTCAAAGTTTGACGGCGTCCTACGTCAGAGCAAGAGCGGCGGATGATGCATCTGTGCCAACGTGCGCCTGGTTTGATGGATTTGAGCAGCATGGAAAGGAAAATCCATTACCCAATGGTGGGGCATAATTTCGCATTAACAGTTTTATTCTGCGACAGCTACCGTAATATTAAGTACAGTTGGCTATTTTCTGAAAATTATTACTGTAAGAGTGAATGATTTAGCCAATTATCTTCACAAATTAATTTTGGTTAAAAAATAACTAAAATATCTCAATGAACAAAGCATTAAGATTTCAAGTTTTTGGTTTTAGAATTTCTGATATTTTGCCGGAATTGACAGGATTGAGCTTTTCGTATTGGCCGTGTAACGCTTGCAGATTCCTTTGATTTTTTTCTGTTTTCTAGGGGTTTACAGTTTAGATGACCTGAAAGAGATTGGTCAGAAAAAGAAGTGGTGCCCCTATTTTCTGGCCCGTCATGCTATTTTGTATGCCAATCTTGTGGTGTACAGCTACCATTACCTTCTCGATCCCAAGATTGCTGATCTCGTATCGAAAGAGATCTCCAAAAAAACCGTTGTCGTTTTTGACGAAGCGCACAACATAGATAACGTCTGTATTGAATCTATGAGTGTGTACATCAATAAAAGAATTATTGATAAGTGTCAGGAGAATATCACTTCCCTGAAAACTACGATCGACAGCATCAAGGAGAATGATGCCGAACGACTGCAACACGAGTATCAGCGTTTGGTAGACGGTTTACGCGACGCGAACATCGCCCGTGAAACCGATTTGCGCTTATCCAATCCTATTCTGCCCGATGATATATTGCAAGGTTGGCATTAATTGCTCATGATTTCTTGCGACAGAATGTTTAATGTTATTCTGTTGTCCTTTAGAAGCGATTCCGGGGAACATTCGCAGTGCGGAACATTTCGTTGCCTTCATGAAACGCTTTTTGGAATATGTGAAGACCCGTTTACGAGTGCAACATGTTGTGCATGAAAGCCCCGCTTCCTTCCTAAAGGACATTTATGATAAAGTAATGATTGATCGGAAACCCTTGCGGTTCTGTGCTGAGCGACTGAGGTCACTGCTAAGAACTTTGGAAATTGCTGACATTACCGACTTCTCTCCTCTCAGCCTGATGGCTAGTTTTGCAACGCTGGTCAGCACGTACATTAAAGGTAATTGCCATTCAGTTCACTAGAGCGCTTCGTAATTTGTAGAGAGCACGACGATTTTTTCCTGCTGCTCATTCCAGGTTTCACCATTATTATCGAACCTTATGATGATAAAAATCCGAATGTGATCAACCCTATCCTTCACTTCACTTGTTTGGATGCATCGATAGCTATTCGGCCGGTATTTGACCGATTTCAGTCCGTTGTTATCACTTCCGGTGTAAGCTGCCGCTTGATGTGCTGAAAAACAGATCTCTTGACTATCGTACATAGATTCGATGTGATTTTCAGACACTGTCGCCTTTGGATATGTATCCAAAAATTTTGAATTTCTGCCCCGCAACAATGGCTTCCTTCACAATGACCCTGGCGCGACCGTGTATTTGTCCCATGATTGTTAGTAAAGGCAACGATCAAGTGGCCATCACGTCAAAGTTCGATGCGCGTGAAGATTTGGCTGTGATTCGGAATTATGGATCTCTTATTGTTGAAATGGCTGGTGTTGTACCGGATGGAATGGTGTGCTTCTTCACTAGTTACATGTACATGGAGTCCATTGTTGCGGCTTGGTAAGTTAATAAGCTTTATGCAACGCTTTTGTCGTTGTCGCTATATACTGTAATATGTACTCGCAAGATATTATGGATGTTGCGGCTGTTTTAGGTACGAACAAGGTATCATCGATAGCATCCTTCGAAAAAAATTGCTATTTATCGAAACACAAGATGCTGCGGAAACTAGCATTGCCCTCCACAATTACAGGAAAGCTTGCCTTAATGGACGCGGTGCAGTGCTGCTGTCGGTAGCTCGGGGCAAGGTGTCGGAAGGCATTGATTTTGATCACCAGTACGGACGGTGTGTCATCATGTTTGGCATTCCTTATGTTTATACTCAAAGTCGAATCTTGAAAGCTCGCCTGGATTACCTTCGCGATCAGTTTCAAATTAAGGAGAATGATTTTCTCACGTTCGATGCCATGCGACATGCGGCACAGTGCGTTGGTCGATGTATTCGGGGCAAAACGGATTACGGAATCATGGTGTTCGCGGATAAGGTGGGTTGAACTTCTTTCTGTTCTAATAACGTTTCAAAATTTCCAGACTTCAGGACCTGACCGTTACTCGTGAAGCGCGGGACTGGCTGATGCAGTTGAATTTTAGTTACGTTTGTAGATGAATATTAGTTGTCCTCGTTGAAATGTGCAGTTTTTTGCAGAGATTTTCAAGAGCGGATAAGCGAAATAAACTGCCGAAATGGATTCGCGAACACCTTAAAGAAAGTGTAATGAATTTGTCCATCGAAGAATCTGTACAAATCGGGAAAAAGTACCTCCGCCAAATGGCCCAACCGTTTACTCTGGTAGGCTGTTACGTACTACTCATATCTTGGAACTTGGGGTTGAACTGTTTAAATTCTTATAGGACGATCAGTTAGGAATTTCATTGTTGACGAAGGATCAGTTGGAAAATGAATTAACAAAGCGGAAAGCCGAACAGCGGGCATATCAGACGTAATAGTTGGTTTCCTGGTTTCGACGGTGTTTAACACCTTCGTGTTTGACCTTTCTTGTGATGGAACTCAGAGTCTGATAGAAGTATCATGTAAGTTTGGTACCAATTTTTATGCTCATTGCTGTATCGGCAAAACTTATGCAGTGATAAAATTTTGGGTGCTTCTCAAGTTTGAACACTAAGCACTGCGGGCTCTGGTTATTTATTCAGTTCGCCACTCGTACTGCACATTACGTAGTACTTGTACATAGCTTCATGCGACAAAATTCAGTGATATCGAGTATTCATTTTAAGCCAAGTTTTCGGTCCAACTGCTGCCTCCGGAAGTTGACGTTGCTACGTGCTACCAGACCAGTGAGTAAAATAACGGCTTTCCCGAAGAATTTTGATGCATACTATAATTATACTAACAGGAAACCGAAATACAGGATGGATAAGTAACTTATCCGTCCAGTATGTTGATCTATTTCATTGCTTATCATAAGTTCCGAAGTTCGTATAGTTTTATGATAACTTTCACAGAAAAGATGTCGTCTATATGTATTTACTTACAACTCGATCTGCGCAGCAGAAGCAGGACAAAAGAAAGCTTTCTTCCAGAGTTCCGGACTTCCGGTCCTTTATATCCAAAGTATCTGGACTCGGCCCGCCGTGAAATATCTAAAATAAGAATATTCGTACTTACTACAATGGTTAGTACCTGTTAATTAATAACTTGCATACTATAATAATATAATTACAAAGTATGCATCAATTAATTGTCAATACACTGGTAATGCACTCTAACCGGTATTAAAAGTCTGTGCAATATCTCTGCTTGTGGTTGGTTTCTGTTACGGTAAAACGCCTGCTCCGTCATAAGCCTCATGCCTCACCAGCTCGTGTCTCAGTCTCAAGTTTCTATAGTTTTTCCCATAACCGTAGAAAATCTCGATGAATTTAGAAATTCAATCAATACTTGAGAGTGAACGATTATCGCTCACGTTTTCACGGAGCAAATTTTCTTATACTTAATTGATTGCTGTCATGTAAAAAAGGCTGTTTGACGGTTTCAGGAAAGCTTAAAAAGCCAAGAATTTCTTAATTTTTCTCTTACGGTCTTACCTAACATAAATAAGGTTAACTGGGTGACCGATCTCATCTATCAGGATTCAGGAGCTGAAGGTGCGAAATTTTTATTTAGTCACTTCAGTGCATTCCGATTTAGCGTGTTCTCAGACCTCAATCGTATATGCTGGTTTGATGGGAACTACACCGAATAGGTAAGTAATGCGCCGAGTTCGAGAGAAGGAGCATTGTAACGTCTGTATTTTTGCTTTCAAGTTGATAAGACTCAGCAGAATTCAGACTTACCAACACTTCTTATCGCTCTGTTTGGATATTGGTGACTTTCTTAAGTTTCTTAGTCTTTTATTAAAAAATTAGGTTGTTTCGTATTAAAATTTCACGGTTTTAGCATTAACGTTCATAAATTACTGTTTACACTCAAATGCACACACTTCTGCGCATTTTTGTGGAATGTCAGGTTGCGCGTAGCCGTATGGCTGCTATGCATGTGATATTCAGAGGAAATTTTGTGAAAATTAAAAGCAATAATTGATACACCGCTGTTTCTTGCAGACTGAGCTCTGTTATCGTTCTTATATTTGCAGCGTCCCAGGATTTGTAAACTGAATCAAAATCGATCCGAATTCATTTGGTTTTGCCCTACAGCCTTCGCTGTGTTTACGTTCGTGTTGAAAGAAGTGCTGCAGGTAAACCGTAAACTGTAGCCGTGTGATAGCGAGATTAATGCCATATTTTGTAATCAGTAATATTTATTATTTAAGCCCTCCTTTATTCACTCGTCAGCTCCATGATCCTTAGTAATGTGAGTAACTAATTATAGTCTTTGTGTTTTGACATTTGTGTTGCAAAAGAGTTAAGCATTTTTATGCTATGAGTAGGATAGTATGTAATGTGCTAGTCCAGCTAGTGGTCAATTTCTTTTTTCAAGTCTTTCGCGGAGGCCGACTGAGAGCCGTCATTGGTGAATTATCTCCTCTTCGATTATTCTACTTTCTTTGTTATTACACTAAAGGTTTTCTGACTTTTGTGCTCAGTTTTCGGTTTATTAGATTTGATTAGTTTTGTAATTTGTTTTTTACTTTTTTCCGTAATTTTATTGTTAAGTTGAAAAATTATGACCCCGAGCGCACTCAAAGAACGCAGGTAATTTTTTGAAAATGAATTTTTATACGTTTTGGCAAACTCCTTATAATTTTTACTCGAAAGCTGTTGTTTCTTTAGTTTTGTTCCTTTTTAACATTCTATTTGCCCATAGTTGCTCCAGTTTTACCGTGTTGGAGTGCAGTAGATCAATAGCTGTTTAAGTCGCCATGCTTTGACTCGAAATGGAGTTTGTTTGCCCACGGGGACGTCCGTTTGTGTGCACAATCGAGTAGCATTACTGTTAGCTAGAAAAACGTCTGCGAGTAAGTACTGTAGTGGACTGCATGTTAATATGTGCATAAAGGCTCATATCACTGACGCACTTGTTCTGTACTCGTAGTATTTTTGCTACTCTTGATCGGCACGGCTGTTCATTACTTATTATTCCTAAAGATGAATGGATAATTTGATTTCGCTTACGCGAACTAGAAGGTTTCGAGACAAAATTCTGGATGAACTGAAGGCTGGATGGTTACATTTCTGTGTTGCAGTTGCAGTGAATTGATTACCCATGGCTTTTGAACCGGACGAGAAGTTCGATTTTTTATTCAAAATTGTCTTAATCGGAGATGCCGGAATAGGCAAAACTTGCATTGTACAACGATTTAAGAGTGGAAACTATGTGGAGCGGCAAGGCAGCACAATTGGAGTGGATTTTACCATGAAAACTTTGGTGATAGATAAAAAGCGCATTAAGGTGAGTAAGCCAAATGACTACTGAGAGCCATTGGATGTGCATAATTAATTCGTTGTAGGTGCAATAATTCATTAAGTTATTCGCGAGTGCATTCGTAAATTAATTGTCAGAATTATGTTGCATCTGGAAAGCTTAGGTATTATGAACCCATATATTAGCTTTTTGTGCGTTTTCTAAGCTTTATTACAGTAATTGTGAAGTTTCGCTGGTCTGACAAAGTGAGTCTGGTATGTAAAAGCTGTGTAATGTGAAACACTGCAGGTTTATGGGCAGATTCGGCAGACTGCTACCGTGATGAAACTAGTACACTGTTTTATAAGCAGTTGCCATTTATGACTGCATAAAATTTTTAAGCGTTGCAGCTTGGTACTCTCAGTCTTATTATCCCAGTATGTTTTACTATGTACTGACATACGGTTTTTTTAGCTCCAGATTTGGGACACAGCTGGCCAGGAAAGATTCCGAACGATTACTCAGAGTTATTACCGATCTGCCAATGGAGTGATTATCGCGTATGATATCACAAAACGGGATACATTCCTTAACGTTAATCATTGGTGCGAAGATGTGCTTCGCTACGCCGGAGCCGGAGTTTCGCAGATTTTAGTTGGTAAACTCCCACGATATTCAAGACATCTTATTGTTAAGCATAAAAGAACAGTGAAAGGACCGATGTAATGTGTTGCAAATTTTTGTTATTTATGAAATGTTTTGCTAGGTTGTAAATGTGATATGGAAACTAGCCGAGAAGTCCCGAAAACCGAAGCGGAAGCCTTGGCAGATGCTCACAATATGTTGGCCTTTCTGGAATGCAGTGCTAAAGACAATACGAATATTGATTCAGTATTCGAAACTTTGGCCAAGGATTTAATGCATAAGTTTGGAAGCACTGCTCTGGATGATAGCAGTCCATCAGGGAAGATCAACTTCGATTACCGCAATAAGCAGACTGAGGAGAAACAAAGTTCAAAATGCTGCTAATTTACTATTCTAAGGGGATTAAAGTATTTTTTTCTGTCTATGTATGTTTGGAATTGGTTGTTTGAGCCCATGAAGAAGAGAAAAATGATTTGCGGATCTTTAAATTATTGACATCTAATGTTTTTTACCTGAATTCTTCTGTTAGCAGAATGTTTAGTCTATTATGCGTTTGCATTACGAAATATTATATACCCTTTTTCACGTGTAAAGCTCTAATCGATTTGTTTTCCAGTCCCAGTTTCGAATTAAATTGTTTATTTAGAGTAGAATTGTAAGAAGTAAGAAAAATTCTTAACTTTGAAATGCTTACTTACAAGTTAGCCGTTGTACCACAATTATATTCACCGATACAGCACCGGCATTTCGGTTGCTAAAATGTTGCAAACGGAGTTTGAAGCTTATTGATTACAAATTATGATACGATTCATATGAATCACTCCATATTATTATTTGTACGACGCAAAATAGTAAAGTTTCGCAAGCCTACGTACATGCTTATCTTGGCACGGGAAATAAGATAAGCATGTACGTAGGCTTAAAACCTCCTCAAGCATACTCGAGGAGGTTTTAACTGCATGCATATCATGGGCCATGGAGGATAGCTGTATTACTCGTAAAAGTGTAAAGTGTACTGTAATCGTATCATCTGCCACACGGTATTAAAACGCACAGCGTAATTATATGGTCAAATTTTACGATTATACTGACAATCTGAAATGTACTACTCTGATAAAAATTGCTATTGCATCGTAAAGTACCCATGCTGATGCCGAATTATAATATCGTATTAACAGTCAATAGTGGAAAATTTCCAATAAGTTTTGGAAATATCACCTACTGGTTGGTAGTAGTGGTTACTGCAATTTGGAAAGAGTCGCTGCATGCTTAGCCCGATTTATGTCGCACGCTCATTCGAAGCTGCGCTTATATCATTTACAATACACTTTAAAGCAGTTATTGAAGTACAGGTTTAGGGAATTATTGAAGTGAAGGTGAAGATCGCAGATACGCTGGCATTCGGATATTACAAAATTTCGTTGACCTTATTAGACACACTTTCATGTTAATAGCAATTAGCAAGGAAGTTTTGCACTTTTGTTTATATCTGCAACGGAATTGACTGCATCCATCTTTTTTACCTTTTCATGGACTCACCAGCCTCACTGGCGGTCGATATGCTTACGGATGTAGTACGGTGTCTCAGGAAATGATTTGGACATTCCACTTGTAGCTTGAGCGTGGACCTTATCTTGGAAGTCGAGATCGCGGGAATCATTCGTTTCGATTGCAGTCCCAATGTGGGAGGGAACGGCATCACGGAAATTCTGTTGTAATACTTACATTTGATGATTTTTGTTGGCGTTCGTTGGATTCTTGCTCTTTCCACTGGCAGCCATCGTTATGTGGTCGTTTCCTGCTGTTAAACTGGCATTGAGCACGGAAGACGACAATGTCACGCTCACTCCGCTGCAACCTGCGCAAACTCACTGTAATTTGACCTGGTCGCTTTTCTGGAATATCTACCTCCTTTGATCTCCCAGCTCCATAAGTTCTGATGAGTGCAATACTTCTTTTCTTCAGGCAACCCTGGCGCACTCACGGATACATTCGGATTTATGATACAGTTGGCGCTTGGCGGAATTGCTTTCGCGTTTTTGATCAGTGAGAGATCTCAGATGTGTATCTGATTGTTTCTCTTATACCTGTTTTCCTAACACTTGCCTTGTTCTAGTCAAGAGATATTGCGAATCTAAGGAGACCAGAAGGGCTTGGTGGGTTTGGTAAGTGCACATAATTGCATTTCTTAGTGCTTCATATTGTTGGCTTTTAAACAACTTTTGGCTTCTGAACACAGTGAGAATGTTGTTTAACTTTAACTTGTTTTTTAAAGGGCTTTCGATACGTCTAAGCAGATTATTGCCTCGTTTGTTACCCATTTCGGGAATGTCTTCATATCCGAATATGCAAAAGGAGATCCATGCAGCTGGTAAAAAGCGTTTTGTACTCTTCCGTCAGTTCTTGATTTCGACCTAATTTCCTTGTGGTGTCGCAGGTATTTTATCAATTTCCTTGTTGACTCGACCGCGGGGCTTGTGATAATTTTCTTCGGTCTCAGACTTGCTGCATACTTGACAGTGCGCTTCGGATTGACTCTTTTGCAGTCTGGTGAATACGGTACGTGTAATGATGTAAATGATATCTATATTTCGGTTTATACAATATGTGCGAGTACTAGTTATTGTCTCGATCGATTTCTAATGAATATTATATTAATATGAGATGAAGATTGTTGGCGTTTACTAATTTAATTGTAACCACGTTTAGACGCTTAATTCATAAAAAGAAAGTAAAATTGTTGCTCGAACCGGCATGGTAATCTGTGATCAGTATATAATAATTTTCCCTAATATTCAAATATCTAACTATAAATTATGGTACTAAGTATTTGCATTACATTTTTTTACTCGCGCATCATCCGTTGCTTGAACAGATGCTGAAACACTTCTTTTGCATATTTGCAGGTAATAGTCGAAAACAGCGGATTAAAGCTTTCGTTGGGCAGACTTTCGTATACTGTGTCGTATCCACGATAGAGAAGGCTCTTACCGCATCGTTTATGGTTGCTATTTGGAAGCCAATGCAGTCGTTGGTCATTTGGCCGCATGTCAATCCCAAATTGGAAGTGGCAGTTGTGCTTCTTATCGTGCCTTTTGTTGTCAACGTAAGTTGTTAAGTGTTCTCACCACTGCGAATTCTTGCATGAGAATAAGATTGATTTTGAATGGGTCTGAAATTGAATAACGGTCAATTTTAGGTGATTGTATTTTGGATCATTGATAATTTATTGATGCGCAAGCGCAAAAAGCAGCTAGCCGATTTGAGTGAAGAAGTGCTGGTTTCGAATCCCAGAAACGAAGCTCCGCTGGATTGGTCAGCATCCTCACGAAGTGACTCGGTGGATGATTACGAGCCTCTTATGCGAGCGTCTCGCGGTTTTGATGCCGATGGCGGATCTACCTCCAGAATGCATTCTATAACATGATGGCTTATCCGTATTATCACAAATCCGTCGTTTAGAATATATGATCTCGTGTTTTTGTAAATGGAAAGTATCTCTTCCCAAGTTCCCATATTACATTTTAGCCACCATTTAAAATACTTGGGTGTAACTGTACTCGTGAGTCGTGTTCACAGAATTGCGAAGATCTGGTGCTCCGGTGTGGTTATCAGTTTCTTTTGTTATTGAATGGTTTATTTTACAATTCCCTTCTCGACTCTTTCCAGATATCAGTTTTATTTTTCTCGCTGTTTTGTGAAAGTGATTTTTATGCTTTTATTGGAGCTGTATAAAACATTGTATCTGCACTGCTTTGACTTCACTTCGAGAAGGTACCGTACTGCGTTTGCACGACAAACCAAAACCAGAAATGCAGGCAAAATGAATACCTAAATTATTTTTTTCGTTTTATGCAGGCGCGGGAGGCTCTCACTTGTAGCCATTTGGTTTATTTATTGATGTGAACTTTGCGCATTTAAAAATCTCAATATAGTCGACGATAAATAAGTTGCAGACATACTATAAAAACTTTCAACAATAATCTCTACGGCGCCAAACGTTCAAAAACCCAACCATCATCACCCATATGTGTCAAAGTTGGATCTATCTTCTCGGCATGTGCAAGACGACGGAACCGAATGCGATCATGAAGACGGTTCGTCTGGCCCTGCCAAAATTCAATCACTTCGGGAATGACAGTGAAACCACCCCAGAACGCCGGTTTCGGAAGGCTTTGGTTGTGAGCTTCCATGTACAGCTGTTCAGCGCGATCAGCCAAAAAGGTGCGACTCGGTACGACGGAGCTCTGGTGGCTCACACAGGCCGCAACCTGACTGCTAATAGGACGCGAATGGAAATATTCCGCTGACTCTTGTTCTGACAGCACTTCGATTATTCCCTCAATGCGCACCTGTCGATTAGGAGCCTCCCAGTAAATCATCAAAGATACAAAGGGATTTTCCGCAATTTCTCGACCCTTTCTGCTGTCATAATTGGTGAAGAAACGGAATCCATGGGGCCCGAATCCTTTCAGGAGAACCATGCGGCATGAAGGTTTCCCATCGCGGGAACAGGTGGCCAGCGCCATAGCATTCGGCTCACGGATCTGAGGATGTTTGCAGGCTTCGTCGAACCAGTGCTTGAATTGCGCGAACGGCTCCCGTGCCACCAAATCATTCTCCAGAAAAGCATCTTTAGCGTCGCGATACGGCATTCTCATGCGAGCAATGTCGATATCCGCAATCTTCCCACCATGTTGAGGCGAGGCAGATTTGCCTTCGTGGAGGGCTTCGTCGCTCATCATGTCCACCGTGACATGCAAGGGCCGATCGGAAGTGATGGTGCGACGGACTGGATGAATGGAGAAATTAAAACGGCATAGCAGATGCACGTCAAGAGCGATCCCCCGATATTTGAAAGTAGCGAGTTTAGTCCGAAGATTAATGTGCTTGCTCTTAAACAACATATCAACATCGACGCTATCAAACGCTGGACTTTGATCTAGAGCGCTCCGTAGCACGCGAGCTGTGAGTCATCCGGTCGATAGCACTGACGCGGGATTGTCCAGGGGGAAGTGAAGCCCACGTCGTGTCTTGCATGGTACTGTGGTACATAATTGAAATTCAGCTGTCAATACATTCAGGGAAACACAAAATTAAAAAACTGAAAACATACAAATTTACAGTTATGTATCTTTTCCGCTAAGCCACAGGTAAAACCAGCGTACGGTTTGCCATGGAAATCATCTGTGCCGACTGCCGAGTTTGTTAACCAGACCACTTACTTACGAGTTACGCGACTAACGTAACAGACCATCCATATGGGGAGGCCCTAAACCTTCCTGACTTCCAGTTTTGACACCGCTTCTAACTGTTCAGTCACTTCAGTGTTTAGGTTTTCCAGGAGGTTACTGTATGCCATTTTTCAAAATTTTAAATTTTTTGTTTAATCTTCGTACCGCTTCATACCTCATACCTTCTATCTTGACTGCTTTCGTTTTTGTAGTTTTTCTTACTTTTATCGCTAAATACACTTCCTTTATCTGTGGCCGATCTCCTCAGTGTCGTTATTCTCAAGTTTATCACTGTGCTTCTTTAGCTTGTCGTTGCTGGTATGGCTTCGTCATATGGATTTAGTGGTAGTATGCGTCCACTTCACGGCGGAGGACTTTCAGATCACCAGAAGAATGTGCAGCAGGATTGGGCTAATCGGGAGCTGATAGAGATCGTTACCACATCCGTCAAAAAGATGACAGACTTCCTTAATCATTTTGGTAAGACAATCCATAATGATTAGCAATTGCACTTTGCAGTGATTAGCACAGCTTCATTGAAAACCGTTAATTAGATTTCACTTGCAGATGTGACTTGCCGTGAAAAACTTTCGTTAATGAATGAACGCCTTACGAACCTCGAGAGGAGAGTGGATCTCCTGGAAGCCATGGTATGTGGTCGCGAAACACGATCATTTTGTTATTAATTATTTCTCGTTATGATTTTCGAGTAATCCCATCTGGTTGATTTTTCTGTTACTTTAGTTATTAATTTATTTCCAAAAGCATCTTAAATGCACTCCTTGGTATTACTGCAAACGTTATGAAAATTTGTGCTATTTAGTATTTATATTACGGTATTTTAGAGTACGGACAGTAGTCACTGCTTTTTTTCAGGTCACGAAGGGTGAAACTTTGTCGTAATATGCGTTGTCTTCCCGCTTTACCAGTTCTTCCTGTGGTCCACTCTACCACCCGGCCCTGCTTTTCCCCTGTCACCAAATTGTGACCATTAGGGCTTTGCCGTGTCATTATTTGTGTAGAAAATCTGGTCTCCGATGAATATTAACCTGGTATCATTCCTTGTTTAGTAATCCTTTTTTACGTTACTTATTGCCTTCGGTTCAGGTTACAGTACTTTATCACAATACGGTCAGTACTTACTGGTTAAAACTTTTACGGTTACTACTGACTTTTTTTATTTTTCCGTGTTTTCATTACGATGATCAGCGCACAGCTGTTATTTAGAATGTTTTGTGCTTTTATGTTTGTAACAGTAGTCTGCCAGTAGATACGGCCCTTTGAAGTAACTTCAAAGGGCCGTATCTACTGGTGTTTTCCTGTTTATTTTTAGCATAGCACGTTGAAGCTGCAGTAGGGATCTGATTGATTTACTATCTTTTGAACAAAAAACGATGCTGAGTTTCGCAGGCGGAAATTCTCGTAACCCAGAGACTGTCATTTATAATTTTCGTAATGCAGTTTTCTTCGACAGCCGGACGTGGCCACAGGCTTAGTATAATATTCTTTTCACAGAAAGCGACAAGTTAAGACTTCAGTACAGCGAACATTAAAAGTAAGTGTTTACTAAGGTTGTATGTACTGTATTTGCATTTGCACATATATCATCGACAACCGTAGACTTAAAGCTACATCAGTAGTAGTTAACCCCAAAACACAGGAGCTTCGAAATCCGAAGAATGATTCTATTTTCGTGCAACAAAAACGGAATGTGCAAGCAAAGAAACAAGCGTTTGTAAAACACAACTAATCGTATACTAAATTAAATAAAATCAAATCTAACCAAATAATATCACAATCAACGCGGTACACACGATAAAACGACAGCTGCCCTGCTCCCAATTATTTATCCTTCTTGTATTTCTGAGCCGACGTCATGCGGTAGATGATACTGTCCCTACCGGGGTCCATATTCCACATTGCCCAAGAAACACCGTACACAGTTAAGAAGATGGCCAGCGTGGTCCAGAACAGCAGCTGAAATCCAGCCGAATAAGGAATTTTGGGAAGCACACGCGTTGGATCGAAACCAGGTGGTTCATCCTCAACCTCATTCTCTTCATCTTTGTCTTTATCGTCAGCTGCTCGGCGGAAACGAGCCTCGTTCTCCGATGCAACCTGGCCCTGAACGATCTGGCAATTTCCGGTGGAGTACAACGATTCGCATAATGCTGTTACCTGTTGGGGAAACGATTCGGGGTACGCCTCGAAAATAAGCAAATCAGCCAGGGGAGTGTTTTCGCTGCTGCGGTGTGCTTTGATTCCGTCTACAAAACTATCAAGTTAGTTCAAAATTTCGCAGACTTTGAAAACTTTATTATGTTAATCATCCTCATTTATCTTGGAGGGTTCTGGACAAAAAACAAAAAATCTAGAAAATAATTTTATTTTTACAAAAACATACTCACCACAAACAATTTTCTGTGTGAGCAAGTACGAAACGATATCACATTTTTTGGTTTGGTTTCTCATCCGATCATTCTTATTCTTATCGTTTGCGCAATAACAACACGGGAGGTTTTTCAGATTTCCGAGGTTGACACTTACCCATAACACCAGTCCATTTGTCACCGGCCGAGGCTTGCGAATTTTCCAAATCGTTAAACAGGACAGGCTGAGAGCTGATTAAAGTGTCTCCGTCGAAATGTACATACAGCGAATTGGGATCACGATCCTCCATATCCATGGCCACACCAATTAAATCAGATTTCCTAACTTCGTTTGTTGAGCGATGGGTGGCATCACCACTTAGGTTATGGCCCGAAAGAATTATAACAGCCCTTCTGTTTGATCGCGCATCTGATGTTTCCGGATTCAATCCAACAAAATTTCTGAGATCCTTTCCAGAGTCGGTCGAGGGAGCATCCTGGCATAAGGAGCACGTGATGCACAAAAGTGCCAGACAAATCAAAATGTAGCCACAAGACATGCTTGAGCCGGATGGTGACATTTAGAACAACAGCATTGACAATAAAATTGTAGTTCTGGAAATATGGTTAGCAAAAAACTGGAAAGTTCTGTAAATCAGTCACGACTTAACGTTAACTAATCAACTCACGATGGATGTCCTTCCTTTTTTATTCCCGACTAACAAGTCACATCCTATGATAGGAGTAGCGACAGCCCAATACGCACCGTACTCGTACTGCTATATGTGCCTCGAGGAAGTAGTATGAGAACGAGTTTGATGGACTCCATTCCCTCGAGTATGCATATGAAGTTACTGTAGTGCCTACATCAGCAGCGGCGACGGCTCTGACAGAGATATATTATACAAGTAGTTTTTTCAACTGATCGAAAGATTTAACGCGTTTGTGAATTATGATCTTATCTGAAACGTTAAGAACAGTATGAGATCTTACAAAAAATCAATCGCATGAAAACAAAACAAATTTTCGCTTTTTCAACAATTTTTAGTGAAGCCGCAATGAAAATACATGCATCTACATGGGCTATTCCGTGATGGCATTCTGAGAACATTTTGTGGACAATCAAGCTATTCCGAGATGCCATTCAACACCACTTTGTATCGTCTTGTTAGTTATTACAACGATAAAGGAATTCGCCATGAAAAAGCTGATGCAGAAATCGAAAGAAAGGAAGAAAGTCGGCATAACTTTCGACAGTTTAAGTTTAGCTGCAAGCAGCTAATGCAGTAATCTAACAAGCTCCCACCGATGCACGTAAATAATTCACAAAATATCATCATCTTCGTCGGCAATCTCTTTCGCGAGTTCGGCCTCTTGGGCTTCACGTTCTCGTCGTTCTTCAGCTGATTCCAGATCCCCGTGGTACGATTTCGGTGGAAAGCGCATGGCTTTGACACTCTGATCGTATGTTTCCAGACAGAAACGAATGCGTTTATCAAACGCTACAAAGGGATCTTTTGTCGCATATATATTAACATTCTCCTTAGACGCCAGTTCGCCTGCATCGGCCAGCAACTGCGCTTCAATAGCGCGCTCACTAATGGCCTTAGCCAAAATAAAGTACACATCCTCTACGCTGTCCAGCTGCAGTTTTTTCGCCACGTCCGCAATCGAAATACGGGAATAGGCGGTGTTAATTGCCCGAATGCCGGTCTTTATAACATTGTGTCGAAGACGGACGATCAGCGAATACGTCTGATCCTGCTTGAACTTATCCGCATGTTGTTTCAGAGTATCATTGAATCTAGCCAATTTACCCCCGCGAATAGCTGCAAAAGTGAAAGAATTATAACAACACGAAAACCATGTATTTAACTTTATAAGCCACAAAGCGTTTATTCGGTTAAAAATTGAAATACCGAGAGTCAGCTCATAATAAGGCGCAAGGCACCGCTTGTATTCCTTTTCCAAGAACACCGCACGTTCAGGGATGTCACCCAACAGCAATTCCACCGTGATTAACCATTTTTGAACCTACACAATATAATTATTTAAATATGGGGTAGAACTAGAACGAAAGATTCTACAGTACCAAAGCATCAATCTGGGAAAGCGTACCGTCTGTTTGAATCCCACTGCACCATGCGTTGGCACTTTTCGGGATGCTTGCAGCAGGTGTTGATACGCCTCGGAGTACTCCAATTTCATCGCCTTAATTCGGCCGAGATAGTATTGGAAGCGAGCCAACTGATTATTATGGACAGATTCCGGATAGCTCAGCTTGCCGACTAGTTTCTCGGCTTGATCATACAGATTATCCTGGATATAACTGCGCAGAAGACAGTTGACCAAATGTGCTTGACCATCATCGTCCTGCCGCAGTGTGGCAGTTCGTAAACGCGATAGCAAAAAGCGTCGAATGGAACTGAGCTTTCCGTTGACTTCGTATGCACGAGCATAATAGAAATACACACGTGCTGCCAACGGATCCATCGTTCGTCGTGTATTCGCAATCACCTTGCCCACCAGTGTTTCCGCACAAGAAAGAGCCTAACCAAACCAGAAAATTCAGCCCTATCAAAAATTAAAAGAAAATCATGGCAATCAAACGAGAGGGAAGTGTCCAGGGTCGTCGGGAACACAACTCTCAATAACTTTTTATACACTTTTTGTGCATACAATAATTCCGAAGCGCTCGATTAGGTAAGCAACGATAATTTTCGAACTGAGTTTACTGATTATGTTAAATTACGAGTGCTTCAACGCAAATGGACAAGCATCGTTATAACGCCCACACGCTTACTTCAGAATTTTTTCCGGCGTCGAGAAGATGCAACAAAATCAGTAAATGTAGGTAAACGGTCACTTCCGGGATCATAGTGCCCTGCTTATGGACAGCATTAGCCAGCTTTTGGAAAACAGATCCATACGGAGACAGGTTCTTTGGCTCGTCAATCAACTGGAAAAATAATATTCAGTTTCTGAATGGAAACTCTACTCAATTCATTCCCAAAAACGTTAAACACTTACATCTCCGATATATTGCGCAAAGTATGTTTTATCCTCCTTATTCAAACACAAGCCGCGAATAATTCGACGGAGAACTACAGGTGTCAGGTGTTTACGGACATAGCCAAGACCACGAACTGGCCGGACTACCGAACGAGCATCTCCTGCTGTTACAGCGCGTTCGAGAAGTTTAACGAAATCTTTGATATCTGCAATCGGAAGTTGTGGATACTACACTATTTTATCACGACAATTTTGACAAATTAAAACAACTAGTCTACAAACCTTCCACGACAGCAGATTCCAGATCTACGTCTCCGTTAGCGTCCTTGTTTCCATTCGCGGTATCACCAGTATCAACATCCATGGATACTGACGCCATTTCTTCCTTCCGTCGCAACAGAAAAAGCGCGAAGTCAAACTAACCGGGAAAGAATAGCTTTATCAGATATGCTTTTAGATAAGACCTCGTTTGGAGTAAAAATTTTGAAAATAGAATCAGACAAAAAAGCCTGCTCCATATCTGTTTGCTGCTCACTGATGATATGCACTTTTTTCTTTTACGGTACAGGGAGTCGTCAGAACCGCAGTTCACACAGTAGACGTATCACGTATGTAAGTACATACATACCTGATTTACTGGTCAGGACCGTCAGACCATTTTTACGATAAATCAGGATACGTTTTCAACTTTTCAGGTTTTCTCACTTCTGGCTTTTGCACTGCTCCTCAAAATAATCTGTGTGATGTGATTTTAAAGATTCGAACTTTCTTTGGTAGCATAAATTATTAAATTAGTTATTAATAAAAATTAAAATATAACAAATACATGTTTAAACTTATTATGTACGGCAGATCTCGATTTTTATTCAGTCATGCAGGGTGGGATATTGTGCGCACTCTGCTGTCAGCGTAACAAGTTACAAGTACGAGCACAGGTGCAAAATGCATCCGCTGATTCGCAGCATTTGATGAGGATCGTGTTGTCGTTGTCGCAGGATTTCTGCTAGACTGCTACATCCCAACATCTCCAGTTTGGAACTCTGGACAGGTTGGTACATTTTGTGCCGAACTGTACGCGAATCACCTCCAACTGTCCACGAAAGCACATCCTTTGGTGCTGTTTGCTGCAGTTTGCATTCACATTCTTGGAAAGGTAAGTAAGTAAAGGAAGAGAAGTTGAAGCAGCACACATTCAGCGATTCAGCGTGCGATATTACTTATTTTATCTGATTTGTTTACGGCAGCCTGCTTATGTTTGACTGTTCTCTGTTTATTTGTTACATGCGAACGAAAAATTTTCTAACGATCGCGGTTCTTCTTTTTGTGCAGTTATTTCCTGGAGTTTTACCTATTGTAAACGATGGACAGCATGGGCATAAATCTGGAAGCGGCAAAGCTGGAAGTTGAAAAACTGAGAACGGATTTGCAGATCGCTGAAAGCAACTTGAAGGAAAGTGCGGAGAAGGGTCTCGCACTTCTTGAAGCGAATAGCGATTTGGAGGAACGCTACGAAATTTTGGATAATGAATATGAAAAAGTGAAACTGGAGCGAGATGCATTAAAAGAAGTAAGCGTTGAGATTATTGGCACCTATAACCATCCAGTGTCCACTACTGTCCAATTAAGGGTACACAATCAAATTAGTATTGTTATGAAGCCTATGCAGTAGGCAAACTCCGTTATCTTGTCCTTCCCAGCCTATTAGAAATTATTATTGATTCTGTAAAATCTATACTTTTCTGGTTTGATTTTATGAGGTTGTTGACAATCATCCATCTTTACGCGTACGATTTTTTATCGTTTAACGTTTTCCTGGAAAATTTATTTGTTGAAAATTATTTACACGCACGGCGGTCTTAGGCAGTGCGTATATTTACAGGAGTAGCAATGTTAGCACATAAATCTTTATTTTGTATTAGTTTTATTATATTTGTTTTGTGCTTTGTGTTTTAGACAAGTGAAAGCACTCGCACTAGGGAAAAGCTTTCGAGCTTTGAAAGTCGTACAGTGTTAGTTATTATTTGGAGATTGATCGTCGGAAATAATTCCCAAGTATTTATCAACATTTTCTTCGATAAATCAATTTAATTTTATCATTTTACATGTTTCATGGCCTTCGTAATTGGTGTGCCAATCTGGTTAGCAGACTGTGATATTTATTTACAACCCGTTTTGAATCTTGATGCAGCTTTGGCTTTTATGTTTAAACTGTCTTAATTTTTATTTATTATTATGTTTTCCGCTTTCGTTGTTTTTGCTTGTTATTGTACGTGGAATTGTGGTGGTTTGTGGTACCGGTTTGCATATTATAGTAGTACATGTCATAGGGTGTTCGTGGTTTAATTGTGCTCGGTGGATCGTTTATGGGAAAGATCTATAAATACTGTATGTGTTCACTGTTCACTTGCTATCTAATTATTTGTGTCTGCTTTAGACTGTCGTAATACTCTTTGTACTCATGCAGGAAGTCTGGTGTCGTCGGTTCAAATTTTTGCAATTTGTTTGCAATATACCCTTATGAATACCACCTTCTTATTGTTGTTTTTAGATTATTTTTAGATATCTATATGTACTGTATGTCTTTTTACTAACTTTGATCCGTGCATTGCATTTTTTGGAGAGTAACGTTCGATTATTTCAACTACACACTTTTTTAAGGAGAGCCCCTTTGTAACCTTTGAACAGTACAACGTTTTCCGATTCACTTCTATACCACTAAATGCAGTCACATCTTGATGCGTATACTGTAAGTATTACTGTGCAAAACGGTGATCATCCGATTGCGGTGGAAAAAGTTCTGTGCTGCACTGCAAAAGGGTTACCAATTCATATTAACATAGTCTCTGATCCAGAAAATATAGCGAATTATCACAGACAGTGACAGTGTGTACACTGAAAACCGTATCGTTTTATTTTTGATCGACGAAAATTGCAGAAGTTCGAGGTATCTGTATTTTTGCGACTTTGCTAGTGCGGAACCGACGCCTTCTATCCATGCACGAAAAAGTCGCGGTGTCGATCCCGTTAATTGTGATATGAAAATATTTACAAAACGACAAGTTACATGTAAGTGTACTTGCTTATACTATAATTATGCGTAATGACACCACACAATTTGCAACAGCACGGTCAAACTAATTACGACAGGTTGGACAGCAAAGTAACGTATGGTGTTCCAACAATTTTTCACAAACTTACAATTACTAACGACGCTTGCTGTGAAAAACATATGAATGAAAGTAGTTACACGATAATAATACAATTATTACTGCAGTTATCTGAAATATAAGGATAAATATACAGGTATACTTTGTATTCACGTATTACGTGTTCAACTATACACACAGCCATATAAACGGCTTTCAGTTACCATTTCAAAAGTTTTACTTTATTAAATTGTAATTTCCAGTATTGTAGCTTTAGCCGTGGAGATTGCAAAATTCTGATGAATTTGGAGGTCACTCTGCTTAACTATGCCCGCTTAACTTACAAGGCTTAATTTCATACTTCTACACAATGGTTTGTACACATTAATTTATACACATTAATTTCTGACAATCTGACAATAATTTCTGACAATCTGCGCCAGTGCCGGTAAAATAGGCTTTCATGCGCTTTTACAAGGCATAACGTTTTCCCGAAAACGCTCTCCACCTGAATTGAGGGTTTTAATTTCAAGCGACTCAAAAGATGTCGGATTACATTTTTGCATACCGCCAAATGTACAACACTTCCTAATGTATAAGTTTAGTGTTATATTGTGACCTGAGTTGGTTTTTGCTAAGCAAATCACATGTTACTCTGTGTTGATCACTCGAGCTGTGTTATCAAGAAACGGACAATACAGGACATGTATAATTATTATGTATGTCATTTCCTAAATATGTAAAAATCTTATGTATCCTGTCCTCGGGATTATAGCTTTGACCGTTCATGCAACCATAAACCACATTTTGAAACAAAGGTGACAAAATTAGGTCAGGAGGGTTTACAAATGGTTGAGTTTCTATTTATCCCAAGTAACCAGTAAGTGGTTTGTGAATGCGGACAGGAGTAGCATAAGAGCTTACATGTGGAATTCCCATCGTGGTCGTTTGTCTTCTGGATAGAACGATGCATGAGAGATATGAAAAGAATAGGTTGCGCAAATGATTTCCTAATTGCTGGACAAGAGGGATAAATGTAGGCTAACATATTGCCAATTTGCCAGTGCCGGCAGTACGCTATAATACGCTTTAGACAATTTGCTAATCCATCAAACTTTTGATATTTATCATACAATCAGCAGCCTGGATGCACTTCGAATCTGTTTGAAAATGTACTTAAAGCATCGTAGTAGGTAGGTGGTCTGCTTGCATTTCATCGAAATTATCTGAATTTTATTTGTTATGCTCAACGATGGATAAAGGGCGAAAATCGAAGTGCATTTCCCAGCAGTATATTCTGTGATTGGCAGTGGTTTAGTCGGAGTTTTCTCAGAATTCAGTTTATCGAAGCATCTTTCATTACTAATTGAATAAATTAATTAAACAGGTAGCGCCATTGAAAATGGTAACCGTAGATGAGTTATTATATCAAGGACTGCACGTGCATACTTTTGTTAACGAACTCCATTATCACTTCGACAAGCTTAATTAAGACAAAAATGCACACGCACCTTTAATAATAAAATCAAATACAGCTCTATCGCGCCAAGTGTGGACAGTTGCATAAAATAAATTAAGAAATATTTTCGTAAGTCGTTTTGTTTTATGTTTTGCACTATTCCAGCGTAGTTTTTTATTGCGGATCAAGCAAGATCAAAATCGAAGTCTTTTGATGTGCCAGTAGGGAGACGAGCGGTGTTTTAGGGGAGGGGGTAGCGGTCGTTTGTTTTATGCTTATGAATGCCCCTCGAGAAGTACCACCACTTAAGATTTTTGCGTGGGGTTTTTGGAAAGTTGTTGAATGATCCACAAGGTGTCCGTTACGCGTGTCAGAAACATCTTACATGACCAGTGCTTGCGCTGATCTCGGAACAAAGTGGTTCTCCCATAGGCTTCTGTGTTAAAAACGACATACCGAGAAGTGCGGTTGCCTAGCACATGGACCTGGGGACCTCGAGCTGATAACTTCCATGAATCAGATTTGGGTTACGCTAGTTTATTTTGGAGTGTTGACAAATATCAACAGCACAGGCGAGGAGGTATAAGCGCCGGACGAATGGAAGAAAAAACCATTAAAGCGGTGACTAAAAAAAGCTAAGACTGTTGCTTAAACTTGCTGGAACAAGATGCCTCGGGCTTACTGTGTAAACGAAAAGTTTAAAAAGGATGCTCAACACCTTCTGAATGAGATTTTATCAAGAACGGTTGCTTGCGACATTCGGCGGCTGTCCGGCGAAGGCGCAAAGGAGGTCGCCCTCGACTTTGACGGGGCCTGCGGTAAATTTGCAAAGGTCACGCAGGTTTCATGGAATTCGATGGATGTCCTGCACATATCGCAAGAGCATTGGTTGCGGAACAGCCCAAACTTATTATTTTTGCTGTGCGACATCAAGGAAATTTTTAAACAAATTTTGAGTCGGAAGATGGCAGCCACGGCCAATGGGTCAAGCCACATTTTTAATCCGGTCGGTTTTCATTTTCATATTGCTGTAAATTCAAAAACGCTCTCAGCAGGGCAAACCAAAACGCAAAACTTGCTAGACGCAAGCAGCAACGATATGAAAATCAAATAATTATAAATTTGTCTACGGCTGACCTTTAGTGATTTTTCAGAAAAAGTGTCCACACTTGGCGGCGTTGGCGCGATAGGGCTGTAGCTGCAACAAACAATGACGGCAGCGCATGCATTTGGTAGCAGCCATTCTGATTTAACGTGTAAGGCACTGTAAGCAGAGTCCAGGCGGCAACAATCTCTTCTACGTTTTAATTTTGCGTTCTACCGTTATGTATAATAATTTTGTATATTGCGGAGTTATGAGGTTGTTTTTAAGCGCAAAATGACATAAGTTGGTAACAGAAATTAACCAGTTTTCAGATTGCCCGCTATTAATGGCCCATCGATGGGCCAGACTTAGTGGATCGTACTGACTAATTACTTGTGTATTGTACACTGTATCTTCTGATAAGTCCAATTTGATTTAATCATTTAATTTGTTTTTTATCTTACTTTTTACAGACAATTGACCATTTTGATTGTGTTGATTTCGCTTTCTGCTCAGAGTTTCGTCGCTAATTATTGAATGAAACATTAACGACCCCAATCTTCTTGCAGTAGTAACTGGGTATTCATGATTAACAGGTAAATACTATCAGCTTGGAAGTAATCGGATTTGGCATCCACCCGCCACGCAATCTTCTGGCGAATGACGGCATATGCAGCGGAAGTTGTGAACTTGCGATTTGAATATGTTACGTAATATTTGTTTGAGCAAAATATCATTCCTGTCAGACGCGCGCCAAACACTGCACTAACTTCATACTGCAATTTTATTAATAAGTAACATAACCGACGAGAAAAACCGACCAACAACATAGCCGAGAGCAAACATCATTGGTCAACTGCAAGATTATTAGAAGGGTAACACGAGCTATATACACATCAAACATCTATGTACAGCAAATTATTAGAACTGTATATACAATTTCCATCCGCAAATCATTATTAGATGCAACGACTGCCACAGCAGTCGTCACCAGAAGTAATAACTTAAGAATCCAAAATAATTTACATTTGCTTATCCTCTTCCACATCCGTGCTCGCCCGTCATCAATCTTTCCATCCCAAATAATAATAAAGCTATCACAGCAAATTGGTTGGTTTTTGGCAATAATGGACAATGCGCCATTGTCCCGGTCTGCCAGATAAACCGTACTGCATTGCTGTTTTTTTTTGTTCCTCGCGAAACTTTTCAATCCAACGAACCCGGGAAATATAAATTCATGGTCCACCGATCAGCTTCCCATATTTCCGGGCTTACTGCAGTACCATCTTCCCACACACGAGCTGGACGAGAATAAGAAATACGAGATCCATCGAACAGTGTTTGCACAAAAAAATCAAATCGGAAACAGATACAGAGAAGGAGGAAAAGTTAGGGGGAAAACATTGATAGTCCTTGTCATGACTGTGCGACTGCTCATTGTCAGCTGCAAATTCCAGTTCTTCAGTAAGCTGTTGATACGCCCAAACTTCCATCAGAAATGGACGACGGACTGCTGCATCCTTCGGAATCCAAGCTCTCATTGCGTATAGCCGTACAGTCGAAAGTCCACATTACCGGCGACAGGGGTGATATCGAGTGGGACGAGCGTACCCCACCGCGTGCGACTTGTAGCGACTGAGTACCGACATGGGCCATCATCATATGCGAAGGCACAGCAATGGGAAAACTGGTCGTAGGAACTTTGACACGCGGCCGTCGATTGCAGTAGCTTTGGAAGTAATAGGCAAAGTTCTCATCGTATTTGCACTGATTCAGCCACGGATGACCTAGGACTTCGTCCAGAGTGGGCCGCTTCTCCGGCCGGTATGCTAAACAACGCCGTATCAGATCTTTGGCCCCTGTAAACAGCATACCACACATTATTAGCGTGAGAAAGTGAGCAAAGTCTGCCTAGCGAGCGATCCTTATCGCTGACACAACCGGCATCAACTTCCGGCAACATTATGGAATAGATCATAATTAGCGCTGTGCTACTTACGTTCAGAAACTTTCGTATTACGCCAAAGTAGTGTATTGCGAAGGATTTGCTCCTCGTTTTCAAAGGGAATATCGCCGCAGAGCATGTCGTACAGCAGAATGCCAAGGGACCACACCGTACCAGCTGACGCATGGAATACACCGCTTTTGACCCATTCAGGCGGGCAGTAGACTTTGGTGCCAGCTGTTGAAAAAGGAAACGAGTGAAAATCGATTTTTATTACGAAACAAAACTAAGGATAGTACGCAGCAGATGTAGCACTACACACTCTACAATCTATCCTACAATCCATTCAGCACATCTAACAAGTACAAAACTCCATAGTGAAACCAATATTTACCATCGTATCCCTGGTAGGGCTCTGATTTCAACTCATCACTGGATCCAAAATCAATAAGATAACAACGCCCCGTGTGCATATCGACCAGAATGTTCTCATCCTTGATGTCCCGGTGTACAACGCCGTTAGCATGACAGGCATGTACGGCTTCAACAATCTGCAACGCACAAACGCCATGATCACGCACTGTTACATCATCTTGGCTGCTGGGAAGATTCCAAAAATATCACAAGGAACCGGTTATGCAATCCCCACTAGCTTATCCCTGGTTGCCGGTTGTAAAGCCATATACATGACAAACTTTACCGCATTCCAGACTGTCTGCTACTCCTGCCATACCTGTCGGAAGAAGACCCGCGCAATGAACTCGTCGAGAGCGCCGCGCTGTGTGATAAAATCAAACAGATCCTGCACAGGATCCGGCCGTTCAAGAATGAGGATGTGGTTGCCATTCTCTGCCTGGTAGTGGTCCAACAATCCCACAATGCCCGGACAACCTGACTGCTGTACTTTCAAATGCATGGCCACCTCCATTGGAACTTGCGTTCCTTTAATCTGCAACAAAAACAACCGACTGTCAACAACAAGTCGCACAAGTCATGCACACGAGCACGTAAACAGAATTACAATACTCTGAAAATGTGATTCAACAGCGCGTAATTCAAAACAGCAAACAGCTTCATTGTTGTTGTGTTACGAAAGACATTAATTGCTCGAAAACATTATGGCGTACTGCAGATTGCCCAAAAACACCCCCAATTTTTTAACTTGATCATCAGATCCAATACTCTCTACTCTGTAATTTTCATTTTTTGTATTTACTGTTTCTGCATTTAGGTACTAACTACAGCACTGACCACAGTTTCCCACGCAAACGCCCATGCGAACTATTGCAATGCGTAATTAAGCGGTTATCAACGAATATTTAATCGAAATTCCAACAATTTGCTCTGCTCATTGTTTGATCTGTCTCGACAGTGCTTATCTGGCCGTAATGGAGACTAGATAACGGGTAACGGTAGATGCAATAACGATTCAGAATTACGCTTTTCTAGTATCCATGCGCCGCGCCACTTTATCAATCAAAACCAGTCAGCACAACAGCCGTGTTTATACAAGCCTATCCTTGTGCATCTATTGCAACACACATGGCCAACTGTCTTATCGCTTGCTTCTTTATTAAACTGCGTGCGAAAAGCGCCCGTATTGTTGCGCATCTTAATTTCCTTATCGTATCGATAGCATCCTTCCCGCCAAAATATAATCGATCACGAGAATGTAGGCACCAATTTTATTATGCGCTACCTCGCGACAAGGTACAACCGGTACAATCTACTTGCAATTACTAATCACACATCACATTGTCGAAAGAATTATATTGCATTTTTGCCTAGTGAAGCGAAATCTGATTTGCGCAATTGTTTATTCCAGACTGTCAGGGCGCAGGCAACAATATGAGCACGCGCCTGCTGTTGAAACCACTGTAAAGTGTTACGAAACAACTAAAAATTCAATATCCCAACGTGATCCAATCGGGAAAAAGTTTCACATCAGCTCGCAGACTACTTGAGACACTAAATTCAGCAACTGGACAATCAGCAATAATTGTTAAGTATTCAGCCAGAATCAGCCGTTAATCTATGGGTACGAAGCCGGAGTTAACGAAGTACCTACTCTCTGTTTGACCATAAAATAAACCTGAACTTTAGCACCTTGTGATCCCGTATATGATATTCAATTATTTGCACTTTTTACGATGGCGTTGGCTATTTTTACTATGTGACGACATTGCCTACTTGAGAAATATGGCCAACTATGCTGACTATAGCGGAACTAGTTTTTGAGTCATATTGATTATATGTACATCTTAGGAAACTTTCAATAGACTGCCATCTGACGGAATGTCGTGTCTCTCTTCTGCTCTATCTCGTCAAATAGAATATTGCAGAGATATCTCTTGTCGGGCAAAACTAAATCGAGATGTCTGCTCCGCCTGCTCCATGGCGCAGAGAAGTTCGGTCATTTTAAACTCATCGTCTTCCTCCACCAATCCATGATTAATGAACACAACTAGCAGACACTGTAATAATTTATGACACGGAACGCAACTTTCTCAAACCATCTTCCTGCACTGGCAGAGCTATTTTCGGATTTGTTTACAATTTCTAATTATGCGATTACGAACACACACGCATTATTACATGGAAAATATTTCACTATTCGCACCCTTCCGTATCCGAACTTTTGAAGCGGCGGTTTTTTTGCTATCGCATACTTCTAATGAAAGAAGACTCAATTAAATACTACATTTTACTTTTGGTATTCATCGTAAGACTTCATCCGGTTGCGCAGACGAACCGTGTTTTATGGGGATTGTTAAGTACTCTCTTTCACAACTGCCGCATGGCTGCTTAATGAAGAGTGCGAATCAATAACTTATGGGCACAAACGGACGCAGTCGAGTAAATACAGCGCGTGATTCTTTGCAGCGTCATGCGGATTGTCGATTATAGTTTGCCGGGCGTACATAACACGTAGGCCAGCCGGAGCCATGTAAATTTAAACGGCGTAAAGAGCTTTCCTCTACGATGCGGCAGCACACGCAGACCACTGACATACTCTATGCGTAAAACCATTCCCACCGTTACACAGCAGTCTGGGCCGCCATAATGCTTTACACTGTCGCGTTTGAAAAACGCTACCACCACATCATACGCTCGGTCATACGCACACATATTTGTCCAGATGAGTAAAAGCGGCGTATTGGAAAACCGACCCGACAACCCGAACACAAGACGCGAACGGAGCCGCCGTCTTCTCTCTCACACTACTGATTGCGATTTCACAACCGGCTGCTGCTATGTCTCTTGCGATGCCCCCAAGCTATGTAAAGGCCGAAGCTTAGCAAAGGCCAATGAATCATAGTTTGAGTCGAGGCTATTGAAGAGACCAGAATGCACGCTCACATACCAGCCTGCGCATAGCCATTCAGTGCGCGAATGGCATTTTATGATGGCGGAAAGAAACATTCCTTAAGCTAAAACGATAAACATCAATCAGACTGGCTGACTAGGCCTCGGCTGTTCGATTCGGTTGCCGGTCTTGTCTGAGCTGAAATCGTTTGTCTGAAAGTCTTTGGCCGTTACAATAGTCGAAAACATCAAAACAAAATTCCTCATCAAATTATCGGAATTTAACCCCATATCTAATACCCCTTATTTCGGGCAGACGTTAAACGTTCAATGAAATGACCACCTCCAGCTATGCTGTGCAGCATTGCTGCCATTCCCGCTCTCTGACTCGTCATCTGTTTGTCTGGGAAACAACCCTCTGCACTGCTAGTCCCGCCCGCTGCATCACATGAGCGCGACTCAATAATAACATGTCAATACACAATCAACAACTCAGCTTACCGTGCGCCATGCTAGCACCTTTTTCCCGCTCACCACCTTAATGGCCACCTAGATAAACCAAAAGACAAGTCAGTAAAAAAATCAACAACAGAAAGAAGCACATTGTCAGAATGACGAAAAGGAAAAACAGATCAGATTAGTCCGATTTCCTGTATTAGGGCGGTAAGATTGCGATCTCTTTTGCATTATGGTGGTGTACTTTGTACGGGGAAACTGATTCAGGCATATTGCTGGTATTGCATTAAGCCAGTAAAGCACATGACGTCATTCCTTACCGGATGTTTATCTGAACGTCGAAAACCGGAATAAACTTTCCCAAATCCACCATTACCAATATTGGCTATCGTTTTGTATTTCTTTTCCATATCTTGTAAACTTTTACCTGCAAAAAACGAAGGACGATATTAGTGGAATAAGGAAAATAACGTTAAATAATTCTTCATCTAGAAAACGATTCAATACGCTGGCCACAGTCAGTCAGCTGGTTTTAAATTTTTCCACTTCCTCTGGTGAAACAATCTTACGTAATATCGGTGTACTAAAAAATCGAATAAGTAGTGACTTAGTAGTCGAAGCAATAGCGCGGTTAGATTACACTACAGTCTACATGGATCGCAGGATGGTGATTGCGACATCGCAAGATTACTGCGTGAAATCGTTGGAATGGTTCATAGAATACTGAGCAATATGAAAGAAACAATACGGGTGCGCCAACTTCGTCACAGGGTAACAGTAACCAGACAGGCGTTGAACTGTGATTATGGCGGGCTATTGTCCACTACGGTGAGCAGAATGTGGCGGCAAAATAGAAACAATTCGAAGACCATCTACGTGTGTTGTAAGTAATAGCGCGAAATGCATCAAACACTTACTCAACAATACGTGGACTTGTCGGCTTGTGTAACATCAAAACGGCTTACCGAATGACTGGCTGTTATTTGATGCTGAGGAATCCGTCTTAGGAGAACTCGTCGTGAAAAGTCCGGTTATCGAAAATCCCAGCATTTTCGTTGATAGGTAGTCAGTTTAGCTGATACATTAAACGCTGATAAACCAAATAAATAAGAAATCAAAAAGGCAGAAGTAAAACGCGTTAACAAAATTTAGGCGCGAAATTCCAATAGCACATTAATTCTCCGAGATACGTCTGCTTCGCACAGCGTAACAGAAGTGAATGAGCTGCCTATAGTCGGATTTCAGCTTACACTCCACCGTTCAAGGAAACTAGGCGCGACAAATTGCATACCGATCGAAGCCAACAATTGGTCGTCTCTGAAACTTGTGAATTCATTAGATTCTACGCACAACTTGTAATGGCTCAGTGGGTTTCGCATAAAAAAATTACGATTGTTTTGCCGTATAGCAGCCTCTGGAAACCTTAATTACAAATAAAGGCTGGAAATTAATAATTGACTTCATCTTTGATGTAAGATTAGCTTATAAAATTATAAATTATTCTTGGCGACGTAATAACAACCACCCTACAAACCCTCACTGGGCTTGCAACACACACTTGGGCGGAGTCCAGACAGCATACATATCCACACGAGTAGAATGCGTAAATTTTACGATTTTACGAGCCTTTACAAACCAGCCTTCACGGCTACGCTAGTGAGATGTTACAACATCAGCCTTCGGGATAGCTTAGTCCCAGTATTAATGGCACATCCGCCACATCGACATAACAGTGCACCGAAATGAACCGTCTCGTCCAGGTTCGTTGTGGACGTGGTGTCTGCTCCGAACCGTCTGGGCCATCCGAATCGCTTGACGTCTTGATTGTGCGAATATACCTAGAAGTACCTTAGTTACCTATTTAAATATTAAGAAAAGTATTTACGTGCAGACCTCATTGCATGTACGCAGAATATAATCAATACTAATAATTGTTCGATAATAATTATCGAATTTCGTAGATACGTGTAGAAGTACAGCAAGCAAAATCGAATTAGTTACAGTCTTAAATGCAATTTGCACGAGTACTTACTGTAAGTAAGCACTTATAAAGTTAAAATACCGAATTAGTGCTGTACTACGTTGTATTAAAATTTTCTTGCTTTTATTTAAGTAAATTTTGCCTTGTGCATACAGTATGAGCTGCGATTCAAACCCAAAGAATGCCGAAAATATTCCGTGTCGTTGCAACAAATTATTGATATGCGACAAACTACCATATATATATAGTATATATAGATATATCTATATAAGCTTGTACATATTATTATGCTATAGATATGATACTATAATTTATTCCATTCCAGCATACCGCTCATTATTTACTGTACTAGTACTACGTATGCAACTTGCTACATAACCTAACTTAGTAAGATTTCTGTAAGAATTTTGTATTAATCACTTTGTTGTTAAGTACCGGCGGTGAACAAATAAATAAGTACGGTAAGTAAATGAGTGCAACGATCGAAAAGAGGCTCTTCCACCTTTCGAAAGTACACCGCGTGTCGCGTACGCGACATAAAATGCTTAGCAAAAAAACCGATATTAACCTGGCTGGCTAGCATTTGTAATTGCGTTTGGTACCAGTTTTTTTATACCCAACAAAGCAGCATGAACTGAGCCGAACTCGTCAGGTCAGTCTGGTTGCTAAGTATTAAAAGTTTGCAGTGACTTTGTACGTAGTACTACGAGTCGTACCTACATATAGAGATTGCACAATACCGGAGGAGCACCTACATCAATAATAAGTTAATAACTATTATAATATTAATATTATATTTATAGATAGTGTTCTAATAAGTGTTGTACTTCTACTTAAGCCATTTTAAATTGTGTACTGTAGACCATTGTTTTTTGTGCGTTTAAACTGCTGCCCAAAACCAAAAATAAGAACACGAATGAGAAAACGATTACAAGTGTTCTGTGGCAATCTGTGCTCGCACAGTACAACTCCACAAAAAACAATAATTAGAGAGATGTAATGTACTTCGGGACTGAAAGTACGACGTACACTGCACAGTAAAAATTAGTATTGGTAGACGTATTCTTGGTCCTCTTTCAGAGTTTTAAAAACGGTTTTTGATATTTCGAAGAAGCTTGTTGGAGAATATTATTACCTACTGTACTTCTACTGGACTTTCTTCGAAAGTTACAGCAGGGTATATTCTATCTCTATAATAATAAGAACCTCTGTTACAGGTTACAACTAGCCTAGCGTATTGTATTGGACTCTGGTACACTGTATCACACAAACTTACAATACGTTTTTTAATAGTACTCGTACTGAATCTACTGATGCAATTTTTATGAATGCCAAGTCGCCATGCACGAGATGTTCACGTATTGGGTTTGTGGCATTAATATCGAAAATTTAAGAAGTAAACTGGTAAGCGTCGTTGTGAGCATAAAACCACATAGATAATGCATTAGTTGCATTAATTTAATTACAGTACAGTAATTTTTTAATCCTACTTAGTATTTACACTCTTACAGGTAGGGCTTCTATACAAAGCAATGCCGGTCTGCTGCCCGATCCGACTGGCTTACGTATGCGTACGCGTGCAACCGTGGTCAATGATTTGCCTAATGTTTGGGTTGCTCATTTCTCAACTTGTCCTCGGCTTTGCAACAGGGTTCAAGGTCTTCTAGTTTTGTGCAGTCCATGTGTTTGGTATCAATTGTGTCGAAGAGATGCCAACTGACCATTCATTTATTTACATTATAATGTATTTACTAATTATGAACGCGTAATAACATTTTACAAAACACTTTAGAATGAGTAAGCACAAAAAGAAAGTTAATTGCACGTTTTAATCACAAGAAAGGTTTCTGTTATTAAACAAAACATAAACATTTGACGATTAAAACTTCCTTGCGAAAGGAAATCCAGAATAATTCTTAAGTTCTAACACGTCTAATAACTTCATAAATTCACCGAAAAGGATGAAATGAGCACCGTGCCACATTAAAACACTACAATCTCTGCACATCAAATGCGCTGTTATAGTATTATACAAAACAAAAATCCCCCACAGCCCAAAACCCATTATACACGTCTTTCACTAATTTCCAACTTTTCCATAGCCGTAATAAGAAACAGCGAAAAGATCTGCGTTTACTGCTCCGCTTTAGTAGTGTTCTTTGGCAAAATTTCCTTAAAACTTGGTTCACTTGCGCTAGCAACTTGTCCAATCGACGGAAAATGCCGCTTTCGGATGGTCGACACTGCAGTGCTTACGGATTCTTGCAATTCCCATCGCGATGCTTTAGCGATTCCAGATACTCAGCCTGCGACGCTGCCAAAACCTGCGCAAGCATATCACCATCCTCTTCGTCCCAGTCATTCAAACCTGCAAAGAACAAAATACTAACAGACACCAAAGGAATCACTGAGACGCTAAACCTTTATGCTTATAACACGTGACACATTACTCTGCGCAGCCAAAAAGCATGTAGAAAACGTGGAATAACGATCATCGATATACTGTATACACAAGAATCACCGAAAAACCAATACGAGTACTGTACTCATAAGTAAAATTTACTGTAAGAGTAAGCAGTAATGTGAGGTCGTTTTTCTTCTTTTACCAAATAAAGATGGAGGAAGATCGTTCAGTCGATCCAAGATGTGAGTTTTGCTAGGCGAGTCAATTAGTTTTGGAGATCCTTCTCGATTCGGAATTGATTCTAAATCCAAAACACCAAATTAGTTTATGTGCAGTACATTAACTTTCCAATCTCCAATAAGAGACGCACGACACCAATCTTCGTACTTTCCCCACGACTAGAATCACTTTCCGATAAGGAAGACGTACTTGGACCACTGGTATCACTTCCATTCTACGGGATTCAACGAAGGTAAATTAGTCTATCGATGCAACCAACAAATGGCACAAACATGGGCACTAACATCACAACTCTTTTTTTCGTGATGTTTTAGCCAGTCCAGGTAGGATTCTTGAGCGATTTGCTGCTCAATGGCTTCGTCAGTTGCTTCCCAGTCGGAAGCAAGGAGTTTATCTTGAAGCATTTGCTTTTCGATGACATCCTGTTCAGATTGACCGACAGCTTGCGCCACCAGTCCTTGCTCAGCCAACTGAATAGAAAATACAACTCTTTTGCATTCCACTGTTACGAACTTGTAAACTCAACACACATTCCATAAAACAACCCACCCCCGGCTGCAAATTAGGAAGCCCCAGTCCAACGCCGACGGTGGCGGCGAAAGGATCAATCACACTATTGTAGTGACTCTTCATATGATAACTGACGCGAATCGGAGCGTTTTCCTGCGGATGAGTCCCTTGGAAAACGTTTATAGGATCTAATTGTCAAAAAATAGGTCTGTTAGTGATTACGATAGCGGAATGCCAATTGTAAGCATACCACTACGCACTACACAGTATTACGAACTCAAATTATTTCAGCATCTAAAAATCTAAATCAAGAAAACGACAAATCCTTACCGATATCATACTGATACACTTCAATTCTTCGATTATACACTTCGGACATAGCCTGTATCTCCACGTGATTTCCATGGGCACTTAAGTTTCGCTTCCTTTCAACATACTGTTGGAAATCTTCCGTAATATACTGCGAGAAATAATCCTCGTTTCGTTCCTAGAACACGCAAGTAGAGACACATCCACGGTACTGGAATTTAAAAAAAACCTAACGCGGTACGAAGCCTTGTGTCAACCCTTACCATGTAATCCATGCACTGCCGCCGTACCATATCGTGCATCTCCTGATCTCCATACACCTGGTCAGCTGCGAAAACAAATCCATTTTTTAAACCCCAGAAAAAAGAACAAGTACCTTTCATGATTCATCCCTTACCGACGGCTCGAAATAAGCACGCGCCATCCTCTTTCATGAGTTTGATAACGAACCCTCGTTTTTCTTTTAACAATCTCGCAAAGGCAGCCTCTTTCTAAGCCATAAAACAAGAGAAGTTGGCAGTCGCACTCAACAAAAGCTCATTTAAAGAGAAATCTACAGCAATCTGCAAGCTGACGACTGCTAATCTTGAGATCCGACAAGTGTAGAGTATAACGGGAGTTTGCAAAATGATTTATACATCAGTGTCGTTACTGCGCAAATCGACTGGCGGAAGAAGGGAGCCACACTCCCTAAACTTGGGACTACCATACCTGTGCCCATTCTTCCGCACTTAAACCCTCATAACCGCAGCGCTCATCATCGCTGTTGTGGCCATCATTGTCCGGCAGTTTATCGGGAGAAATGGAGAGAAGCGAGGACGAACAATGCTGTATATTTCCTTGACTACCATCACTTTCTGTGTCGTTCTCCTCGTCGTCCGAATAAACTTTCTGCTTCTTATTGCGGTTCGCTTTGCTAATGTAGTGCGCGGGAGGCGCTGTGGAAATCGGAACTTGATCTCCCAGTCTAGGATTACCCACGTTGTGCGTGTTTATTTGAAATAAATTATTGCCAATGAACGAAGGAAATTAAACCGAAAATAGGAATTACCTGTGAATGCTGGATGAGCGCGACGGACCTGGAAGGGGTGACGAAGAGAAAGAGTTTAGCACGGTATTCAGTGTTCCAGGATTCTGGGCACTTGTAACGGCGTCTTGAAGGAGACTATAGGGAAGAGATCCTTGAATGGTCTGTTGATTCAAATTACCCGCGGACGCATGATGACCCCGGGATGTGCTGGCGCGATCCTCGTTTCTCTCTTTCGGGATCTTTTTCTTTGGAAGAATAGTCATCGTGGCGGTCGTGTGTCTCTGTATGGATCCAACGTTTTGAAGTCTCGAATACAGAGCTGAAGAAAAAACTCACATGGTAGGATCGTGAAATTCACGTGGATAATAAAATTCAGAAAACAGTGTTCATCTAATGACTAATATTCTGATAATAATGTTTTTAGTCTTCAAATAAACTCATGGTTGCTACTTGCTAGCTTGTTCTGCCAATAACAGCAACATAAGGGCTGCGTGAAATAAAATGTCAATTCAAAGCTTCAGTCACCACTCACCAGTGTTTCGTAATGCAGGGATGCAAGGATAACAATCATCATACTGATCATACGAGTACGTACGACGGTACGAGTACCGCATGGCTTCGTGAACTTGCAGTCACGTGGGAAATGTTGCAGACTTATTACAAAAGCATATTAATTTTTAAGAAAACCCATGTGACTTTTCTCTGACCACATTATAGAATACAAATCATGTGGTACGCCAGCAAAACGAAGTTAAACGGTACTTATTGAAATTTACGATTAGAAAAAGTGAAAAACGTAAACAAACGGTGTGCAACCGTGTGTTTGGTTCATTTGTCGAAGAGATGCCATCTGTCGAAGTCTGATAACTTTAATGAGTTTAATGCCAAATTAATGGGTTTGAATATGTAGTTTAAGTAAATTCCTTTTTTATTTTACTGCGACAATTTTGCTGTATTGTTAAGCGCTTTTACCAAATAATTTGGCTATTTTTTGTGTGCTTTTTATTGGTAATGGTAGGGATCGAAGCTCATGGAATTATCTTAATTCCAGTTTCTAACGAATACTAACACGTTTTCGTCAAAACGTTTGGGACTTCGGGCCTTTCCTTCTACATAGTGTTTACAGCTTGAATTATTGTCGAATTCTGTAATTGCACAAGTGAGTTCTTATACAACAACTAAAATGAATTCAGAATCGTATAAATTTTGTGCACATTTGATTCCGGAAAATTACGTTAACCAAGGTCGGAACAGCCGCTCGGCCGCAGAAAATGCTACCAACCAATTGCTTGAAAAAGTAAGTAACTTTTTCGCGTAAGTTCATTGATTCAAAAGCACGATTTGTGTGTCTGAGCAGAGAAGAATACCAGAGGAGGGTCTGGATGATTATTTGATTGAGCGTATTTTGCACGATTTATCCGAGATGGACTCGAACAATTTCCCCACCAACGCTGGAGCCGGAGAGCGCGAAGGCCGCGTATTCAGCAGTCTGGTGCGCAAGCGTCACTACCGTTTTATCCATGGCATCGGTCGATCGGGAGAGCTGACCGCCGTACAGCCCAAAGCGGCCGGCTCCTCCGTTCTGGCCGTGTTGACCAACGAGTTGGCTCTGCACGCTCTGCGAATTGCGGGAGCGCTGCACGTCCAGGACTGCTTCGTTGTACCGATGGCGACGGGAATGACTCTCTGTTTGACTTTCCTAGAATTACGTAAGCAGCGTCCGCGCGCGAAGTACATAATCTGGCCGCGAGTGGATCAGAAGTCTTGTTTTAAAAGTATGCTGACCGCGGGATTTGACGTTGTCGTTGTGGAAAATGTTTTGCGTGGAGATGAGCTGCAGACTGATGTGAGCAGTATTCAGGAGAAAATCGAGGAGCTTGGAGCGGAGAATATTCTCTGTGTGCACTGTACGACAAGTTGTTTCGCTCCCCGGGCGCCTGATGAGTAAGCGGTTCGCCAGTTGTTCTTATGGTAATTACCCTCGTAACTTACACGAAATTTTTATTTATTCTTGAAAAGTAGTTCAAGCAGTTCCTTTTTTTTGAAACCTGTATGATGCAGTAAGAATTTGTACTGTTTTCAGTTGCTAATTTTGGTGGAATTTTCTAATATGAACTAAATATGAACTAATTTTCTAATATGAACTGTATCTACTTGGTGTGTGTTTTGCAGCAGAACACACACGATACAGTTTATCGTGTCGTGCAGCAAAACTTTTGCTGCACGAAATTTGAGTATTTTTTAGTTTTTTACCGGCACGATATTAAACATTTATCCCATTCTTCCTGCAGTTTGCCAGCAGTCTCCAGGATTTGTAAGGAGCATGGTATACCACTGATTGTGAACAATGCATACGGAACGCAGTCGTCCAAATGCATGCATTTAATTAAAGAGGCTGCTCGTGTGGGGCGGCTGGATGCATTTGTGCAAAGTCTGGACAAAAATTATATGCTGCCGGTCGGGGGATCTGTTTTTGCTTCATATGATCGAACATTTTCGCAAAACGTTAGCCGACTTTATCCGGGTAAGCTTGCATAGCGCGAGAGATTTTTGTATTTCTTACACGCTGGAAGAAACGCGATGTACGGGACCATTTTTAGGCCGCGCATCAATGTCTCCGTCAATGGATCTGTTCATGACCCTGAGTTCCATGGGAATTTCTGGCTATAAAAAGCTGCTTGCTGAGCGGAAGGAAATGTTTTCATACCTAAAGGAACGTTTAAAAACGTTTGCGGAAAATTTCGGCGAACGACTCTTGCATACGCCTAATAATCAAATTTCTTTGGGTAAGCGTAATTATTCTTCGCAAGAGCGCGTTTCTCCTCTTCTTTACATAAGTACAGTGTGTGGCGAACAGCTGGCAAAATTGTTCGAAACTAAATTTAAGCACAATGTTGTTTTTCTTGCAGGAATGACTTTGTCTACGTTGGAAACCAAAAAATGCACGCTTCTGGGTGCAATGCTGTTTACAAGAAATGTTTCTGGAGCTCGGTAATTACCTGGCTCTTAATACCATTTCTGTCCAGAAGATGTGATTAGGAATTTTAACTGTACAGGGTGTTGGTCCCTGATTCTGTCCAAAAAATTGAAGGCTATGAATTTGTTGGATTCGGAGCCCACTACCAGAATTATCCCGCCCCTTATTTAACCTTGGCTGCAGCAATTGGATTGCGAAAAGAAGAAATTGATTTAGTGCTGCATCGTTTAGAGAAATGTTTAAAACAACTGGCTTCTACTGTTAGACAAGAATCTTCATGAATAGCGTTTGATTGTTTGTTTTTTATAGAACTCTCTTTTGTAACTTTTACATCACTGCGCGTGACTGAGTCCACATAAAAGGTCTTATATTTATATGTATTTTTGGCATCCGGTCCTATATCACATATCTTTTCAAATAGTTTCAATTAACAATGTATCAAACGCTAGACGATGAACAAACAGGTACGAAGAATTTTGACATGTATGTCTCGTAATTTAAGGGATTTGAAAAATTCTATAAATGTTTCTTCGGTAAATCAAAAAGATTTCAGATGTACATTTCATAATTAAGTAATAAATTTGGCGGCATTTCTTTGATTGTGCATTTTCTCAAATTCCATGTCCAGCCAATGGTAACTCGCCAGCCTTGGCTGGACATATGGTCGGTCCACAAAATTTATATGGTAAGGTAAGGTGGCAGCCTCTCGGGTTTTGATATAAACTGCTCTGCAATTGTGACGTGAAGTTTTCTCCAAATGTTGCGAGCAGGCAACTGTTACCGAGCATGTTGGTGTAGTACAGTTTTCGGGACACATACAATCATCAGTAGACGAACGTCTTTACTAATTATAGTAGCACCTTTTTGTGCACTTCACATGGTCTGCTGTGTTTGTTCTTGTCTTCTCGAGATAACTATCTATCGTAATGCTGTTGTAAAATTATCATTTACGTAGCAAATTTTTCGTTCTAAAATACAGCAAGTAATATCTATATAATATGTATGTGTCAAGAGGCAAAAGCCGCAGAAATACTTTGGCTTTTCCGGCTACAGTAAGGAAAAATAATGAACAAATTTGTATTCCGTTGATTACATTTTTCGATCCACCACCGAGTAAGAGTAGTGTTATAATTATATTCAGAACCAGCTTTAATTAAATTTTAAACTTTAGCATGTGTATTGTACTACGTGTGGCCCAAATGGCTTCAGTTTCTTGAGATACATGATACTTGTAGAATTGTACTGCACCTCTGTAAGCGAATAACATTTTCAATAATCGGATCAGTAAACGCAGCGTCCACTCATGGTGCAATTGAAAACAGCACGTAAGGCACACGCCTAACGGATCCCGTTACTTCCAAAGGCCAAAGACATAGAGGTACTGAGGTAAGTACTAATGATAATGCGCCGTAACTTGTAAGTTATAAATATTGGACTTAAACAAAATTTCCTTCCGTTATACAAATTATCCTTGACGACGTTGAAATTTAAGGTGGATTCAGCAAGTAAAGCAGCACGTCGGACAAGTGCCAATTGACGTGCAGCACAAAGAAATACTGCGCTACCCACGCCTTTTAATACGGGTTACATTACAACGGACATACGCGCATCATGGATGCTAGAATCAACTGCAAAATTATTTAATCTTTGTTGTTACATTTGATTAGATGTACAGTACATGTGTGATGTGAGCAACATGTTGAAACTACACTGCTTTAATTTATAAGAAGACAGTAATTTTAGACAAATTAACGAGCTTTGCCAGCTTTGCCTGCTTTGCCACTGTTAGAATTGGAAATGACCTTTCATTAAATTCATTTGCTCGATTTCAGTGATTGCGCCCACCTAAATTATACTCCCGGAAGCCTGTGTAGGTAATAAAACTCTGTATAAATCTTACTATACTAATTTTGATTGCAGATCTGCATCAAACGACGACAAAGTAAAAGAAAGTACCATGCACGGGTATACGAAAAAAGTTGTCGATAATACATGTACAAGTATAACCTGCCACGAAATCGGGAATTGTTGTAAGCATGCGCACTCTGCAACAAAGCATCTCAGTATGCGTTATTTGCAAAAATACCAAGATCCCGAAAACTGGTCTCCACGTGTCGAATTTACAAGCATAATGTATATTTTAAGCGGCTGTAAAATTGCGGAAAATGCGTAAAACTTTCTTTGATGTGAATCACAAAGGTACGGCATACACACTAGAGTAAGTACAGTAATGCATATGTGCAACTATGCCAGATCAGGCCACAAAAAGCGCTAGATGCCGGAAGGGAAACCTTTAAATGGATTTATAACTGCAAGTCTGTATGTGATCGTTCTTTTGCTTGCGGTCGAATTACAATTTGTGCTATCTTGAAGAAAATCTGACGTTTACGGAAAGTAACTTCCTCAGAATATCACATCATTTATCATGCAAAAACAAGATCAATAGACAGTAGTACAACAATTCAAAAGCTTCTCGAATGGGTTATGACGCGTGTGCCTTTGCCGTTTACCGGCAAGTCGGCACCATCCTTTTGTGCTGCATCTGCGCAGTGTACAACGCTATGAGCCTATGCGCTATGGATGCCGGTGTACTACGTTGTGCAAGTTGTAGACTGTAGACTATTGGCTGTTTCTGGTGGATAACCAAGTTGACAGAAATCTGCACCCGCATGACAGCTATGTTGGCAGTTGCTACATTTAACGTACAGCCTCTGCTAAATACCAATATGATCATGAGTTGAAAATCTTTCCAACATAGCGAACATACAGTACAAATGCGAACGTACGGCGTGTCAAATGCAGTGTGCATCGCTGTTTCCTATAAGTCGAAGACGGCGAAATGATGATATATGTACGTCGTCTGTGAGAGAGGAGAAATAGCTGCTGCTCTCGAAATTCTTTCGCTCGACAGACTTGGACAGATATTAAAAATATTACACACCGTTGTGAAGAAGTTATAGCGGGGATTTGAGAAGTGTTATAGCTGCGCGCGCCGGGATGATGACTTGACCGCGCAGTAAATGCTTGCAGAGCTGTATTTAAATATTTGCGGTTAGCCTGTAGCCTGTTATCTTACCCCTGACGATTGTGTCTGCTTCATCTTATCAATTTATCCAATTTATCAGCGTGATTTATTGGTGAAAGAAAAGAGTATCAGACATCCTGCTCCCTGATTGGCCGACTATCACTACTATCATCAATACTGGTTGTTCATTCGGCACACAAGAGTGTATTGCTGAGATTTTTCTTGTACATTTCTCTCTTCGCTGGTTATCGGGACACACAACTCTCCGCTTTGCACTAACCTGGCGTACAAATCGGAAGCATTTCTTGTTTATGGCAATAGAACAGTATAACGAGTGAATTTATGGTTATACTCTGCGTATATCGTTTTGAAGTTCTAATTTACATGACGGCTGCACGTCAACGTAGTTCATGATTGACGGCAGCGTCGTGACGAGCCGTGCATGTGCGCCTGCCAGTGTTTTTGGAAGGCCAACACTAGCGCATATATTCCTCTTAGTAGATATTTTTTGTTGATTAATTCTCCAACTGGCGGTTGGAGACAGGCAAGTTAATTTATTTGTATTCTCGGAGCGGAAATCATGTATCATTATGACACTGATCCACTGCATCATCAGACACCGGTTTATGGAAATTCGGTAGTAACATCCGCCGTAGCAGACAGGCATGTGGCAGCCGGCATGTACGGTGCCGCTGCTGCGGGAGTAAGTGGCTACAATTCCCCGCCAGGACTAGCAAATGCCCAGCCACAATATGCCGTTACCAATAACCATTGTCCGCAGTCGGCTACTGTGGATGCTCATAAACGCGATAAGGATGCCATTTATAGGTAATTATAATTCCACACAAAACGTAATCAACTATATGAATTCATACAATATATCATAAATCAATGAACTTCGCAAGGTACAATTCCAAGTTTTCAACTGTTAAGACTCCAATACATATTGGAGTATTGATAAATCTGGCAATAGTCAGGTCCACTTCATTCAGCATGGTAGAAAAAATTTGAAATTTACCCTCCTATTAATTGCAGTCATCCACTTTTTCCGCTGTTAACAATGATCTTTGAAAAATGCGAGTTGGCTACTTGTACACCGCGAGATTCAACAGTAGCGGGCGGTGATGTGTGTTCATCGGAATCGTTTAACGAGGATATCGCCACGTTTGCCAAACATGTAAGTGAAAAAAATGGTTTCTGTGTCGGCCGGTCGCGAAAACAAGACTAGTGGTTGGTTGTTTGTGCATGCTGCTTATAAATCCAAGATAAGGCCTTGTATTTTTACTTCGAATGCGTATGGTACAAAAAATCTTTGTTTCGCTTTAGAAAGCGGCACATTGCTGAGGTTTTCTAGTGGATTAATTATTTCTCATTACATTAGCAAGAATAACCGTAACTTCTCCAAATAATCAGCCTGACGTTCTTTGCAAAATATTTCATTCCAGTTTTAATCATGGCGTTATACACTTTCCGTATTGCACAAATACTAGTAATGTTTAGCAACAAAAGAAAGTGCTTATGCAGTGTGCATATCGACATCGCGTGTGAATCAAAATCTCCCTATATGAAATAGGAAAAATATCTAGTTGATTTTTATTTTCCGTCCGCAAATTATTATATTTTTAATCGTGATCTGCTCACATTTGTAATGCGACAGCATTCGCGCAAAGGAAATAACGATTACTATTCTCCATCGCAAATTAAAGCTATTGCAAAGCCCTTAGGCTGCATATACCGAACATTTGGAATTAATTTTTTTCCGGACAGTGAACTGCGAACAGTCGTATTGTGTCTGGGATGCTACAAAGTTTTGTAACTGAATAATTCAGTTAGCATGACAAAATGGACAAACTGTGTCATATATTTTTCGGCCATCGTTACAAAAACTGCATTTTACGTCTCGCTAGGGAGTTATATCTTTGGACAAAGGTAGCTTCATGATCCTCGTAATGGTCGTGCTGTCAACCTGTAATCTGCTATATGATATACGAACGGCAATAAAACCATTTTAACGATGCTTAGACAAATAAGCGAAGTTTGCATAAACGGTTCACGCTGTATGCGTATCGAATTTTGTTCTCATTATAATCAATCCTGAGCAATATACAGATGCAGCAGACTTTCAAATTGACCTTAACAACTGTGCTATATGCACCGTAACATTTCAACGGCACCGGTATAATAAGCAGCAGGTTTTTTTAGAAAGAAGTGCATCACATTTCTCCGACAAAACATTTTTCTGCATGATGTAAACACAATCAGATGTAAATTGATGTTGCTGTTTGCCACAAAATAACATTTTTAATTTATCTATTTGCCTAAGATTATTCACTTGAATATATTATTTTTGAACAGGCTGAGTGACAATTGTAGCGAAGAGAGCAGACACTTTAATTGTAAACTTTAGCGTAAAACGCTATCTTGATTTTGACTTATTGAATTGTTGTGAGACAGCAAGGTGTTGGAGTTATTGACATAAGTAAAGAATTGAAGGGGTATTATCGTATTTCTGGTGAAGGCGGCTATGTGCATGCGCAGAAATATATACGATCCATGGCGCGTTGTTGAAGATCGTATAATGTATGGATGACTAACTATGAAAAGCTTCTTTTGTTCTTTTGTATATATGGTCAAGCGGGGATACTTTCAGATCAGGTTCGCAGCCGCAAAAGGTTTCTGTCCTTGTGCGCATTGCAAACGACATTATGGAATAGCTGTGTGTAGATATCTTTGAGACTTCATTGAATGGGATTAATCTTACCTAGAGGCGTTTAGGCTATCGCGCTTTGTGTACAACGAAAGAAGTCAACATTTGGCTTTCTTCTACAATATACACAATAACACAATATTCGTTAGATCTCCAGCTTTATATTGTTATTATTCCCATTCAACACGGAGTTTCGCACTGTTCTTGTTATTGCATGGTAAATGATTTTGCTGATTTCCTCCAGCTGCAGCGCAAAACTACAAACACAGTTGAATAAAAATAAAAAATTTCATGAACCGCTTATTGCGTCTTACGTTTTCGGCTCCGGTTTTAGTTTTTATGGACGATGCGGTAGTTGAAACTGAAAGCACTGCAAACAATTTATTTTAACTAATGCATTTCTACTGGCATGCTTCTTCCGATTGATGATTCCGACAAACACTAATAATTTTGCTTGTTGCAAACTCTTTTTCCGCGAGCAAGACTGATATTTATGTATTTTATGGCATAATGTAATTTTCATCAAATCTTCCTTCAGTGCACCTTTTGACTGTTGGCAGTTATTTTATGGCTTCGATGAATATATGCGATATCGATCATTTGTGCATTTCAGTTACGTTCGGACAACTGCAAAGCATCCTTTTTCAACTCAACGGACGAACTGGATAATTTGGTAAGTTTAAAGCTAGAAAATCGGTGATCAGAGGGAATGCCGGCAATCTATGTACGTAGCCAGTGCGCCGGTAAAAGATTTATGGAGTATCACCCAGGAGCATCAACTTCATTTACTGCCATGTCACATCAAATCGACCCGGAAGTACTAGTTAAGCGCTAGTTTTGCTGAGCATTCAGTTATCCACACTTACCTGTCGATATTGCTGGAAACGATTGACTTTAGTCAGGTTCTAATTAAAAAACAAATAACGGATGCATGTGGGACAAAAGGTCATAACAAACCGTTATCTACCAGAAATTTTTAATAATTAAACTTGTCATTATGGAAAACTGTCAAACATTTACCGGAGAGCATAAATGCCTTGTAATCATAACTGTAACCGCTTAAGAATTTTGTCAGTTGAGGACGTGGTGTTAGGTAAACGATTCATCAAGCTTGTGTTTGTTATTGGAACGCGGGCATATCCTTATTACTATCGCGTAGACGTTCGGCATCTGTCTTAATTAAGAGATGCGTATCTATTTTTCTTGGCGCGTCCTGATAGTAACCTTTCATTCATCGCGCGCCTTTGAATGGCAGCGTGCACAAAAAGAGGCGTCTCGTTGTCCATTTTGTGGCTAGCCTGTTATAATTCAGTTAATTCTCAGTGTGGACGGTCTGTATTGGCAGCTATGCGCTAAGTGATACTGGTAAATTTACGGGAAAGCGGAGGTAATCTGCTCTGGGCAGAAAAAGACTGACCAGCAGTTACTCCAGAGTTAGCGCAGAGGGAAGTAGATGATGATCTTATAATTACTGTCTGTAAGCAGCGCTTTATGTATCCGTCCAGTACAGGGCACTAAATTATTTGTCCAACGAAACAAAGCCCACAGAGCGTTTAAGTTCTTGATTGAAAGAGTTAATGCCCCTGACATAGTCCATAAAGCCATAGTCGAACATCCGCGCTGCCTTGTCGGATCTAGCGCCGCTGATGTTGCTACCGCCAGCCTTCTGTTCGGATATTACTTGTTCGTGTCGTGTCCCTTCACAGTTCATGCAGTCTGGAATCTGCACTGCTAGGAAGCTATCCAGAAGTTTCTAGAAAGCCAAAGAAATAAATACTGCACATCGAAGCAACCTGAAATGCTTAATTAGTGAGTTCATCTATTCAGGTTCAAGGGAAGAGTCTTACACGAGTCGTGATTCAAATTTTTATTACTTGCTTCACTCTGCAGTATATAAACTAAACCCAAGAGTTTAAATAACAACCGTAGTTTAGATGGAGAATTTTCTTCAAGCGTTGAGAAAAGTCCTACACCATGCATGCACATCATGCACCAGGAGTAAACCTGCACGAAACGATTGACCTTCCGAAATCAACTGAAACCTGTGCCACATAAATTGGTGTAATTTTGCAGGCAGTTGGTTAAAATAATGAGATCTCAATCGCATAGAATGCATAACTGAGGTTTTGTACTTTTTAAAAACCTTAAAAATAAAAATGTTGTATTCTCGCCGTAAACGCTACAAAGTCCATTGGAAATCGTACCGGGTACTTCTGCCGCAGTAATTAACATGTTCATGATTATTGTTAAAAGTATAAAATGGTATGCGTGATTATTGAATATACATAATTTACTCATGCCATACTGCAATCAAACTCGGGAAAGCGAGCACAGCTAAGCTTGACTGGTTATGAGCAAAAGTTTGGCATGTGTTGATGTGGAGAAAACGCCACTAAACTGACACTTCTCACACTCTCCCTATTGTCCCATATGTCACGATATGCCGTTTTCATTTCGATTATAAGCAATGCCGTCATTAATGTCGTTTTCTTCGTGTGTACATATAACTAACGTAAACTTCGCAACTTTTCCAGATGATTCAATCTATTCAAGTGCTCCGTTTCCATTTACTGGAACTAGAAAAGGTAAGCTCACAAACCAATTACTTTCCATAATTGCCGCTAGGTTTGGCTACAATCTAGCACTCGCGCTGCCCTAACTGCAGTTTAATCACTGTACTACAGCATTGTACCTTTAGCATTGGCTCAAGTCTAAACTGTATTATACAATGTAAAAATACAATGACTGTTTTTTATATTAATATTTCGGGTATTATAACCCGATTTTAAATTTAACCGGAAAAACCAGATTTTGGCCTAATTAGTCATTATCAACCTATTGTAAGAATAGACGCCATTTCAAGCACAAATGACTCTGAAAAATGTTCTGGTTACCAAAAAATCCGAAAGGTCGTTAAATTTATGTATTAATTCTCGTATGGATGATATCGCACCGTAAACTGATGATGCGTGCAGTGAGCGACTGACATTACAGAATCTGCAAAACGAATAACCAATTCGCATAGGCAGTTTGTTGGGATAGCTAACCATAAGAGAATGTTTACGAATATTTCGGCTAAGCCTTTATTCTACTTTAAATAAAGCACTGTTCCGACATGGAGTTTCGTGAGGAATGCATAATATGAGCTTGTGTAATTAAGTTTACTGGGAAAGTCTATATGGTCTACGAGAAAGTGTATATTAGAATCAGGCTGTTGTACACACGCACATATGCCGTCAAGTACATTACTCGTAGTATCCCAAGTATGCCGTGGAAAATATGGTAGAAAATATGTAGCGGCTTTGAGGCGAAAGCTAGTTAGAGCGGCAAGTAGAGCGTAACCGATGAATCTTGCATATGCCACGCAAAGGACAAGTTAAATGCGGTCTCACTAAGCAGTAGTGAATATTTAAACCTTGAAACAACAATCTTCAAGCTGTGTGCGCCAGTCCGATCATGAATTTACCTTTACTGTATCCATGCCTGGAAAATTAAACAAAATCAAAGCGCAGATCAAAATTTCTCAGCTGAAAATCATCGGACATATACATAGCTTACTGTGTGTATTTTGCATAGTAAGATTAGAGCAGTTTCATGCCGTGCCGCACTCTCTGGTATTTGAAGTACAGCGGTAATCTTTGATATGACCCTCTGGGGTGCGACGTTAGTAGAGTGGATAGTGTTGTGGGTATTGTGCAGACTGTCTTGCCCGCCATACGTCACTGCCTGTTATAAGAGAGCCGGAGTTTGTTTGTGTATAATTCTACATAAGCTCCTTTTCACATGCGATGCAGATAGACTTATAATTGGCCACTACAGTAAACATTCTTGACTTTTCCCCTTCAAGATTAAACTCAACGTGCCGGCTGGTCAAGTTAATACTGTTTGCCGTATCGCACCGCCATGACTACTCATCGCTGCCTTAAAAACTTTGTTTTTATAAAAGAGAGTTGAATTTTGAAAGACGATAAATAATGGAAATATAAGCGAAAGAACAAAATGATGGACGCCGACTTTTTTATTATTACAACAGATCAATAATCTCAAATTAGCGCTGCAGTTTGTCTGCTGCTATTTTTTCAAAACTTCTGAATTACATGCAGAAATACCGGCTTATTTGAGGTGTTCCCTTATTATTTGATACTATTACTGTAATATCAGACAATTTTTATAAGCTAGCAGGGCTTTGTTTGGGACTGGGGTGCATTGATCAAAAGCTCCGTGTCGCATGGGCAAAAAAGAGTTACACTGCAAAAAGGTCACTGGGTAGTGGGTATGTTCGCAAAATTAGTGAAAATTGTTTCGCGGCTCATTGTGGTAAATTCAAAGCAATAGCGACGGCTTTCATATTCACAGACCCTCAGTGCCTAGTGCATCGAAATGCTTTGGCACAAAACACAAGCTTTAGCTCGCAAGTGGTAATGGAAACTTGCGTGCTTTATGGAAAATGATACTTTAAATTTAACTGCTGTGATCAATCTTCTTAAAAGTGTACTTATACGAACAGTTTGCAATGTTTGTATGGCGACTGTGTTTACTGTGTGGCGTAAGTAGGCGAAATTACGTTCCTGTGTTTACTTGAATATCTCCATTGCTTGTATGCTCTGAAATGTCTGGTGTGAACGAAAACTTCCAGATGTATCCGCGTCGTCTGTGTAGCCTTTTAACCCGGATAATCTCCTTAATGCAAAAGATTCTCACTTTGCACTTTTCAGTGAAATCTTGTAATTTAAATTTTGGCGTCTCTCGGCTCAGAAATGGGATTTACAACAGCTATGATGCATTGATTCAGGTGGTTGGTGACAACTAATAACTGAAAACTAAACACAGTCATTATAAAAAAATCAACTACATCTGGATTGTTTTGTAGATAACTGCTAAATCACCTATATGGCAGTGTTTTTTGTATTTAATACACAAATTACAGCGAAGTACGGATGTGTACGGACACCGTAATCGTAAGGCAGAATGATATCGTTATCAATGATTAATGTGAGTATCATTTTGTAGGTCCATGAGTTGTGTGACAATTTTTGTACACGTTATATCGGCTGCTTGAAAGGCAAAATGCCTATTGACTTGGTGATCGACGACCACGATGGGGGCACGCCGACTCCATCACGAGCCAACAGTAATGACGGGGTCAGCTCCGATGGTGAAGGGGAAAGTAACGGTGCCTTTTCGGAAAATGCTAATTTACCTGACAATCATCACGCCACAACAGGAACCACCTCCGCTGCCACATTACCTCATCATATGCCGGCCGTATCGTCAGCCGGTAGCGGTGTAATGCAGTCGTCGCCCGGTGTCGGATTGCTGGGTGTCAGCAGTAACAATATTAATGGTCAACGCATGACCCATCATCCGGGACAAATCGCTGGCAATCATGATCGTCAGAACGAGCAGGTAAAACACATTGCGAGAGCCGTTTAAAAAGAAAGTATATGTGTTACCAATGTTATATATCGTCAAGCGCTGAGAAAGCTGTTCATGTGGTACATTTCATGTGGAACTAATTAACATGGGGTGAGAGGCATAGCGGGGAGCCTGCACATTTGTATGCTTGGATTACATTGACCAGACACTTCAAGTGCATGCTACAAACATACCAACAAACTTGTAACATATAATGTGAAACAAAATAATTACATGTTTAATAAACAGTGTGAACGCGCACCGCATCAAATCAGCACGGTTTTGTTCTTTAACGCGCGATGAAGGTCAAAATTTTTTCGAGGTTAGAAAATGCTGTACTGTATGTGGATCACCGCCTGTAAAACTATATTAAAACCGGTAAAGTTTTAGCGTGCTAATGAAATTTTAGTGGGCTAATGTAATTTTTAGTGTGCTAATGAAATTAAAACTGTGGTGTATGCTTTGTTTCACAATATTCATATCTGCAAGCATAGCTATGAAATTAGAACTTTACCAATACCGTGTTGTGCTATACTGCATGCATGATGGCATTATAATGAGTTTGAAATTATTATAACGTTTTGGACTTTGTTGTTGCCATAAATAGTGCAGTCGTGGCGTACGCATTTGCCGCCAGTGCTGCTGTGCATTAGGGTTGATAGTGGCGTTCATAATCCTTCTACACAAATTATTGTGGAACTGGTTGGATTTGCACAAGCGGCCCTCTTATGATGGGATCTTTTGGGTTTGGTTAGCAGATCGAATAGGATGATGATGATGCATCGGAACAAATGCTGCTTACTGATATTGTAGGAGGCTGCGGCTGTGCTGCTGCTGTAAAAGCCATGCATGGCGATGACAGCTGCGCATGACATTTTCTTGCAGTTGCGCTCTCCTAAGCCGAGTAAATTTAAAATCTTACGTAGCTCTCTCATCTCATCTCTCTGAATACATATGGATACGAACGCCGGCCACTCGCCATGGACCACAATTTGCACAAATGCAATCAGACGTTATGAATATTACAAAATATACATATAGATCCTAATTTGAGTGCGGAGTAGTGCAGCCTTCCAATCACACAGATACTAGTGAGTCCACTGAGCCGGAAAGAAGAGATCAGTTAGGACAAGAAAGTAAATCGGGCCTGAATGCGATCATGCGAAATGTAGAGAGGAAGCATGTTTAATGCATAACACACATTAAAATTTCCTTCTCATTACTTTTGTACAATGCGCAGCACTGCGCGGAATAGAATGCGGAAAAGCCGGAGCGCGCGGACGGATGATATCGGGGTGTGTTCCGTGTTTGTGTGCAATGCAAGCTGGCTATCTGGCTCCCTCTGCGTAAGCAAACCCAAGAACATTAGTTAATACATCCGCTATCTGTTCAAGTAGCGGATGTCCTTTTTCTATCGTTACGCATCCATTTTCCCTGGTAATTTCATCAAAGTTAGTATATTAGGGTTAATGTTCTATACTTTAATCTGATTAGAGCATCCTAAACTGGACAAGCATAGGGAGACGGGTAGCAGGGAACTATTTCCAATCGGATTGTAGAGGCACATCCGCTGAAAGAGCAATTCCACAATAATGTGCATTTTACTCTTATTGCCGGCTGCAACGCAAAAACACATCGCGACTCGCGAGCACTTCAGACAGGCCAATTTCCGTGCTATAGCGGTTTTTCTGTAGCTGCTGGAAGAGGCATAACGAACGGCGCACACATTCGCGCTACATGTATACTTCTGTACATGGAGTTGTGTGTAATATTTTGACCGAAAATGGGAATGGGTGGCGATGAAGCACAACTGTATTTTCTATGTGCAGTGGAGTGCACCGATGAACATGCTCACTCAAATTCTAATGCATACACAACATCCCATCATCCTAATAATTATCCATTTCCAGAGCTGTGCTTCTTCAAGTTTTCAGCTAGAGAAAGGAAATATTATTTTCGCTTCATTGCCTTTCTAGTAGCGCACTACATTTGGGATCTGCATATAATTTAACAAGATTAAAATCAGCCGATGCCAGCGGAAGTCTAGAACTGTCCGAATATGCGCATTCGCGGTCGTATGTAGACGTGTGCGGTAAAAGGCTCCGTCTGACCTTTATTACATTTGAAACAAAACAGTAACATAGGTCATAACTATGAACGCACTGTTTACAACTTTCGCTGTTTCTACTATTTTGTGAAGATAGAAACTGCTCTAACCGCTCGCTCATTTGACATATTTGCTTATAAGCATTTGATTTATTTGCCCTGCCAACGCACAAACCACTGAATTTGAATGCTGCAAAATTATAATTTCCAAACACACACGAATTGATCTTTTGACAGTTTTTTCATAATAATGCTATGTTTTCGTTATTGTAGAACGCTTCACCCAGTTCCGTATCGTACAATCACCACGGGAGTGATTCTCAGGCCATGAATGACCCTCAAGGTTCTCCCGTAAACGCCGTGCCACAGCCGGCTGTTAATCACCTCCAGAATCCTTCTCCTCACCCTCATCTCCACAATTCCAACAGTCGACCTATCAGTCAGAGCAATCACGCTTTTGACAATATGAGCGAAACAGGTAAGCCTCGTGCAATGCACATCTTTGCAATGCCATTTCGGCCTCTAGTTTATTATGTCCGATGCCGCATTCGGTGTGCGCGCGAAATCCCCCAACCTCAAAGTTGTAATTTAGAAGCCGTTGGCGCGAGCACACGTACCGTATGCCTGCGCATTAATTCGATTCTGGGTAATTTTTTCGGCTTCTATAACTTGTTTGCTTGCTTACATGACAGTAAATGGCAAGTTAGTTGGCATTTAAGTGGTATGTTCGTGTAGTTCGGTGGTATGAATTTTAACACAGCACAATCGTTAATTACCCCGTTGTGTCTGCCACCAAAAATGTCAACACAAAGGAGCTCGCAATAATATATGAGTGGCGAAAATGCTTGATTTGCCGTGTATTTCCTGCGCGCCTGCATTGCACCGTCGGGTGACTATTGTTTCGTTTTTCGGCGGACATTCAGGTATTTCTTGATGGGCTGGTTACTGCCCAAGGGCGTTGTTGATAGTCTAAACGCTATTACCGCGCTCAAGGTGCAAGCTGTGTCCTTGGAGGTATTTTTTACCGCCACGGTACGGCTAATGGACTTCAATTAATTGCTGCAGTCGTATAAGAGAAAAAGTAACAGAGACTGTGCCAAATTATATTTACAATCGCTATACAACGGATGATGGCCGTGACAGTCAAACTTTGTAGTGGAATTGATGGGTTTATAAGTGAGCTTAAAGCTTGACCTTTAATAAGAAGCAGCAAGAAAAGTGCACAATGTTTCATGTTTGCCGCAGGATTTTAGATTACTTATTTACCATTAATTCTTGGCAAACATGATATGCTTTTCTAAACATTTTAAATGTATATCTAGCATAAAATCAACATTTTTTGTTAGGAATAGTTATACGCGATTTTGGCACTGAGCAAACGGTAGCCTTTAGAAAAAACTATTTTTCACGTCTATAAAACAGTTTTTGTCCGCTTTTATAGATAGAAGCAGGTTGTTTTTGAGGCAGTTTTAAGCTTTTTGTAGCGGAGCGCGGATTGAGAGAATAATTACAGCGGCGACTGCAACTGGCGCTCGTTTGACTGCCTATATGGCTATCTGATAATGTATTTGAGGCTTGACTTTTAATGAAAAGGCTGATCGTTTCCACCAGAGGCGATTTTGCGACCCACAGTTGCGCATAACAATTGCAACGGCGCTTCTTATCGGATCTTGTAATCATCACCTGCTGTTAGTGAACCGGCCGTTTACGCCCCCCTCCGGCTTTAAATACATTTAAAAGGCACAACGTAGTTTTAGAGCATTTTTCCTCTCCGTCTTTCTCAGTCGCTGTTCAACTCCATCTTTGGAATTTTCGAAACTACCGGCCTTTTATTCTTTCCGTGCACACGATCGTTTGGCTAATATAATCATGTCTTTCCTATAAAAATGGAGATATTGCTCACGATAAGAGGCACTGGTCAACCAACTGTGAAACCTGTTCCCAAGCTAAATAATCATAGTGAAAAGGATGCAGGTTGGCAATAACGATCCGACATTGGTGAGATGTGCCTTGAAATCAGTAGTCACTCTTACCGACGATTCGGCACAAATAATGCAATTTTCTTTCCGACCGTCCCTTAATAAAATGATGAGCTCGATAGCATGCCGAGATAGATAGTGCGCCGGCGCAATGCCCCTTAAGCTACAAATTCTTTATCGTTAAAGATTTAAAGATGCTGTCGAATTAACGGTGCGTGGAGATCAACATATTTCCGTTTATGTGCATTGCTGTTGCATTTTCGTTATTCTCGTTCATGCAAAAGCAACCCGATCACAGGCTCATAGGTTATCCAGAAATTGTCACATATGTTGATTTGTCCAGAGAAGAAATTCAATGCGTAGATGTGATATATTTATTATTACAGAAAGCAAATGTGCAGGAAAATCTGACAAATGTTTAGAAAGCAGCGCATAGTTAAACTCATTCGAACAATGCGTATAGGCATTTTTTATTACATAATCCTTTATCAGATTAAAATCTGTTAATAAGCGGTGACATGTATGACATTTAGAAAAGCAACGCTTGCTAGTTTGTCACGTTGTTCCAGGCAGGTATGAAAATAATTGGTCAGCTGTCATAGGTATATATTGTGTCAAAGGAGTGAAGCTTTATTTGGATGAAAATAAGCAGTAAATAGCGTCGTCGATTTGACAGCTATTAACCACTAGCCGATGATAGGAATATATCTCTATGTGCCTCTATGCATGATCGTAAAGGTGTCACAGCTTCAAAATACCGAACTGTCGTGGATGTCAGATCGATTTGACGGGATGACTGCTTACGCGCATACACATATTACACAGTGTGGCTGTTCATACAGATATATTACACGGCCCATCATCAGACGAATAATTATGAACGATGCCTCACTTATCATTATACCTCTCTTGTATGTTTACGTTTTTGATCGTTAATTAAAACGACAAGGTATTTATGAGAGAGTTCGAAAGTATAGTGGAAGTCGCGTTGCTCTGCGTACGTGACAGTTTCTGGTGTGAATCCGCGACAACATTTCCTGTCAGTCGAACGAAAGGACCGCTCCACTCTGTGCGGCAGCGTGTGCAGCGGCGATAATATATTATCCTGTCCAGATTCAAATGGGGCATAGTATGACGCTACACCCAACCTGTAGACAGGAAACTATTAGAGACTGCTGTGCAGTTGATAACAGCCCATACTATTTGGTAGACATTTATACGTAGTGGAAAATCAACGACAGTTTCACGACGTTTTGGGAGTAATCGTTAATTTATGCGGTGACACTTACAGCCAACAGATGACACCTCTACGACAGCCTTGACAGGAAGCGTGTGGATAAAATATGACCACAGCGGTTACATTGTTCCACACGTTCGTATTTGCGTATGGCCAGCACTAAACGATTGATCATTAAGCACAGCGATAAATTGATTGTGCACAATGCAAGCAATATTTCAAAATAATTGTCGCATGCAGCGTGAATAAAAAAATAAAAACCTAAATTTTGGTGATTACAGTGTGTTCGTGATTGTTGGTCGTTTGATAATTCGTAAGTGTCGTAGTCGCAACGTGGATAACAAATTTATTGCAGTTCTACATATATCTCAGCAGATTGGTAACTCATTTGTGACCTTTCACACAATTAGACACATAGCTCGGGTGGCAATTTCATGCGCCAGGTTCTGCTGCAGTGAAGCGCGGTAAATGATATGAGCTGCAACCGTGTGGCGTTGGCTGTCGCATATATATCCGTTCCTTGACTTGTCATCCTAATTGGCCTCCCTCACTGTGAAATGCGGCATTTTTTCAAGTGATCACGAACCAGATCATATTTCGGGTGTCCGATATATAGGGCCATCAAGGCGCGCCATTTGAGAGATAGATACACACTTGGCCTACAGTTTGTATCAATGCCGGCAGCTCCCAGCAGGCTGCACGATATGGGCACCCAAGAGCACAGCATAATCCCGTTCGTGAAAAGGGCCGCATAGACATGACGTCCAAATTGATATGCTTACGCGTTATCCATATCGTGAAATTCATTGGCACAGGAAGATGCTGCATGCATGCGACGTCGACGGCAGAGTTAAGTTTAGCATTTAATGATTTTGTCTGCACTGGGATCTCTTTCTTGAGAACATCATTAAATGGGAACTTTATCCTTGAGAACCTGATGCCAGGCTGTATCTTTTGCTCGTTAGGGCCGTTCAGGGAAATAGATTACCGGATTGTCAGACAGGGATTTATATTTGTGAGGACAATGTGAAACATCTTTTGCGCATTTCGACCGACTAGATTTGCCATCGAACATGGCAATACGTGTTTGTGTAGCTAATTAATCCTGTTAATTTCACAATCGCTACAGCCATCAGGCTGCAAATTTGCCGCTCTTAATTTGTCTGGAAGGTGCCAGATGATCAGAAACGCCATTACTTTCTCGCTCATTAATTGATTGTGAGTTCATGCACACGCAGTTAGCAGCAGTCAATAAGGCAACGTTACCTACACCCACTAATGATTTCCGGTTGCATCTGTACTAAAAGCAAAAGTTCACGATAAAGGTTAAACAATCGCACCTCGCAGTGTTTTGCGATAGTTGCAAAAACGTTTTCGTTCACCGGTTTACTCGAAAACTAATAAACATACAAAAAGCCAAACTTGCCAAATTGTTTGAAATCTAGCTATTTCGATACAGTTGTTCCATTGCCAGCACTTTCATGTTAGCTTCGCGTTTTACATATGTATATAGCATTTGCTAAACGAATCCTATGTTTTGATACTTATACAAACGTGCTAGAGTAGATCGTGAACCAGTAAACTGGATAATTTTCGAAGTTAAAAGCTGCCTTCTTGTCCACATAGCAGCTGTTTCTTTACAGTATTCCCGAAATGAACAGATCAGCATTTGTGCAAAGTTGACTTACTGTAGTGCATAGCATAACTTTTATAGATTTTGTTACTGGGCTTGACGGCTGAAATGAGTGTCATCCATCATTTCCGACTATTTTAAATTTGGACTTTCTCAAATCACATCAGCAGTCTTGCAAAGGACGATGGTGAGAATTTTCTTTTCCTGGTCTCTACAGCCGCGTCTCAACTTATACTAGCTGTGCTACTCTAGACTTGCGCTGCGCATAGCCTGTTTGCCTACGTACAGTACTGGCACAGTTCAAACGTTCTAAGTAGTAAAATTAATAAGTAAATATAAGTGCTGTATAACTGAGCAAATCCGTTAATGTTATTCACTTTCAGTTTTTGTGGTTAGTTGTGTTCGTTGAATGTTATTTGAGCGCACTAACGGTTTGGTTAGTTGTTGTTGTTTTGCAAAATTCAAGAGAAGACCTTAAACTCTTTTTTTACCGAACTTGGTTCTGAATGGTGGAATATAGTATTGTATATTCATTTTAAATATTATTGGATAATTATTTTCAGTGGGAAATATCTGATTTTTTTTGCTAAAGTGTGATGTTCTTTTTGAGTTGGTGTGAATACTAGTAAAATGCAGACTTTTTAGTCAGCTAGACCTCGCGGTACAATCCTGGCAGAGTGAGCATATGGAAATGACCTTGTGAATAAATTTGATCAGTGGTGCGTTCAATATTTTTTCAGCTATATATTATTTCAAAATTTATGTAACTACTATTTAATGCAAAATTACAAATATATATTAAAAAGTCAAACTGCGATTGATTTACTTATTATTTTGGTGTCACTGTCCGCCTCTTGCGATATTTTGCACGTACAGCAGCAGCCCTTTTCCTGTTATGTTTTTGTCAATACAGGATGCAATAAATTTGATGTTTAAAATGGATGTTGGAGATTTCGTCGGGTGCGGTCAGACTTTATCTAATCCTTATCGTTTGGATCAGTCCAGAAAACAACAACCAAATGTCTGAAATCTGTCAGCATCTTTCTGGTGGCTTCTGCAGAGTACCAAAGCATAGGTTCTCTGTTAAAGTGTAACTTTTCTACCAACAGAGATACGGTTTAAAGTATCGGGGTATTCTGTTCACCACAAGATAGGTGCATCTTCATAACGGTACAAAGATGATTTTGCTTACATAAAAATTCTTTCACCATTATGGTTGTGAAATGAATGGATAACTATATAAGTACAATATATATTTTGTCGCCAAACCACTTATTATGCTTTGAGGAATGCATGAATTGGCTATAGCGTGTGCGATATTTTTCCGGAGATCGTGAGTTGTAATGGATTCCATATATCATACCAGCAGAAACCAGCAATTACTGTCATGTAGCGAAAATCCGAAAAGCAACGACCGGCTACCCTAGCACACTCGGCCACGTCGAAATAACACTGAATTCGACAACGCGCGTCCATAATATGTGCACAATATTTTTCCAAAACTAAACTTGAATGCAGCAGAATGTTGTTCGGGAATTCTGCAAGAAATTTTCGTTTGGCGATTGCTAATGAGAGACTGTTTTTGCGTAACCCAGTGCTATGAAGCTGCTGTTTGCGCTCTCTTCTGAAGCGGCAACAGATCGTATGCCCATATACCCGTGTGACCTTTGATACCGGCTACGGCCGCTATCAGTGTGCGCGCCTGCTGAGCAGAATGTTCATGCATATTATTAGTAAGATAAACGGAGATTAATGCTGTAACGCAACCTGCTCGTTAGGGGAAGAGCAGAACGCTGAATGTATGGCCGGGCTGGACTTTAGCTGGGATCCCGGGCGATTAGTCCCTGAGGAGCGGAATTAGTTTGTGCCTATGTGTGTATGCCCTGTGCTGGCAAGTGCACTGGTAGTGTGTGCACGCGCGAAATGAGATAGATTAGGCCGAAGTGGGGAGCGCTGCATATCCTTAGTTATGGGAGCGCGCCGACGGAAGCTTAATCAGCTGGGGATGGGATGTATTTGTCGTACAGGGAAAAGCCATATCCGACCGACCGCTTTTGACCTTGATTTTGTTATGTTTTACTAGGGGATGGTAGCATGTGTTCCGGAGAAAATGCCGATGGCGAGGATGATGATGATGAGCGAAGCAAAAAGCGCCAGAAGAAACGCGGCATTTTTCCTAAAATGGCTACAAACTGCATGAGGGCGTGGCTGTTTCAGCATTTACAGGTTTGTGCAATTTATCAAAGCAGATTTTGGTCAGGTCACGTTGAACAGAAAATTTTATCATTAATCTAGTGCACCCTATCTAGCCCCAACAAAAATAAATACTAAATAGGAAAATGTATGATATTTCGTTCTGGCTAACACATCATGGTACAGAAAATAAAGAAGTTATAATATGTTTTGACATGGATTTGCAGTGATGTGTATAGCCTGGAAACGATTTTCTCTTTACTCGGCCCTAGTATTGACAGATTTATTAACTCAACTATTTCGGTAAACATTGATATTTCCTGCATGAGTCTGGCAGTGTAGAGTGGAGGAAATATGGCTCATTCTGGCAGCAATCATTTGCACATATTTTACCGCAACCACAGACGCGCCATGTGATGTGATTTTAGTATCCTCCACGCGGTCTTTTGCCGCGGAATATGGACCATTAAAATCCACTAACAACTCTATCCAGACCGTAATTATAGTCCATAATGGAAAGAAATTTGTATCTGTTTGCACTGGTATCGTGCTTCTGAAATTTCACCTGGTTCCAGTAAAATTTTCAATTGATTCAATTGCTACCTTAATTATGCATAAGCACTAGGTTTAAAAGTGAATATGGATACCGATAAGTACATAAAGGTTACACTGCACCGAGTACACCTAGCACTGAGTGCATATTTGGTCATCCACAGCTGCATTGAATAATCAGGGTATTATTTCAGCATCCATATCCATCCGAAGAGCAGAAAAAGTCCCTGGCTCAGGACACCGGATTAACGATTCTCCAAGTTAACAACTGGTAAATATACTGTGTACACAGTCAGCGTAAATGGAATGGAATTTAATTCAATAAAATGATAGCTTTGTTGTGAAAGCTGAATAAATCGCACACTGCATATACAGAAGAAATCGTCTTTGGCATTCATTCAGATTGATAATTTCCTAGTAGTTGTGCCGATTGTGCGCATCTATGTTTATGACATGCGCATGAGCAGACAATAGACCTAACGTCTTCAATTAAGGCCGAGGAACACAAGTTGTGTATTATATCGATTAATGAGCAGAACGTGAAGTAATTTAATCAGGAAGCTTTTAGCTCCCGCACCATTAAGCTAAATGCCGTTACGCGTTAACTATTGCCCCATTAGAGCCTTGTGCTGCTTCCGGTGACCTTTCTCTTTTCTGTCCCACGGCACCGGCGCAGCTGCTGCCTGCGCGCAGGCAGCTGTGTGAATGGGGTTGGGTGTACTTTAGTAAATTACACTTGGAGAAAATGGGATATAGTCCCGTTTTCCTCTCTGGCCGTTCGCTTTTGTACAACAGCCGTATTATGTAGGCTGTGTGAATGATCGAATATTTCAGTGCACTGTGCGCGGCAGTGTATAAGTTTTGACGATGTGTGTGAGTGTGACTGTGTTGCTGCTGCAGGTTCATCAATGCCAGACGGAGGATTGTTCAACCGATGATCGATCAATCTAATCGCGCAGGCAAGTCTCCTGTGGTGACTGTTTTCAAGTCGCGCCGGAGAAAGTCTTCCTCAGGTCAATCTCCAGGTCCCTCCCCCGGGCCTCACAGTGCCTACAGTCCCGATCCTTCCGGCCTGATGCAGGGCTATGCGCAGCAGCCGCCGTTAGGAATGGCCGGTGAGTTGGTGTACAAGGATATTTACCCCTACCTGTAGGCTACACTTCCCTGATGATCCCTGGCGAGGGTAAACGACTTCCTCCATGTCAGGCACATGTCAACCTCAATGGGCCGAGGGTGTCAAGTATCAACTTGTGCCACCTGTCCTCGAAAAAATTTACCCACCGATAAGGATTTGGTTTCACCGTAAAAATAACTGGTTGGCGTGAAGAGAATTTGAGAAAACTCGTCAACACAGTTTAATAAAAAAGTAATCACAACGACCGGCGTAGCGCTCGGTATTCGTGCGCGCCAGGAACGTTGGATTTGTGGAAAATGTTTGTTCGTGAAAATTTTGGAAAATGGAATAAACTCGACTACCCAAAATTAAATATGCTTATATTGCTTGCACATCCAATCAGTAATGTTACTTAATATTCTGTGTTTTTCCATTAGGTTATCCTCAAATGCATGATTCCTGGTCAACGCAGAATGCCGCACAGCATCTGTACCACAGCCAAGCGCCGTCATTCTATCCTCCACCGCATCACATGATGATGGCCGCTCATCCCTTTCAAAGCATGCACGGAATGGATCCCAGTCAGTGTATGGATCTTCACGGCTAGAAACCACCACGGTTTCCCGCTAAATCTGGAGCGTTCCTACGCTTGCTGTTCATCATCTGAAAAATTCTAAGGGGGGACGCCCACATCGTCATATGGCTCAGGCAAATGCAGACAGCATTATTGGTGGTGACCACGGATATACACTGTCTATGTTCGTTATAACGTGGTCGGCCTTTCTCTGGAAATAATTATTTGGAAATTACGCTTAGGAAAAAACCCTGTGCAAGACTAAAGGAGAACAGAACTATGTATTTTTATTAGTAGCGGTACTGAATTATGCCGCATTTTTCAAATATGTAGGAAAATCAATAATTCGTGCAGAAAAACGTTGGGTAATGAGAAAAACTAACCTCATCTTGGTCGCAATGCGCAAATGACCGTATAGGATTTTTGTACAATAAAATGTCGCAAAACTGGTGGTTGATTGTTGATGACGAAACACCTTGCAAAAATTTGGACATGCTTAACACGAACAAGAAACAAAACCTTAAAGATGTTAAATGCCACAAACAATGGCGAATCTTCTGAAAGCAGCGCTAAGGACAAGGCCGGTAAGATAGAAGGGAAGGCAATTGAAGTTGAAACGAAAAGCGAATGCTTCCTTCTTACCAGTCACGTAAATGAAACAGACCATAGCGTGGCCGCTTTGTGCCACCGCCGGTGTGCCAAAAAACTTTCTAACAACATCCTTGGCATTGCTAAAAAAATTGCTGAAATGCAGATTCGTTGTGTTTTGGTTGCAGTCACGCTTAAAGATAAACAAAATCATCCCGCATTCGTTGCCGGTTGATATTACCGGCCAGCATTGCAAACAGTAACCGATCAAGTAAAACTTAAAACCATAACTAAACTTTAAACAATAATCTTTACTATAACTTTGAATTAATAGAGGGTGCGTATAATAAACAGGGTGCGAGAAGGAATGTTTACAGGGGTGCTCTAATTTTATACCTTAAACGGGAATTCATCGCGTAGGCAGACAAGCGTTACGATTACTGTTCATAAATAACTTTTTAACGTTAGCAGAAGATGCTGAAGAACTTTATTTGAATTATATGTTTGACAGGACAGCATTCAGCTGGAAAGGTCACTATGATAATTTAGCCGTTCGAATTAAAATAAAGAGAATTGAATTAAATTATGCTCTTTAGAACGCTCTGTACAAGATATATGTTTTAGAATAGTGCTGCCCGTACGAACCAACAGGAACTGAAGTGTGACAAAAAACCTTTGAAAATTTGAACCCGGGTTTTTTGGAATCGTTTGCTTCGGATCTTTTGAATTTTAACATATTAAATTGGTGAGATAAAAAAAATGCAGTTATAACCCACTATTTTTGTCGCTCACGGAAATGATTGTTTTTTAATCTGGTTTTGTCCAATAGTTCGGTAGGTTTGTTGACGGTAAAGGGGCACTTTTGCATGTGCGTACGGATACATACAGCCCTGTTCAGTCAAGCTGGGACAGTTTTTTCAAAAAATTAACACATGTCAGCCGTCATAAAATACTTCCTTATTTAATTTTTTCTTAGTTTCCGTACTATGTATCCGATATCTTTTTCACTTGGAGATTCTACGCTGATACCGCTTTCCCAATAATGGTGAGGTCAAAATTAGGGAACCCAGGGGAGGCTCGACCCACTAAGCGTGGTATTTCTGTTTGAAATTTGCTTACAAATTCTGATGGCTTCGTTGTCCAAAAGCAATAGCTCAGAGCTGTTGATCATTCAATGCTATTGCGGATGATACCATACATCAGCCGATTTCGGCCAAGCCTAAGTGACCTTTGCAGAGTGACTATAAGCACCTTTGAATTGGGGGGTGACATTCCTTGCACGCTTCCGGTGCAGCCACGGGATGCGACGGGTAACCATTTTGCGGCGAAATCGTACTTTCGAAGCCCTAAGCGTAAATAAAAAGTTTTTCACTCGTACAATATACCTGAAACACTCCATTACGAGACACTGTAAGAGCAGTTATACGTATTTTTTGCAACCGCTTTGCTGATTTTTTATTCTGTTCATCCGGCCACCGCATTTCTCCGCCTGGACAGTTTATGTCTGTTCAAACCTCAAAATCAGTTCAAGTGATCCATGCTTTATCCATGGAAAAGATCAGCTTGAAGTTACTTAGGTCTGTGCGCTAGGCAACCGCATTCTTCGGCAGGTACGTCTTAACATACAAGCCTATGGGGAGTGCACATTGTTTCGCGATCAGCCCGAGCAATCGCGCTATAGCTAGATTTTTTTGGTGACCCATAACGGACAGGCTTCGGTTTGCTTAAGAGTTTCCAGAAAATTCTACGTAAAACTAAAATTCCACGTTCCCGGAGGTTCCCAGCGTTTCGACTGCCAGTGGACAGGAGAGGTTTTCCCATCTCTTCCACGAAGGCATATTTGTTCCACTTACTACAGTATTTTCCGCCAGTTGTGCCACGCTGCCGGATTTTTTGAACTTCTCTCTCACATGAGACAGAGGCGACCGTGTCCCAACAATGTACACGTGGCATCCCACACAACCGCTTTAATTATCGTGACGAACCGGAATTAAGGTCTTGCCGTCTCTGCTAGAAAAACCAGGAGCCTCGCTCTGACTCAGGAAGCCCACAGTCTTACGACAATTCGTTAAAGTCAGCGAAAGAAGTTTACGGTTCTATTCTGGAAAGTTGTATGTGGTCAAATATAACAGCTGGCGCAATTTGCATCACAGCATGTACCTGTGCGTGCTACAGGTGCAGTTGGGCACTGCAAAACCGCAGCAAATTAAAACCAACATAAGAAAACTGAATTAGCTTTTTAAAATAGATTACTTAATATGGTTACAAACTGCTAGTATCTTCGGTGTCCTTTGCTTATCGTGCCCTTTTGTGCAGTACTGTCCATGTTTGTGCTCACGCATGACATAATGCAATGGCAGGCCGTATATTTACCCGCCCAGGACAGAGTCGGAAATGCGGATTTACTGATGCAGCCACAAACGTAATGTATGAAGCCACAAAGTGTATCAATAATAAGCAAAAAAAATTCTACTGGTGATGTTGCTTTGGTTTGCACATTTCCGGATCCTAAGTTTCGTACAGCTACCGGCTACCTGTTGTGAACTGCATGATTACAAGTACACCGTCACAGGTCATTTTAACGGGAAGAACCTTCCAGACTTCCAGTTAGTGTTTTCTTCGGAGATACGCAGTGAAACGGAACTTCTAGCGGCACACTGTATGTATACTGTGACAACGAAGTAAAGTAAATTTTTTATTAGGCAAAAGCCATCAAAATAACAAAGAGGTGCATTTGTGTAAAATTAATCGAAATGATAAACACTGAAAAAACAATCAAAATCGCCCGACGCTTTAGAACGCACATTCAAAGTGCACAGACAGCAGCCACAGTGATTTCTTTTTACAACAGGCAAACTTAATCGTTGCTTCAAAAATGCCGTAGAAAGAGGTTCTCGTGTCACGTCGCGAATCTTTTTGCCAACAAAGCGAATACGCTGCGCGAAAGCCGTATCAAATGTACCGAATGTGTCGACTGCCAGGGGATAAAACCAATAACCCATTTCGTCCACGAAAGCGAATATACGACGTTTGCTGTACTCCGCAAGATGCGCAAGATGTGCCACACTTCCGGATGCTTTCGAGCTTGCCCGCACGTTAATAATAGTTCTCAGTGAAAAATATTGTCCCCGACTTCGAAAGAGTTCCACAATTGCGGAGATAACAATTCGCCATTCCAAGCATCCACTGAAAAGGCCGGGCTACATGGGGACGGCGAGAGCACGGTGTCCAGGTCATTGCTCGTGGGAACCAAATTTCGCTCTTTGGAACCAAATTTCCACTTTAGTGTAATATTTCCTTAATAATGGCCACTGGGCAGGCATATTAACGTAACAGTTGTAACACACCCCGCCACCCGCTTTTATATTGCACTTACGCTTTCTGTTGTAGCTGTTTTAATTTAACTTTTTTACCTACATTTTTATTCTCACAATCAGTTGAATTGCTGCGAAACAGGAAGCCGCTAAAGACTTTGAGGCTTTGAAGACTTTGAGGCTTTGACTGTTACCTGAAACCGTATGCGTGCAGCACAATTCCTCAAAACACGGGTACGTTTTCTGAAACTTTCGTTTTCTTTCAAACCTGCTTGCCGTGTCTGAGTTGTTTGTTGCCCTCTGCAGCTTGCATAGATTAGGTATATGACAAAAAAACAAAAAAAAAGCACAAACGCGTTTTGCTGTATTTTTTGTTATCACCCAATGGTAAGCTGCAAATGTGCATGCAGTACTCGTACTCACCATCAAGTAATATTTGTACTCGTACTACGCGACATGCTTGTACATAACATAACCATGAGCACGATGACCGAAATCAAATTCATACTATCGTATTAAGGCATTTTTAAATTCCAGTTTTATTATTTCTTGAAATAAAGTTTAAGTTTCGAAGGCATTCGGCACAGAGCCACGATGAAGGTACGGGTCACCATCAATGGTATACGAACGTCAGCAAAGTACCTCATATGCTTTCGGTCCGAATATTTAGTTTCGAAAAAAATATATGTCCGAAAGTTTCGGACATCGCAGCAGTGATCCATGCGAGTGGAAGCAACAGCTTAACAATTCCAACAGAGCAATACCGCGACCTGAAATACCGAAAGTTGCACGTGACTGTCGCCCTTGGACTTAACGTACAGTACTAGGACCAGAAGTCAGCGCTTGACCACGAAAAACAATAATATTATGTCAAGGGAGCAGGCGGCATAAGACGGATGCTATCTGCGCAGTACTTACCCAGGTTGTCCACCAACCAACTTGAAATCCAACTTGGAAAAGCGAGATACATTTTGGAACAGCATCGGCTTTGGCTAATTTGGATAAACTGTTTGCTGCGAGCACGGACGCTGTCTCTGCTGTATGTTTACTTTATATTGGAAAATTTCTTTATACATATTTGTATTTCAGTAAAGCTGATACTATCCAGTAAATCAATGAAGGTTGTACCGAAAATGTTGCAGATTGTACGAGTTATTTTCGTCGTTACGGAATACGGACTTTGAAAGACATTTTCACAGAAGCTTAACGTTAATAAAGGACTTCAGTAAAATGGTCTAAAATAACAGTAAGGGCAGTAAACCTTTTTATGAATAATAATTTTGCTCCTGTCTGCCATGCCGCCAAATTTAGTTTCAGTTGTGGATGCGGTACAAAGGCTGTGTCCCAAAAATTAAGGCGAAAGGTTGAAGTTGTAGCCTGACACAGGTTTCTGCATGTAGAAATGTCAATCATGCCAATGATGCAATGTGCTTTGTGCGTACACTATCAGGCCCTTTCTTTTAATAGTAAAAATATCGAAACCTTATAAATAGTCTTTACAAAAAAATCTTGTCGAAATGACAGAGAAGTATTTTCCATTTTGTAGTAGACCACATTATTACAGCTCTATTTTTAACGACTGTCATTTTCAACATGATTCGTTACACGCCAGCAAATGGTGGGAAGTGAAACACTGCTAAAAACTGTTCGAGTAACAGCGACTGGTGGATTCATATTTTATACTAATTGTAAGTACTTAGGCCTAGGTCTGAATGTCCAGTTTGGGTATCTTACACCAACCTTTATCCGTAACAACGTTAAAACAAATAAAACTGTAATTTTAAAAATAAATAATAATAATAAAACATGTCAACCAAATTCAAACATAACGGGGGAAATCCAGTAAAATACAGCAAGAAAGCAAAAATGGATTGCATAAAAAGGGAATCCAACAGAACGAGCCCAAACACGACGAGAAGGAAACACCGGTTGGAAAGATAATTCGATTCCACGTTCCTGGATGAGTGGGATGAAGAAGCCGGGAATATTGTGATGCGAAAATATATGTTATCTTCCTTTAGCACATTAAGCTAACGCTAATAAAATCAATTAGCAAAGAGCAACATTTTCCTGCTTTTTGTTCCCTTATTGACCGGCATGATTGTTGAAAAGAACCAGCAGTGGGAATCTTTTCCATGGTGTTGGCAGTAAGGAAGGTACAAATTACAATTCCGTTGTTTCCAGTAAGTGACTTTGTCCGAAGACTCTCTCCAGCTGATGACGATATCGATCAATATTGCGTTTCATTATCTCCACACACGGACCCAGAAGCCGTTCAAATGCCTTGACATCCAGGAATGCAACCTTACATTCCCCTGTAAAATCACAGGATAACAGTCAGCGCACGAAGAAATTAATCACATACCACGCACAGACCGAAGACAGGCACAGTCGGCGCGCACAAATTACAACATACCATTGGCTACGACAGTGGCAGCTCGCGGTCGTTGTGTAATCAGAGCCTATCCATCGAGAAAAACACGAAATCAATCATAAGAAGGACTCCAAGCGGAAAAGGTTAAAATTGCTATACATTACACTGCCTACACAGGCCAATGCATTACTTGCACATACCAATTCACCGAAATACTGGCCGTCAGTGAGCCGGTCGATTTCCTTCTCCACACCTTCCTCACTGCGTGTCACCACCACTTCGCCGCTCTCAATAAAATACATTCCATCCGCAAAATCACCTAAAAATAATCCAAATTAGTCTAGCATTACGTTAGCCCTGGCACAGCGACTTTAAGCCCGATTTGCTCTTCTATGATGTTATTATAACGGCCCAATCAAGGACAAGGTCTGTAATCCTGGCAGTACTGGGACCAATCTCCAATTATCTGTGAGTATGGTCCTCCTTTCTTATTCGGCCGCCACATATTATTAATGAGTGATTGAGTGTAAAGGTATATACATATTTTTAGAATCCAGCTTAAAGCACTTTAATTATTAATACATCAATATTACCGCCAAGTATAGTACTCACGAGACCATTACTATTGGTAAAATATCGGTTTTGCAAATCGCCGCAACGTGAAGTAACACAAAAGTTAAAAACCAAGCATACAACAGCAAACATCAGCAACCCCGATTATCTTCCGAGTGAGCCAAAAACTGATACACCGTTAAACGACAAACTGCTTCACAAAACCATGCACTTTAAGGGGTTATGCAAATTACTGATCTCGGTTCTCGATGCAGCGTCACTGAGTTGGTTGGTTGAGGATCGTATTGCCGCATTCCGCATCTTCACTTGGACTTTTAATGATAACGACAGTGTGAAACTACCAGTTAACAATCCCAACGCGCTGTTAAAGACACACAAATGCCTCGAAGCAGCGGAAATCAACGAGATGCCGACAAATTCGACAACACATCCCGTCAACCAGTATTCCTGACTAAGCAACCAATTAGGTTTCCCAAAAAAGTAAATAGCCTGCCAGTACGACTTTCCTTCGACAGATCCCTACTCAAACGTACATTAGTCCTGATTGAATAATGGACAAACCTTGTCGCACGATTATATCGTCATCGTGATAAACTTTCGGCTGCAGCGCATCACATAAATTCTGCTTCTCGTATGGATGTAATTCGGCGAGAAAATCCACATTATCAATAAGATCCTGTTAACCCCAAAGACAAAACTAAATCATATGGGTAAAAAAAGACCGGCGATAAAAATCAATATCTACACTGGGCGTTAACCCGATCGTAAAGTCGACCATCGCGCCTGCTCACCATATAAATGCAGCGTTTCTTGAAAGCCGCTTTCAAGACGATGCGCTGGAACGTCTGACGATCCTATAAAAGCAACAAAAAATAGTCAGTTCGGAGAAAAATCATTGCGAGGACATAATCAACTAGTACTAACCAGAGCCCACAGTTTGCCGGCTGTGCGTGCCACGACTGTGGCGGCACGCGGCTGATTGTACATCAACGCTAGCTCTCCAAACGATCCCGAATTATCATACTCCCAGCAGTGCTGCGGCTCTTGTAGAGCATTGTTCACGTAAACATCATAAATTCCGCTTTCCACAACGTAAAAATTGTCGGCATTCTCATCGCCTTGGTCAATAACCTAATCAAAATCGATTTCCATACTCTGTCAAAGAGATAGGAAAAATCTGCCGGCATCTGGCGATGCACGCCCGCTTACGTGTGTTCCCGGCGTCACGTCAACCTGTTTAAAAAAGAGAGCGATTTAATGAAATTCAAAGGAAACAGGTGCAATGTGGAAAAAAGCAAGGTGACCCACCTCAAAAAGTGCATTGAGTACTTTGAGAAGCTGAGCACTGTCTAAAGATCGAAAGAGAAAACAGCCCTGCACGGCTTTCTTCAGCCGCTCCAACTGATGTTCGTCTTTTTGATAGTGGACTATTTCCGTTTCGGGCTCATCCGTGGCGGAAGGATCAAAACCTATATGGATAAAGCATGTTTATCTTGTTAGTCAAGCCGCTGAATAGAGCGAATAACACCCCGCGCTTTCAGCTGAATAATTCATGGCGATCCCGTGGGGGTAAAAGTAGCTTTATTAGTTACATTTATCAGCCCACAGTGCAGCAGGTCATTATTCTATACACGGTAAGAAGCACGTCTGATCTATCTACGCTGCATGCTTGCATGATCATTAATTTTTTATTGTGCACTTGGTTAGTAGTGCCGGATAAGCAAAGATACCTGACTATGCAAGCCAAAATTAGTTGCAGAAGAAGGTAGATAATTTTAGATGTATGAGATATTGAAAACGTGCACAGCATTAACCATAAGTGTTCTACAGTGCCATCGAAGCGGAAATTCGAGAATACTGAATTTTTTTAGATACATCTCTTTAAAAATTTTATGAAAATATGCAATCTACACATATTAAAAGGAATTATTTCTGATCATTCTTAGAGCTTTGTCGAAACCTGGAATCTTCTTTTCGTACAGCCACAGCTGGATATTTTCTTCATTACGGTAGAAAATTTACATCGCTCGGAAAATGCATAATGATTTTCTTTTTGCTCCAGATGGATAATAAAATGCTATTACACATACAGTACCGCTCTGCGCTTCTACAGTACTAAAAATAATCCCTGGTTAACCTCTGCTTTATTCTGTAAGTGTAGGGTCTATAGGGGTAGATTCAGTCATTAATGTCCGAAAAATCTGCAATGAAGTTCGAAGAAATAAGAAATACCACAAAGACACATAAAGCACGAAGAAACCTCGGACTCCGGCTTTGTACAAATCCAAGTGTATATTATTAATTCACTACCAAGCGAAAGGCGGACAACACATTACCGAGCAATGCGCCATACGATAGAAATACTACCACAAATACTTCTCAATCTGGATAAATTATATCCACGTTGTCTTGTTTGTAAAACTTTGATTACTTCTATATCTTTTTTATTAATGCCGTGCATTGCTTTTGCGATGAGTCTACAATGTTAAAACACTTCATTAATTTAGTAGTCTCGGCCTCACGGAAATTTCCTTGGAGGAAGTAAATAACTCGGGCAGGAATATTGAGCAAAGCGAAAAGAGAAAATTAAGCAACGGAGTTAACCATGTACAACATACTTCTAAATGGTTGCTTTTAAGTAAAATATTCATATCCTATTCCCGCTGCGTAATTCAACAGCCCACAACTAAATCAATTGAGCAACGAGTGACTGCATGACTTACTTTCAGCCGACACAGACTGGCGTCTTCGCATTTTCTGTTTTTGAAACTGCTGGAGTTCCGCTAACTCGTTGGAGTCTTCCGATCCACTGCGTACAACGATAAAACGATGGTCACATAATTCATGCGTATCACAGAATTAGAACATCAAGTGGCACATAACCGCAATTTATGTATCTCCAATAAAATGAATACCATACTGCAATTACCGGTGTCCATACGAGCCGCCAGACGGCGACTCCTGATCTTCGCGGTCATGCTCGCCATTACTCCTGTCCAACACATCATCGCGAAATACTACACGAGCTGTCATTGAGCCTGTACGATGAGCGGATGCCTCCTGCAATTCAAATGTTTGCAAAAAACGTGCTACTTGTAAATCGCCCTCGTTAATTATCGCACATGATTACAACTATTTTATGTTGAGTATGCAGTTTGCACATCACTAACATAATTATTATATAAATCTGCACAAATGTCAACATATACTGTACCAATCTACAAATATTTACAGACTTTACTTTTAAAATTTATTCGCAACAGAAAATGTGAAACGTCTCAATGGTATATGTAAAATACTATTTGCCAGTGTTACAACAACCAGTGTTTGGCAATTTCATACAAAAATTGCATGAACAAAACTGAGCAAATCTTTCTTAATCCCTTGAGCAAAATTTTCTTAACGCGGATTTTGAGTGACATAAAATTGATTACTTATTTGTCATGCTGCACATCATCCATATAATTCATCTGCTTAGTTTATAAGATACACATGCAAGAAAAGCGTCCAGTTAATTAATAGCAACAAATTTGATAACACCCTTTCCTCACATCCCTTTTACATCTCACATATGTAGTAGTATATAGGCATATCAAACTACATAAACTGCGTACACCTAATTGCAGCAGTTTTCAGAATGCAGTACTACGTCTGCGTGTTACTATCACCATTTACCCAACACCTGGATCGCAAACTCAAGCTTGGATCAAATAACATTCACGAGCACTTACTTCGTTCAAGTTAAGTCTGCTAAAATAAGCAGCAGCGTATGGAACAAGATTCCCAGAGGGCACCTTTTCTCTGTGGAAAAAGAATTTATCAACAATCGGGCATACTGATCCAGTTGCATCTACAGTACTAGCACCAGATAAACAAAATCGAAAAGTCCCCGCATACGTTAATTGTCATAATAATATAGCACGTGCCGTCATTTATGGTCCCAGCTAGCGCGCTAACAAATGCCTACGGTAAGAATGCCTGAACTTTGCTTACATTATGCTACGTGATTTCTACTTCAGCAAATATATATGTAGCTTTTATGAATACGTGAATAATAAACCTGTGAAGGCGGCTGCAGCCGGAAAAATATACCTATGTTGCCCACCAGCAGCCAAAGTTGTACCGCGATTATCACGGAAGTTCTGTGTATTACAATAACAAGCTGATTATCTGAGGTCCGCGGTAGCCATACGGCACGGCGCAAGTCAACCTTATCATAATCAGTGATCATTCATGAAAACCATGGCACATAAGACTATAATCGTTTTTATGGAGCATAATCCACCAATTCATGCATTAGGGCCATATTGTCCACGAAGGGCGTTGAATATAAAACTCATTCGACTTGTACTAAGCGCGATAAAATACTATTATTGCAGTGAATTCTACGTCCTGTTTCTACGGTGTGCCATTACGAATTAGGTATTATAGAGGTATGTACATACCTGAGCACAGACACAACAAATTTTTGCAGCATGGCTCGTAAACCATCCGGCACTGGGATTTGGTTATGTCGTTCGGCAGGCATTGTTTTCAGTCGTGCCACCCAGGGACAATACCGGAAATTATATTTATATGGCTGTCAACAAGACACGGAATATGTAAGCAATTAATTATGCTCAGAAGATCTAGCCGGTTAGCGACAATCAGCGGCAGTTGTGTAATGGTAATTAGCTTTATGGTGCACAAGAGACAAGACGGAATGTAAAATCAACGTCACACTGTTGGAGACGATTTAGGTTTGATATAAAACTGAAAGTCCACTGATACGTAGACTGCTCAAATCCTATAGTATAAGAGACCAAATGGAAATGCTCATTATGACTATCAAAACCCGGGAGGAGAGGGTAATAAGTAATTTATTTCGAGCAAACACGCGCAAGACAAATTTTGAAACGTACGTATAATCAGAGGCACTAATAAAAAAATCCGTAAGTAATGGAACTGGAGTGTAATGGTTGTAAGTTGTAACTCCTGTGAGCCAGGATCAGCAGCCTCTTCACAATTAAATTTTATAGCCCGCGTGTAGCGGCAGGCTGCCGATTAGGTAACAACTAATACACGAGTCACCACCGTTAACGTTGCAAGCAGAAATGGTGTCTCCTGGATGGATAATACGCAATCCTGTTCACTAAGGGATACTGATGCCGATCATTAAAACTGCCGTGCTGCACATCCAGCGAGCATTATTAACGAGCACAGAAGCATGCAGGAGCTGCAATCCCGTTTTACTAAGCAGAACGCATACGGTCATAGACATCGTTGACGCCCGACGACTGACGAGCATTCAGACACTTACCACTGTACTGTGCAACAGATTACCCACGAAAAGATTTGTGGGACGACGACTGAGAAAACAACTCCATAGACGCTGAGATTATTAAACAGTACAATACAGCATCTGGGCACCCGTACCGTATAAGTCAGGGTACTTGTGCTCGTACAACCGTGGGAATACTCAATATCAATCTGAGACTTCCAGACTCCTGATAGGTGATACAAGGAACGATGCCACTCAGAAACTCCGAGAGTGGAAATTTCGTTGTAACTTGTGCAACAATGTATTGTATTCATAAAAATTAACAATGAAAAAAATAGATGTTAACATATCTGACTTTATGAGGAATAATATTTTAGTTTTTAAGCTTAAAAGTTTAGGCAATGACCAATATGATATGTAACACATTAATGAAGCATCAAAACGTCGTCCTTGGTATCAACTCTGCATAAATGCAAAATAAAGCGAATACGATTTACGTAGGATGCAAGCGCTGAATCAAAAGCACTCGTACATTCTGGAGTGCAGCCTTCTCCATGTCGTCATGTCTGCATTGAGTACTTACTGTAATGTCGCCATATGCGGGGGAACTGTGCTTTCCTTTTGCATGGACGATCCCTGCTGTTTCTCTACCAGACTCACAAATTTACAAGTAAGTACAAGAGTTGCGGCTGTAAAGAGACAGTCTACGCATGGTTATTACTAGAGTAGCATTTGGGACTGGAGGAGGTGCAGATTATAGGCACTGGCAGCATGCAGATTGTATGTATGCACGTACTGTATTTCCAAAATTACTGTTCCCGGCATCCGGTATTCACGTTGGCGCTACAGAGTATACCTAGATGCTGATGCCCAATGGATCCATTACAAGCGTATCTATTGTACATAGAAATTGCTTGTAGCGTTGTAGGTATGCAAATCAATAGGAATATAGTTATTGCAACATTCCTTTTCCGTGATTGTCTACACTTGACCATAATAATATAATGCCCTAAAGAACTATTGTTTGGAAGCTTCGAAAGCTCGTTATACGGTATACAGTAATTCTTCTGGGCATTGGCATAGGCAGGCTAAGGCAGCCAACGATAGTTCATGGGGGAAAGGAAGCTTTTATGCGGTTGACTCGCCTTAATTACATACCATAAAGACCAATTTAACAATCCCAATACATACATTAAAAATAAAAATGTTTATTCAAAATTATGCAGTAATTCTCGTGCACGTAGCCCGTAACAGCCCGTTGCGTAATCGTTATATTACTCGGCCTAGTTTTATTATTAAAAGTTAAAAGTGGACAAGACTAAACTAAAGCGTATTAACACTGTTAAGGTTACTTAAGTAATTTAATTTGTTGATGGTGAAACTAGCTGGATCCGGCTTCTATTGCACAGGGAAAGACGAAAACGACGTATCGGCTTTGTACACGTGTGGTCGTAGATTAGTGCGGTCGGTGGACGATATGAATATAATTTACTTGCATCGTGTAAACTAAGGCCTCGTCCCGATTTCAAAGCGAATCTCGTTATGGTACGGTTGCTCAACTGCACGAGGTGGCTGTATGCAGTGGCCACGCCTACAGATACGGTACGCGAAGCCACCTCGCGAGGTGGAGTTGCTGTATCGCAACGAGATTCGCTTTGAATTCGGGACGAGGCCTAAGAGTTCGTTCTTTTAAATAATTTTAATATTAAGTGTACAGATACTGACAACTGAAATTGCAATAGAAAAGTGTAGAAAGGTGGCTTTTTTTAGCCACTTTTCTACAGTTTTTTCCAAAATTTTCAGCCATTTTTCAACTGACGCAGCTGGTGCCTTCCAAAAAGCCCCTCCAAAAGACTAAGAGAGACTGTTGCCCCGTTTTTCGAAAGAGACTGCGCTCCTTCTAAAAAGCTCAAGACTTTAACAGCAACTTTCTTGCACCAGAGCCAGCTTCCGGCACACCATTATCCCGTTTCTTCCCTCCGGGAGAGGGGCGTCATTGCGCTCCCCCCTTAAAGACGGGCCTGGAAGTTGCTGTTAAAGCTTGTGTAGAACGGAAACAGTTTTATTATAGAACAGCGTGGAATGACAGCATGCAAAATAAGTACTACGTCCGTGGCAAGGTGTTCATTTTGCACACGTACAAGTACTCCGACTCCACTCTAGTAGAGTGCGGTCCTTACGTTAGTAGCCCGTAGTAACATACAGATAGCAGCCGATGTAAATCCTATAACATCCACGATAATTAAAAAGTTTCTGACCTGACGTGTGAGTGACCACCGAGTTAGAAGGTCACAAATACTTAAACTTAACCTTCGACCCCCTGTGCCACGCCACTGCACTAACTGTATGAGAGGATTTAAAGAATTATTTTCTAACGCATTTTTTCTATCGATAAAAGCATCGGCATAACTGGAAACAGCAGGCTAAATACAGTTGAGATTGGACGTGTGGCGTGTCTACTGACCAGTGACCAGTACCACCTAAACACTGCTCAATATGCATGATGTAATATGTATTGTGTATTAAGTACCGTACTGTACTTAATAGCCTATTTCAGATTGCACTCCGCACGGCGTCAGATAAGCAGTACGTTAGCAGGATGAAAATTGCTTCAAACGAAAAATTAATCGAGTCGAGTGCGCGCTAGGACGTGACCACCCTGCTAACGGTCGGCGGTCTGAGTGCTGATCCACGGTAAGCTTCATTCACTGATGTGTTCGTTGCAAGCATCCGCGTAAGGCAGATAGTTTTTACGCGTCACCACACGACGCTAGGTTACAGCTGCTAACGTCGCGAACGGACGTAAAACAACCCGCAACCGAAGCTTCCACATGGAACCGGAGCCGAAAGGAGCATAAACCGTGCAATCTGAAATAGGCTAATACTTCTATGCTACGTACTTGAAATATTTAATAGTACTTAACTTTACGGTCTTTACCTGACGGTGAGTTCGCAAGTTCGCAGTTCGCGAGCACTTTCTTCCGGTTCTTATCTGACCATCACGATCCAAGCGCCATCTACAGGCGTAAACTCTTGATCTATTACAACCATGCCTGCCTCGACCGGCGTCTGTGGACTGTGATGGCTCGGCATGGCGTGTTGGGTCTGTTACGGTCGCTGAATATGCGTACTCGTACATTCAGTACTGTACTCACATACGCATTTTACGTTTGCATCAAAACATGCAATATTTTCGAGTTTGTCTGCGCATAGCGGCAGTGTTTATGTTGTTGTCGAGATATCATCCTTGATTTTAATTTTCTCATTTGGTAAGCATGTCTAAAACAACAGATGATTTAATAACGGACGGAGCTTTAGCTCTTTTAGCCTTGAAATCTGCACCTGCAAGTCCTGCAGCATATAGAAGTTGGGATCGGAATCATGTGGGTCTGGATCAGCCACCGATTGCGAAGTAAGTAGAGTCGCTCCCACATATGTTTTGTCACTGCTTTGCACGTTTCTACCGAGCCGATGCGGCCGGTTCCCCGTATGGTAGACGGAGAATATGCATTATCGTACAGGACTTTGACGTCATTGTCCTGTTGTTCGTACGTTTTACTCAATATGGTGTAAACAAAGTTACGTAATTGACCGGCTGGTTCGAAATTGCAGGATTTCGACACGCGGGGTGGAAGTCTTTATGCGTCGGAATGGGGAGCAACATAGTCCGCAATTAATTATTGGGCGACGCCAATATCCGGGTCCTGGTTTGTCCCTAGTGTCGAACCCTTCGCATGGCGATATCGAGCCCGTAACTGTTGATTTGGAATTGGGCCAGAACAGCTATGTTTCACGACAACATCTCAAGATCTATTACGAAACATTTGAAGATAAATTTTTCCTGCGCTGTCTGGGAAAGAACGGAATACTGCTGGACGATATGTTGGTCCGCAGGAATTCGGAACCAGTCGAATTACCCGATAAGTACGTGCTTGACAAAAAAAAATTTGTGAAAAGCATTATAAGAAGTATTTTGCAAATGACTTCTTATTGTTAGTGACTAGTCTCTTAGTCAAATCTGCGCGGGAAAAGTACTTAAGGATTTTTTATTATTGAATTTTTCCGATTCTACAGTCTTTAGCGGTAAATTTGCAAACAAGATAGCCATAATTATTAGGATGTTTTCGTGCTCCTCAGTTATAGGATAGGGTTCTGTGTGCTGTTAAATAGCCAGTAGCAATAGATCGATTGTTGTTTTCATGGCCCTATTCGAGCCGGTTCGTCGTTCGCATAGGTAGTCAGAAATTCAGAATGTCTAGAAGTCATACTGATTTCCACGTAATATCAGAATATCGTGCTTACTAATTTTTAATGATCTTATTGTTTCGCTGTTGATTTTGTGTCTTAAGAGTCGTAACAAGCTTCTTGAAGCCCTACTGGCGCTACGTACAGGCTGCGTTTAGTTGACCAGAAACCACAACCAGTTTGGTGGGAGGATAAGAACAGATCTTGAGGGTATTTGGTTGTTCAAAATACGAAGTCGGTGTCTAGCTGGTGGCTTTGATCGTACCGGTTGACAAGTGGATTTGTTATTTGTTTGATTTTTTCCAAGATATACCTATGTAGTTAATATTAGTCATTGTTGTTGTTTCCGCTATTGTAGAGCATTTACAAATCTGTCTTACTTGCTTATTCCTAGACGACATTTCTCTTTATTAAAGCTTAACAACATTTATAACTGTATTCTTTTCGTGTGTTGACGTTTAAACGAAAATCTGTGTTTGTATTACTATGTTTGTGGTAATACGGTCTGCTTCAGCTGATTAACGCTGGCATTTCTAGGATTAGTATTTCGTATCTTGTGAAGGGACTTACCAATTAAGTGTTGCTGACATTTGCTGCTTAATTACGGTATAACGTTTGATAAGACGTGTGCTTGTGTCTTACAATTACGGCTCATAGATTGTGCGATAATATTGACGTGACATTGGTAAGCATGCGCAGTATCACCTGGCACTTACAGTTTACTTTGTTGGCATTCGACATAACAGCCAGCAACAAGTTTAAAAATGTATTCGCTGTTCCAATAAGAATGGAGACTGAATTTTTTGTTTAAATGCTTTTTTGCTGATTCTGGTACGATAGTTATTGTAACCCGAAACATTTCTCTGATCTTTTAGGATACGCATAATATTTCTGACAAATTTGAAAATTTTCGTGCACCGTGAAAAAATGCGGAAAAGCTTTATTCTCTGGCGTGAACGCGAGTTTCAAAATGTTGTAACCGTTCTAAATTTTGGTGCACTTACGCATTGTTGTTACTTGTGCTACTTGGCATTAAAAAAGTGTAAATACAACTGGTAAGCTAGAATTTTCCGATCTTTTAATCTGTTTGGTTACCATTTGTCCTCTTAACGGCTGGCTGAAAAGTGTGGTATCGTTAAAACCTTCCTCAATACAATCTGTTTGTCGCTGCAGGTGTGTCATGAGATTCCCGAGCACCCAAATAAAACTGCTGTTTGAAGCAATTTTACGCAAGACACAAGAACGTGAATCGGAACATGAGAACTCTGTGGAATCTTCGGTTACGCCCAGCGTAACACCGCAACCTACCGATTTTCATATGGATACAAGTGCTAATGCAACTGGCAGCAAGTTTTTCAGTCCTTGTCCGTCACCCACGGGAACCATGAGGTATGTTTGTGTTTCGAAGGATTTTCCTAATTTGGATAATTTTCCTGATTCGGATAATTTTATTCAGATTTGTTTAATAACCTTGGAAGCTTGAGATTGCCATTTTCTGTAATCTGTTACCTAAACTTACTTCTGTTGCAGAATTTACTTCAGAAACTAGTTCAAACTACCTCGCACGCTGTAAGAATGATAATATTATAATAATGATCTTGTGTGCTCTGTAGTGCGGTGAACTCTTGTCCGGCTAGTCCACGCATGTCTAGTGGGGGAAGTTTCGGCAATTCTGACAACGATTTTCACAAACCCCCATATTCTTATGCTCAGCTCATCGTTCAAGCCATCAGCTCGGTTCCGGATCATCAGATGACATTAAGTGGAATCTACAGTTTTATTCAGAAAAATTATCCCTATTATAGGACGGCTGATCGTGGATGGCAGGTAAAGTTCAACGAAGCTGTGAGGACAAGGATTTGCAGCGGGCGAAATTTCTGATGTGCTTTGATTTTTTGGCCGACCATCATTTAGCCAAAACTTATGTGGAATTTGCGCCACCAAATTTGACTTCCTTCCTTGTCCAGCTTTGTTGACCTGATTGCTTTTATTGCAGAATTCGATACGGCACAATCTATCACTAAACCGTTACTTTTTGAAAGTCCCGAGGAATCATGACGAACCAGGTAAATCTGTTGTAGTTGTTGAACAGGGACAATACCTATACGGTTGGAACTTGCAGTGCACTCAAACACTGCACATATCGGACTGGTAATTAGTTTAACAGTACTTTAACTATGCTGAAGTATGTTTTATTTCCTGTACATATTGAAATTGAGGCATATGTTTACTTGCAGGCAAAGGATCATACTGGAAGATAGAACCGCAGTCGGAGGGCAAGCTGATAGAGCAGGCGTTCCGGAAACGCCGACACCGAACCATTACGACTGTCCGTTCGCCGCAACCTTTTAGGTAGTATAAGCACGCTAGTTGAGGGGTGCATCTTATTTTTCGTTAACTGAAGGTTTTTTCCCAGATCCGCCCCACCCTCCCCGTTACACAGTTCGACAAAAGAGACATCTCCTAACCGCGGTCACAGCGACAATGACTACGGTTCAACGCCGAATAGTCCTTCGCGATCGGAGCCGGGGTCCAGTTCGAGCGTGAGCATGCCAGCGACACCGTCCAATACGGCAGGCGCCGGCAACAGCGCGAGCGCCTTTCTCTTCCCTTATCCGGCATTTGCCCAGTTTAAGCCTAGTCCCACGCTTCGTGGCTTCCCGGGCTTCTTCTTCGCCCAGACCGGCACACTACCGCCACAAGCCAGCTCGCCTGGTTACTTTGTCCCCAATGTGGAGCAGTACCAGATGCCTCCGCCACCGGCCAGTGCCTCTTCGTTTAAACGTCCTAGTCCCATGAGTGACGAGGAAGATAACCATTCGAACGACGGAGGGGGAAATTCAGGGCATAACGGCAACAAAAAACCGAAAATCGATTCAGAAGAGGAATCGGATCACAGCAATGAGGAGAGTGTTAAGAGTATGGATAGGGAAGAACGAATGTCGCCGACGCCGACTAGCCAGCAGGTTTGAGGAAGCATACTGGTGAGCGGAACGCGGTTCGTTGGTTGTTTTGGAAGATTGGTTGTTTCATCCTGTTTAGCCTAACTGTGAAAGGAAAGCTAGTGTGCCGACGGAATGGAGAAATTTTAGGAGAGATTTTGTGCGTTTACGACACTTTTCTCTAGCTGTCATTTATGGTCTGAAATATCTGTTAGTACGGAAATTTTGGTAAGATAAGTAGAGATGGTAGTAGGAAGTTAAAGAGTTTGGTTATTGTTTAGGGTGGTTTTGTGTGCGTGTGCTTGACGGGTATGTTCGAATAGTATTAATATCGCGCCAAGATTTTTGTTTTGGTATAGGTATCTATGAGTTATAATAGTTGTGCTGTTAGCGTTGATTTCACTGCGACGATATAATTAAAAGAATTTTATTCTATCATGCTCGACATTTACTAACGTATGGTAGTTATTCCAGTAATTATTATTGTGAGTATCACAGGCGCTGAAACGTTAGTTTGGTGGCAGGCAGATTATCTGCTGTTTATGTAGCGTGTGATTTTTACTAACAGAATTTTCGTAGCCGTGCCTGATCACTCTTATGGTGTTTTGACTTGTTTAGTTGTTTCCAGCAACTGAATAAGTTACACAAACATCCGCATTTCCAACTTTATTTTCCAACTTTCAAACACTGTTGGTCTAAAAACGTACTCTGTAATTGTATATGAAAGCGGTAAGTCTATTTTTCGTCAGCTGTTCATGAGTATTGGTCCGCTACCGAGACTGAAGTTATGCGCAAGGATACAAGTAGAAGTATGGATAATTCGCATAACTACTTACTACAGTATTTGCTCTCTCTTTAGTTGGCGTTTGTTGTAGGGTTCTGAACTGTGAATTCAAATAGAAAATATTGTACCAGGAAGCGAAACGCAGTAAAATTAATTTTGTTTTTTTACAGTTGGTCTTTAATAGTGATACAACCGCAGCCGGCAGTATCGATTTGACTTTAAGCATTAATTTGTTAATTCGTACGCACATTCAAATTCAGTGCGGAGCAAATGTTAAAAAAATTGACAGTAAGCTGATAAATGCAATACTTCAAACGCACGGAGTAAATTGTAGCCCTAACGTTGGTGCTGTAGTTGATTAAATCCGGTACGCATACGGCATACGTACTCGTACAGAACTTTAATAACTCAGTCAAATAAATAGTTGTGCTAATTAAGTGCAAAAGCATAGGCCTCGTGGCCGGCACAACTGAAATTCTATTATACCGATAATCGTATAATTATCTGCTAGTTAGTCATCCGCAAATTCATGTGGCAAAGCCCGGAGTAAACGTGAATCGCAAAGAAAGCTTAAAATCTGTACTAACAAAAATCTGGGTGCGACCAGCTTGGCTATGTTTTGGAATGCTTTTCTTGTGATTAATCTGCAAGGGTGATGAATCTAAACTTGCCGCTATGAAAGACTTAACCGGAACTTCTATAATTATTTGGCATAAGGTTATCTCTAATCGTTTAACCACATGAAAACTGTTCTCTGCTCTTGGCCATTACCATAACGGCAGAGCATACGTGTAATAATACAACATTTGGAATAGCGGGATACTTCTTGTCTTCAACCTTGTGTTTCATCGTTTGCAAAGGTTAATATAACTTTGGAATATTAATAATCAAACCCATACATAACTGTTGTTATTTTTTTAAATTCCAGTAACCTCATTTAACGTAAGCGTTCGGTCACGCTTACTTAAAATGATGACCCATTCCGAATGCTTTAATTGTCATGTACAGCAGCAGTAAATTAAAGTTTGAATAAAAATAGCTTAAAGCCGCTGTTTCCTGAAGAGCTTCTCTCCAGTCTTACAGAAGCGGTTAAGTCTATAGAATCTGGAATTACTGTACAGTCAAAGTCGTTGTCTAGAAGTTTTATTGTATTGTAATAATATCGATATATTATATTATTGTAATACAATAAAGCCCCTGCTCTAGAGAACGGCATTGGTATAGCATTTGGGCTATGGAATACAGATGCTACACATTCACACAAAAAATTGTTTCAAGTTCAGTTGGAAACTTAGAAAGCAGAAAGCACAACGATGTATGTTTCATCATACTGCTCTCATTATTTTGCAGCCATAAAACGGGGAAGTTATAACTTTTTGTTTCCAAGAAAAGCAGTATAGTATACCTTGGTATAGCGTTCGTAACACTAATAACGTCAAAAAAAGTTGCTTTGCATGTCACGCAGGCTGCATGCGTTGTCAGTTAACAAATGAAACGAGATAGCAGTTTAATTAACAATGCAAATTTCAGTTTTAAGATAGCAACTGCACTGTCTGTACAGTAGCTGCTAGAACTTCTGACGCAAAACAAGACGATCCAGCATTCCATGGCTACATCTGAGTGACCGATAGCAGATCTGTTACGCTGTATTAATTGTACGCTGTACGCAAACCAATCAAAATCTTCTTGAGATAGGAATAAATTCTTATGTCACCGTTCACGTGTGAGAATCGTGACAACTGGGTAATCGTTTGCCCATTTATGTTACTTACTTATGAGCGCCTGCTACTTTAAACATAAGTTTTATTTTATCATTATATCCGGTTGCGTGTGGTTGCACTATCAGAGTCATGTTGAACTAGACCTGCAGACGAAGAAAACAATTTTATTGCGGCATGGAAACGTGCTTGATAGTTGATGTGACCAGCGATTCAGTGTTTCTGTACGAACAGTCACGAAAACTAATGGTAAATAAGACTGAATTCTATAACGAGTGAATCCAAAGAATTAGGAAACCAGCCTGATTGGCGCAGTAAGGCATTAAACATTTGAATATTCATTATGCCATATCAGTACCCCGCCATGGCACTTGTTAGTTGATACAGTGATATCTTGAATTAATTGATTTAAATCATGAGCCCCACCATCATACAGTATATACTACTATGGTTAATCATTCAGCAGTTTGCATGAAAATGTGCTTAATTTGGTTAATTACGATTACGAAAAATTTGAAAGAAATTCTGGTCGCGCTTTGACAAACGAAGTGCTTATGCACGTTCCATGTCGCTTCCGGCTACGCGCTATGAAATACGCATATTCTCATCCTGCAGTTTGCTGCAGCATTGAGTTGACTTGTATTTCGAATCTTTGATGCAACTTTAACGGTATTTCGATCATTGCCGCCTGTCGTTTAATTTATTATGTACTAGTAGATTCTATATATGAGACTGATTAATCAGTTGCATTACTTCCAGAAATTCCGCGCTTGCTTGCGATTACAGAGCAATGCGGCTGTATCGCCATTAAATGATAAAAGACGCTGAGATCTAGCTGGGCAACTGTTAACAGTGTTTTTGAGTTGATTTTAAGTCTATCAGCATTGTCGCCTTGCCCTTAAATTCTTCCAATAAGGAGGTTACGTCAGGACGCCAGCTCATTCACAAAATGAGCAGAATGACCACTACAAATAACGAGCAAGTCAGGCCAAAGTCTGTATGATTTGCGGTAACCACTGATAGGACGGCGTTTACACTGTGACGGATCAAAGCGACCGCCTCTTTGCCTATTGGCATTCAGTTCTTTGCAGAACAAAGCCGTGGCCGACGTGCGAATGATATCGGCACACCAATAATAAACCTACAAAACCCAGGCTTATAAGTCTGGCCTGCGGTTCACTACCACACTGTAAACAGACCCGGTCTCCACACTGCTGACACGTACCGTAAGTACTACCAACGATCTACACTACGTTTTACACAAGACGATAGACTCTGCTTGTCGTTTCTGCCGACATATGTAATTTTTTCACTAACCCGCGAGCTGCTCGTTTGGTTTGGCTGCGGCCAAGGTGTGGATGTTTTTTGGTTTACTTTGTGAGTCAACCGTGCCACAGCCATCGTGTTTTTTGAAAGCTCATCCATTCTGGCCCCTCTTGAACGTTCTGATAGCAACACCACGGCGACGGTGCCGTTGACATCTGGGATGATTTACCCGTGCGCGGATATTCAGTCCACACTACCTGCGCCGATCCCCGATGTAAACCATAACAAGATCAGCTGGACACGTCGCGCACGCTCCCTTCGTGGTGTGGGATCGTATGACAGTGAGTCCCTGCCCGCGGAGAAGATCATGGCGGTTTCTTCCAATCCCCACGAAGAACTGATTCCCACGGATAGCCCTAACATTCTCTGTACGAAACTCCCCACACACTGGCGCCAGAACAAAGCGCTCCCGACAGCATTCCGGATTGTTATGGTGGAGGATGTCGCCGATGGGACGGAAGTCAGTATTCATGCCGGCAACGATGAGAACTGCACCGCTGAACTCCGTCATTCCCTCACGACCTTCAAAAATCGTGTGGCGCGCTTCAATGATCTCCGATTTGTTGGCAGAAGTGGTCGAGGTAAACCATTTTCAACGGTGTGCAGAGTCTGCATCAATTCAATCCGTTTGAGCTATTCAGTACTAGCCACAATTACTATTGTTTTTATAACAGATCCGTACTGTAATTCTCGCTAATTAATTTGTGAATTCTGAAATGTTTTTTTTCGTACAGTCGATTTGCGGTTAGATTAACGGGCACTGTACAAAGAAGTATGGCTTTTTAATTTTTACTCTCATACATTGCTTAAATGTCAAAACTTCGAAATTAAGCGTTGAATTTAATTAGGATAGATAAGAAATATTTATTTTATCCATGGAATTGAAAATTCCGAATCCTTAGGCGCAATTAAGCTTGCTGATAAACTACTCGTGGTCATGGTAGTTAGTTTTTCTTTGCGGCAAAATGGAACGAGGCAGCATAAATAATTATGAACTGATCTTTTCTTGAGCGGAGCTTGTGGTTGTCGACATGGAAATGAATGTCTGTCTAGACATCTGTAATATTTGGTCTGCTTGAAAAAATGAGCTCAAATCGGTGGCGGAACAGGTTTCAACTTGTCCGTCTTTGAAAGCCCCTATGCGTTATATGCAGAACAGTGGTAATGCAAAATTTGTGAATCAACGGACTATCAGTTTCAACGTTCGTTATGACAGTTTTACGTAAAGGAAACCACTTATCAGCTTATTTGCTTATCTATTACCGAAGCCAGTATTTCATTAAGGCAGTACAGAATTACCAGAAATGCGTAACATAAAACCGCAAGATTTCCGATATATGTTTGAGTAGCGCATTGAACATTCATATCTCTCTCCAGGAACTAATCAAGCATTTCAAACACATATCTTGTGAGAAGACAGTGACCGCATGTTGCAACTTTCCGCATTCCAACTCATATGGCAACCGGTTGTTTGTGTATACATACTTTTGTGGAGGTTTTCTGTCTTCATGTTTACACTCCGTCAGCAAATTCTGTTGTCAATATTTTCGGTGACGCGTCTGCGAATATAAAACGTGGCACTTGAAATTTAAAAAAATTGATCATTCTGAAGCAAAAATCGAATCAAAGAAGTATAATTTGAATGGATCAAGAATAATATTTTATTATAATGTCAGTAAAACCAGAATACTGTTGCCGTAAGGCCCGCAACGCTGTTTTACATGCCAGATGGGCGATTTATTGTTAGGCCTAGACGATATACTGTGTTAAAAAGAAATTATGGTTTCTTTTTAACGAAACCAGAAAGAAGGAGTGCTAGACGATTATGGTTAATGAAGCTTTCTTTTGCAGGCAAAAAAATTTACACTATCGATCGTTGTTCGTACCAGTCCACCACAAATCGGTACTTATCCAAATGCCATAAAGGTCACCGTGGATGGACCCCGTGATCCCCGTACGAAAACCAGTAAGTAGCATATATTTGTCACCACTTAGGGATGGTCGGGTTATATGTCGCGGCTGGGATTAATCTGTAGATCACATTTTATGATCTGGGTAGTGCTTTGTATTGATTAGTATTACTACCGCCGCCGCCTGTTTATTGACTAACCAGCCGATGGAAGAGATAGCGTTTTAATGACATGTTAAACGATCTGATTTGAGGAATATAAGTTATCTGTCTTTAACGTTTTGCTAATTTAATACATATTAACAGTTGTAAGGGTGTAACCGCTGGAAGTCTGACTGGGCATCGCTGCGCGGCGTCATCGCTCAACTTCATCGGCGATGAAATTGAACTTTTGGCAGATAAACCCAAAAAGTGTTTCCAGAACTGTATGAGTAACCGTTTTGCAATTTAAGTATTGGTTTTTATGTAGTGAGTTGTCTCGATAAAATAATAGTGTAGTGTTACTCTTCATTTAGATATCAACATCTTACTCGTGAATCGTGCATAAGGTTTACAGTGAGAACAAAGCACAAAATCGGAATAGTCGCTATGATGCGAATATATGAATAAATGCGAAATTGTATTTCTTAAAATATGATAATTTTAATAATATCTTTATTTTTTCATATCGAACTTCAACGGCTATTTTAACAACTCTGTTTGAAAACACTCTCAAAAGTCGCAATTCGGTCGCAATTCGGTCACTTGGTGAATAAGAAAAGTGATGGTCATTCGAACTGCTACGTTGGAAGGCATAATGACCTTACGAGTTCCTTTTCCTTTACCGCTACCGGCGCCACTTTTTGCATCCTCCCTAATGGGTTTTTTTGCTTAAGAGAACCAAAATGATGCCTATTGTGCGCCGGTAAGCATTAGGCATGAAATCTGCCTCATGAGTTTAACCGATAGTAATTTTATAAATGCAATCATCAGCAGGTGGTCGCACGGGGAATGGGCAGTTTTCTGTAGTCTGTCGCCATCGCGCGCAGGCAGCTCCGCTCCAGTCGTGTGCATCCAGCTGTGCTGAAAGTGCTGACCCTAGTTATCGCGGGGGGAACTCGGCGAACCGCTTCGGTTTACCAATGCAGCCCTTTGTGCGGTACAGAGCCGGCACTTTAAAGTGGTGATTTTAATGGGCAGCCATTGGGCACGTGTGGTATGTTAGTTACGATTCATTTGCTGTATCGATGGAGATTTTCCAGTACAACATTACGTTGCTCTGTGTACACCCATAAACTACTAGCTCTAGTTTGATCAACTTTTTATGTAAGTAGATTTGTACTTCCGGCCATATTTGTTGTAGAACAGTGAACGTTGTAAAAATGTCAGAAAGTACACTTTATCGCTGGAAACTCATTAATACGCTGTGGTTTGAAAACTGCCGGAAATTTATTGTGAGCTTAACCGTTTAATTTAAGCTGGAACGAATTTCGAGTGCTGTGTATTCTAAATAGCAGCGCTATTTTGTTATCATATGTTATCATATAAACCTCGGTAAAGATATTGCAGTACATTACATAACTGTTGCATTACTTGTAATTCGGAAGAAATGCTTAATTATTTGTTTTAACTGTATATATGCTCGCTTTTATCGTGTGGAAGTATTAGCCATCTTAAATAGGTTTGGTTGGCTTCCTTGCATATGTGTTGTGTGTTTACTTCAGATTGTACATTTTAATCTTATTATGAACACTGTTACAAATTTCCTAATTTTGCAGTTGTTATAAGAAAAAGGTTGTTGTCAGAGAATTGTGATTTGTGCACCATGACCACCTCTGCGCCTTTTGGTTGAATATACATATCTTACTGAAATTGGCAGTTATTGTATGTAACTGCACTTTCATTAAATTCTTTTTGTTATAATTTTACAGAAGGGTCCAATCGAATCGCAACTTATCCTTACTCGATGCTGGACCATCCCGGACTGGAGGCCGGTGTCAATCGCTCATCACCCTCATTGTCAGCGGGCCATGCACTCGCACTGAACCATCCGTATGTGCTGAAGGAATCACTGGAGCGACAGGTTGTGGGCGCACACACATATCCCGGTGTTCCACCACAAATGCGCCGACCTCCGGCTGGTATTTCACCAGGTAATACACGACTATACCGCTGCAGCGCGCAACAGAATGCCGTTTGCTCCTATAAATAATTCAGATTGCGTTTGACCTTACTCGTGAGAGTGAAAAGCAATTACGCGACGCTCAGGCGCAATGAGGCGTTGGTTTGACATGGGGCAAATGAAAGTTGTAATCGACTTGTCGCCAGTCGCAATTCCTTGGGGGATTGGAGGGAGACTGAGGCTACTTGGGGTAGCGTGGCTGCACGCAAGGCAATGTGTATTATGTAGACGGAATACGGCGGGGTTATGCGTGTAGCGTACGCTGACAAAGGCTTCCTAAAATTAATATGTGACGTTTGACTTTGATTGGGAGTACTTATTTACTGGTGGCCGGTAATGATTTCGATCAGAAATTGGCTTCTAGCCCAGTTTATCTAGTTTGAACGTCAGAAGTTGGCGAGTAATCGTATGAGGAAAAGGCTATTCAGTGTTCTTTGTCAGAACTCAGAAGAAGGGAGGCTTGCTTGTGTAAAGGACAGTGAATTTAAAAGCCCGGCGCGTTATTCCGATAACTCCTCCGTTGACCACTCACAAAGGCTCCGAAATGGCTTGACATGCACGATATCTTTTGCATTCAGCCATAACGTGGCGTGTGCGGAAGCATAAGATTCTCTTCACTGGGCAGTAAACCAATAATATTATTTTGTACCAAAAACTTTTTGGCCAAACGTAAGCGTAAATGTGTATATTAAATTAATATAGTATCATTAGTATGTACTGCATACTTAAATTCATATAAATAGATAGTTAAAATAAAAATGTAAAATAGTGTGTAAAGCAGAATAGTGTAGTCAGTTAAATAAGTATTGCCTTATTTGACTGACTACGGTAAGATCATGCCGGTGTCGCTAAAACTATTTTCGAATTATTTGAATATTAGTCAACTGAACGGTGTCGATATTGCGTTTTAAACCACATAATTATGTGGCACGTCTGACTACCGATTTGTGGTTTACGCCAAGAAGTAGTACAGTACAAGTATCTACTACGAGTAGGATACATTTTTAGTTAATGCCTGCAGACTTGTGGTTACTATCCACTGTCCGGCACAAAAGGTCTGGAAAGACTGTACAGACCGTAAAAGAATATGTCTAAACGGCATCAATTGTAGTACTATGGTGTTGTACTGTACATTTCTGTTTGTGGGGATTTGCTTCCTGCTGTGTAAAAGATGCCGCTAAAAATGATAGGAATTCACAATTATTGACAACCGCCTCGTGTAATAAAATAGAGCGAGGTACTACGATATTTCATCAATAGAAATAAGGATTCCGTAATTTGTCTGTGTGGGAGCGTACGAACGGAATCCATTTTAACGGACAAGAACTGCTTTGAAACTTCCTGCGCGTAATTGCAGATGTGCTTACTGGCCGGCTTCCGGCTTGGATGATGCATATGCCACCGCATGTGTTCCCGCTGCAGCACAATAACGCCATGAAAGCGCCGCGTGAAATGCATGCACCCACCACCTCTCAAGAAGGTCAGTTAGCGCGCACCCGGCCAGCGGGGGTGCGGAAGTTGCTCCTAACCTTTACTGACTGCTCTCTTTTGTACACAGAAAGCGGCATTGTGCGACTGGAGAGTATGGCCGCTATGGTTGCTGCCGCCGCCTCTTCTGCGGCAATGGTGCAAAAAGTCATGATGGAGCAAGCTGTCGCAGCCGGTCAGTTAACGACTTCCTGCGCGCCACCATCTACAGTCTCAAGCAGCAATCCGTTTCGTGTCGTCAATCGGCTGACACCATTCGGGCCATCCCAGCCGACAGCAGCAGTAGCATCCAAAGGCTCGATCCTCCCACATTTATATTATCCGGCGTTCCCGGCACCGCCCTTCGTCAATCCCATGGCGACACCGGCCCTGCTGCAGTCCATGGCGGCGCAGAGTGCTGGTCGTAATTTTCCAGTATTCCCATGGAACCCGGGAATGGCGGCCATGCCGACGTTGGTGCCCGGCGAGGAAATTCATCTGGCACAGCAGTTACCCTTAATGCCGCATCAGCAGCAGTCAATGAGAGAATCTCGCGGCACCACTGCCACTCCAGATGGTAGCTTAACTGCTCCAGGCGGGTCGCGAAACTCGGCTGCAATTAAGGATGATTCGCCGGCATCCTCGACGTCACCCAACGGCATTTCCACTAGTCCAGCGTCCAGTGCAGAGTCGTGTAATGCCAGTCGCGAGACACATTCAGCCGGTGCAGGCGGACCGGTTCGAAGTGGAGTTAATGGCAAGTCGTCAGAAAAAGGGAAAAAGGTCTGGAAACCTTATGTTTAACGGACAAGGGAGATTATGTACAAAAGAGAATTTCATTTTGCGCACTCGTAGCCACTTTTGTATGTTTGAGTCACCAGTTGGGGAGACTAATGATGAAAATTAAAATTGCAATGGATTAAACGTCAAAGCAATCGTACAAAACGAATACAAATAGCTCGAAGTATTATACAGTATAATTGCAAATCGAAATAAAGCTAGAAAGATTTTGTTTTTGATCAAGACCACGAATGGAAAGTCGCACTATCGCAACAAACGCCCAGAAGTTGTAGATAGACATAAATGAACAAATTACTTTAACAGCCAACACTGTAAGAAGCATACATATGCCATGCATGTAGTCTTGCTCGCACAGATTAGCGAATTAAACCGACGCAAAATTCATCAGGAAACTAATGACACCTTTCCCCAGAAGGTAACAATCCTTGCAAACTCTTATAAAATAAAGTAGATACACGAGCTTATATTTATTATTTAAGTTATCCAACAAACTCCAGTGCAAATGTATAGAAGTATATAAGGAAAAAAAGTTAAAATTTATTCCAAATCACAGAAGACCAGTCAACCTTCATCCATCCGATTTGGGCGGAGTGAACCAGCCACCTTTTTCGTGGATTCGAACCAAATGTCGGAAAGATTCCTCGGCACGAGTCTGTGAGTAGGCTTGCGCGGCCTGCAAGCTGAAGTTAATTCGCGCCCTTCCTTTGACCAAGGTGGCTGAGATCTGCATAATGACTGCTTCCACAGTGTAGGCGCTGCTCCAGCCCTGCTTCGTCAGCAACTCCATACAAATGGCTCCCCCAGTTAGCACGTAGCCCCCGGAAATCACCGGGCTCACTACACGCACGAAGGGAGGAGTGAAAGGGAAGGAATCCTGCATAAACCCAAACAGATTTTGTGTTAATCACATTCTACGTGGTAAAGCAGTCGTCACTCGTCAGACTGACCGTACACTTTACTAGTCACTCGTCAGACTGACAGTACACTTTACCAGAAGTCTAGAACTACGAGTACGTATAATTATTCGAAATGGCTATGCGCCCCGATTGTCGGGGCGCATAGCACTTACAATCGGGGCGCATAGCACTTACCACAATTATCACTATAATATTATATTTATAACACTTCATAATACTCTTTTGCCATAAAATCAGTAGCCTATCACGTGCAACCACATACAAAGAATCGAACACTATCCTGATTTAATACTGATTAGGCACTACTCTACTACTGATTAGCCTTTCTATCGCTCGTTTAGGTCACCACGCTTCCATGAAAAATTAGAAAGCGCAAATACAAAAAACCTATACAACCAAACTACTGTGAATTCGAAAACTACAATTGTGCTAGACTACTAGTTGCAAGCCGTTGTTATAGAAAAAGGTAATCTAGAGCCCATAAGATTTCCGTGTCGATATGCAATACGCAGTTTCCGTGCGTATTGCATATCGACTTTGATAAAAAAAAAACATATCGTCGTTGATAACTGCACTGTATTCATAATTCACAAAATGCCGAAACGCATTCTGTAGCCTCTTTTCAGCAACTCAGTGGTAATCAGCCATCGGCATGGGATGAAATACTTATCTGGACCCCTATGCAAAAGATTAGAGACTTACGGCGAACTTGAAATTCAGATTAATGTGGTCCTGTTTGAACTTCTTCAAGAGACTCTGCATATCAGTGTACAGTGAGCTGTCCGGATCCACTTTGTACAGTTTCACATTCCAGTCGTACAAACTGTCTCCAATCAGTTCCACAGTGAACACTCCTAAACACACCATCCCCGTGTCACAACATTTCCAAACATGCAGTAAACGCGTCATATTACCCAGTTTGTAGTTATCCGATTTGTAGATGTGCTTCAACTCCTTCATCAGCCGATCCGACGCCTGCACGGATCCCGTCGGATTGCCCGTGGAGTAGCGCTCCACAATGGCTTTCTTCACTCTCTCCAGCGCCTGCTGGCCCCTCTCGTCGATGCCCTCGTCTTCCATGGCAGCGTCTCCGCGTTCCGTCGTGACGGAGGAAGGCTGCTGCGCGGCACCCATGTCGTTCATCTCCACGGGATAATCATCCAGATCATCCAGCATCCCGTCCATCTCGTTGCCGCCCTCGTCGATACTCTCGTTCTCCGGCTCGGCGTCCACACCGCCGTACTCCGATTCGCAGATCACTTTGAGCAGTTCGCTCTCGGCGGGCAGTTCACTGCCGAATAAGCTGCACAGACTGGTCACCATATCCAGCATCTGCGGGAAGATGTAGTTGGTCGATCCGGTGGTGTTACTCAGAGCCTCCAGGATCCCGGTGATCTGGGCATTGTCACTGTCGGATGACCACAATGGTGCGGATCGGGGATAAGTCTCCATGATGTTCCCGTGGATATCGTACGCTGGACCTTTCGACGAAATGAATCGCAGATGGATTTCGTCGATGTTGGCGGAGCGCACCTGGAATACGGGATGATCGCGGGGGAAAAAGCTCTCCAGCTTCTTCAGATCGTCCTTGAGTTTCTGCGTGTTCATTCTTTAGATTTAATTGCAACTGGCAGTAGATCCGTGTGGAATCGCTTGCGTCCAGTTGAATAACTGATTAACAAGGAATAATGACGCGTCCGCAGTGGAATGTTTTGAGAGCCCAGGACCTGGGATTTCTTGGCAGCTTCAAGTCGACCTTCAGTGCTAGAACAATTACCGTATAACCGATACGGACAACGGATGCAAAAGAAACAACGACACTGCTAATAAAAGTTGCGAAGACTAGGAAAATTCACGGATTTACCCGAAAACGGCAACCAGATTAAAAGAAAGCAATGTCGCGTTCATAGTTCAGTACTACTTACATTACAGTCTTGCACCATACCTTAAAGCTAACAAACGATCAAGAGATGACAACTTGGTAATGCACACATGAAATATCCATTGTTAATTAATTTCTGTTTTGCCATTGTCAAAATCATAAATCCGATTTAAAAACTGGATCAGTAGAGTCTGGTGGTGTGCTCCACAAAGAGCAGGGTTTACCGTTTACGACGGATTAACATTTAACAACCATGCACGAGGAACAAAATCAAAAGTAGTGTAGTGGCACATTAAAATCGTTTGCGTCAGCGATTGTCCTTGGTCCTTTGCACTTGCAGCTGACAGCTACACTCGCTACAGTACTACCGATTTTGCAGTGCACTGGCACACTGCTGCCTAAAAGTATACGTAACCGCCGGCCCTTCAAGATGACAAGCGAGTCGCTACCCATACAAACTTTTTCATACTCCTGGTACTTTATACCAAATCATTAATTTACACAAAAAATATAATTCTAATACAGTACGTCATCGTTATAGCAAACAGGATATAAAACGCAATCAATTGTAGGTCCATCATGCCAGATGGAATACTAAAAAGTTCATAGCATTCTGAAAACAAAAAAATTATTACACCGAAAATGCTGCTCAAGATGGAGTTATTTAAGAAGATAACAATACACTGGCAGTCTGGCACTTCGATCTGAAGCGTCAGGCAACTAAATTGTGCATCCATAATTTCGATTCTTTTACAATTTATACAACATCATGTCGTACCACAACAACCAACCGTAGGTCCCAACAAGAATTTGAACTAGGTAACTTAAAATCTGGCTGACCGTGGCCATTTTAAAATTTTTATAAAAACTGATCTGCTGCAGTTCGATTAAAGGCAATCAGGTACTGTAGGCATTAGGTAAGCAGATAATTTAAAAACCACGATCTGACACATTGCACACACCAAGGACACAGATGCACCAGTTCAATAAGCCTTTCTGGCTAAACTCCCATTTGTACAATTTTAACTCACACATAAAATTAATATCAAATCAGATGCATTCTGCACACAATGCATTTACACTCGCTCATTATCAATACACGGGCTTTCAGGATGGTGATTTTCAATACCACGCAGATGACGCGTGCGTGAGTTATCCGGAAGCTGGACAGAATCATTGAAACCTCTTTCTATGGGCAGGTAATATTCTTTGCGATTTCTTGCGTACATGAAATCGACTTTGTCCGGATTTCTGCGTTCCCATATCATTCGGTGCTTTTGCTTCATGTACGGCTCAATTACAGACGAGTTATACCCGACTTCACCGTAGCGCAGAAAGAAATTCGTCAGCGCTTGCTCAAAATCCTCTGTCACTTTGTGACAGGCCAAAGCCCAATCGTGACCCTCGTACAGCATGCAGTTCTCCTTACGTCGACGTAGGATGGTCAAAATCTTGTCATCCACAGTTCTGAAAAGCACAGAAGAAAATTATAAATACAATTAATTGTAAAGCAACCAGCGCAGGGAAAAGAACGAACGGATAAACACTTAGGAATAAAAGCCATACAAACGAAACCAGCAAAGTAGTAAATGTAAGTATCTGTACACAGAATGGTAGACATTCAATACTAACAATTTAAACCTAAAATAGCTAGCGGGCTAAGATAGTAGTGAATTACTAAGTTACAAATGCAACACGATTAAAATGAGTGCACTCCTTAAAGTACGATCTTTTACTAATTCAGCTGTCGAATAGTGAGGTCGTTACGTTGTGTACGTGAAAAAGTTAGGAATTTCAAAAGGGGAAATACTAATTGCATACTTCCATTTTGATCCACTAATTTACGATAAGATAACTGTAGCAACATAGAGTAACCATAAAGACAACAAATCACTTGCTATTTGCTGCGCATTGTCGAATTTTACGGAAAAATATCCCGCAGTGAAGCTAGTTTAAGCCTAAAGAAACCAAATATTTTATTTTAGATTCTCGACATTGCTTACTGCGGTTCTTCGATAATTTACTGTTTTACCGTGTAACTGCACTGTGGGCTTTCACCGTTAAAACCTAACGTAGCATCACTTAAGTTAATCAGCTTATTACAGTTCCTCCGCCACGAAGCGGCAAACACGGATTACAGATATGCATAAAAAAGTTCAAAGCTTCGATCAGGCAGCAGATCAATAAAAGGCGACTTCACGTCTTCACTTACCTATCGCGTTTGTACTGCTCGTTGGCTTCGAAGTAGCACAAGAAGTCACCTTCGTGGCATTCGTCAATGTTAGCCACTCGCGCGAATTTACGGTGGTAATACACTTGCTTCGGTCCACGGTTAGGCTCCAGAACGTTGTCATTGAACCATGTCACAGGGACTTCAAACAGATTGAACAGAAACTTGCGGACGTGTTGAAAAGCATTCTCCGGCGGACTATCATTTGGCAACAGCGGACGCGGAACTCCCCATTTTTTCAGCAAAGGCCCCTCACCGCCCGAATGCCCCCCGCCTATATTCATCCTACTGGCCTGTAAAATCAAAACTTGTTAATATGGCTCAAGTTCAGCAGAGCAATTTCGCAGATTTAAATTTAGATACCGATACCGCGATACGACAACAAAAACATGTTTAAATCCCACTTTTCAAACTGTACTGCAACGATGAACGATGGTTTAATATGCTTGTTGACTTACGTGTTACGGTATCCGCTTTTATTAAAAATCCAAAGGCAAGCCTCCGAAGAGACGCTTGTTTAGGGCACAATCAAAGCTAACCAAAAGTTCAAAACTATGAAAATATCATTTCTTTTCCTGCGATTTTTTTTAAAAATTCGAATTTTAGAAAGATTTTGTTATCATCGGGAATCTCTCATTCTCACGCTAGCCCAGAACTGGCAGAAGCAGATGAGCTGAAGAAGGATAAGCAGTGGAGGCAGGCCATTAAACCTGGGACATCGCGAAAATTACTGTACTTACTTAAACATGAGGGTTTTACAGGCGATTATACAACATTATCGAATTTTTATTTCTGTAGCCAGATATTTACTAAAGTTATCTAATTGTGGAGAAATTACAAATTCAATAATCAAACAAATATTCCTCAATTACTTACACAAAACATTTTATGAAGTTTAGAAGCTGACATTAATGATTTTGATGCTTGAATACTAAAATTCGCCGGCCCATTCGCACTTGCAGCTCCCTCTAGCAGACTCTGCTCTAATGTATCTACAGTGCGTGGCTGGTTTCGTTACACCGGGGCATCCGATCGCGTCTGCGAAAATGCGAGCCGTATTTCTCGTTCAAAGTGAAGAGTCCTTTGGGAAGTTGCTGTCGCTCGCCGTTTTTCGAAACCTGGTACTTACTTCTGTGCACCCTTTAAAGCGCACATTACGTGTTGTTATCAGTTCCGCATAGCGAACAAATAAATCCAGTGGTCACTTTGTTAGCCGTCAGTAATAATAGTAAATTATTTATAAATTGTTGACAATTGCACATGGTTGTACTTACTTTTTGACTGCAGTGCGTGACTTGAACTTGTAAAACATAATAGTCGAAATTCCAAACTTCAAGATACCGTTGTTGGCCTCGCCATGGATACCCTTATGGATCCTAGTATATCGGCAGCACAAGAGCTTTCTAGTTCTCACAGCGGTCAGGATGCAGCCGAACTTTTGGCGGAAGTCACCGAAAGCCAGTTCACTACGGTATGGAACAGTATATCAGTGCTAAAGTCATACCTGTCACCTGTGCAATTTGCAGCTTTGTTGTGATTGTGTTTTAAAATGTGATTGTGTAGGCACCGATTTGTCTGGTACTATCCGATGATGTGCAGAGGACATTCCAGAATGGCGATCCTTTAATTGTCGGAACATCGATGGAAGACATACAAACATTTTTCCAGAAAGTAATTTCCGAAGCACAAGTGGGGTACGTAAAATTTATGGTGCCTTTAAATCTGTACTTATTATTTATTTATTCAATTTAGCAGTAATTAAAAAAGTAAAAATTTGCTGCGTTTATGGAGTTTCCATGTGAAAATAATTTTCGCAACTATTGATGCAGTCGATGTAATATTACGTAATATTATGTAATATTATCGAATATTATATAATATTATGGAATAAGCGGTCGGTTAAAAGTTTCAAATCTTCCCGGTTTTCGGTAAGATGAGATGCGATCATGCGAGTAGTACATTTAAGTACTGTATTTTTCGATAAACTAGCAGCTCATTTGCGCAGCCAGTCCGCCGTCTATTTTATTGGTATTTTTATATCGAACATGCATGAAAAAAACGTCGCTGTAACGCTGCAAGTTGAGCTGATTTTTTTCAGAATGGAACAGAGCGGTCACAGAGGAATGGGCGGCGATGGCAGCCGATCGCGCACAGCGCGGACCATTGATCCAAGTGCGTTAAGTGTTGCTTCTAGAATTTTTTGAGACATGAACGAATTTCGGGAAATTGCAGACGATTACTCCATCAAGGCCGAACGGTATCCGGTGCCGTACCAGTCTATGGCACGAGCACCGAAATCCAAAAAGAAACAGCCGGCGACGGCAGATGACGAAGAGGATGTAAGAAAAAATCTTTCTGACGAATATTTCTTGGGGTATGCTTTGGTCAGCTGATTGGTTAACGCAGATCAACGGTCCCTACGCACACCATTTAAATTAAATAAAATTCCTTCGTTTAATTGAATGAAATCAAAGTTGAACCACGGTAAACGGAAAGCGGCAGTAACCGAGATGACCACTGTTAAACAGTTTGGACAGCGTAAATTTTCATTCGTAATTCCAAATACATAAATACGTAGTAATCGTATGGTGTTACTGTTACTTTGCATCTTGTAAGCAGATAACAAAAGCTTATGTACTGTCAAGATGTATCTAATTTAAGTAAAGGTCAACATATTCTTTACAGGTAGAGCGGAGCGAAATTCCACTGGATGCTATCCGATTGTACTTACAAGAGAAAAAATATTTTCCTGGATGGAGTGCCAATTCTAAAAGGAATTTACGCAAACGGTGCGAAGATTTTGCGTTAGAAAACGGGAAGCTAATGTACCGCACGAAAAAAGGAAATTTCGTGCACTGTATCGAAGATCGGGCGGAAAGAATGCAATTATTGTGGCAGCAACATTCGTAAGTTGCCATTTTGTTATGTTTCCTACTTCCGAAATTTTTATTCCTGTGTATGTCCCAAAACCATTCAAAAACAAACGTTTCTTTGTGATGCAGCATCGACCATCGTCGTCGAGATCGCCTGTTTCACGCCTTAAAAGATAAATACTACTGGAAGGGAATGCTTTCGGATATCAACACGATGGTAAATAAGAGTTTGCCAAAGTATTAGTATTTTTTTTATAAATGTTTACTTTTTGCAGCTTGCTTCCTGTGAGCACTGTGCACGTGTGAGACTGGAGAAAGAGCAGCTGGACCTGAAGCATAAGGCCGAAATGGCGAATATTCCCGAAAAACCTTTACCGCTAATACCGTTACCGAAACGAACTTCTAAAATTATGCTTGAATCCAAACTATTTGCCAAAGTTGAAGATGAGCCGAGCATCTTGCCGGAATGATGTAGACGACAGAATCTTTCGGTGCTTTCATGATACGCAGTACTGTTGGTCTGTGTGCCGTTGTTGAATGGTACGTCGCATTAATTTGTATGTGCATTGTTACTGTCATCTTGTTTCCTGGTACAGTTGCGGCTGTCGAGGAAGGTGTAGTGTGTATTAACACTGTGTATTACTTATTTCTTAATTTCTAGCTTAAATCAAACGGAAATAAATTTTTATATTTGGTGGTGACATTCGGACAAATTTTTAATAAAATTTGTAATCGTCTCGGATGAGTTCGCGTGTGCGTTAACAATTCTGGACGATGTAAAATTGCCGATCGCAGTGCAGTTGTGCAACAGTAGTATACTGGACGCATGGGTATAAGCGTACATCTTGTCGTTTGCCAAAGCGGCAATCGATCGGTGGGCTGGATTGCAAGAGCGAGCTTCACAATGGTTTCGCTATTGATTTGTGGATACGGTTCCAAATCAGCTAAAGCAATTTGGACAAAATAAGTCTGTAAGATTTTCGTGATTCTTTTATTATCGTTTTTCTTGTCAAAATGGCGGCGAAAACGGATTTATTAGAAGAAATCCTACGTGGTATAGTGAGAGAGGTGAACCAGAAAGGAAACCCGGCGGAAGCGCACTCCGTAAACAAATTGGCGGCTGATATTTTTGGTATGTTAGAATGTTACTATTGCATATGCTCATTTGCAGCTGTTTCGTACAGTATGTGTGTACCTATCCATGAATGTCCAGGATACCTTCAGCCACGCAAAGATTACTTTTCTGGCGAAATCGACTTCGAATGCCTGCAGAGAATCTTCCAGTTTTTGCGTGTCGTGTTCCATACCGAGCAGAAGAAGTTGCAGCATTTGGGAATTGGATGCATGCAGGTATGGATTTTTTTTCCAATGCTTCTGTTTTAAAATTACTCAAAACCTTGTGTGCTTTCAGCGGCTACTAGAAGATGAACGATTTAGTCCCAACAACTTGACCGGTGAAAGCAGGCATTCGTTCCCGGAAATGTTCGTAAATGCGTTGGCTGAACTTTGCCTAGAAGGTTCCGATGACACCGTTGTTGAAATCTTGCGGGTATATGTCTGAAGTTTGAGGCTTTTCTAAATTTGGAATGTATTAATTTAAATTAACGCTAATCTTAAAATTTAGACCGTACTCGGACAGCTTCCAAACTACACGATACTTAATTTTTAACTCAACACAGGTTTCCTTGCAACTGGCTTGCCAGCCGCTGTGGATGCAGGATCCATATGCGCTTATGAAGATCATCATGGTATAAATTATAAATTTATATGCAACGGAACTGAATTTTTCCACGTCATTACGTTGGTTTTATATCCGCACTTACCAATATTTTTGTAGTTTTGTATGCAAGTTTGTGGATTACGTCGGTCAGTCAACGTGAAAACTGCCGCTTCTGCCACCAATGTCCAAGCCGTGACATCGTTCTGCAAAACCGTTTTGAACAATGGTACCGTTTTTTTTGTACGCCAGTGCGTTGTTCACAATTACATTGATACATGATAGATAATAACAGCATAATCATTTGCAGCAAATTCTGCCGTCGATTCTGTGCTGCCTTCGGATTTTCAAACTGTTCTGACATTCTTTGGAGACAATCTGGAAAATCTGCAAAAGTGGGTATTTTGCTTAGCTTGAAATTGCATCAGTTGCAGTACATTGGTCTACCGGAATGTTGGAGCACGGGTTTTTGTTCCAGCTTTTCGGACGATATCAAAGGGATAGAAGTTTTACGTACAACGTTATTATCCATTTACACCATACTGCGACACACATCGAAACCGATACAACATCATCCACAATTTCAGGAATATGTTTGGTGAATGGTACTTTTTTATGCTGTATGAATGGAAAGCCGGAACAGATAGTCGTATTCTAAAGGATATTACAATTTCCTCTAAAATAAGGGTTGTGCTCTTTGCTATACGCAGGCGCAAGATAACTCCAGCATTATGCCATTGGTTGGGAAAACCGGCGGAAATGTATATGCAGTCGATTGCGCGTCATGTTCAGGCCGCTGCTGGATTAACCAATACCAACGACATGGAAATGATCGAGATCAAACTGATTGCTCAGTAAGGGATCAGAAAACATTCGGGATGGTTTAACAGTGAGAACGAAAACACTATTACAAAAAACTCCGTTTTTTTTGCTGAGTAGTGCGATCGTCATCTCGAAATCCCGAGCGATCATTATTGTGTAGCGCAATTTAACTTCATCTTTTCTGCGTACATAGAATTTTTGTACATTTGGCGCGAACGTACAGCCGTACCGATTCCATGCGGTGCGTCCTGGGATCGCTCCTTCAACGAATGGCTTCCGTTGTGTCTGTTCGTCAGCGTTTGTATACTTTAAGTAATTTAATTGAGGCAAGTGGAATGTGACAAGAGAAGAAGAAACCGGTGTTTGCTATGATACATATTTCAGGTGTTGGATTCGCCGCACTTCTTGGCCGAATTAGAAGGACCAAATGATCATGGTTTTATGCCGGACACATGTCTTATTGCCATGTAAGTAAAAAAACTTATCGATATATCAAAAATATTTTTTAGCACTATTGTTCCTACATTTTCACAATTTTGATGTAAATTGAGAAGATAAAATAAAATCCCGAACAAGAACTTCGTTTCCAAGAAAAGAATGAAAAGTTTCAATCAAGAGAAGTAGCAATGTTACTTTTGTTAGCCTGTTCTGAAATGTGAAAGACGGAACAAGTTGCGCAAATTTCTAGACCAAACAGCGCTTAAAATTATTTAAGTGAATACCAGTTGAAATTTCAGAGTATCGGAGACTCTAGCTAAATTAGCTCGAATTAAGCATCACGAGGTGGAAACAGTGTGCACGAAGTTGGCGCTGGCCTTCCTGACCTCTCTGGAGCACCTCATGGAAGGGACTGACCTGGCTGCCGATCAGGTAGCCGGCATCAACAACGCCTTCGCTCGCCTGGGCGACACTTCACCGCCATCAGTGGAACAGTTGGAAGAGCAAGCGGAACGACTGGCTACGCAGTATCAACTGCAAACGGCACAGTCTCTGGAGGAAGCCGGCGCCGGGGATTTGGAGAACGGACGCAGCCGGCTGGAATCGGTGGACAGTATTGACGCCGTGGAAGAGGAAGGTGAGCGACGCGGAATAGTAGAGGCGCAGACATCCCTCGAAGAGAAAACTGAGAAGGCGGAAATACGCTTCGGGTCGGGGCTGGAGACTATATGCCCGCCGCGCACGGAGCACGACGAAATCGACAGTGCGGCTCGTTTTCTCAGCCAGTTGACGGTCAGTGTGCGGGGAATGATTAGCAAGATCAGTACGGTGGAGGTGGACGAGGCCATGCAGCAGTTTGCATCGGATTTTTGTGAAGGTGGGGAGATCTTATTGCACCCGAGTGAAAATTACACATTAATCTATCAATAGCAGTAATTATTTTGATTATCTACACGTAAGAGTACAGAACGTAAAATTATTGTTGCTTTTTTTATACGTGCAGAATATGCAAACGCTTATTAATCTGAGGGACACATGCCTCGTGCACTAGTTTCCGGCTACTTTGGCTGGCCATTTTTCTCTCGTTTATGCTAATGTGGTGTCACGGATTATGGTAGCTTTGTGCCTTACTCAGTTATTTACAAATTACGGATCTTTCTGGTTTTACCGATCTTATTTCCTTTGCTTTTAGATGAAAAAAATTTGTATAATGGAATTCCTTATGTGAACGCCGATGCGGTATATGTGGCGACATATCAAGTCTTGCGGTTTACTGTCAGAGGACGCGATAGCCGGTATTACGGCAGACGTCTGACCAAGAAGTCAGGTAGAGCTTTAGAAATATACAATCGTAAAATGACCTTGTAACTATATTTTTGCTACAGCCCTTCTCTTATTAAGTAATAGATCCGTCGTTCTGCAGATGCTGTTCCGCCAATGCCAGAAAAAGAATTCATCAGCGGCGTGCTGGGATGTGGACTTCTCGTGTACATGTCGCATGCATGGATTCGGGAAGTTCATCAGACTATCCTCGATGTTGATATCTTGTCTGATGCCGGGTACATGTTAAGCGAAAATGAACCGCCCCTGATTCAAACAATACGAGGTTAGGAGTCTGGAGTTGCCTGTTTTAAGGTGTTACAGGGTTTATAACCTATATAAATTAAAAATTATTCCTTTACCTCTCCGGTTTCACTTTCCATGTAGATTTTATTGTCATCAAGGTTTCATACAATTTCGGTTAGATTCCCCCTAGTGAGCGCTGCCGTTTGTAGAAAGTATTAAAAAATCCCAGGCAAATCAAAATTAGTCATTAAATGTGTGCTTTCAGATATCGAAGGCATTGGGAGAGATCACCCTTACCTGGGAGACTGTGTCCGGTTAGAATCCGTAACCCGGAGAAGCCTGAAACCGGAGCGAGATGCTGGTGAGTTTTCATTATTATTTAATGATGATGAACCAAAGAAGTCGTACGAATTTCCTGCCAGCTTTTCTTGTTGGCTCATTTACTAATACCATTTTCATCGTATGCAGGGACAAAGCTGGCGCGTTATCTAGTTGGACGTTGTTGGAAAGGTTTAGAAATGAGTCTGCAAAGTGTATTTTTGGATTTGTTTTCCCGCACGAAGTTATTGTCGATTAAAAAAGAGCTAACGGAAGATGTTTTACAACTGATGTGCTCCGCACTGGGCGGTCTGCAGCGGTACGCTGACCTTTGTGCGCGACTGCGTAAGTTCCTTCCTTCATTTTTTCAATGCTTACTTCCCGTAAACCTGTTCTTTCACACAGATTTGTTCGATTTATGCAGCAGTGCCTACGCACTGTTAGCGCGGGTGTGCTGTTCCAGTTTGTATCCTTCCCCGTCATTAAACACCGCGGTAACGCCGAACCCGTTGCTTCTGCGCCTTCATCCCTGGAGCGTGTTAAGTATTGATGTTGTACTTCGAAGGAGCCTGGAGATGGGTAGCCATAATCCGGAATGTTGGAAAGCTTTTTTTACGTTAGTCATTTTAAGAGCACTATAACTGTGCATATAGTATCTTTTTACGAAATTTTTAGCTTTGTGCGCCTTAATGCATAAAGGTGCATACAGGATTGGAAAAGCATAAAATGCACATTTAAGCTTTCGAATAAGGGACTTAGGTAAAAGCGGTTTTCCTGCTTTTAAGAACTTTATGTTAAAATAGGCTTAGCATGGCAAAATACGCGCATAAGACAAGAGAATATCAAGAGCATACAACGCGTTTCCACAGACCGATCTTATTAGGCGCTTGCAGTGCCATACGTGATTATATTACTTAAGTTTTTAGCATCTTTGCACAAAATGAAATTCAAATACAGTCCTAAATTAAAACAGTGGCTTTACTACGCTCGCTGGGGACTACATTTAGGGTCGCAAATATACACCCATGTCCTGTCCATATTATGTGGAGTTATAGAAAATGATATACGTATTTTATCAGAATTTGATATTTATAAAATTGTTAATAATCGTTGCTTTATTTTTCAAATTATTGCAGATGTTATTTATACCTGCATCGACTGGAGACGAAATACCTTATGAGCTCCAAGTCGGCGAGTTTGACGAAGCGAGAGCTCCAGGACTGCAGGTAAGAGTACCTGTGCAACTGACGATGGATATTCGACATTCGTAGAACGCCAATTGTACCAGAGCTTTAGTTAAAGAAAAAATAATGGACTGTTTTGTGGCATCTGCGTTTGCGGCAGTACGACCTACTCTGAAATTTGTATTCCAGCTCCACGGTGGCCGATATCACAACGCGATATATGGGGTCGGCAGAAACTAAACCCAGTGAAGCTTTGGATGTTGATCACTCTTACATGGCGCTCGGTGCTTTGTTAAATTCCCTGGACCAGTTAGTAACTTTACCTTTCTTTATATACACTTGTAACCACTTATGCCTGTCTAGGATTTTCCTTCACTTTATTTTTATCCTAACATATGCGCATGTATAACCCCAAGATTTTATAGATGTTTTGTGGAGGCGACGCAGAAGCTGAATTTGACCAACCTATGCAACTTCATTCGAACTCTTGGCGGTGTACTTCTGCGCGTGGATACTGAGCGCATAATGTTGATGGAAAGGCTGACAAATGTGGTCATACTATCATCGAAATGTGGCCGTCCACTTTTACATGTGATGATTGTGTGGGCGACGGCTATTCCCTTTTTGTATCAGGTAATAACATGCAAACGATGATCTTTTGACTTTTTGAGACGTTTAAGTAACCGATTGCTTAGACTGCCGCCAGTCGTACCCCGGTTGTATCGGAAAAAGCCGTTTCAAATATTCATGCACTGGTCGCCGCGCTGACATCTTCCGTAACGGAAAACCAGCACTTTCACTTTAATGAACTTCAGTTGAAACCGTATGAAAGTTTAGTATGCACGCAAGTGTGCAGCACTGAACTTCAAGAGCTAATCGTTTATTCTTTGTGCAATCTTGTGGAAACTTCCAAATCTGATATAAAGTGAGTTTTAAATCCCTCATTCAGTAGCTCGCCAAATTAAATTTGATGGAACTACATGTTTGGTGGAATTTCGGTTAATTTTTTTGTTGCTTTCCAGATCTGGTTGGAAAAGTTTATTTTGCACACTACGCGGTATTCAGATTGACTCCAAAAGCGGCAGTTTATTGCAAGCCGTAAGCGACGTGTACGAGGTTTGTATATAATTATAGCCGTTGAACTGCAGTCAATCTGGACCACTGCGTTCAACGTTATTTTTGTAGGCATATCTAAACAGTGACAGCATCCGCATTTACACGACTTCTTTATGGGAATGCATCCAGAGCTTGTTGAAACTTTACCGCACCGCTTGTACGAAGATATTGTTCTTGAACCATGAAGTGACCTTTGTGAGATTTATTTTTTTACAGTGGATTCTACCACTTCGGATTCTTTACCGCTTTTGGGACAAAATGCTCTGAAGTACATCGGCCATTCCATGCAGCTCATGTTTTCTTTGCATCTTATGAGTGATTTTCCTGGACTCGTCGAAGCAGCCCGGTATGTGTGCTCGGTTCGCTTTCATAATAATTTCATTAAAATTAATGATTTTTCATGAGATGTATACATTAGCAAGAGCCAAGAGGTGAAGTAAATGCACTTTATACAGTATCTTGAGCAATACTGATAATAAGGTTGTGGTTATTTGCAAAACTTAACCTGTTGATAGATTACTTCCATAATGTTTTTTATAATTAGAAACCACTTTCAGGACAATACTTGTTATGGCATTTGTTATTTTTACAGAATTCGTGCAATGTTGGCGCCAGTCCAAGAAATTGATTTTGTGCTTGCCATAGCGTCAACTACGGAAATGCTGGAAGAACATCTTCTGGAACAGATATACGTATGGATTCCAGGTGTGTTCGGAAGAAATAAAAAGCCATTACAAATCTTTGCCAATACATGCTTAATCCTTTCAAACCCCCACTTCCCACAATAAATACACAAATACCCAACTGAACTCGTTAACGCTTCGACCATGAAGATCTTGTTCTCTTCCATGCATCCTTGGTTGTAATAATATACAGTATCAAGCTTGTGTGGTTTTTTTCCAGGGGAAGAAACTCGTTCGGAAATTCGGACAAAATTTTTTACGCAGAAACGTTCGTCCAGTGTTGACGTGGAAGCCGTGATGGAGTCCATGTGGCAATGGAACGGCAAAAAGGGAATTTTAATGGCCGTCCATATTGTGGTGGATGGTCTGATTAACGGATTGAGTACTTCATGGAGTGCAGTAAATTCATACGCTGTCGAAACTATCATAGAAGTCCTGCGCAATGGTGCCCGGCAAAAGCAGTGTAAATGCAATGCCTATGTTTGCAGAAGCAAGTGCATTAAAATTGAAACTAATACAGTACTGCATCATGCAGATACGAATTTCTGTTTGCTGATAATATCAACTTCCCTTGTGCCGGTTATGCAAAAGATGCTACGAAGGAAAAACTCTCGTCACGATGGCCCATTCCAGCAACTGATTGGCCTGCTGACGGAACTTGTTGCAGATATCTTTGCCGCCAGCGCGGAAGGTACTGTACTGTTGTTTGCTACTTAATATTGCTAATTTATAGCGTATCATCGTTTGAAGTACCTAGCCGCATTTTTGCGTAACTTAAAACCAGCGGTAATTTGGATTGTTTTCAGGTAGATAACTGGAAAATATTAGTTTGCGAAATTGCGATATTACATGATCACAGAACAAAAAAGCCCATACTGGCCCATACTTACAACTTGTGACCTTTCTAGACCTTGCCAATGCGGAATATCATTTGGATGTCATTTTTCATTTCCTGGCCGAATGCTTATCCTGTTCCCATGAGGCTACTGTTAAACTCGGATCGTCATGTGTTAGGCAAGCCCAAAATTAATCCCCAACACTCTTTTTCACGCACATTTTGTGGTATTAAAGGATACTGGAAATGGATAGAAAAGCATAAGTTTTATGCTTTTAGACATCTGGTGACCAGGATGGCAGATCTTCCTACGACAGTTTGCCGGGAAAGCATGGTCCGAAATCTGCTAAAGGTGGTTCACGTAGCCTTCGTTCCTTTGCAAGACTTGATGTCTTGCTACAGTTATCACTCCAAAAGTATCTACGGCGACACGGCGCATATTAAAATCGCCGTAACCAATGATAGTTCGTTTATGGAAATGCAAAAGATGCGACAAAATGCATATCAGGTAATTTTATCGTAATCCTAATGTTGCTTTGTTTAGTAGCCAGTACTAGTCATGCGGCATGTAATCATGTTGATTGTTAATTTAGATCTTCCTAACGGAACCCCAGCGCAAAAATGAGTTGAATGCCGCCATAAATCCAGACACGAGCGCGGCGGGCAAATCATTTGCATTTTTGGTTTATCCATCCGAACTGGACTATCATGTCAGCTCCAATTTATTTTTGAAGCGGTAAGCAGACTCGTGAACAGTACTATCCTATCTCGTATTCTCTTATGACAGTTTTTATGCACATACACTTTTGCTGAGGCTGTCATTTGCTTTCCTCTCCTCTTTCGATCTTGTCGTTATTTACTAAGGATTCCCTTAAATACTGTCGAAATTTTTCGGATAAATTTTAGGCATAGGTATTTTGGTGGACAAAAGATTGCAGGATATCCGTTTGGGAGTTAACGCAGGAAAAGGATAGAAACCTTGTGTGAATCAGTATTAATTTTATTCTAAAGAGGACAGAAACGGTTGGCAGACAACCACATACAATCTAAACAAATCATAAGTAAAGAGTGATACATTAGCCAAAAAAGGGCACTTCTTGCTTTGCCGGAAATGCCTCAGCATTGCACATTAATTTTGTCTGTCGTTTTTCAGAATCCCGGTGGATGTGCTGGTCAACAGTTTAATGTGTGCATTCCAGACGCTGAACGTGCTTCAGTACTTGTTGAATTCCCACACCGAACCATGTGAGTTTTCGCATTTGCGATTTCGTTAATCAATACAGCTTACATGCGTTGCAACAGTCATCTTTGTCACACCTCAGTCGTCAGAGATTGTTCGATACTTGTAATCGTTATTTGTTTACTAGCTAGCTTTAAAGTCCCACATTTTCAGTGTTACTTAACCTCTTTTTTTATTATGCGGTTTTAGCACGCATAAAGTATCTTGGAAGTTATGAACGCCTCATGTTGTTGTGTATAATTCGTCACATTTACACGCTGGCTTGCGATTTCGACAATCTGTCCGGATTAAAATTTCTTATAAAACGCGTCTTCTCCAGCCCATACGCCATCAATTTATGCCAGTTGGTGGAAACGAGCGGAAATCTTCACACTACGGAGCTAATAAATATCCTTCTTCTGCAGCGCAAATCATCCAGCGGTGTTGCTCTGTTCTCCGATTGTCCGGTTCTTAAACTGGAAGACGACATGATGTCTATGGAAGCGATGACCTTTTTTGAGCAATATTACATAAAGTGGGCCGAACATCTGGTGCAGGAATATCTGGCTACAGTTAGTAACAACGACAGAATCATAAGGCGGTGCGCTGCCTCTAAAGCGGAGACAACTCCGACTTCCATCCCCGAGCGCCTACAGGAAACAGAAAAATCTGAAGGATCGCCAGGACTGGTTGAAGTGACTCTTAGCGGTACGACCGCAGGCGGTTCCGCGCCAGAGATTACCGGTGTCGAAACGCGGAAACGGGTAATTTTGGAAATTGTTGAGACGATTCACAGGGAGATGAAAACTATCAGCGAACGCCCTTTGAATAGTGCCGATTCCGGTGAAGTTTCACGTAAAAATCCCTTTCGTGAATCGGTGACTTCCCCTCTGGAACTGCCCAGTGATGTGGCGGTAGAACTGCAAACTGCGATTGAAGAGGTATTTCTCAAATTTAGTCTACATCACAGGAAGTCGAAAAATATCGCCTTATCGCTGTTTATTTTAGGATGTGGCTATAACAATTTTGGCTAAAAGGCGGTTGATTTATACTGTTTTCGAGATAGCTTCCCTACCGGACAGCGAACGGGTATTGCTGGCTGTGGCGGTGTTGCGGTTGTGCAAAATACTGCTGGAGTACAACTGCAGCCCGGACGATGAAATGTTGGGCACAATTCAGAAATTTTTAATGTGGATTAAGAGCCGATTCTAAAATAACGCCCCGATTTGTTTTATTACGAATCATCGATTCATGACCAACGTCAGCGCAGTACAGTGAAATTAAAGAGTCAAATTAAGAAAAATTGACAGGAACCAAACATACAGTGCCCTTCTGGCAATTTTTTTACGTTCGATAATAAATCCATCAGCAGCAAAAACACATCAAAGCGAGCAAGTACCAAATAATAAAAGCCAAACGAACCGAAGGAATTAATAAAATGTGTAACCAAAATTTACAGCAGAGATTCATTCATGAATACTGCTCCATAGGCCATACTACCAGTGTGTACACCGTTCTTGGACAACCGGATAATCTCAGTGGCCAGGGGACGGAGCTTGGTTCTCCACATCGTCCGCCACGATCAGCGCTCCTGATGCTAAAGCGTGCAGAATGGCACTTCCGGGACAGGATTTACTGGTGCGGACGTGCCGTGATAGGCACCTTCTATAATCAGCACAATGTAAAACTCATTTAACAAAATTTGGTAGTTCAAAGCGAATATATAGCAAGTAATAATAACTATTAATAAGTATTTTACATAATATCGCTATTTATTTTTTCGTTTGCGTTGTTTGTTAAAGAAAATACTTACTTTAACAGGATTTTTCCGCAGAACTCGCATGACACGCGGTTTTACGCAAATGCGCTTCCTTATAATGACGTTTTGCGTCGTCAGCCCTGAAACAACATATATATACCGGTTATATTCCTTTTCCCAAAGTATTTAGGTATAATTACAGTGCTTAATTAATTCCTTACAAAACAAGGCGCATTAGCATGCTTAATCGCTTACATTAACTGTCACTTGGGGAAGATATTAGCGGTGCCCGGCAATGCAGTAGGCTACCGCTTTTAGAATTGTTAATATTTATTGTAAGCCGTGGAGCGGTGGACGTAAACGAATTAGTTACGGTAAGAGTTATTGGTTATTTTATATTGTGCAAGTAGCAATTTTTAACTTGAGATGAGTGACTGCGAGTTTCCGCTTCCGTGACAGCCTCCAAATCCACCCTTTTCGAAACAATTCCCAAAGAAATCAATATAATAAAGTGGCGGCTTGACTTATTTTTTTTTATGTTGCAAACATTGCTCTTTCAAATGAAACTAATGGTAAGACAACGTCAAGTTGTCAACAAGGTATTAGCCGGAAGGAGCGCGCAGCATGTTATATCAGACCACCATTTTACTCAGCCACCCGGTAACTACACAAATCAATTTATAAATTACTGCATACTGAAAATTACTGCATGCTCCATACTTAAAATTTTTGTTTTGAGAAATTGCAATGCTACTTCAGCTTCCGCAGACTTTTAAGAAATACTGTATATGCTGTACGTCTATTGTGTGAATTCAGTCTGCTAACGTATTGTACTGGTCACTACTGCTGATCTGAATAACCTGATGCCGCACTTTTCTTTGTACTAGTGCCTCTACCCAATCTGAAATACCCTTATGAACTGCCAAATTCTAATCTATGTCCTTAATGGCTTGTTAATTAGTGAATTTTCAGCGGCAGCCTTTGCAGGTACAAGCAGATGCTGACAGTCGCAATTCACCACACGTGCAGCTCGTATGTAGCAATGTGTATCATCCAGCTAGGCTACACTTACAACGGATAGAAAATTTTTGTTCTGAGAGATTGCTTGAAAAGTCGGGCCGGTCATTTGATGCAGCACTTGCTCCGTTTAATCGACTATTTAAAAATTTGTATCCGCCGCTCTATTATAAGTTCGCTATGGTCTTTTTACCTTTTGATACAACATCCTTAATAGTTGGTATGGATAAGTACTGCAGTATTACAGATCGGCATTTTTAACCAAATTATCATACTAAGGTTAACTTAAACGCGAGGCACAAATTCGCGCTGTCTAACCTGTTAAATGTCATGTTGCAGCTTTCCATCTTGCAGGGCATGCGTTCCATGTTTGTAAAAGTAGGTGGCGCCATGGTATGCCGGATTGTATATCTGCAAGCGTGCTTACTGGTTAGGTTCAAATTAAGATGGGTAGCGATGGGTACGCGATAGGCAAGTTACCGGCTACGAAGCATCAGCTTTACCAACATGAAGACAATCGTGCATGTAATCGTATTTTACTACTAGCTGGTTTTTAATTTAGCGCAACATATAGTGTAACACCATAGTCGAAAGTTTGATACTTCTATACTTTTGGCGAATCGCTACATAAAATCGCTAACGTATTCTCACAGATCAATAAAATATTTAACAGAGAAGTTTTATGCGTTCAAGTTTTTTTACTTACCTGCTGTTGGTAGTCCTTGTATAACGGCTAAATCATAAATCCGAAAACAGATTGGGGTGCTCGTAGAGGGTATCACGTACTACTGAATGGGTGCAACTTTTATTAATACGAACGTTACCCATTACCCAATGGGTAGCAGGGTTTTGACCTCTATCATATTTTAACAGAAGGTGGTTGATTTGGCAAGTTTTTCTAAAATAACTGTTTCGAAGAAAGTTTTGCCTTGCTTTTTGTCAGCTCTGCATATTGTATGCATTTTTTGCGCCATAATCAAGTTCTAGATCTTCCATTTGTCAGTTGCCATTGAACTGGTATAGTAGTGAAGAACACGAGTAAGACCTGCAAGAAACTACATAACATCAACTTCCTACGTCGCAGCTGTGTGTAGTCGCTTTGTGCACAGGACTGACCAGGTCAGTTCCGTTATTATTTATTCATCGTGGAGCAGGTAGCCCATTTCCGGCTAGGGTGACGTACTAGCTGGGGTTTTAAACCTGGCCAAACAGTAAAATCTAAAAGTACGAGTACAGATAGACAGAAAAAGACCCTTTAAACAAAACTGACACGGTTCAAAGCTTGCTTAAAAGCACCAATAGTAAGAATATCGAACAGATCAGAAAAATTAGAATCAACCAAAAATGTCCACAATTTATTAACCTTCCAAGCAAAGGTGTCTCAGACGCCAACTTTCTTCTTCGCTTCCGCTTGATCAGGGTGCGGTTTCTATTCCGAAGGTTGTACGGCTCGATACGGTCTTCAAATTCCACCATCTCTGTAATGTACTGCGGCACGTGGAATTTTTCCGGATTCTTGATCCAGTATAGGTACTTATTGTTACAATCGCATTTACAATTATTAGAAGTACCGTACTACGTATAAATACATACATATAGATATTATATAAGTTGTGTGGTGGTAAAGTTTAATTATCTATTACCCGGACTGTTTGACGCGCTGTGTGCGTGCAGTCGGTTTAGCCGTTGTCTTTGGTTAACCATAAGTATTTCAGCCGGACTGCCGGCTGTTTAATTAAGTATCTGTCCGGTTATATAAGATAATAATTACTATTATTATTATTATTACTGCGGCACAACAGCAGACAACCACAAAGGACTTCACGTCTGGTCGAACTTCAAGTCTGGTAAAATTCCGTAAAGGATTCCAAACTGAGAAAGTCTTCTGTGTCTTTCTGGACAAAGGCTATTTCCTTTACTCTGTCTGTAGTTCTGCTGTATCACGCAGTGACGCAGGTGATGATAATGGTCTTGCGGTTTTGTATACCGCTGCAGCCTGTAGATGTCCTTGTTCGTGGGGCATCAGTTTACAGATTTGTGAGCTGTCTTTCGCAGAAATTTTACTTGACATATATGAATTATGCTAGTCTTTCTCTAAATATTGTATCCGGATCAGATACAATTTTGAAAAAAACGGCAAAGGATTAAGTTCTACTTATTGGACCGCAATGCAATTCGTACAGCTGGACACCCGTGGAACCACGTATACTTCGCTTACTGCCTTATATGGGCTCCCCTTATATTACTCTCCCTTATCTGGGCTCCCGAGCAATATGAGCAACCCTCTACATTGGCGGTTACGTTATTACTCACAGTTTTGCAGCTGTTATCAGTGTATGACTGAATGAAAATTTAGATGTATGTACTTGAAATACTTATTTCGCCAGTACTTTTGTAGCATTGAGTTTGTATGAACGTTTGTGGCATTTTTTAGTTTGTTCATTGGCAAATCCGGTTGAAATTAATGAAAAATATATGTAGATAATATAATTATATAAATATAATTCGGATGTGAAATTTCGGAATTCTTTGATGTGCTCACTTGTAAATCCGGTTGAAAGAAGTAGAAAAGGGTTCTGCTATAAATCCGATAAATAATTTGACGGGTATTGCTCACTAGCCGGGAGCCCAGATAAGGTAGAGTAATATAAGGGGAGCCCATATAAGGCAGTAAGCGAAGTAGTTGTAATCTAAAAACACATCGTTGCGCTACCAGTATGTCCAGTAGTATCCTAGCATACTATCGTACTGACCAGTGAGTCCGACACATTTTCAAACAAATTAATTGCATAAAGCAATCGTTTTTTTTTTAAATTTGAAGAGTTCTTCAGTTAATCTCAGTAAGCGTTCGCTTGCCACTTATACAGTGCTTTTTTTAAAAGTCTGTTTACGTGATTATAACCAGTGATTATAACGTGATGTGTTCCTTATCACTATCTGACCCTTTTCAAGCACTTTCAATAGAAAAGTGAAATCGAATCGTATCGAAGCGTATTCGACTATCAGGCCACCGTACGGCTTGCGCTTTGCACTTCCGGTGTTCGTCTATCTGTGCTGCAGCGCCAGCTCACTCCAATGTCTGACCATTGACCAAAAACACATCGGCACAAACGGTCTACTCAGGAAGAGCACCGTCCCACACTACCGCTTTGCCGTATTTCCAAGGATAACATCTTAGTGACTTAGTCCATCTAGTTGCTTCCGTTTCCTCCGTTTTTTTATCCGTTTACTATTCACCGAACCTGCTGTGAGACTTTGTTTTGTTTAAATTTATCAGTTTTATTTCGGTACGAGTACAGGTACACGACTGCTGTCTTCGTTTGTGCACTGTTGGGTTCGATAACTGCTTATCGAAAAAGTAGTGCGTAAAATGCACAGCAAGTACCGAAACAATCGTGCACCGGGGCGTCCAGTGCTATAAACTAATAATGAAAGTACACATTTCCGGAACTTTATAGTTTATAGTACTTTATACTCATTACTGACCAGTGACTAAACGAGACCCCCATCGACCTCGGGACTTTTTTTTAGACCAAATCTGACCTCGGGATAATTTTCAGCGCATTTTTCTGATATAGAAACCATTTTTCAAAATGCTTTTTGAAAGAAAAAATCTCTGACTGCCGGGGCCCCTCAGTAATCTTGGGCGGTTGTAATGGCGCCGCTAACAAATCTTTTATTTTTGCATTTCAAAAATTTTTTCTGGGTAAATCGATATCGCTGATTCTGAATATGTTGTTAGAAAAATTGTATTAGTTATCTGAAGGAAGAATTTTGCGTTTTAAAAATTTTAGGTGGATTTTACAAAATTTTGTTTTTATCAAAAAATTTTCTTTGCTTCGACTCGAAAAAATTTTCTGGCAACATATTCAGAATCAGCGACATCGATTCACCTAGAAAAAGTCTCTAAAGTGCAAAATAAAAGATTTGTTAGCGGCGCCATACAACCGCCCAAGATACTGAGGGCGGAAGCCCCAGCAGTCAGAAATTTTTTCTTTCAAAAATATTTTGAAAAATGGTTTCTATATCAGAAAAATGCGCTGAAAATTATCCCGAGGTCAGATTTGGTCTAAAAAAAAGTCCCGAGGTCGATGGGGGTCTCGTTTAGTCACTGTTACTGACCAGTGAGTCACGGTATCACTTGGCTCGCGAGACAGGGCCAAATCGCCAACTCTCAAAATACATGCCCAATATTCCAGAACATCAAAAAGCGCTTAAGCGCCTATACCGATAAATCAGTCAAATTGGTCACAATTAAGTAAATTGATTATTCTAAATCTGGCACCATCGGAATTAGGAACAAGAAAACTCGAAAGACCGTAAAACAATCTGTACAGGAGCACAGGACCCATTCATTCATTTTAAGAAGATACAGAGGAACCGATGGCATGCGTTTTTTCGAGCTCGTCAAGAATCGCGGCAGCATCCTAATGACAAAATCATATCACAATACCTTTATCATGGAGCGAGTCATCTGATCTGAATAAGAGAAGCACAACAATACTACGCTTACCTGTATGACGTGGGAAGGCATGCCGGTAAGTCTTGCGATATTTACACCAAAACTTTCTCGGGAAACACCTGGCTGAACCTGATACCGGAAGACGATGCCATCCTCTGATACCACGGCGGTCACTTGACTCAGTACAACACTCTTCACTTCCTTCTGGAGTTCCGCCAGTTCGTTGAAGTGAGTTGTGAACATGCAGTATGACTTCAAACGAGTCGCGATATGCCTGCAAAAATAAAATTACCACTCAAATTAAAATTAGAAAAAATCTAAGAATGAATTAGTTAAACTTTCTAAGAAAATGTTTTCCATCGTATTTTACCAACCAAAGAACAGGCACTGTTCGGTTAGACCCAAATAGTCCCAAATAGTGCGGAAATTTGAGGCAACCGCTCTACAAGATTAGTTCAAGGTAGTTCGACCACCTTATATTCTGCTGGTCTTCACTCAAAGTTAATATTGACAAACATAGAAAGACACCTTTTAATTACATAAGCACTGAAAGTCTAAAACTCAAGTTCAGCACCTAACGATATATTACTGTATTACAGCAAGTTATAAACACTAAACACTACCGATCTCACAAAAGTTTGCATGATTAGCAGAATACGTAAACACTGTCAGAATACCCACTCCGCTACAGCATAAGCAAGTCCGTATCCGTCGTAAGTAGATGTTCCCCTCCCAAGTTCATCAATAATGATAAGCGAATGTTCCGTGGCCTTCTTCAAAATGTCTTGAGTTTCTAGCATTTCCATCATAAAGGTCGAGACTCCTTTAGTGACACTGTCGCCCGAACCAATTCGAGTATATACTCCGTCAACCAAGGATACCGCAGCAGAACTGCATGGCACGAAGCTTCCCATTTGTGCAAGAATAATACTTAAAGCAACCTACAAACCAGATGCACCCTATGAAGTACCGTAATATCACCTACCATGGAACCTTTCCTCGTTTTCTTTGAATCGCACAGAATTTGCAATGAAATCCTTGTGAAGAAAGCTTTCGATGCATGGATGCCGACTGTCAATCAGCTCAATAGTTCCTGTTTCTGTTAAAAAAAGAAGCCCCCGTGAGTGCGTAATGGGTGTAATACGAGTTATAATTATACCGGATTATTAATCCTTATGCTTTACCTTTCGGAAAGATTTTTGGGCGCACATACGGAATGGTTGCTTCACATGCAACCCGAGCGAGAGCGCAGATCACGTCCAGAGGTGCCATTATTTGATTGAGCGTTCGACAAGGCTCATGGAAAGTAGCTACAGACAACAGAACAAGGGTAAATGTGCCATCATGCCATGGCTGGCATGGCACATGCTAATAATTAAACCTACTTCAGCTACCTGATACACTAAATGTTTTAAACATTAAATTTAGATTACTGGTTTTGACACTGTATATTCTCAGCCGATAAATTATTTATTATTCAACCAGTGATGTAAGTCTTCGAAACATAGATGTGCACTTTTACAGTAGCAATCCCAACAGCGTGCAATTAACTTTCTCGAACATCCAATAAGAAGGATCCTAGCCGCATCTGTTGATTTTAATTTTATCGCGGTTCAACAATCACCAAGCTTACCGGCTGTATTGACCAGCTCTTCCATCACATGCTGCTGGGATTCTTCGTATCTGTCGCGCAAGACCTTATATTCAGCATCCAGGCTCTTCAAATCAGGCGTTTGAAAACAAAATCCCGAAGTTTTATCCTTTTTACGGATTAGTCCAAGTCGTGTCACATGTGGCCGCAATTTTTTCTCTTCCTGTACAATGCAGTTATGGAGATGTGTTATTATGCAAAACACATGATTAACCAAAGAAAAACTGTATGTACTGCAAAGAGAAGCGTATCCTTAACATATAAGAAAAGGAACACCGTCACTATACTTTGTAACTTTGTTACAGATACTGTACTAAAATCTGTCAAAGCAACATACAGTATAGTAGCTATCAAAAACGGCATTTTCTTATACCTTAGAAGTAACCCGATACAAGTATCCATCTCGGCGATCATACTCAAATTTTAATGCTTTTTCTTTTTCCAGCTGCACTTCCTTCGAAAGTTTAGTCCAGTCCTTTTTCATCCGCTCCAGCAAATCCTCTTGTTGCTCACTCATTTCTGCAAGGAAGACTAGTAAACGCACCGAATTCTTTATAGAAAAACACATCTTGCACAGTTAGTTTGTACTATCATTGTAGAAAAAGCCGAATAATACTACAAGCTATTTGAATAGTACAGCAACAGAAAATGCACGATACAGTAAATCTTTCATTTGATTTCTGTTTCATACAAAAGTACCTTCCAGCTCAGGCGTAACATCAGGTCGAATCCTGTATTCCCCGGTTTTCTGGATATAAGCGACATCAACGGTCTGCTTAACCAACATCCGATAATTGCTCAGCATTTCGTAGAACGACTGCAGTTTCGACGTGAACTTCTCCTGGACTAGTTGTGTACCACGCTCAGAGGCGTCTCTCAGGCCTTCTTTCAACGCACGGACAAGAGCCGGGAGCCTTTCGACGGCGACGAATATTTTGTACAAATCCTGCAGGCTGATCCTCTTCTTCTCTAATTTCTTGACCAAGGGCGCAAAATCGGGAAATTTCTTGACATAAGTGTCGGCAATTGTGGTACGGAAAGAAGGACTGTTGACGAATAATTCCACAAGTTCCAGCCGATCCTCTACCAACAAAACACTTATTTGTCTATCAAATGTTATAGTTCGGCGATCGTAGTTGAGAATTATTATCGTCTTGTGCATTTAGCAGCTTAGCACACGATCAAAAAATACGACTTTTTGTACGAATTTACAATTAACAAATTCTAAAATATATACATCTTCCATATTCTGAATTACACAATAACAATAACGAACATAAATATGCGGTTCAGCTCCCAAAATTCCTATATAATCCAGTTTTTACGGCGCGTAATGTTTACCGATTTCCGCAACACACGTCAGGGGATGAATCAGCCATCGCTCCATTAAGCGAGCTCCTTGTGGAGTTCCACAGCGCTGCAGCAGTTTCAGCAAGCTTCCTTTCCCTGAAGATTCAAGTAAATGCTGTTGACACATTTCCCGTAATTCACAAGCCGTGGATTTGTTACAAACCATCCGTCAGATCCAAGGCTTTGCGGACATGATGTGGAATAACAAAGCACTTGTTCCCGAGTTCGGATGTATCCGTATCGGCGTCCAGGATACTAGGGTCTGCCGTTGCATCCCATTCTGCTGTTGTAGTGTTCGTTCCGGCATCCAAATCCAAAACTTCACTCTCGTCTAAATCCATCACGTCAACTTAAGCCGATATAAATATCCTATCGTTCGTTTGGACCACAATGACAAAGCATCAGACCTGCAATCTGCAAATTGCAATCATACGGTCTGTACATTCATCCATTCATTCATTCACTGCATCGCTCTACAGTACACGTGCGTCTTACTTGTCTTACCACTAGCCAGCTAGGAATAATATTTTGAAACTTGGAATATGAAAGGTAATAATGTTCGTGCAAAAAATTTTATAACTTTTATTGGCCGATAGGTTTTTACGAAAAAAAAATCGTGGCATTTCCTCGCGGAAATAGTTCCGTCGGTCGTGGTATATATCGAGAATGGCCTAGACTCCAACTCTGACTCTGACTCTGATTCTGACCACTCAAACTCTGACTCTGACTACTCAAAGTCTGACTCTGACCGCTCAAAGTCTGACTCTGACTCTGAGGGTTTCTTAGGTTTCTTAATAGGTTTCTTAGGTTTCTTAGGTTTCTTAGGTTTCTTAGGTTTCTCAGCTTTCTTAGGTTTCTTAGGTTTCTCAGGTTTCTTAGGTTTCTCAAGTTATTCTTAGGTTATTCAGTCAGAGTCAGAGTCAGAGTTTAGACAGTCAGAGTCAGACTTTGAGTAGTCAGAGTCAGAGTTTGAGCGGTCAGAGTCTGAGTCAGAGTCAGAGCTTGAGCGCGGGCCATCGAGAATACATGAGATTTTCTATAGTCTATAATTATACGGCTTGTTTCTGAACAGTGTACGGGAGTCAGTAACCAAATTGTGACACGCACCTGTTCTGCAACAATTTTGGAGGGTAGTTAAGTACTATACAATGTACGACGAGAGCATACTATTTACAAAGCAGTCCATTCTTATTTCTTAAATTTATTGTTGATTTTGTTTGCCATACTGCTGGCCGCTGGCAAAATTTTGCCAGCTGTCTAGCAGCAACGTAGCTGAAGTACGTGCGGCGGCCCATGGAGCACGCTGCTGAATAAAATCTTCAAAAATCTGTAATTTTGTAAATTTTAGTGTTAAATTCTTTGTATAAGCTTAAAAATACAAAATAACGCATACCGTTAGGCAAAAAAACTGATTCTCAGTTGTTTTCGGGTTATTCACTGTGAGCCTTTGCTGCTAACATAAGTACCTGTCTACGGAAGACTCATTCGAGATTTCATAGGCGGCTATGCTAAGCACGTATGCTCTGAGTGCCAAACCTTGAGATCAAACCAGAAAATCAGTTATTCTTCCTAATAGTATATATTATTTTAAATTTCTTAAGCGCATATAAAAAAATTCAGCACGGAAAATAACAAAGTTACGAATTTTCGAAGATTTTCATTCCAGCAGCGTGCTGCTGGAATGAGAATGTGCTCATTTTAGCACCCATTTTCTGCCTGAAATATTGAATTTAGCCCCTTTGGTGTGGATTGAACCAAAATTAAAAATTTGATATTTTGAAAACACCCGTTAACAGGTGCATTGTAACTGATGCAATCGCAAACAGGCGACGGTTTAATGCAGTTTCTCACGGCTGGTTGTTTTTCTCGTACTTGCAAGATGACTCCAACTCGCTTGATCAGTCATTGTTTAAAACAATCCAACTTCAAAAATTTAGAACATGCTGCTTTCTGTGACAACTTTTGTCGCTGCCAAAAAATTTCAACATGCGGAATCACGCTTATGAAACGTTTAAGTTCATTTTGAGTAAGTGATTAGAATGCAAAATCGATTTTGTACGTTTTACTCCACAGCCACCGCCTTCAGTTTTTATGGTGCTCGGGAACCGGCAATCAGAATTTTCCCTTGACCGGTTTTAAATGAAAAGGCAAATTCTAAATTGCAAAATTTAAAATTAGAAATTCAGCATGTTCTAAAAACATTCAGCAAAAACAAATTCTAAATTAAAAAAACATCTAAATGTTTTTGGCTTTTGCGTTAAATGTAACTGCTAATATCCTTACAAAGTCCTTGCTTGGGTGATTCAGCAAAATTGAATGAGTCGATAACACACAAAGCTAGCGTTTCATTCGATGGAGTGTTGAACGCAACCAGCGGTCAGCGGCTTACTTAAGTAACTAAACCAACTGTGGATGGTTGCACAGTTACACTGCCAGCAATGCTAAACTACCCTCTTAAAAATGTTAACCATTCAAAAACAAGCCGTATATACTTAGTCTTTGTATGCATAACGTATACAGTATCTTTATGACCTAAACATCACGGCTGATCTAATCCTCCTGGAGGGATTGGATGGGCGCTATTCACGCAATTCGGTTCAATTTATGGACTTAAGCGTCGTGCTCAGTGGCAGCGTTTACACATCCAATCTGCCACAAAATCCATTGGAAGTTGTTGCTTTTCAGTGCCTAAGCGCAAGCCCAAACACGAAAATAATTAATACTACTGTATTTGAAATTAGAAATTTTAGCTTTTATCAAAAGGAGGGCTTAAAAGCAAAGCGCAGAGCGTATCGATCCTGATAACAGGTACCCGATTTTCTGTTATTATGGTTAAGATTTTATTATTGTTAGAATCTGACTAGCGTGTGAAACATTTTGTGAATTGTAAAGGTACCACATATCGACATATGCCTCGTTTAAGAAGAAGAATTGAAGATGAATTCTCTCACTGTACTAACTTTTATTTGACCAAATAACAAATGAACCTTTTTCAGATACCTTCCATATGTTACACTTTCAGACCAGCAATGAAGCATTACAAAACTGTTTTTTGTTTAAAATGAAAAGTCAAGGACCGTTTTGTCCTACCGAAACATGCTTACAAAGAATTCTAAAATATCAATAAATTATCTCTTCCACTTAAGGAAAGCCTTTCGACAACACTAACATGAGCACTCGGTTAAGACTATGGTTAAAACTAAGATCAACAATCAGGTTTTCACTTTGATCAGAACTAACGTTAGCACTCGGGTTATGGCCCGTCAAATTAGAAGTGGGCCGGTACAAGGTACTAAATTGTGTACATGCACGAAAAGTTAACTTTGCGCACTCCCAAACACATTTTTAGTTTTATTTTATGACATTCTGTTGCCAGATGATTTGTATACACGTTATGGCTGTTTGAAAATTCCAAAAGTTTACCTGCATTCCGGTACCAAAAGTCTCATTATGGACCGATCTACTTCAAATTTTGCACATAAATGCACACGGTCTTTCGTGTTTACAGCGATCTAGACTTTCATGATTTGCTTAAAATCTTAAAATGAATTTTAGAATTTTGAAAGTCATTTTAAAATTCGAAAAACATGCTAGATCAGTGGATCGGTGTAAAAACGATATTCATAGCCAGGTGCTCCCTGAACTGGATGTTGCGCGCAAACGGTTTTCACGCCCGTGTATACAAGTCATCTGGCTACAGAATGTCATAAAATAAAACCAAAAATGTGTTTGGGAGTGCAAGTTAACTTTTCGTGCATGTACACGAATTTGTACCTTGTACCGGCCCACTTCCTTAATTTGACCGGAGCCATAACCCGAGTGCTAACGTTAGTTCTGATCAAAGTGAAAACCTGATTGTTGATCTTAGTTTTAACCATAGTCTTAACCTGAGTGCTCATGTTAGTGTTGTCGAAAGGCTTTCCTTATGGAAGAGATAATTTATTGATATTTTAGAATTCTTGTAAGCATGTTTCGGTAGGACAAAAACGGTCCTTGACTTTTCATTTTAAACAAAAACAGTTTTGTAATGCTTCCATTGCTGGTCTGAAAGTGTAACATATGGAAAGGTATCTGAAAAAAGGTTCATTTGTTATTTGGTCAAAATAAAGTTAGTACGAGCGAGAGAAATTCATCTTCAATTCTTCTCTTAAACGAGGCATATGTCGATATGTGGTACCTTTTACAATTCACAAAATGTTTCACACGCTAGTCAGATTCTAACAATAATGAAATCTTAACCATAATAACAGAAAATCGGGTACCTGTTATCAGGGTCGATACGCTCTGCGCTTTGCTTTTAAGCCCTCCTTTTGATAAAACTAAAATTCTAATTTCAAATACAGTAATATTAATTATTTTTGTGCTTGGGCTTGCGCTTAGGCACTGAAAAGCAACAACTTCCAATGGATTTTGTGGCAGATTGGATGTGTAAATGCTGCCACTGAGCACGACGCTAAAGTCCATAAAATGAACCGAATTGCGTGAATAGCGCCCATCCAATCCCTTCAAGAGGATTAAATCAGCCATGATGTTTAGGTATCTTTATGTATGGATGACTCACTGCGCTCTGCAGGATTTTGCCCTCCGGAAAATATTAAACCACTCCCCTAAAATGGGCGAATCAAAGGCGCGTAACATTTTGGTTACAAATCTCCATAGACAAAGCAAAAACAAGACGTTAACACTATTCCTATGCGAAGACTAGTCTTCTTCTTTTCATACATAGTGTTAAGTCTGCATCTGTGTGCAGACCGACGTAAAATGATCAGCAGTTCAGCACTCTCCAATCAGCTGTGCCTGTGCGTGAAAGGCGGAAGCCATCTGGTGGCGGGCTTCTTTTCACCGCTTTGCAGCGTGTGTAGATTCGTTCAAGGTATTCCGCTCTGGAGAGTGACCTCGATGGCTCGATCGTTAAAATTAAAAAATTCTTGTAACTGTATTTTTATTTACAATAACTAGTATTAAGTGCTAAAACTGTTAATGGATTCCCTACTGCTAACGAGCTAGACCTTTTGAAATGAATATGTACAATAACAATGTATAAGTGTATGTGCTTGTACTGTACCAGCGCTTGTAAATGTGCAATTATTGTTATTTGGGTGTCTATTGCCAGTTTAAATTTTGTATAGATATATTAATCACTTTCTTTTAAACTATTAGCGGGGTAAATACATAATTATAAGTATTGTATGCATGGCCATGCTAGCCTGCTAGGCCGTTGCACTTCTATGAAAACACCAAATGAACACATTAATTATGCTATATTTAATTTAATGTAGAAAGTCGTTAATTTTAAGTCACTAGACTTACCGTATGACGTATATAGATCTAGTGAACAATTATATAGATCCTAAATTATCCAATCAAGGGGCATAACTTACGAACTTGTAAATTTTATCATTTCTTAAGATATGATCTATGTAATTTCGGTTTGCGGCCATGTGAGACATAAGCACTCAAAAAAAGGATCACCCTCTCAAAATAAACCCGGAGGCACTTCAGATCGTCTGCACTCTCACCGCAAAAATAAAGCAAATTTGCATTTTTGTAAATTAATACGTGCCGACTGATCGTCAAAACATTCCGTAATGCACCACTGACCGGCAGCAACCCACGACATATGTAAAATTTAAGTACATACATACGGAGGTGTTACGACCCCGAAAATGCAGTTTTCCACCAATACCGCCAAAACTCGAACGAAAATTCGAGTGCTCGGGCACATAACAGACTATTCTCGTGTGACTTGCTATATCACTGACGATAAGCATTACCATTTACCAAGCACAATACCACAAAATGCTATAAAATGTTAGCAATGTCCACAGCTGACTGTCTGTTAACGTTTCAGTTTACACAGCTTTAAGTTACCGTTAAGTAATCTACTTCGTTGTTTTTTATCAGTACAACTAATTGTGCACGCAGTTGGTCGTTGCATGTGGACCTATTTCTAAAAAATATCAAACTTAACAGATACTAAAAAATGACTTTGTTCGTGCTAATTAAACTGGCAGCGTTGATGTGCTGCCTAGCCAATGCTCAGCAGACGACAGGATTTGCCGGTGGAAGCCCACCTATGCCGCCTCCCGGCAGCAGTCAACCTCCCGGACCACCTCCTCCAAACGGACCACATCCGCCACCAGGCGGCCAACCTGGCCAGTTCCCACCCCCGTCAGCCGATGCCAACAGACAAGCTCCAGTAGGACCCAAGCGGGCAGTTGCCGTTCTGGGAGGCGCTGGAAACAATACCGGCGTGCATGGGTATGTCGTTTTCGATCAGACCATGCCTGGACTGCCCGTTCAGATTTCTGGACTCATCTCCGGCCTTGCGCCTAACAGTGAGTTACGGATCCGGATCATCCGGTTACAGCTTGGGAACATAGATGCATGCAAGGGAAAAAAGAGTTGAATACTGTTCAACACGTAAATTGACTGATGATTTATGCTGCATGATCAGTTCTGTTTTGCGAAGGTCTGCACGGATTCCATATTCATAATTTTGGCGACATACGGAATTCCTGTCTCAGTGCCGGCTCTCATTTCAATCCTTCCAACGAAACACATGGTGCCCCAACCGATGCTGTAAGGAAGAGCCATATCTATTCACTGATTTCTCTTCGTGGCCATTGAATTCGTATTCGTATAACGTTATGTCCAATGTGCACGTGCAGATCTGCTGTTTCTACCAGTAATTAACGACTGGATTGTGATCATGATTTAGGCAGATTTCATCGTAACTAACATCGTAAGCGGCTTAAGCAACTGTTACCGGAAGACAGAATGTTTCAAGTTCAAACCCTCTTAACTGTTACTAAACTTTGCCTATTTTATCGCATTAGAAAATATTAACTGTTGGTGCGGCATCTTATATATGTAGGTGCGCCATGTGGGTGATCTGGGGAATATTTTGGCCGACGGTAAGAAATAGTTGATGACCTCGATCACCTTTTGTAAACAGCGCAACTTTTGCTGGGCAGCCTAAAGAGTAAAGAGTACAGATTTTGACCATGAAATTTTTTATTCTTGTAGCTAATGGCGAAGCAAAAATCACGTTGGTCGACACCGTTATAACTCTGGGATTTTCCGAAACGTGTGTCATTGGGCGAGCGGTTGTTTTGCACGACAAAGTCGACGATCTAGGATTAGGCGGAAGCACCGACAGCAAAACTACTGGAAATGCAGGTACGGGATTAATTAACAACTTCGCACCGGATGTGCGTCGCTGATTATGTAAAACTATAAATGAAACTGAAAGAATTATTGCGTTCGAGTCGTACTAATGCATTTGGTAATCGTGGAAGAAAATTCCTCATGCATTACTGTTACAGGAAGTCGTATTGCTTGTGGAGTGATTGGGATAGCCAACAGCACGATTGTATGATCGCATCGACCAGGTGTGAAAGCATGAAAATGCGGCTAAAATGTTGCCCTACAAACTGCAAATTGATGATTGTGCCAGTGTGCCTATGGTTATTGTGTAATGTATAGCGATCTGATGCGGAACATCATTATTTTAACATTTTTAATACATAACCCTTATGGACCTTTTATTGTTCTTTTTTCGACCCGCGTACATAGGGCATTAGCAGTCAGTTTCGCATGTGTAGATAAAGATCAAAACGAAAATGTCCACATTCCGATAATCTGCATTTCAGTGAGTAATAAGTACCGTGCAGTCATCTGAAAACGGACACGGACAAGGCCACAAAATTGCTATTAGCGAATTTGGGCAAGCGCCAGCATTGACAGTAGTATTAGCACAGTGTCACGGCTGTGGCCAAACGCACTGCAGCCCGGTTACTTGGCCGCCCAAACCCGGCGTTGGAGAAAGCAGTAGCAATACTGGTATCAATACTGTGCAGGGCACTGCAGGCCCGTAGCGAGATCCCGGTTGAATTTTCGAAGTCATCCCTTCACACTTTCCATCAGGATTTTCTGATGATACGGTTGATTCACATAAATCTAAATGTTAGTTGAGGAGATTTTTGAATTTCGTTTCCCTGAAATCACTGCACGGCGGTCGGCCATACGACACCTGAGATTGTGGGATTTCCAAGTCACCCAATGCCCCAGCGCTCAGGGGCAATACCCCAAAATCTCGGGTCTCCTAGGTGCGACCGCCCGTGCAGTTGATTTTAGGAGAAAGCGAAATTCAAAAATCTTCAACTATTTTGTTTAGACCTACGTGAATCCAACGGTGTATTCAGAAAAAGCCTTTGATGGAAAGTGTGGTAGGAGATTTTTTAAGAAAATTTAATATCTGATATTGTGCACTCGTACACTACGTACAGCCGTACTGCAAAAGCGAAAACTGCCCAGTGTCTACTTTGTCAACCGAAGAAAAGTCAACTGAAACTTGAAAACCACAACTTCAAAACTCTCTGGTTCAAAACTGTGATTTCAGTATTGTTGCAGCTTTATTTTCATCTTAGTCTCGAATCCTTTTGCTTCTCTAACCAACTTTATTAAATGCATTCATCACAGCATTAATCTATCTGCACCATGCAAACTGCCAAACTGGAGACACGCGAAACTTCTACGCCAGTCAGGGTCTTTTACTGCTGGATAAGGATAAGTTATTTTTATTGTTAACAATAAAAATCCTTTCCTTGTGGAGAATAAAAGTGTAGCACGGACTGTAATCTTGCAAATCTATGTCGAAGTTTGTCGAATTACATAAAAAGCGGGTATTTTGAATTTTGAAATTCGTGCCAGATCGGAAGCGAGGCACGATGCGATTTTTACAGGGAGTTGAGTTGATGCGCTACAAATGGAAATTTCATGATCTTCTGATGGTTCGTTTTGAAGTCATTTTAAAAATAGAAAACAATTACTGTTAACATTCTTAAACATCCCAGAAAAATCTGCATACTTTTTTGAACATTTCTGATTTTGGCTCCCCGTAGGCAGTTGTACTCAGCTGCGAAGGCAGAGGGAGAAAGAGGATGACCGTAGTTTGTCTTTTCTACGGTCAATGCCAGCTCTGCATTGACCGTGCCGTAGCTTTGAAACCGTAGCTAAAGACGATTCGGACCGACAATCGGTCCAAGACCAAAGGATATGGCTATGGCCAATGCTACGGTCGAAGAGTGCCCAAATTGTCTATTTTTAATGCTAATTGTTCAACCTTACTCCTTCAGTATCCATCACAACCGAAAAACTGTACGATTAAGTATCTACAATAATCAAAATACTTTCGTCCAACTTCACGTAAATAATACAAGTGATCATACATAATTTCGTCAACGTAAACAATAAAAATAATAAGGCAAATCCTATACACCGTATATCAAAATCCTATACTCTGTATATCCAAAGGAAAGGTCAAAAGACCAGCCACTTTACTTTGACGTTACTTAAAAGTATGACAATTTCAAAAGATAAGTCGCTGCTCTGCGTGTTCCATTCCCCAAGGCCAAATGAAATCTCATTCATCAAACGACGACCATTTTTGGCAAATCACTCCAGTCAATCGTAGGCTGGAATTCTTCCGGAAAGAGTTCTGCTGCATGGGTTGCGATCATCCGAAATGCCTGATAAATGCCGTGCTTCGAGGCTCCACTGATTCGCACAAGATCTTTGATCTGTACTTTGTCGTGACCACTGGCCAACGCCACAGCCAAAATTGCCGCACTGCACACCACATCTGGTCCCCGGTTGGGGAATAAATCCTTCTCCTTTGCCTCGCTTGCCACATGCACGGTCAGCTTTACGAGATCCTTAGGCAAGCACAAACGTCCGCAAAAGCGCTCAACCAGTTCGTATTCGTCGCCATCCGACGCTCCATCCTGCAGATCCAACAGACCCAAAATTTCTTTGTAACACTTGCCCACTTGTCGTCGGGAATACGGCGACGACTGACAGATTTCAAAGAATGTCCTCGGCATCTTTTCAATGCGGCTGGCTATAAACAGGCATGCAATGCCCAGTGCACCCTTGTGATTACCAACCACTTTGATCTTTTCGTGCACTTCCTTATACACTCCGTAAGCCGTTTCGACAACCGCACCTGCAATAAGAGCAACTGTCTTCATGCCACGGTTAACGAAAATTTCCCCCATCACCACAGATAATACAATATACTGTACAAGTATCACAATATTCTCGCGCAAGTAAATTTTATTCTCGAAAGATAATAGCACATTACATTCACGAAATTAAGAAACACTTTCCGCACCTGTACAGCGCTTGAGCGCAGATGTACAGTACAATATATTAATACAGGCTGCGCTTTTGCGGCTTCTTCGACATCAATGACGCCGCTTCGTAAAGCGGATCCAAAATTGTTTCTTAATTTCGCGTAGATACTCGATGTCGATAGTACTTGCTGTTTGCATCGCACAAAGGGAAACACGGATATTATTTGTGCGATAATTAAACAAATTTAATTCTTAGGCCAAACACGAGATATAGCTAGCCATTAATACTTGTGGAATTGCCCAAACAAACATAAGCAAACTAAACAAAACATTAGATTCTTGAGTAGTTACCTGGCAAAGAAATACGATCGGCTGCTTCGGACATACTGCGGAATGCGGATCGCAGTGATCGATTCCTGGCGGATTCCACGGTACACCTCACATAAGTCGGTCCCGAGACGTTTCTTGATCCTTCAGGGGGACCTATCATAGTGGTCAGATCCCCGTTCTCAAAGAACGGTTCTTCCGGGAGGCCAACACGCGACTGATCCGGCCCTTCGCCGAAGTTGCGCCATTCTGCGCTCGTATCGATAATGCGGTCTCCCACCACCAGCCCGCATTCGCTACACACCACATCCCCAGTCTGCGCGTCGGAAATCAGCCTAGACTCCGGATGGAAACGACAAGTCACGCGCAAATTCCGTGGCACTGCATTACCTAGAGGAAAACTGTAAACGGAAACAATTCAATGAAAGATAAATTCACAGACATAAGTAACGTGTTACGCGTTACACTAAGTTCCAGTGTTACCAGTACCACAATCGGGCCAGCATTACGATTTCTCCTGCTCGAATTTCACTGACCAATCGAAATCGCGGTCACACTTGTCGTAAAGTTAGATCTACACCTTATAGCCTTACCTCATATTCTCGGCAATACAAGTGAGACCCTGCAGCTTCTGAAAATCGGGTAGAGAGTAGAGCGCGAAGCTGTCGTAGATTTGACCCTTGTAGTGCACTCCTTCTTGCTTGAAAATCGGGTGTTCCAAATGCTGCCGTCGGCAGGTTATACCGAGACCCGGAACTTTACCTCAAAGAACTCAGTAATGGTTGTCGGGAATATTTACAGTAGTACTCCCTTTAGCTTATTCACGTCACGCTTTCTAATTCTTTCAGATCCCTAAAACTCATACAGTGTTCTTTGGGCATAAGTTGCATGTTGCCCCGTCAGAGAACCTATATGGAGAGCTTCAAGAAACGCAAAAAAACGATTCGAAGTTTCAAACATGGTTAATTGCGTGGTAACTGGCGCACCGTGGGTGTGCGCATTGGGTACAGCTGGTTACGGTTGATGCTGACCGGTACGATGAAATCGGTTTGGATCTGGCGGGCAACGGGATAATCACAAATTTTCACAATCGTTCTTTTGATTGGTATATAAAAATTAATATTATAATACGGTATTACTTTTAATTTTCATACATATAATTCTGTAGACGTTAATTTTGCGAAAGAGCAACGTCTCTGGCAGAAATCAAACTGGTAAACCGTAAATCAACGTTAAAACAATTCGGTGACTGCAAAAAAAACCCGACCGTTATGAACCAACCGGTTTCGGCGCGTTCGAAGCTTTACGAGTCAGTGCTACAGTAGTGGAGCGCGGAGCCTACTAAAAATTTTATTTTCCTATTTTATTTTATTTGCTTGGCGCATCTGTTTTGTTTGCCCATATAACTGATATGAGATGGGACTGGGAGAAATCATCTGCTGCAGCAGTTTGCCTTTGGTTTACGTACTAACTGGCTGCGGTTGTTAATTTATTATGGACGCTTTTGATGGTTTTGTAAAAGAGTACACTGGAATTTCGGTCGATAAATTTGTGGAACGAAACTTTCGATCGGTGGCTTTCTTCTTATCCCATTGTCACCTGGGTACGTCAGCTCTCAACTGTGAGCCTGTGGCACGAGGATACGAATAGGGTTTTCGCAAATTGCGAGATTCTCTTCCCTGCAGCTGCACGTTTACTGTTACTTAAGCTTTTATCACCGTGTTTTTCAGACCATATGGCAGGACTCGCGACGGAATCCTTCGAAAATTTTCTTAAAAGAAGGTATTTTCTAATAATTTTCAAGTGACTAAGTCACTAATACTTATTGTATCAATCATTCCTCATTCGAAGTTAATTCTAAAACTTTGGTTTTAATTTTCGTAAATCGTAATGAGAGGAGACAGTAAATTTTCTGCTGTTTACAGCTCATATATGTGCACTTTGTGCAGCTTAATAAATTTTGCGTTGCAGCGCCAATGTTAGTATTTATTGCTCAGAAGTTACAGCGGAACTGCTTCGATCTAACAGTAGACTTGCACCTTCCCGGACTGTGTTATCACGACTGGTGAGTTTTCATTCGTCATGTCGATTTCGGTAGTATTTCGAGACTTCGTTATGTCGATTTAGTAAACGGCGAATCCGTGGGTAACTTTGGACTCTAAATTCTAATCGTCCAATGCATTACTCAGTGCATAAACAACCATACAAAATTTAATTATTTGTTCGTAGTTTTCGTTTATTTAACCAGCATTCGGCAGTTTAAGATTTCCGATTCCCCAGGTTTAAGTTTTCTTCCAGATTTCCCTACCGGAATATTTTCCATCGAACATAAATATTTTAAATGGCGACAAAAAAGGAACCGTCTCCGTTACCTTAATACCGGCTGGGCACTGTCTGGGATCTGTGATGTTTCTGTTCGATGGCGATAAAGGAAAAGTATTATACACTGGAGATTTCCGCTATTACGCTGATCAGATTGAGAAGTGCGAGGTGTTATTGAGTCTGTCTGGCACGTTAACTGCGCTATACCTGGATACGACGTTTTGCGATCCCTACAGTCGCACGTTTCCCAAACGGGAACAATGTATCCGTGGTGCTGTTCGGCAAATTAAAGAATGGACGTTGAATACAAATGCTGTGATTTGTTTGGATTGTCGTATGGAATACGGTTATGAACCATTCTTCGTAGCTTTGCACCAAGAGTTGGGCGAAAAGGTTAGAATAATTCGAAATCCTGAATACATAGTAAAACCACTGAAACGGGGCTCATTGCAAAACCTTTTTTTAGATCCACGTTTCGTCGAAAAAATATTCCCTGTACAGAGGTTTGCCAGAAATTCTGGACGCTTTGACCCTTGATGGGGATAGTACGCGTCTGCATCTATGTGCACCGGTAACAACTGAGAAAATAGTACTGTCTTATAGAATTGTGTGATCTCAGGTTTTCATATTTTAGGGTAAATGTATTAGGACTCAAAGGAAAACTGACCGTGAATTATGCACAATCAAACTCTGTGCACAGACGTTTGTCGTTCGCAAGCGTTGCGGACAGCTGTACATTGCCAACAGCAGGCTTTCCTATAGTTATTGCTACTCCATGCACAGCTCTCTCGACGAAATACAAAAATTTGTGGATTTCCTTAAACCCGACAGCATAGTTCCCTGCGCTGTTCCACACAGTGCCACTGTGCACACGGTGCGTGTCCTTAAATTGAAGTCGCGAACAGACTGGATTTTTTAGGTGCCAGTGTTCCGGCATTTTGTATGACTACCAGTGACACGATTATCTACATATGTTATTTTGATATTAATACGAGTATTATTCCAGTTTGTTTAACTGATGGGGTACATTGTTTTTACAGATACTAGGGTATTTAAAAACTTCCGACATAACGGAGGCGGAACCAGTCAACATACCCAAGATCCCATTTCAAGGACCGACTTTCTCATTAAATGATGGTTCCAAAAATGCAGATATTGAAAGAAAAGATTGCATCGAAGAGGAAATGCTGAGTTTCGAAGACGAAGTTGTTTTACCGCGAAGAAAGAGGATGAAAAATTCATGACATTACCTAATTGTTTTTTTTTCACTTGTCAGAGGTTTCTTCTATTGTTGGTTGTTACTGCTTTAATGTGACACATGTTTATCATAAGATTTTGAACACTTAACAAGCTTTTCGAGAGCATAAACATGAAAAATCGGTTCACGCTTTACAACTGTTTAAAATGCATAATTACACAGGAAAAAAAACGTCGACCATGAACAGAAAATTCGGGATAAATACTGGAGACGCAGTAAACCCAACATAGCAAAAAAGCCTAAAAACTACAAAACCTATGCAATCATACGGCAAACTGATGGCTAAGGGCGTTAATCCGGAAAAGCTTTAATCCGATCCGGAAATTTTATGCTTGCTATTTCGTGCGCACTTGCAAGGGCGAATGTTTATGAATGGCATCCGGAAAACGCTGATGATAGCGCTCCAGTTTGAGAAATTTAACGGAAACCAGATTTCCATCAAAATACTGGTGCTGCAAAGCCATGTAAGCGCTTCGGGCGTCTTCGTTGCTGCCTAATTTTACGTAGACAACACCCTGCAAAAAAAACCATGAAAGGTTTACAAGCAAAATAATATTTAAAACTGCAAAGCAACAGTCAATTAAGGAACTGAAATACAGCTTTTCTAATGATCCTAGATCTCTCACCTCTTCCGATGCCGGTTCCACGCGGACATCCAGCACTCGGGCAACACCATGGCATTTCTCAAGCACGGCATCCTCAATATCATGTACCCACGAGCGGTCAGCCTGATTTTCCGTTTTCCCGTTAAACATTCCCCGAACTTTCAAACATGAAGTCGCACCCAACAGCTGCTCTGGTAACGGCTGACGCACACTCAAAGTTGCTATAAACCAGGTCGTGACCAATTCATGAAAATATCACTCCTTATTTTAAACATTTCAAGCATAACAACGATACTAAAAAAGAGCATGAAACAGAAACAACGATGCACAAAAATTTACACGATTTACGATGCAAAAAATTAATACACCACAATCATAACCTTATTATTATGGTTATAGATTCACTCACTGTTACAAAAGTAAGTATGCGTTTTCGATGGCTTCGAGTTGTAGGACAAAGTTCATAAGGCCATACTTCGACTGTTTGAAGTCAGTATGTATAGAGCACTTTCATGTCTACCACTCACCTCCGCCACTCCAAATACGAGCCTTCACGTTGGACAAATTCAGTCCCGCAGAATCTGAATTTGTCCGGCTGTTAGGAGCATCTGCAACATTAGGTTGCTTTCAGTGAAATTATTCAACATTTCACAAGAAAGTAACCACGCCATAACTTTTCAGTGAAAGTTTTTTTCAATGTTGGCGGTAGAAACACTTTTGTTCTAATACCTCGATCACGCTAACTTTACATACAGAGTACAATGTACATGAAAGCCGCAAGCTGGTCAGTATATTTGTGCATGCAGTTGCTTTCTTCTGTTTACCAGGCTCAGTTGAATCGGGTTGAGGGATTGGCATCTGATCATGCAGCCAAGTCCATACATCGAATTCCTCCCCATTAATGGCCTGCACTTCCTGTTTAAGGCGCGATTCGTTGTTGTGGATATACTTCACCGCTTCATCGAAAACCGTAAGGAGCTTAGCCCGATCTCTGCCGTGTGGGACCAGAATCTCTCGAATATGAGAAATGGCAATGTAGGGTTTAGAACGGGGGTCCTTCAAAGACTGCTCATAATTCTTCTGAACCAGGCCTAGAAGTAATTTTTATAAAACAATGAAATCAGAATGAAAAATTCCTGATGCCAATTGTGGGTCATCATGGCACTGGCACAACTTACAGACTATTTTGTTCACCATATCGAAAACGAACTCCTGATGTCGAACTCGCCGCTGCCAATAGTTTCTGGCCAGTATCCCAAGTGCAACAACCAAGCCGATACCTTAAAAGGTAAATGTAGGAATGTCAACTACTCGACCGCGGTTATTTTTTTGTAACTGAGAATACTTACCCAGGGCCAGCAAGAAGACTCTGAACAGCACGCTTGCTACAGCCTCCTTCAAGCGGCAAAAAAAATCCTTAGCAGCGTATTCGCTTTCGAGATACTTGACATCAGGAACAGCTAACGCGGGATTGCCAGTAGTATCCATTGCCCTTAAAAAAATCTCAATAGATCGATACAGCATCACGCCGCACGCGTATCCAACATGTTAAAATTATGTTTACTTTATTCCCCAGTGTGGATTAGCAACGATTAAATCAATGGCGTTTCCAAAATCGACAGCCTGGACGTTTGGAACATGGTTCAAACTAAAAGCTTTTGCTTCCTGAGATCCCATTCCCATTTTTTCATTGTCATTGCAAACTGCATCTCCTGTAAAAACGACCAAAGGATTCCTCACTTAAACCAGTTTGACAACTTACAAAACCACTGGATGTAAAACAGACCTTTAATCTGGGCAAGCTCTTTCTGTAACGCAGACGCAATGTTCAAAGCCGCCAGTATTTCTTGCCCATTATAAAGTTTTCCATCGATGCGTGCCGGAATCAAGCCAGCGTCGTAATCACTCTTTTGATACAAAGTATCCGCTACCAAATCAAAGATAAAAATCATTGTCAGTCGCAAGAAAACGGATTGAGTGCGAATTACCTTCGGATCGTCCTTCCAACTGATAGCGCACAATGCGACTGTCGAGATCAGTAGAGCCCCATTTCATCCGAGCATACAGCACCGCAACAACGACGAAGAAAGCGAGGGGTCAAGAGAATAATAACCAGCGAAATTGACCGTGACATCCACACGTTGTCTTCCAATCGGCTGCGTCCGACAAACTGCAACGGTCGCGGACGAGGTGGACTGTGGTGCGTAAAGCGTTGCTCCTTGCTGGCCATCGGCGTCAAATGAATGGGATCGCGTCGGTGGTCGAGACTGTCACGGGATCCGGAGATGGACCCTTCTGCCCTCTCGAAGGCCTCCAGGGGAAGACGCCCCAGTGGACGACGCATTCGCACTCCATCATCCCGAATCGGCGTAACAGCCCCAAAAGAATCCTCCAGGTTGTGAATGCTACGCTTATCCGTTGGTGTGCTCGTCTTTGGACCTTTTCCCGGCATCGTAAACCAACGCCCAAACCCGGATGAGAAACGGCTGGGCGATGTGGAACCACCCGACGAGTCAGTGGCTGAGATGGAATTACTCCAGCTCTGTCCGTTTAGACTACCACGAACCGAAGTTCCACCTAAAAATTTAAGATATAATTACACCTACATTAAAAAAAATGATTACAACATCCAGAAACTTTCGATGTTTCCTCAGTAACAACTAACCCGAAGTGCTTGTCTGTGGGCGCACGACCCGCTCAACCACTACATCATCTTCTTCGTCAGAACTGAATGCCGCGCCGGACCGTCCTGCTTTCTTTGGAGAAGATGAATGATGCAAAGGGCGGGCAGCTGGAGCACTGGGGGATGATAGCGGTGTGCGAGCGACTGCGGGGCCTGCGATAGTGGAAGACCCGACAGTCTGGCGACTGCGCAACGGACTGCTAGACCGGAGCGGACTGCCGCGCTTTCCCGCAGAGCCAGAAGCTCCCATCAATTTTGCCAGACGTTTTTTCAGTGTTGATCGCGTACCGTCCGTAATCGGGGGCACATCTTGGCCAAATTGCTTCAGCTGATCGCGAAGTTCCTCGTCAGACATGCCAGCTGCAAGCTGCGCCGTTGCCATTTTTACACTTTTGTTAGTCCTTCTACACAATACGCACTAAAATCAGCGGTCTTTGAATTACTACAAAAAAAAGTAAAAGTCAGTATTCATAAGACAACATTAGTACCTAAGGATTCAAGCCGCACTGCAAAAAAATAATGTGTTCCAATGTACCATCAGTGACTGCGTAATAAAATCACAAAATGCGTTTTAAACTTGAAAGTTAAAACGCATACAAACTGCAGCATACGGATCATGCTCTACGTCACAAAGAGACATCGCGCATGCGTGCGTTCCAGCTTCCAGCGCATTTGCACTGCGCCGTCCGCTGAGTCCAGACATCCAGAGCCTGAAGAATTCTATGACTCACCAGTCAGTAGTGCTCTTCTCTATCCAGGAATAGAAAAACCCTTTGAATTTGGTACAGTAGTATTTTTTATTTTTTGCCTGTTTTAATCGGATGGCTACCGATTAAAGCAAAACGAGATTAGATAGTGACCCGCGGAAGTTAAACTGTAAACAGTTCCTGTCAGATCAGGACAGCAGCTCAAACTCAGTCTGTTATCATATGACTCATTGCCGTGCCCTCGTTAACAATAGGAACGTGGCCGTCAAAAGTAATGTGGTTATTCTGTAGTAAGTAACTGTAAGTACAATGCTGCAAGTGTAATCAGTTTTTTTTTGTTTCGAGACGACAAACGATTGAACGCTTCTAAACCAGAGTTTCGGATTTTAGAAAATGTTTCGACAACTGTTTAATGCGATAATCCGTGGAACGAAATCTCAGTGAATGTTGTCACTTCAACTTGTGATATCATAGTTAATCCCGTGCCTAAATTCTTCGCGATTCCTGGATGACTCGATTGGACGGGTTAGTTTACTTACATGGTTAACTTGTTGATATTTTTAAACGACTGATGCGATGCAGTCGGCTATCCTTAAGCGTTTGTTTCGCCATGCACTTCTCTTCTCAGTGTGTTGAATTTCAGCTTCAACCGTGATGTTGTTTTTATCCTCGAATAATTTTCTTCGAAATCAAAATGGCCAAGAAACCCGTGCCACCTCCAAAACCGAACCTGTTTTCCCCGCGAAAATCATCATCGTCGAATCTCGACGACTTGACTAAAAAAGCGCACTCCATTGAAATTTCCAGCCCCTTCGCGACATTCAACGAACAAGAGCCGCAGTTTTTCTTTCCTATCTCGCGGCCACTCCATCATGTGAAAACGCACCAATCCGTCGCGGCGAAAGGAGTTATCGAGCCGCTGAAAGAGATTTCTTCGGAGCGGCGAACTAGTCTTCCCGAACCCACAAAAAAACACCACTCCAAGCCTGTTGTCACAGCCAAAGAGGAAAAGGCTCCATTACGCAACATCTCATCCAGCACGGAAACATGTCAGCGTGTGGAAAGTGGAACAGTAGCGGAAGCTAAACGCAGATTGCTGGGTTGCGCAAGTGCCAACACTAACGCGACAACGGCGCTGATAACGAGTAACGACGCTGCGCAGTGTGCGCATGACCAGCCCCGCTCAGGAATGCCAGTCAGAATCAGAAGCCGTACGGCGTGCAGCAATCAGCGCTTATCAGATGTTTTGAGTGCGTGTAGCAGTACGATTCAGGTCGAACTCGACAAGGAAGGCGATACTGCTGGCGATGATAAGGAGAGCGATCTGAATGCGTCGCCAGCTGAAGCTGAGTTGTCATCGCGGCTGTCAAAGCGAGCAACTGGTTTTGTGGGGAAAATGGTGGCTGAACTCGAAACGGGAGCTCGTGAGGAATTTGCCAGCAGTGCATCGCATTCCGCGTCGGTTTCTTCGGATGCTAAAGGTACGCTGCTGTTGTACGATTGCTAATTAGACTCTAGTGCACTGCTTTTTTTCGAGTGGCTGTAAGTAGTTATGATTGCTGTTTTTAGAATTACAAAATGAATTAGAAGTGTCTACAGTACTGACTCGTAGTTAACTTGATTCCGATATTCGTGTATGATTGATATTGTTCCCATGATTGCTTTCTGAAAAGGAAAAGCTAACCTGGTAAAGATCGTTTGAAATGTTGAAATCGAAAATGAATTCGGCCTACGTCTTATATTTCATAAGAATTTTGTTTCTTAACTAATTTACTATTGTTGAGCTGTATACTCTCACAAGTTACCTATTGCTGTGCAGCACGAAGATTTTGCTCGTTTAATCTTATACTAGGGTCTTTTCCGTGGCGTTTTCTCTGTGGATCTGAATGCGTACATCGTTATAATTTTTTCTAGCGTTTTAAAATGTCTTTGTTTTGCATTCTTTGACTGTTATAATCTTTTACTGCTTCCTCACGATTTCTGTGGTATGATTCGACATATGTTTGTTTACTTTCAGGCGAAATGTCAAGAAATTCTCTGGTAAGCGAAGATGAGTCATTTTCCGACAGTGAAAAATCGGATACCATGCAGAAGGTGGAAAATGCCTGTGCAAGTGCCTCATCTGCGAAAGATCTGAATACTGCTACGGAAATGGTCTCAACGGAACGGGATTATTTGCAGAGTCTTAAGTTGATACTTCGAGAATTTCCGGCTGCAGTTCAGGTGATTTTTTTGACCGTTTTTTAAACCCTGTGCTCAAATTTGTGCTGAATCAGAATAATCAAAATGGTTTTAAAGGGCTCAATTCCCGCTGATGAAATCTCAATGTTGCTGAAGGACCTTCCTCAGTTGGAAGAATTTAGCGAAGAGCTTCTCAAAGATTTACAGGAACATTTGGATAATTATGTAAATTCGAGAACATGAACATTAGAACAAGATCATTTTGCTGATTATGTCTCCATTTACAGGAACAGTCGAGATGCATTGCTTCTGTATTCACCAAAAAGGGCTCGTTTCTTTTAGTTTATGTCACTTACATTAGAGATTATCAAAAGATGATTGATACATTTCATGCTCTGAAGAGACGGTATCCCAGTTTTGCGGAAAAAGTGTCCAAATTTGAGGTGCGTGCCCCCGTTGTTTGTTTGATTTTGACGCATGCCTTTATTTCTTTGGTGAAAAAGTCGCTGTTTCGAGATTTCTTTCTGTAGGATATTGATGAATTGCGTAAAACACCAGTTGTAAAGAGACTGTGTGCATAAATATGTCTGTGGTACAGCTTCTTTGGCCTAAGTTTACCTTTCTTCTGTTCTTTCAAGTTGGTGTGATGTTTAGCAATCCCCTTCATGCAAAATGCTGCCATTGGATACATTTTTCCTCAAGCCGGTGCAACGGCTACCGCGATATCCATTGCTGTTGGGGACATATCTGAGTGCACTGGACGAGGCACATCCTGATCGAGAAAACGCTAAACGTGCGTTGGAGCAGTGTTATAATGCATATTTTAATAAAACGCGAGTTATTTAAAATTATTTTTATGATTTGATCAGGTGCATTGGATCTCGTGTCTGATATTACTGGCAAAGCCAACATCAGCCTGGCGGAAATTGAAAAAGCTTCGCGCTTATTGTGGTATCAGGCAAGAAGTGCGGGCTACATATTTCTCAAGCCCAATCGAAATTTCATCAAAGACGGGACACTGAAAAAATTATCGAGGAAGTATATCGAAGAGCGAACTGTTTTACTTGTAAGAGAATTAAAATCTTGAATCTTTGTTTGCATTGTTATTTAGTTAGTATTTTCTGTGTCTTTTTAGTGCTCGGATGCTGTTATCTGCGGAGAATTTGACTCATTCAGCAAATTCACCGTCAATGCGGAATATCCTATAAACGAAATTAAGGTGCGATATATTCATACACTTTTATGGCTATTTTTGTGCGACCATACGAGGACAGTACTGTATATTTCAGTTTTTGCGAGGGTAATGCGGAAGGGCTGTTACCGACCACGAGCAGCCTTCGAGTGATTTACGTTTCGCTTCATTTCTTTGGGACTGTTAATACTGAACAGTTTTCGAAGTTTTGTTTGCTCTTGAAGGTAGACATTCTGGACGAGAATTACTTTGATCGAGATCTGGAATTTGGCATCTACTCCAAAGTTGTTTCGACGAAATCCTCAGCATTTCAAGCCGCATCCATCGAAGAGCGGAATGCGTGGATGAATGCGTTACGGCGTGCCATAGAAGAGAGGCAGAAACTGGGAATTCGTAGCTCACACAGCAGTCAGGAATTAGTACGTTTTAGTTATTCATGTGTCGTTTGGAGTGATGTAATTCTTATTTTACGTCTGTATTAGAAAATGGCATATGCTCCGATTTGGATTCCGGATTATCGTGTGCGTGCGTGCCAGCTGTGTAAAAAACCTTTTGGACTGTTCCGGCGCTATCATCACTGCCGTAGTTGCGGCTACGCCGTGTGTAGTGGATGTTCGCCGCATGAACTGGAAATCGATTACAAGGATCGCCGACCCAAACGTGTTTGTTCGAAATGCTTCCAGACAGCTAGTACTAAAGATGATGAGCGCGTACTATTGACCGACGAGCCGTCATAGTGCACAGCTGTACGGCACGACTAAGATTTTTTCAGCCCAGTGAATTTGCTGTGATACAAGTTATTTTTCAGTTTGAAAAATACCTTTTGAAAATTTCGAAACGTATGGTTTTCCGTGTGACGTATATAAATGCTCAAGTCATATCCTTTCGACGAGGTCCGAATGTTTATGTTCAGAATTAATATACATGTACTAATGTAATGTGCATACAAAGTACCCTCATACGATTGTTAATTGTACCTCTAGTCAAGTTGAAACATTCACTGCGGCCGATTTGCCATCAGGTGAAGTAGCCGAGGTTGTTCATACCGCACGCGCGTCGGATCATTTGATGCAATCTGACCAGCATTTATTTTTTTCCAACCAAATTCCCAATATAAAACGCAACAAATATACATAAAATTGTCAAAATAGCGAATCTTTGCCGATGCTTAACAGCGATTTGAAATGATATTAGGGATCACATTTGAACCTGGATGTGTTTTGCACAAACTGGCGCTACGAACAGCTAAAAGCTTTGCAATTATCAAATTAGAGCATTAAGTCAAAAACAGAATGAACAAACATCACGCAATCCTTGTCCTGAATTTTTAAAGCTTCCTAATTTCTTTTTAAAATTTAAAAGCCTCCACTAATATGAACCTCGGTACGAGTGATTCATATTGTAGGCCTGGCATTCACAGATTCATCACTGAAGGAGATTTGACGGTGGATTTTTTCGTACCGTAGCCGAGAAACTATGGCAGTGTTTCGTTCAATGCGAAATCCCCTTCAAAACGCCGACAGAAACCATGCATTCCACTGTTCCGTTGCATACAGAAACATGCACTCTTTCAACATTAAAGCGGGGACGCCAGCAGCGCATGCTAAATCACCTCCTGAAATAGCGAAATCCAGACAAACGGATAACGGGGAAATTAAAAGTATAAGGTGACTTGCAATCATGAGCTTTAATTTTGCAGTAGGACTGTCCGAGGCAAACAATCAGTCACAAATACCAAATTGCGGCAATTGTCCCACATTCATGGCATACTGGCAATTCCATCAAACAGAAACCCTTCAAACAAACAGCATCGCTGCTACCGAATCCAGTTCAGTATCAAACTAATCGATGACTCCTGTCGCTCTGTCATGCGATTCCAATCAAACTCATTAAAATTTAAAAATCTGGAAGCACTCTTTTGAATAATATCTGGCAGATAAATACAAGTGGACAGTGTCCTCCTCTGAATCCCAGAGAATAACACTTAGTCAGCACCCGTTCAAGGACTCGATCAGCCGGATAACAGTTTGGACACAGCGCAAGCATGACAGGAAAAGACAATGGTAAGTAAGGCCACTAAACAACTTTTCCATATCCAGCGGAATGGCCAAAAATATCACGCGTCAATGAAATTATGCTTTTGCTTGCGTAACGTCATAAGTTTTGATGCGTTGCTTGATAATGGACAGTTTTGTACTCAAAAACTGCCATCTTCTGCGCTTTTTCTTGTAGTCTTCGTCAGCTTTGAGGCGAGTATAATCGTCCTGAATAGTCCGGCAAATTGTTCGGTACTCGGCGGTGCCCTTCTTAGCACTGCGCAAGGTAATTTCCAAATCAGAAAATCGTCCGCTGATGCGGGCCATTTGCTCATGCAGTTCTTTGTATTCATTGTAGATAGCATAGAAATCCTTTTTGTATGACCGACGCTGTTCTGGAGACTTCACTTCACCGTATCGACTAAAATGGAAAACACATGACGTTAATGCTAGGCTTGCTATTCTACCAAAACTTCTGGCACCTGCTGCGCAAAATAACCTTAACTAATAAGACTTAATCTTGTTACATTATAGAGTGAAATTACAAGTGTAAAAACCAGAGGGATTTCAGTAACCTATTTTACGATTAACAATAAAACTGCAACCGAGCAGACTTTTCAACTTACACTTCCATGGACTGTTGCAGCGTATCACCGCCATCAACGTCCATCGCACTACTTTGATCCTCTTGAGATCCAAACAAATCATCCGACGTCTTCTTAATTTTGTCCGTATTGCGATTACCGATTTCTTTCAGTTTCGTATGATCCGGTGGACTGGGCGTTGAACAAGTGCTGGAACTGCTAGGAGGCGGCGAAATCGCTTCATCATTAGGATGCGCCAAGAAAGCTTTTGCAACGTCCCGTGGCAACCGGTCGTTAGATTTGCTTTTTGGCAGACTTCCCGCACTGGCGCCATTCTCTTTCACCGCTTTACCGGAAGCAGACGATGCACTCAAGTTACTCGACGACATAGATAAATTCAATCCGGTCGTTTTTGTCACATTTTTCTCCATCACAGACGATTCAGTGGAAGCTGCGGCAGCAGGCGCCGCTGATACTGGACGATTATTTTCCATCATAGATAATCTTCGCTGCACGGCCAACACATCCGACGGGTTGTACAGTGGCCACTTTGGGTCCACCTGCTCCACTAAAACCCAAGATAAAATGTCATATTTTCCATCCTTAAAATTAGCCACTTCTCCAGCAATGCTGTCCAGCAACCCACGTTCTTCCTCACGAAATCCCCCAAATTTTTGCAGTTTCTGAAGCAGATCACCGCGCGACATGGGCTTTAAAGCCAATGCATGGATAACGCGCTCCTTAAGTGGCCGTACAGAAACTGTCTGCGGTGCTGGGGAGCGAGCGGATGGCAGGGGCGATGTGGAAAGATTCGAGGGAGATGCCGTGTTGTTCAGTGAGGTCGATGAGCCCACTCGGGAAGGCTGCGAGAGGGAGAGTACCGGATTGGATACGGGGGATGATGACGCAGCAAAAGCCGGCTTATGGGGATAGGCCGTGGCGGGTTTGATCACAGGCTGAGAGGCAGAGAGCTTCTTGGTGCTGGCACCAAAGAGTGGCGGCTGACCGGGCGACACGTCGGGACGTGGTTTCTTCGAGGGACTAAAAGCGGGCTCACCAGCGCGCTTTACTTTCACTCGATTACCCATGTTCGGACCATTGCGCGTGCTCTCAATCTCTTTGGCACTACAACAAACATCGCAACACGTCAACCACGGGCACCCAGTGTTGTAAATATACAACAGCGTGCACACCATTGTCTTTTGCTCTCTTCATCTGCCTGTGTCATCTTCTGCTTCGTGGCACTGAAAGAATCCTCGGTGGCGTGGATATTGATGCGTTGTTTAATATCACCCAAATGCTCGATTTCCCCTTTACGCACTTTCTGGATGCATTCAAAACTCCCTTTGGGCACATCGCTGGGGATGTCGGCGATAGCGAAGTTGAAGACATCACCAGACGGCAGCTGAATGCACTACAACAGTAACGCCTTGGTTACGCAAATTTTCAATCAAAGCTTGATGTAAAAAAGCTACCGCAACGCTCATGTCTGCCGACGTAAGCATAAACAGGTAAAGACAAACGAACAAGCTTGCTGCTCCTCTCTAAAGTCTTGTGTAATTGAATGATAATACCGTTCAACGTATTTTATGTTACGTACATGATACAGCAATAATCACGCGTGTACTAGTTAGTATATGGTCAGCAATCACAAGATGCACGATACGTGATACTCTGTTTTAACTCACGAGGGTTTTTCTCTGGGTAGTACGGAAAGATCAAATTAACCAGTCCCATAACAACTGTACGATGCATAACATCCCATAACAACTGTAGACAAGTTCAAACAAAGCGATGCAGTAAATTGTCAACATCCTGCTGTCTATATTTCCGGCTGGCATCATGCCGTAAAGATAATACATACTGCTAACTACGACTACGAGTCAGCCGATAAGGCCATCTAAATCGCACTCATCATGTTACGTCGAAGTCAAAATGCAAACGATTTACGCGAATGCCTATGATTTCCAGTAGAAATCACTTAATTCACCGAAGCACCATATTTCCAGTATTGTTTTCACGAATCAAGTTTTGTTGTGAAATCAAAGTCGCTGATCTAGTACAGTAACACTTTCTTTTTTTCCCTCAAAGACAGTGGCATGATCATAAAGTTAAGACCAGTTCCAACCCATAGAAAGTGAACAAAAAGCTACCCACTTCTTCCAGAGATCAACGAGGAAATTCAAGTTCCATACCGCTGCCGTAGCTAGCTGTAGCACTACTGGTACGTACTCATGATTAATTAAATTCTGCCTCCATAATGAAATACTGCATAATACCATGATTACAGCACGATAACGAAAGATGCCAAATCAACTTTAGCTGCTTAACCCATGCCACAATGCATTATAATCAGTCGAGCTGATCACGACACAAAAAACAACAGCCCGAGGCTCTGTGCGCATATAATCGAACATTCAAAAACGGTATGGCTTCCAGGCATCACATATAAATCCACTTTACCAATTTATCTACGTAACAAAAATGGAAACGTGCGCCATTAAACAATTTTGCAAATTTGACACTGCAAACATCATACAAAATATAATGGTAAGCTGTAGCATATTCATTTCATGTTACTCATATTTTCACAAACTATGTGTAAACCAAGAAAACAATTACTGTAAGATAGCTTACAACGGTTGCTCGCCTGGTGCTTAATGCCGTATTAGCTACAGCTAAATCTTCCAGAACAGCCGGACCAGCATTCGTCAAAAATGCTGGCGTCGTCTAAAATTTGCACTTGATAATATAATTTCGATTCTTGTATAATTTTCGTTCATTCTAAATAATAAGTAAGTACGATTTCCCGTAGGGATACGTCTGTATGTGACAAAAGCGAAAACACTAGTCGTTTGGAAAAATGTCGTTTGCTTATAATTACCTTATTACCTACTTCTTACTGCGAGTGTGCAAACGAAACCCTTCATCAACAGAAAAAAAAAATTCGCAAATTTTTTCAAAAGTTCATCAAAAACCGAAATTTATTTGAGGTTCCGTTGTGCCAGCGCGAGTCATAACAATCTGAAGCGAATATGGATATACCAAAATTATTTCCGCTTTCCGAGTATAAACAGTACTCGTGCATATTTATGTATTTTTGGGTTCCGTACACGACGATTCTTTGTACCCGGAAAGTTCCGGCCGCGCCCACTGTAGCAGCACGCAAAACAGTACTAACTTATCCAGTTTTCCGGTTGATTCTCCGGTTGTGTTGATTCTTTAAGTAATCAACAATGAATTCACCGCCTGCCAGCGCTGTTATTCTACCACGCTTCCAGTAACACCATCTCGCAAGCAAACACAAGTTTCGCTGAAAAATGTATAGCTTACTACAGCTATCGCTACTACTAAAAGCTGTTTTTTTCAAGACGCTGTTATTTACTTCGTCAATTTGTATCGCCGTAGAACTAATAACCATACACCTACAGTAAGTACGTCCATTGACTAGCACATCAGCACTACCGTTTCAAAATAACTGATGACAAGACTTATGAAAATCAGCTGCTGTAAACCCGTTCCTCAATTTAAACTGTTTTTTTTTCGATCCAAGAGAGGGTGGCATTACATTAAATGGCCGTGACTATGGCGACTAGCCGACTTGTGTCACTTCGGCCAGTCTAAACAACCATCTCCATCAAACAGTGACCGCTGTCGCTTACCATGCGTTCATGAACATTACAGCATCCAAATCCTGCAGTTGCTCTTTGGCTCTTGTGTGCATGCGGAGATTGCAGACAGTCAGACTTTCAGCACACTAAATATTCAGTTTGTCTAATGGACATTTCGGCCCCAACACGGCCCAGGTCTAGGTAAAATGTTAAACTGCCGAGAGAAAAAACAGGTAAACGAGCGAACCGGCTGGGTCAGATATCGCGCACATACACAGAGAAAAAGCGCTCTAATTCCATTTTCGTTTGCTACGATAGAACCTCGAGCTTGTTGCTTGCTCTTTCAGGTCGATTACACAAATTCTCCCCATCGTACCAAGACGAGTTCGTAGGCCATCATTATTTGAAACCTGTAGTAAACCCATCTGACATCTTGATCTTGCTAACCTCATTAACAGTTACGATAATTCTTCAAATGTCTCTCTCTCTCAGGCGGAGAATGTACATTGTACAAATATTAAGAACTAGTGGCAGTCTGTACAGTGGACGCTATGACATCGACCAATAATCCACACGAAGTCTCAATGTACGGCAAAACTGTCAGTCTAGACGCCTACTTTAATACCGCGAAAAACAACGATTTCGCTGTGCTAATGAGAAAAAAAATAGTTTCCAATTGTCTGTACCGACATTCTACAAACCAGCATTCGTAATGCGCAGTTTGTTAAAACGGAGAACTCCAGTTATGTTTCCATAAATGGTAATCAACTACTTTCGCCGTTATAAACGCTATATTTGCTGGGTTGTTTTTATCGAATGAAGTATTTTGGCGACAAGAAATATCGCAGACGCCACACTCACATACGACACGGGAACAATATAATTATTGAGTACTAGTACACCAACATACAAATTCACCTATTAGAGTGCAAAACTATACGTATTTTTATGAACGTAAACAGGAGAACTCGTACTGTTTACTTTTAGAGTGTGTTAACGTGTACTGTAATTTAGTGTTTACGGCTTACCCCTTCTTTTTCGGCGATCCTGATACTGGCTTGATTTCGGTCCTGAAACACAGATAAATGTCGTCATTTCTCAGTCACATTTGACTTATCTTTCTACAGTAGATCGACCATTCCATTAGTCCAAGTGAACGATATTTGGATTACAATATAGTCACTTCCTATCACGGTCTGATCAGAAAACCACCACGTGATTAGCTCATAATCGCAATTAGTAAAAACTGGTACAGGTGCAGTAAAATTAACCGCACATTTGTTCAATAAAGCGGCCACGGATTAAATCGATTGCGAATTAGGTCCACTACCTTGCTGCTGCTCAAATCCTCGAAAGCTTTAAAGGCAGAATCGGTCAATTTAACAAAAACGATACGTTTCTGGGCAGCAATTCCATTTTTCATGCGATATGAGGATGGCTCCAAAATGGCCATAATCACTCCAATACCAATTAAACGCGTATCACACAAAGATTGAGAAAAGCTGTGTTACGTAACCGAGCTCTACAGATGTTTGAAAAAGAATAAATTATACATGCAAACAACTGGAAAGCGTCTGTGCACTTTAACACAGCTACCTGCTCGAGGAAAATAACCGAAGCAATACTCAACTGCAATAGCGAAATCTAGCCAAGCAAATCAGCTGCGCTCGCAATACACAACCAAGGCTCTTCAATCTGCTACGCGCGACGCACAGACTGGGCTGATAACTTGATAGCAACCAACCAACAGGTACCACTGCAAATACAAGGCGTTTCCATCGCAAGTTACGTCAGCAATCATACTCTAATACGCTTGTACATAATAAAATTTCCGCCGGAAAAAGCATAAATTCACCGAAATACACACATTCTACTTAACCCATGCGCTAAATATCTGGAGTGAGGGGAATCAATCCTAATGGACTTATATCAGCCGTAATACGTGACGCAGCAAGACCGGTCCATAAAAAACCACTACTGTCGCTTCGCCTGGTAGCCTAGTTCGATCTTCAACTTCTTTTTGGGTAATAAACCTCAATAAACTGCATGTCTATATCATTTTTTGGTGGTGGCGTATCTTCTTCAGAATTCACAGTACTCATTAACGGCAACATAAAAAAATTGATACAAAACCTCTAAAAAAGCGCAAGTTCATCTCATTAAAAAATATTGTTCTCAAGATTGTAAATCAATATGACATGGTACAAGTCCAACCATACTTGCAAATAAGCCAGTTCTAACTACAATCAGGGAAATAACGTTATCCCGAAAAGTTCTATCAGGATTGACTTGTCTGTAAAACATTTTTTATCACTCAGTGTATGTATTATGTAGTATTGTTGAGCTGATTTCGAGAAACGCTTGCGTTGGAAGTTATAGGAAATTAGGAATCGCATTATCAAAAAGGCTATGTAGCCTAAAGTATACTGCATACCTACCAATAAGTTGTCCAATTAGCTGTTCCACCTGATTGTCCATCTGGAGAATACTAGTTACTATGTACATTTTAGTACAATATGTAGTCTTTATATACTACCAAATCAGGCAACATGGCGAACCGGCAACGACAATCCGCACTGTGAGACATAAAATTTAGACCAAACAAACTGCAGAACGTAAATTATAATAATCGGCGACACTGCTATTTTGCCCTTTGAGTCCAAACTAATTGTAAATTATTCTCCTAAAACGCCCAAAACCATCTACTAATTTAGAGCAGAAGGACTAGCGATTTACAGTAAATGCAATAACCTATCATTCGTACAACACATAAAATCAGTAAATGCACTTAAACAACTTTCGCGCATTCACTATTCACTATTACAAAACCACAGAGAAAACTAAAAATACCGCGCTAAATTCGGTAACTTGCAACAAGGTTTTTTTCAAAGTCCGCTACACATTTTAAGTTACGTTCGTACTAGGACTATTCTTGTTCATATCTTTTGATCCAAGAACAGATAGCCAGCCATTAGGGACTTTTGAATCTGACCATCTAACACTTTACTCCACAAAAATCCCATGACACCGATTCTAGATTCTCACATTGTTAGAAAAACTATTCACCTAAATATTATTCAGCATGCTGCATCTATCTCATTACAGTCTGATTTCAAACCATAGAATACAATGTAGGGTATTTTCCGACTTGGATATAATTCCAGTGATTTGCGAATACCGTGATCAATATTCGTTTCTTTTAGTTAGTTTAAAAACACTGGAATTTGCAAATCAAGGACGCTTGAAGCCGGCGTTACCTATCCATAGTAAGAAATACTAGTTTTTCATAAGCATTCAACGAATTATTTGCCATCTAAAAGCAAAGTCAACGACTTCCACCAGGAACATTAAAGCGACATCAATATGCGCTTAAACGAAATTTCACAAATCACACTTCCGCACGACTGCAGCGTTAATAGCACGACTGTCACAGTATGGTAGGTGAATATTATTGTCATCTGGTGCTGTATGAAAATATTTACCGTCTTCTATCACTGATATAGACTTTATCGAGGTATAGTTGAAGTAAAACAGGAACTCTATGCAATTCAGATTACTACCATATGGTACGACTAGGTACGCAATGATGCATATTAGCACTGTAAGTGATAGTCAGTACAAACAAGCGATAGAGATCAACCGCGACCCGTAAAAGGATTGTATTCGGGCACTCAGCTGCAAACGTGTCGCCCGATGATTGCCAATTTGCCATCATTATCAACCACACAATCCCTAATTTCCAAAAAAACTGGCAACAATAACAAGATACCAACATTACGTGGATTCACCTCACAAACGTCAAAATTTGTCAATATAAGATATCCTTAACGATTTATAAAAACCCGAAAACGACAAAGTCAATCGATACCTATTGACCCGCTAGATACGCTTCTATTTACTATAATTTTATCGTAAGAATATTATCATTCAAAGACCGCGGGGTAGAATTTCAAGAGGATAGAAAAGTATGGTACTTTACCTTCTTGAGTTGAGCATGATATTCTTCAATACTCTTCAATGCCGAATCTGTGAGCTTAACGAAAATGAGACGCTTGGATGGATTCACGGATGCCTCTCCATGTCTGACCGTGTACGTGCTGCTGTCCAGGCTGGCCATTTCAGGTCGTGACAGTGCGATTTTTCCCAAACCAGTTTCTGGGATGGCGAATTGGCGACTTGGATTGAAGAAATTACAAACAGACAATCAAGAGTGGGTCCTTTATCGCAAACACTTAAATTTAATACAACAGATGCACCCCATAAACACCCGCGACTATCGTCAGTGTACAAATCGTAATCGACCCTCAGAACGGTAAGAACTCATGTGGGAACTAGGAAGTCTTTCCCGATATTACGATTTCAGCTTTGTGGAGGCATGAACATCTGCTGATTCAAATCATACGCTTCTTTACACTGAACTATTCACAGCAGTCGAATTTTACCCAAAGCACAAAGTCATCTGCGTTGGCAAGCACCAAATTTCCACTGACAAATAACATGGAGCAAAATACGAAGCAGATACTGCTGGCATGCAAACAGGGAAATAGTAGATACGGTCGTACACTACGCCACTGGTACGGCTACGAATCGCGCCTATTTTCACACCTGATATAGTTACCGCATTTCCGGTCATTTAATAATTTTGCCTATAAATTTTTAATCATAAATGCTTAATTTCGGGAATGATAACAAATATTCAGAATAGACCTTGCAAGGAACCAAAACTTAATTTTTGAACTAGAATCAAAGGATAAGTCATAGAGTATGCAGCGCAGCAGTACTGTACTATTTCCTTACAAAGTAAATCCATTAAATTAATGGGATACGCCCGAAAATGTAGAAAATGAAACCGTATTAATAACTGGGCTTTGCAGTAATAGCGAATTAATTTGTTGAATGCGAATGCGCTTGAATTCTGTGGGAGAAAGCCCACGAATTATTTGTGTAGGAGAGGCTCCGCACATAGTGGCATCGTATGACGCAACTAACTAAGAAGGGCCAGCGTCATCCTGAATTTTTGATAGCGGCGGTTTACGTACATTGCACGCTCAGTGTCAACATCTCGTACGGGATCAAACTGGGTGTTTCCAGCTGGGATTTGTGTTGTTGTGTCTCTCCAGACTCATCCGGGGAAATTACCTTTATTTTTTAATTATAACAGAAAATTTCCTACCTAACAGACCACTACAAATTTGTGACCTTGTAACTGCGACAGGAAGAACCTTTTATCGTGGCAGCATCGCATAACACCTCCACTATACATACACTTTTATCTTTTAATTTTTAAGGACTTAATATAATTTAGTAATGCTATCCCCGAATAGTAAGGAATTGTTCATTGAGTGGTTGCAGCCTTGTATTATGCTGAATCCGTAAAAAAGGCACAGCATTATTCCGGTTGATGGATGTTCCGGTAGAAGGTCATATGCGTAATCACGGTAAGTATTACTCGAAATATTACATTCAATTGCACCTGACCACATGGTATATCCTTCTTTTGAAATTCAGCGTCATGTACCAACTTCCGGTTCGTATGATACTTCAGTCGCAAACGAACTGGATCGATTGCAACTACGCCCTTCGTAAAGAGACTCTACGTCCGTAAAATGCAGCATGTACAGTCAAGATCACCGTCAACGGGCCGGGCAAGAGATCATATGCATTACGTACTACAGCTCTAAACATATGCCGCAGGTTCAAGGAATCTACTACGAAATTTTTTAATTGTGGAAGATATTCCACGTAAACTTTGGATTTCCTCCGTTTCGAAATTCTTACCCGCATACTTCACTGAAACTGATCATTTTACAATTTCGCCTGTGGGTTAATGTGGGTGGGAAAGACAAGGTGATATTACTATAACAATAAAAGCCCCGTGCACTTTGCTGCCGTGATTCGCTCCGACTGGTCGCTTCCGGTTTCGGGGTGTCAATACGTTTCGGGGCGTCCATAAAGTTAAAATTTACTGTTGGTTACAGTTTATCCGGTACAGTCTCAAATCACTAATTAATCGATGAATCATCAATCGCGGTATTTAATATGTCAATATTAGAGTTGCAGAAATTGAAGCATCCTTATCTGAATGCAAAATATTGTATACTGAAGTATATGTAACATGAACAAATTATGCGCACAATACCCTCTAAACCTAATAAAAAAGCACAGTACAGTGGCAGGTGTAAGCTCCTTTTCGTAAATAGAAATATATGTCCTGTAATCGCTACAGAAAACTCATAAAGGGCAAGACTAATCGCAAACTATCTTTTGCCTCCCAACTGGAAACCGGCTTTGCAGTTAAGACCAGTGCAACGACCCGGTTTTTGTGACGAAGTCCAGTCCAACGAACATACTGCCAGTACTGTTACAATGCAGGCACGGCTATATTGTTCGAAAAATGATAAGACACTGCTATACAAGTTTCACTTTTGAAAATTGCTGTCTTCGAATTGCCCTTCAACCGGCACATTATATACCAGCAGCAGCACACGATTTTGCCTTCCAGGCGCTAACCAAGCAAAATTAACTACTCAAAATGGTGAGAGATAATTTCCCGATGACATTCTTTTTTCCAGCTTGTTAACCGCCATATATCAGTTGTTCAACCTGTTCATATTCAAACAAGAGATTATGAAAATGTGATAACCTTGTAAAGGCAATATGTCCCAAGAAGTCGATAATTTCATTTCGTAACATGCGAATATACATACAACCATACTTCTAAATTTAAAAAAACCTGAGATTTCAATAATGCTTACGACAATATCATGGTATAACTTCGCATAAGTCATGCCAATATCTGTCAATAAACATCAACAGCAGTACTGCCATAAACAAGTGCAATAACAACATGCACATTATTAAGGTTATCGCTGCGAGAAGAGCTGGTTGTCCGGGCCGCGATTTCGGCACAGAAAGATCACAGCGGTATCAACCCAGCGGTACAGCACGTGCACTGATTTCTCGTGATTACGATGTCCTCAGGTGGCTACTCACTGCTCCAAAGAAACTTCGCAACTTGGCACCGATTTTCTGAAAAAAAACAACATATAAATACCACAGAGTACACCCCGGCGCCTAATGAAAACTGGTTTCCGGATATTAGCGAACCGTGTTCGTTATTACAAGGCACAGTATACAGGTCTCTGTACAGTGCAAATTATATAAGCATTGCGCGTAATACTATTGCCACACAAATTCATAAATTAACGGCAAACATATATACCCAGCTATAAAGAGAAACGACAAGACGGCAGACAGTAAATTCTTTGCCCAGAAAATTCGGAAAAAGTTGCTATGAAATATATATGCAAATCTGTCGATCCTCAGCAGATAATTCGTGGCAGACTGACAGTGGAATTAAATTGCCTTCAGATATATTCATGGTATGGTAATACTTATGCCAGTGGAGTAGTGCACTTGAATATTTAAAGTTTCGAAAATGAAAAAAGATGCACCAGCCGCTTATAGCTTTAAAAGTTAATAAATTTTGTAAGACAGCACATGGTATTTTTGAGTGAAGCTTCCCTCAGCCAATTGTGCAGCAGTCAGGCATTCAGTTTTTTAAGACAGCACTGTTGCACAATGCATCCAGAAATTCGGGAACATGCCAGAAGCATCCATTAAAATTTTGGCAACGCTTAAACCAACTTGCATTTTTGGCTCCACTATTGCCATATGACTCGTAGCGCTACCAAATGATTGTTTCCTATTTCAAACATTGTGTTTCTAGCATTTTACAATGTGTTACGTAACGTCGCACAGGCATCCAAAATGTAGATACTTCACTATAGTTGGCTGCGTAATGACGCACATACTCGGTAGCGTACCTTCATCGTAAGCACTGCGCCAAAAACCACTGGTTAATATAATGCGTTTTTTCCACTAACCTCTGTTGGTGTGACAATCCGTCTATTCTGCGCTTCTTCCATCGCTTTCGTATGGGCGTCCAGAAATTTTTGATAGCGTAGCTTGCAGGCGGCCTCTATTGCTTTGCATAATGGACCACCTGATGGACTGCAGGCGAAAACATGCACGAGGAACGTATCTTCCGGAGTATGTACAATAAATCCGCATGTTCTGTAGATAAGCATCAGCCGTCAGAGCGTAATTGGGGTTTTCAACGCCACGCGTGACTGATGTCAAAAGTGTTTCCGGTAGGCTCCATAAATATAACTTATTTACGGCTCAAAATAGCTCACCGTATGTCATCTCTTCCGATTCCCAAGAACGTCAAATAGCGTACTCGACATTCTGCCATGACCTCGGGCTCGTCCTAAAAGCAAAAACCAAAACAGGAATCAGGATACTGAAATCCCTGTGTTATGATACAGTACATATGGAAAATGCCAAACAGAAAATGGCTGAACTGGATGAAATTGCACAAACGTACCTATAACAAGTTTGTGGCAAGCAAGATAAAATTACGAAACGAAAAACAAAAAATTAGGGCTGGCTAAAGGAAACAACATGAAAATCCCGAAACAAACTGACGTCAATGTGTTATATTCATTGCCGTCACCACGTGCCTCTTGAGTTACAATAGTGATGGTAGACGGCGATACCGCTACTGATACAGGAATCCATTCTTCTTCAGGACACTCAGCCAGCATCTGATCAATGACTCCGTGTAAGACTTCGATGCCCACGCCAACCTTCACAGGTCGTCTTCCCATATATAATACTCGGAAAACCTTTTTCGGTTCTTCAATAGGAGTTGGGAATATGTTACTGGAAGCCAGTAAGGAATTTCGCCGCCGACCCAATGAAAGCGTATGAGGTCGTTTAGGCGCTCGGTCATTGTCTGCCCTGGAAGTATCATGCTGCGCGATGTATTCCTGGCATACCTCTTTTAAAGCATGAGCAATTCTGCGAAGATGAAAGTACAAAGCGGTTAACGCCTAACCAAATCCACAATTAACATCCTACTGGTAAAGGAAACTAACTCTAAATCTCCATGTTCAAATTGCGCCGTTTTTCGTTTTTTTCTAAACAGGAATTCCTTAATATGTTCCCGTCAATATTCTACTACAGATGTATTATTCCCGTAATAGAAATACTATCCATTTACTCTTGTATGTCTTTTCGATATTCAGAATTAATATAGTGTAAAATGCGAATACCATATTTCAAAAGGAGATATTTATACATTTTAAACCACACTTGTTCATACCGAAAGCTAGAAATTCAAAACCATATGGCAATCTAATGCGCACAGTTACTGTACCTCATAAGCGCATTAGGCGGTATTACATATGCGAGTTAGTTACCTGCGGGCTGGTATATCACATCGAAGAACATGACACTTATATATGTTCGTCTGCAGGTCGCGGGCAACGAAGGCAAAATCTCTGTGAACGAACAACAGTGGAGTATAATATACCCGTAGCCAAAAAATGCAGCGACAATGTACACACAATACGAGTATATTTCAAAGGTATGGAGAACTAACAATCCATTCATAACATGCCGCATGTGATTTCATCAAAAAGGAACACATACATAAACACAAACGAGCACGTCGTCCACAATACAGTTCGATCACTGCACAGAATATAAATTCATCATCAGACAAAATCAGACAAAAGACAAAGAGAATTGAATAATATTGTCATTTAAGAGTTACCTCTGTCTAATCACAAACAGAAGATCATCCTCATGAAACGCAGCAGAGCAGAAAGATAAAAGCAGAGTTTAATAGCAGTTCCCGTCAAATGCGAAGTGACAACTTGGTACATCAGGCTAATTTCCAGCAAATGAACTACGGTACTACAGAGACTCACAATAGTCAGTACTCCCTACGTATGTAATACTACGTACCTTGCAGAATACAACTAATCACAAACATAATGGTACACACAACTACTATGAAATTGATTATCAAATTGAAATTATAATAAACTGTTTGAACAATTTATGTACAGTACATATTCAAAAGAGCCGGAATATTTGTTTTAAAAGGTCACAAAAGGATTAATTTTAGACAGCCAGTTTTTTCTAGCACATTCTAAAATATCTTTTGCTTTTAAGGCTGTCTCACGTAGAACTGTGCACTCTACATTGTTAAATAAGAATGCTGCAAGATTTGCCCATTTGCTGGAAATAAGCGACGCGATCTACGCGAGCGGAAGCTAACTATATACAGTACCTGCTGTCATCTCGGCCAACTCCCCAAACGCGGATAGTCTGAATAGGCTGCGTATGCAGTGCTACTGAATCCACAGCGTCCACCAAACACAGCCTGTCAGGATAGAGCTCAAGGAAAATATCCTTCCCCTGAAAGCGGAAATATATAATCAAATCGAAAATGCAAATCCTGGTGTCGCGGATGATTCAATAAGTGAAGCGCATAATTTGTCTCGTACATCGCCCCATCGGCCAATGCTGTCCAGTGTGTCATTTCGTCCAGCAGAGAGATCTAGAATGCACTTGTTCACAGCACGACTACTTTTCTCCGGTGTCAAGCTCTCTTCATCGATTTCCGTCCATCCTAAAGATCTCACGGAAAATCTTTTCGGCTGAAAGACAATACAAAGCATAATTTATGTGGATGTAACCAGAATGGTTATAATAAAAGATGTATTAACTTATTTGTATGACACATTCTATTTAATATAGATAAACAGTAGTTTAAAGCACACAGTTCCACTGCAAGTGCAAAAATCATATCAAAATGATTAAAGTCGGGTAAAATACTATGTAATAAGAAACAGCTCTCTTCAAAAATTACATTTGTCGCTTGTACCAGGAATAACGAAAACAAGTTAAAAAGGCGATATACTAAGGTTTAACTGTCAAATGTCTAAACTCGTATATTGCACGTGGCTAACAGAATTATAAAAGTGGTTCATAAAAATTCATCAGTTGTGCAGATTATAGTACTCGGTTTACTAAACTGTACCACACCCCATTACACTTATAAATGCTTGATTACACACACGCAGAATGATCTTCAAGGCTAAGAAGGCGAAGCGTGTTTACATCAACCACTGTAAAAAGTCGGCATCTAGTAATTACCTCATCCCGGCTTTCGCTTTGGTTCGGAGAGGAGGAAGCAGGCCAGTCAGTCGGCTCCTGCAGTGCAGGAAATTCAAATACCTACAAAGCCGCAGTACAATTATTACTGATTGGCTTCCGATGCAGTCTACGTTAACAAAACATGCACCCAAAACCAGTCCAAGTAACGCTTGCGATGAGGCTAAATAAACGATCAAGACGATCCATCACCCACGCCAGACATATGGCATGAAATGCAAATGTGAAACGATCTTTCACAGCAATATATTTAGGCTTGCAGACTTACACTGTGTTCACTGTCTGACGTCGAGCCTTCGGGTGGATTCCGCTGAATTGTTCCTGTTCGGATGTGCCAGTAATATGGACCATCATCATCTGCAATAATCTTGCTGAATAAAAAACCAACTTTACCAGCAAAGCACCACAAATTTCACAGACATCAATTTACAGAAATCTTGAAGAAAAATTACCCATACAATATCTTCGAAATTGTACGAAATTCATCGACGAAGACACAGAGCAGCCTAATCTTGGAATTAGTTTTATAAAAGGCGATAAACATTTCGGTGATTTGCACGAATACAATTCTAATAAATTTATTTTGGTATGTGGCAAGGCACGCTACCCTGGTTTCGGAATTTCCTGTTGCATTATTTATAATGCCATCCAATAAAATGACAGACCTTTTCTCAATCGAAAATGTAATTTAAAAAGTATATCTATATGATGTTTGGTAAAACAAACCTTCATGTTTTTCCCAGCCGTGAGGCAGATATTCGTCCCGTCCCGAGCCAGTTGACGGAGACGAAGGCTCGGAAAATCGAGGCGACGATAGCACATCCTTTTGACCATTCTGCTCGTCGGTCATTCCCATATCGTCGATGCCCAAACTGGCATACTTCTGGCGCCGTTTTACGTTTTCTCGTCCATCTTTGCCATTTTTTTCGATCTTCACGTAAAACTCATCTAGCGCTTTATAAATGCCTTCCTTTGCTCCTTCGTCAACAGGATCCGTCTCCTCCGGTTCATCCATAAATATTTTCTCCCTGGATGGCACACCTTCATCATAACCAATCCGCGTGAACGAATCAGGTAAACAGAAATGCCCGTTGGCATCTTGCGGAAGCAGATGGTCGAATTCTTGTTCATAGGGCAGATCTTCATGATCATCGGAATACTCTTCCCCGGTGCCGGAGTAGTTGGGATTGGCGAAACTAAGCAGATCATCTACAACGGTAGGCAAGCGAAGTCAAGGCACTATGCAGCTACTGCAAAAGCAGGAAATGAGACAACACTCGGCAGCAATACAGTGGTACTATTTATGTATTGTATATTTTAAAGTATTATAAAAAGCTCAATCACATAATATAATTTACCGAAGTACGAACTTTTTTTAAATGTACAATAAGCTTCAACGCATATCCAAACTATCACAGTCACTTTCTCACACAAAACACTGATGTGTTAACAGTAATAGTGATGTCTCAATAATAAAATTACAAACTATGGATTAAATTAATACGGCATAATATTCAGAATCTCAGAGTGATGAATACGTTGGTTTTCAGCTTACCCTCTTCGTAGTCTTGGAAAAGCTCCGAAACCGCATTTGTAGTCTTATCCGAATGAACTTGACGAAAAGGTTCGAAGTCTTTAGATTTTTCCTATAGAGCCACAACAAAACGGCAAAGTTTACTCGTAAAAAAATGAACCCATATCCATGCGAAAAATTAAAATTAAAAACCACGCATTGGGAAACACGGCGCTTACGGCTTACCAGATTTTCCATGCCCAAGTAAAAACGAGCAAAGTTTGCAAAATACAGATATGTTATTAAAACACGTTATAAACACATTTATTGCACAGCTGTAATGTAAGCTCTCAAAAATGTGAAAAATCGCATTGTCTAACAGACAGGTCCCCTATCTTCACAGTTACGGGTAGGGTAGGTAAGTAAGTACTGCATACTGCATAGTGTCAGCTCAGACTTCCAGCGCGCGCCAGTTATGCACAGTGCGAAAGTTTCCAAAAGTACCAATCTATTATTTTTATACATTTTTATCGAGATTTTTATAGTGCCAGTAGATATTTACAGTACCTACCTGGCCTCTGTCCATTGTGCTGATAGATTCGACGGTTATCCACACGGTATATTATGATATTTTACTAATTATCACATACAGATATAAGGCGGTCAAGTAGTCATCTATCGCTTAATAAACATAGGACACACAATTTAATATGCCGGTTATAAATGCCGGTCGCTACAGATGCCATGTTAGCGAAGGCTTGCACAGTCCCGTACAGTCCAGAACTACACAACCATTAAAAAAGTCTAAAAAAAATAGAAAATAATAAAAAACGGTAGGAAACGGCGTTAATGTGGCTTCTAATACGATAGCATTCTAACTTTAGGCAAAACTGGTACGTACGTTCAAGACTGCCAACAGACAACAGTTACAGTACTGTCAATTCGTACCGAAGTGTAGGTACTTGGGTACTACAAAAGCATCTGATCGCTACTGACTACTGACAGCAACTTGATTAAGCCAAACTTTTATAGGAAAAAAGTGAGTAATCTATAAAGTTCATAATTCGGTAGCACCAGATCCGTAAAACCACATGTTCAGAGCAGAGTGGATTTTGTCCTCTTGGAGACGATTTCGACAAAATATGAATGGATCTGCATGACCTGGTGAGACTGTTGTAGGCGACTGTTTACAACTCTGAAGCAATCGCCCACATCGTGTAAAAGGCTAACATAGTTATATAAAGAGTAAAGTTGAAGAGCGTCGTAGATACTATACGTGTACTAGTTATGCTGTTTCCAGGTCAGGGATTTCTGTCAGTGCCGACTACCAAGCTCCGACTATTCTATAATAGTTAATTTAGCATTGTAAAACCAGAATCATACGGGATACGACTCATATCATGTAAAACAAAGAGGTTTCCGGCTTACAGAAAATTTTGGCGAGAAATGGTGGCGCTTGCTGGGCGAATTCCGAATACGCGCTCGGGACTGCAGTCGTGCTGACTCGTGCACATGCACTCTCAAATTCTTATTTCATATTAAATTTTATGCTTAGTTTTGCTCATTTTGTATAATAATTACTTAGACTCGATGCAGACTACATCCAGTCTCCGTAACTGCATCATGCAGTTACGGATTATGTAGGCTGTTTTTCCAGTCCTGTAACGACATGGTAAAGTACTAAAGGGTCTTTGGTCTTTACCGTTTCCCTTAAAGCTTGGTCTTTAGTAAAGAACAAGCTTTAAATGAAATAAGTAATAATGATTGCACAGTTCCTAGTTGAAGTTCTTTACATTTACAGTTATCTACTTATGTACAAATGTAGATACCGCTGTTTGTTTCGAAACCCAAATGTGAAATCTGTATGGCGTGTATTGAAGCGGTTTTAACGTAAGTATGGCAGATGTACTGTAAGGGTGGGTCTCACATTCAAAGCGAATCTCGTTATGGTACGGTTGCTCAACCGCACGAGGTGGTTGTTTGCAGTGGCCACGCCTACAGATACGGTACGCGAAGCCACCTCGCGAGGTGGAGTTGCTGTATCGCAACTAGATTCGCTTTGAATGTGAGACCCACCCTAAGTACCGTCTAGTCGTAATACCAGTCCACCACCGGTCAAACATGCAACCATGTTCGAAAGAGTTCTTCCGGCAGCGATAATAGTGTCTTCTGTCTCCTACTGAATATATACAGATATTACATCCAGAATTCAGATCAAAATGGGATCCAAGTATAGTACGAGTACACCACTTGTTTAATTAATTACCTATGTCACTATGTGTCACGTTGTCAGTGCGCGATTCAAAAAGCATAGACGATTCATGTTTTTGACAGAGTGTTTTTGTGGTAATCGTCTACCGCTAAATTGTCCTGTTTTCATTTTTCATTTCTTTCTTGAAATAAAATATAAGTAAAAATATTATAAAAGTAAATATTATTTTGTTAGTTTTTGCTAACACTCGCCAAGCTACCGAAGTGGCGGCTACGGGATCCCGTAGCTCACGCAACAGGCGTGGCTAATATAGCTTGAACCAATCCAGTATAGCAATGCAATGTGCCAGCAACCAATTGTACTTCGCCAGCTAAAATACTTATCCAAAACCCATAAAATTTTTAGTTCGAGTGGCGAATTGAATGAAAATTGGACTTCTAGTTGTCCAAAAGTGACCACTGAATTGGCTGAAAGTCTAATGACTTGAGTTTTCTATTGTTCGTTGAAAACTATTGAAGTTTGATTTCGTTTATAGAGTAAAGATCAGACTCCGCATTGTTAGTTGCTGCTGCGCTTCGCGGAGCGCGCTGCCGGAAAATGGAGAGTTTTTGATTTTTGAAAATTGACAACAATTATGAAGGAGAATTTGTTCGGGAACTAGAAAAGATTCTAAACTCGTTAATGCACCTTTTTGATTATTATTGATTAATTTCACTGTTTTTTGCGTTATATTCGGACATTTGTTTTGTTGTGGAGAAGCTTGGCGCGCTGGTGTTCGCGAGTGTTGGATAATTCGCAGAGTTCGGCTTCGGCTGTTGTGCCAGTAGACATACTACTACAGCTACAGTAAAACAGGAATTGCCGGTATAAATGGATCTCAGAAATTTTTTCCTGGTCATATGCGTTTTCGGACTCTCATGGAGGAGCACAAGTAAGGACAATGTTGCTGTGATGCTGGAGAAATACGATTCGAAACAACTTATTTTACTTGCTTTTATCTGGGAATGCAATTGCAGGTGCTCTCGCGACGATGTCAATCGATTTAAGTAGCGAATTTTTAAAAATCGCCATTGTGAAGGTATGGAATTTTGGTTGATTTTAGAACTCGCATCTTTCTTGAAATTCTCCAGCTGCGAGCAATACTGTTGCAAAAAATAATAGAAATGAAAAATCGATCCCCATTGTGTTCAATAAATGATAATGAATTTGTAAGCAGTAAAGCTGGAAATTTTTTTGGAACATGTATTATTTTGTCTCTACCTCCATCACTAATTGAATTCTTTTTTTTGTCGCGATATTGCCACATAAATTTATAATCAATGCTTTTCGGTTTTTTTTCTAGCCTGGAGTGCCGATGGAAATCGCATTAAATTCGTAAGTTTTCCCAAGATGATGATCGCAGTAATAACATAAGTGCTTCAGTTGCACACATACAGTACTACGAGTACTTCTAGTACTTAAGCGACAGAACACAAAACATTTTTTAAAATACTATATACAAACTTCGCTACAAATTTAACTTACATACCTACTTTAGTACGTATTTCCGGTTTGTAGCGAGTCACAGCGAAAGACGCCCTTGGCGGTTGCCATAAGGAATGGAGAAAGGACGTTTGGAGAAGCGGCGCTCAGTACGGTTGGTGATTTTGATTGAAAACTTGTTGATATTGTTATTGTTATTTAGGAGTTAATGTAACGTTTTCTATTATCGAGAAACACTTGTGTGTATAATATATTTACTTGTTGCAGTGTGTTAGATCTCCGAAGAATTGCTTCGTGTTTTTCCTTGATCTCTTGGGCAAAAATGTGAGCCACCCGCTGACGCAGCTGTATCGAGAACGTTTTCCACAGTATGATTTGGTTGACGATCCGGTATCCAAACGAGTTGCGTTCAAAATCGACAGGTGATAAAAAGCCTTCAGAATTTTGTTTCTATTATTGCTCTGGATTCGATCTTTGATGTTCTGTTTAGCGACACCCAGTTTTCGCCGGAAGAATTGTTGGCTATGATTTTGAAGTATGCCAAGACGCTGGCCGAAAAATATGCTGGTACGAAATGTGTGTGTAAAAATTTGAGTGCTTCTCGACTGTCATTCCATAGTTTTGATATTTTGGCGTTCTTTTTTCACGTTCTAATGAAGTGAATTTATATTAAGAGCATCCGATGTCCGAAGCTGTGATCGCTGTTCCCCCGTATTTTACACAAATTGAACGACTGGCTATCGAAGAAGCCGCTCGCCTGGCTGGCCTGAAAATTCTTCAGTTGCTAAATGATAATACTGCCGGTAAACTCTTTCGTTTTGTTTGATAATTATCAGAAATCGCGACTGATAATTTTCTGTTCCCTGCAGCTGCGGTTAACTATGGAGTGTTTCGTCGGAAAGAAATGAATGCCACAATGCAGCATATTATGATATACGATATGGGATCGACGGGAACAACTGCGACTGTTGTCGGTTATGAACTTAATAAACCCAAAGAGGGTGGTGAAAATGCAGTCTTGCATGTCAAAGGTGTTGGATATGATCGCACTTTGGGCGGACTGGAGATCGATCTGCGTTTACGACAATTGTTTGTCAAGAAATTTTTGGAGAAAACAAAGAAAGATGCCTCAAAAAACCCTCAAGCTTTAGTTAAACTGCTAAAAGAGGCTGCAAGGGTGAAAAAAGTTTTGAGCGCCAACACCGAATTTGTGGCTCAGGTATTGCTTAAGTATATTTTTACATGCCGGTTTTCTAGTAGTAGAAGTGTACGTAATGTTGGTGGTGCATGCGCAACGGAAAAGTTTGGATAGTTTGAATTAAAATGATGATAATTTGTAGAGGAAATCGTTTGCTTATAGAACAATTTCAACTGATTGTTTTTTTATTGTGTAGGTCGAAGGATTGATGGATGATGTTGACTTCTCGTACAAAGTTTTGAGATCGGAACTCGAGTCCACTTGTGAAGATGTTTTCAATCACATTCCACGAGTTGTCGAGCAGGCATTGGAGGCATCAGCCGTTCCACTGGAAGAAATACAACAAATTATCATTATCGGTGGAGGCACCCGTATCCCTAAGGTGCAGGAGAAACTCTTGACCGCTGTAAAAAGGTGCGTCTATGGTGATTATTTGTTTTGTGCTATATTTGTTGTTTGATTGAACAATGCGCATCCAGATGTACAAGCAACAATTTTGTATTTTTAAGGAGCGAACTGCAGAAAAACTTAAACAGTGACGAAGCCATCGCTTTAGGCGCAGTTTACCAGGCAGCTCATTTGAGTAAAGGGTTCAAGGTGAAGGCTTTTGAAATAACTGACGCAGTTGTTATTCCCATTGCCGTGCAGTTTGAACGTGGATCTTCAAAAGAGGGCGCGGAGGCGAACGCCGGTAATCTCTTGTTCTTCTATTACTTTACCGTATTCCGTGGGCTGTATAGCCTGTGGTGTTTGATGTTTATGAAGACGTGAACGTTATTAACGGTTTTATTGTGTTGTTGGTTAACAGAGTCCACAAATCGGTTGGTCAAACGGGTTCTCTTCGCGCGATCCAACAGTTATCCCCAGCGCAAAGTGCTGACTTTCCCCAAGCATACCGCCGATTTTAAGTTTACGGTGCAATATGCCGAACATGATTTCCTTTCAGCAACTGAACAAGCATATATCGCAAACGGATTGGATTTCCAAATTGATCTCCAAGGGGTTGCCGAGGCGTTTGAGAAAAATAAAGAAAAGCGCTCGAAGGGTGTCAAAGCCCATTTCCAGTTAGATGCCAGCGGTATCTTCTCACTTGACAATGCGGAAGTGGTTTTTGAATTCGAAAAAGAGCAGGAAATACCATCTACCATGGAGAGTAAGCTGTGAAAATAACGAACAACGTATCCGTATCCTTTCATACTTTTTTTGTGAATTTCTGCGTACGGACTTCTTAATGAGTAGCGGTGGTGGGTTCTGCATTTCCGAATTCTCTTTAGGGGTTTCGTTTTCTAATATAGCGCGTCGAATTTCATCAGGTGAGCTTGGATTTATTTTCCTTTTCGGGTTGCACGAGATTTAAGATTTTTGTGCACGTCTCCTTTTTGCTTGGTCTTGTTGTTGGTGTTTCATGGTTTACGCTGAAGCCTTTCCAAAAAGGTTTTTTAACGTCGTGTTTTGAGGCTGTTACTTTTTAACTACCTAGAAACCAAAAGCTTGAAGTTGTTTGTTCAAGTTTTTGCTCAGGAATATGACTTTTTCACCATTTTGTTTCTAGAAATCGGACAGTCTATTACTAATTTCTTTTCGGGATCCCAGTCGAACGACTCAGCTGCTTCTAATGCAACAGAGTCCGCGAACGCAGACGTTAATGCTGCTACCGGCGTGGAATCAGCTCTGAATGGAACTGAAAAGCCCACTGAAGATACTGGCAAAGTGTTCAGCACCACGGTTGTCAACAAGACCGTTACCACAAAAGAAAAGCTCAAGCACGGCGTGACAAGAATGGATTTTGCAGAGTATAAGGAGAAAGAATTTCAGCAAAGCAAGAAGAGGTCAGGAACAATAAGAAAGCGCGGATTTCCCAGTGCAGCATGGGTTATATTTGCAGATTGTCAGCAATGGATGATAAAGACAGAGAAAAAATGGAGCGAGAGAAGGCCAGAAACGTTTTGGAGACGTACATTTTTGATATTCAGGACAAGATCTATCAACCAGCTTACGAGAAGGTATCAACGGAAAATGAACGGGAATCAGTCCTTAAAGTTTTTCGAGAAGCGTCGGACTGGTTGGAAGAGGAATCATCCATTCAAGCTGCTTCGGTGCGGACTTGTCGTAGTGTTCCTCGGGATAGCATGATTCTCTATTTTTTGCTCGCTAGGTTTATAAATCAAAACTGAAAACCTTGGAAGCAGCTATAAAAGATATCGCTGATCGAGTTTTAGAACACAAGAAACGCCCTGAAGTCCTGTCGGACATGGCAAAATCGATTGATTTGGCCAAGACGTTCTTAGAAGTTATGTCTAACGGTAGCTTGGATGGTGTGTTTACCGAGGTGGAAGTTGAAGGCTTGAAGAAACTGATAAAAGAAACGGAAGTAAGCGTTCTGTGTTGCTTTTATGCTGTGCTTATTATTATTATTATTGTATAGCACGACTGTGCAAACGAAATTAAAATTTCGTTTTCAGGAATGGCGCACGACAAATGTGGGGCTTCAGGAAAAGTCACCGCTGACCAGCGCTCCTGTATTCAAGGTGGCTGATGTTGTAGAAAAAGGCAAAACATTGGACCGAGAAGTGCAGTACCTGCTGAATAAATTAAAAATTACCAAGACGAAAGCAAAGGCGGATAAGGCATCGAAAGAGAAAAAGACGGATGGTTCTGCAAAATCTGAGAATGGTACCTCGGCTGCTGAAGATGCTGCACGAGAATCGAATGCATCTGGACAGGAAGATAACAATCCTGTGGAGGAAGGCAGTGAAGGTTCGTTTGTGAATTTGATTTATATCGTACGGAATGTTCGCGTCTTCCGAACATCTTCGCGTGGGCAACGGCACATTTATCTCGCAAGCCTGTACGCTTGCGTAATATCCTCTGCCCTAATAAATTCAACTTTTCTTTTTAGATACAATTCAAAAGGAAGAGAACGAAAACCAGTCAGCTAATCAAACCGGTAAGAGAAGAGAAAATTGCTTATTTTGATGTGCAGCTCAACATTCTGACGGGTTTTGTAGTTGCGGAAGGTGAAGAATCCATAACGCATTCTCCCGAGGAGTTATGATTGTTTTTGTGATACGTCATTAATTTATGAAGTTAAAAGCATTCGTTTGGGATTCCTTTTTTGGTTAAGAGTTTTGAATCGTCTTGTTTCAAGTGGCTTGCTGCTGTTCTCAAAAAGGTTTGATAGTTGATACCGTTTTTGAAAGGAACTATCGACTTATAAAGGAAGGAACTATCGTAAAGACATTCACTTTACTACCATTAGAAAGGACATCTTTTTGCCGGAAGTTGTTTTTTAGGTCTTTAAAAGAACAAACGTGTAGAGTAAAGGTGTATAGCAAGTAATAAGGTGAATGCAGAATCAATGTACAATATCAAACATCGATTTTGTAAGACAATCTTCAAATACTAAAAAGTGAAAGATGCAGTAGTTCTTACTACCTGTACGGTTGAAATCACAGTCCAACAATAATCACATAAGCATCATGGTTAAAACAAGAGATTTTAAAATTTGGAACAGCCAGCCAGCACTAAATTTAAGGGCATGCTCTCGTTATGGGATTGACTGCTAACTCGTTAGACACTTGAAGCTCTTCGACCTTTATTCGGCCTTTGTGAGTTTCCACCCGGTATCGAGCTAAATCTTTGCGAGTGACTATGCCCACAACTTGGTTGCGTGTATCAACAACCGCAATATGCCGTAATCCAAGCGCTCGAAAAAGTCGAAAAACCCGCGGAAAAGGAGTACTCTAAAGGTGAAGAAAGTCATCACCTCACATTAAAAACTCTTTAAGATATTTCCCAAAGTACCATACGCACCAGGTACGCAACGTACGGAGAAGGGTTCATGTAAGGATACAAATTCATGGTGAAATTCTTTTCTGCTTCGGTAATTATAACGTCCTATGTGAAAAATCTTGGTGTAAACTAAACCATATCATTTAACAAATCGAAAATAGGAAATGCTCACCTTGATGCTAGGATATCTTGGATAGTCATCCCGAAAAGCTCGGATATCCAAACGACGCCGTATTTCGCTGATATTTGGCGACTCGTTGAATACTCGATTCTGAAGAAGTGTTATTAACTGCGAACGCAAAATCAGTCCGCGGAAACGCCCGAATGTTTCTGGTTCGTCAGACAACTAAAACATCAGCCATGAATCACTATCACCAGCCAAGAGTGCAGATTTCATACACGACCAAAGTGCACCCGGTTTACTTACGGGATTACGGATGTCTCCTTCCTCCACAACAGGAAACCCGTTGTGCGTGACTTTCTTTAGAATATCGTAAATTACACCCACTTTCTCCACCGTCTTGAAAGTATAAACAGGATAGCTCATGATGGATCTGCAATAATATCTTTCAACGCAGTGCAGAAAATAAGCGAACTCCTAAACAAATAGCGCATTTCTACAATTATCTATCAAACCACAACACTGTTTCGGTAAAATAACTAAACTGTCACAATTTTCTGCTACCACTATAACACACCTTGCAGTCATGTGGGAAGAAAGTGGAGGAGGTTCCCAGTCCAAAAGAGGAACGCGCAAAAGCTTGACGTGAATGTCAAACAATCCCTGCAGAATTTCGCATAAGCGCCAGTATACATTGTCGAGAAAAAATTTAATTGAGCTTACATCATTAAACCAGTTGCCCACCCACTGAGCCACGATTAAAGTAATCATAATTGGAAGTCCAAATGTAATGTTTCCAGTTGTCTCAATCAGCTGAAACACACTCACACTTCAAATGAAGTGCCTGGATTCCGAGACTTCCGTCTCAGAAAATTGCTGTTTGATACCAAATTACAATGCAATACAAGAAAGCAGAAAATTAAAAAGGGTGCTCTTACAATAACGGTCAATGATATTGTCATTCTCGTAATTCCTCCCAGTTGGGCTGCGGCCCCGATCAACGCATATTTTCCAGGATCAATTGGAACACCGGGAACCAACTTCATCATACCGATACCGCAGAGTCGGCCCCAAGTTGCACCGATGAGCAAACCCGGAATCAGATTACCGCTCGGAATCCAACTGCCACAAGTCCAACAAGCCAAGAGAAAATAAACTATCAGGAACGCAACCAAAGTTGTCGGCCTATATGTCCCTAAAATAAGAACAATATTGAGTAAAAATCACAATCCGCAAAATATGATTCTGTCTGCCGTCATGCATTTTAAAGTGTGATCATTTTAATACAATTCCATACAACCACAACACCATACATGGAACAAAATTATGGGCAACTAAAAATCGAAATTTAGCCAAGGGGAATTACCAATAAAAATGAATATAATATTAATGAAATCATATAATCAATAAAAAAATTTTCGCAGAAAATAAACTTCCCTACAGCTGGTACTGAAAAACGAAAGAAACGAATGTAATATAGCGCTATGTGCCAAACTGAAACGCCGCTAAATGTTTAATACGCTCAGGAAAAAATTTGAATACTCTAACCACCTTGAAAAATAACGAAGCCACTTATTTTAACATCTCACGTCACATTACCAGGTTCATCGTGTAAGAGATTTCGAACGCTAAACTCCGATGTCTGGAACAGCATGGTTGCAATTGAGCTATATTCTCCATCTGGACATAGCATCTGCAAATCATGACAACAACAACCTTCAGGCAGTGAAGTTGCATTAGATCTTCCCAATATAAGCCCCAGTTTTTCGATTTGAATATGTCAATAAGCAATCAAGTTCAAAACAAACCTGGACCGTTCTTTGTGGGCTCGTATCCTTTACCATTTGGCAATCGTCAATGAAATAAATTAGCATGAACCCAACTGTTGCCGTGACGGCTGAGATCAGCACAACTTCTGAAACTCTCGCCCACTTCCGTGTAATATGTCTAGAAAGCAAATTAGTTTGATTTGTGTCCAGTTTAGCAGGAAAATTTTGCAGAAGCAAAGGAATCCATACTTGTGCCGGAACATAGTTAGATGGAAATTAAGGAAGTTAAAAATCGCTCCCAGGAGCCCTCCTCCAACGGCCATAAGCAGGTAAATCGGGATTTCATATGCAAGGTATTTTAAGTTCATCATCTCGCCCAGGTTAATCAACCCAGAATTTGATAAGTCGCCAGGATGGCCATCGTAAACACCAATTATCAAGTTGTAGACGAAAACGGAAACCAAGGAGCAAAAAAACTGCAACATTCGCCATTTCCGATTTATACAATCGCAAAACTCCTGCTGACCTGAATGTCAGATGCACTGGTACTCTGTACGGCCCAGTCAATTTTACAATCAAGCTTGCATGTTAGCACACTTACGACTTTCCACGTTAGTGACTGATTCCAAAAGCTCGCACCTTCCTCCAAACTCAACAACACACCACCTACTGGAGCTCCAAAAGCCGCACCAATGCCGGCCGCCACTCCGGCAGATACAAAATCCCGCTTTTCAGTATCGCTACGGAATTCTTCCAGAATATGCGCGTCTTTCTTGAAAGTTGTGGAACGGCCCTGCGAAACACCTGCGCCGACAATGGCTCCAATGTGAATCATCGGGCCTTCTTTACCCACTGCCAAACCCCCGGTCAAGGATCCAATCATTCCCAATATTTTCACAATTAACGTCTAAATAAGCGTAACGGTTTGCTAGATCACGAATTTTTTAAAAAGTAATTCTCTAAGATTTTACCTTGATTCGGACGAATTCTGGAATTTTCACACCATTCAAAAAACATTTCACTTGGGCTACACCGCTTCCGGACGCGGCAGGTGCGACGTACACCGTGAGAGCACTTCCCAGCAAAACGGGTACCATATTACTAAGGATCCAAAAACCCAACGGCTGAACTAAGCAGTTTTCTTTCTGGAAAAATAATAAATGCAGTTACAGTTAAATGTAGTTTCTTCGACAGCGCCTGTCGATTGAGATTTAACGGGGGAACGCGGCGTCAGTACTGGGCACCATGGATGGAGTGGATAAGCTTACAGAGATTTTTTTATTATAGTTTGAGCGGTTCTGTTTTATATTACCCACTGTGTAACGAGCAACAATAAATTAAAAAGGAATGTAGTTTGGGAACTAACTATCTAAGAGACTACAAAAAGTACCGTTGTAGAACAGACATCAAAAATGTCCCGCAGCCGGCTATATTTCCATTCGGAAATTTTCTCCACCGTTATCACAACCGCATTAGCTATCAAAGCCACGAAAGTCCCAATAAAAAACATAACGATCCATTTCTCCACTTGGATGCGGTTCACATGGGAGAAAGTTTGCTTTGCCTCAGCTCGTAAGTACAGCGAATTTTCGCACTTGTCGTAATCCAGGCTCTGCATAACAGGGAAAAGTACTAAAAGACTCAAACACTGGACAAATTAATTAATCAAAAAATAAAGCTGTCTACCATGATTACCATTTAATGCTACAAGAGAAAACATCCCAATTCTCAATGGTTTCACTGTCCGAGCAGAAAAGCGCATTAATCCGGTGCTGCTTTTCAAAAACTTATATATGTCGTAAAAAAAACACTACAGTAACAAAAAAATTTATTTAGCTACAGTTTGCTAAGTTCGAAAGGACAAATCCAAGATGAGAGTGCATAAATCAATGTAACTGTGAAAATAATATTTCACATCAGAACTATACCTCGTACTGATCCGAAATTACTCGTGTGCTGCTCTTTTCGCGCAACGGAGCATATCTGTTGCGAATGTAGCTAAATTCGCCAGCTGCTGGAAGGGCAGACGCTCGCACTGACGCTCGCATTCGGTTGAGGTGCCCGTCCTGACTGCCTGTCGAATTGGAACGCACCGAACGCATTCCCTCGGAATTTGCATCATCTTGATCAAACAGTTGTCGCAAGGTGCTGAAATCGCTAACACTGCCGGTTCTTTCTAAAGCGTCCAACTGGCCCTGTAAAAACAAAAAAGATTTCATTTTCTACAATTCCAGCAAGTTGATTTTAGTGCTCGCAAGCCCTACTCGAGTAGCTCTAATCAAGTGCTGCACAGATAAATATTCTATGAATACGAAAAACAGAACCAAAGAATCAAGTTTTTTTCTTTGAAAATTAAAAATTCGCTGTACTTGCAATCTTTGTATGATTACAATTTACCTAGATAATTCAAGGTATTGTAATATCGGTATGGACATACCCCAATGTACGGGCTCTGGTACCAAATATTTCTGTGGGATTCTCGTCGAGACTGCGGACAAAGCAGTGGCTCACTTTCAGCGAGATCGTGAGATGAGCTCGCCATCGTACACTATCGTAGCTGATGTCGCCAAATACAGAGAGTCCACTTCAACGATGGCTTCCTTTATGCATCCTTTGAAGAAATAATTTTTTTACATCCACATCACTGCGCCATCTCGCAGTCGATATATTATTAAGGTGGTGACCAATCAGCTGATTAGGAATCGAATTCAGAGCGCTAACACAGTAATGCAAGGCGAAAAAACTTATCAGTCCGCAAAAGAGCAATGCACTCGCAGTACAAGCAGTAATCACCATACCGCGTACCCTAAACTGGCCAAAAATCCGTGATGTTTTTCGCTTTGCTGATAAGCACCCATTTCATAACCGCAAAATCCTATCATACTTGAAGTCTCGTTGATATCCCACTTACTGTCATTCCGAATTTCCGAGCCAGACGTTCCACCAGTCAGAATCAGGTACCGTACCACGAGTACCTACTGCAATCGCAGTTGGTAACCGATAAGGATAAAATTATACACACCTGAATTAAGTGAGTATCTTTTTAATCGTAAGATAACTAATTTTACGAGACAGGCCACAGGGTATAAAGCGTTAATTATACGGTTAATATTTCAGTCAGTGAGATATCCACTCGGTATTTGTCCGCCTAATCCAAAGTCCCTTGTCCAAATAGAAAACAGTAAACATAACCGTAGAGCAAAACAAATAATAACGAATACCAGCAAAACATTGAAAACACAAAGTGGATATACATAAATGTCTTCTGCGCGCAGCTCTAGTTGATATAAGTTAATTAGACCAAAACATGAAAACAACAAAAAAACACCCGCGCGGAGCGTGTGCTTCGGACTGCTTCCGTACGGCAAAACGCCACAGCGCCCATACTTCCGGTGCGTGTGTGTGCCTGGCACCGCCTGCTCCGATGCGTCAGATGGCTACGCTATAACGTACAGTACAACCGAATAACTTCAAAACAGATTTCTTTAATTTGGAAGCCTTTTTTTAAAAAATAGTTAAAATAGGTGTTATCCACGTTCGCTTGCAAGTTTTCTGTTATTTGTTTCATTTTGCAAGTGAATGATTCTGAGGTCCTGCTTTGTGTGAACGATTAACGAACAACTGGCTCAAGTCTGACAGACGCATCGGAAAGTTAATGCAGTTAATTCTTTTTGGAGGGGTTCGAGCCATCGAGGCGACTGGCACGGCGCGGTTTGGTTCCTTCGCTTGTTATGCATTTTATTATAATTGTGTTTTCATTGGATATCATGAGCTAACAGAGATTTTGGAATCAAGTGTTGTTTCGCAAAATTAGCTGACGCGTCGCGCGGTGGATGTGTTACAGCGAATGGTTTCTCGAAATTTGATGCTGCACTGTCTCTTGCTGGATTGTGGCATTGTCACATTGTGCATCCTTTATTTTGCATTTCCTCGCCTCTGAAATGGCACAGTATTCCGGAAATCCTTCGACGCGTACCATAAGATTGTTATTAGTGGGGGACCGTAAGTAAACTGCCAATTTACAATTCATTCGGGTTTGCCAAATATTTTGTATGAAATTCTGATCAAATGCTTCTTTAAAATTGTAAAAGTCCTGTATTTTCTGATTTTTGCTACGCCTTGAATAATCAATTTCCTGGCATTTTGTTCTAAAGTACGATGTTACTATTCGCATACGCCTTCCTTTCTCAGCTTTAGGGAATCAGTTTCATTTATAATGTATCTCACTTCTGAGTCTGCTTTGTGTTGCAGAATACGTGGGGAAGACGTCTCTGATTCTGTCGCTCGTTAGTGAACAGTTTCCGTATTCAGTTCCACCCCGCACGCAGCCGATAACGATCCCTCCCGATGTTACTCCGGAGAAAGTAGCCACTATTCTCGTTGATACCTCTTTTCGGGAACAAACGGAAAATGATATTTCTAGTGAAGTTTGTCGGGTAAGTAAGTGGAGGATATTATTGATGACACAGTGCCTCGATAATCCTTATAAGCATTGCGAAGAATTGCGTTTGCACCCAATTTGCTTCTGTCCATTCCGACAAAAAAATTATTTCATAATATTTTTCACGAATTAGTGCTTTTGCAAAATGATAATCTGGTTTAGTGGATGTTTAGACAGTTGCGCATCTTTTGCAGGCTGATGTCGTCTGCTTGGTGTACTCATTGGTGGACGATGAAAGCTTTAATCGGGTGAGACTCGCATTTCCGGACACTTTATTGCAAAGTCGCGTGGCATTATCCGCCGCTGAGAGAATGATTTTTGTCATCTTTTATCTCTTTGCACTGAATGCAACCCTGAAGATGTAACAAGTTTTTTTCCAAAGATTGCCTCCTACTGGTTGCCGAAAATACGAGAACGACTGGGCGATGGACACAAAACGCCAGTTATTCTAGTCGGCAACAAGAGCGACGAGCGCTTCGAGCATGGGGACCATGAGAGCGGGCTGAACGTGAGCTGCATATCTGACAAAATTTCGGTAAATACATAATCATAGTTCGCCTTGGTTGCAGCGGGTAGTACCAGTCATGGCAAAATTTAAGGAAATTGATACGAGCATTGAGGTAAGCATCATCAGTCACGTGCCTAATGTTCCGTCAAGTGCCAATGTTTTCCCTCTCCCTAGTGTTCTGCCAAAACAATGAAAAACTTAGCCGAGCTGTTTTTCTACGCTCAGAAAGCCGTCCTGTTTCCACATGCCCCTTTATTTAACTCTGTTGACCAGATGGTATGTCCCTATCACTTTCGTTATTCTTTGTTCTTATCGCGAAATTTTTTAGCTCACGGAAAAATGTGTTGCCGCATTGACACGGATTTTTAAGGTTGGTGAAAGCTTAGCAGCATTATGAAATCGTTATTTGATTTAAACAGTTATTTCCTGTTCTTAAGATTTGTGATATGGATAATGATGGAGTTTGGAACGAAGAAGAAATGCAAGAATTTCAGGTGTGAACCGTTGTTTAATGAGTATATCTGCGGCAATTATTCCACTATTCTTGTGTATCATCTCCAGGAGCGATGCTATAACACACCATTGCTGCCGCAAGCCATGGAAGAAGTGCGCACCTGTATTGCCCGACAACTGCCTCAGGGAGTGCAGGAAAACGGCATAACATTGGATGGTACAGTAATAAAAATAATTTGTGGCTTGGTTATCATAGAATCTCTTAAATACGAGAGCGCTGCAAAATGTTGTTGTTGAATACTAGGTTATTTATACTTGAATCAGATGTTTATTCATCGTGGCCGTCAGGAAGCGACATGGACGGTCTTGCGAAAATTTGGTTACGACGACGATCTGGATTTATCGGAACCGTATCGATCATTGCCGAAATTAAGCCCGGGAATGCACAGGGCAGAAATCTCCACTCAAGGAACCCACTATTTATTATGCTTATTCTCTAAGTATGACAAGGATCAGGATGACCTGTTGTCGGAGTTCGAATTCCAAAACCTGTTAAGTGTTTCACACAAACGACTAATTGGCCAGGATTGGTATCACAGCGTGGAAACCAGCATTGAAAACGGTGCAAAACGATTTGCTTTGACGAGACGAGGTTTCATTTCGCTTTTTCAGTAAGAGTTTTCTACATTAATTACTACAATACACGCCGATGAGTATTTTGTCATCCGGTATTCGACGGCGTATTTTAATTCTGGGTACAGATTGACGGCGTATTTTAATCCTGCGTATACTGCGGATGTGTTCGCCCACTTCGGATACACTTATCAGATGGCTGAACCTGATTTGAGTAGTGCCTTTGATAGTAAGTTTATCTGTAAATCCGGTTGATATTGCGTAAACGTTTTCGGGTTTTTATGCAGTTCAGCGAGATGCCACTGCAGAGAGTCGCGCTACAGCACGGGATGTTAGTCCCAAAGTTGTGTTATGCAATGTGATAGGGAGCAGAGGAGCTGGCAAGACATCGTTTATGCAAGGATTTCTTGGTCGAAATTTGGAGGTAGTTTTTGATTATTTAAAGTAACAGCGGTTGTGAAAATTCAGTATGTAGTTTACCATATGTTTTGTATCATGTAGTTTCAGAGCTTGTTCAGAGATCAAATCGATACCCAGTCGCCGCTGCACGTGATCAATCAAATCTCCGTTTACAATAACTTAAAATTTTTGATAGTGAGTGATCGATCTATTATTTCGAAACAACAAAACTAATGTGAATTTTCTAAGCTTGCTTTTATTGTTTATACAGTTGCGCCGAACTCGAGAATACAATTTGGATCCTAGAGAAATGAAAAGCGATGTTAACTGCTTTTTGTTTGATGCTTCCAGTCGTGAATCCTGGGAGTATGTCAAGAAGTATTTCGAGGTATTTTCTTTTAGAGATTACTCGGAACACGGATGGTGACTGGTGAAAATGGAAATTGGCGTGCTTTTCATAATATGCTTTTTCTAGCGGTATCAAATGCATTTCGGGAATCGTTCGAAACCTAGTCTTTTTGTCGGTAAGCAAAGTTTCTTCACAGTAATGTGTTTACTAAAACGGATTTGATTATTTTAATAGCTGCGAAGACGGATTTGATGGATGCGGAAAGTTCTCTCATGGAAGAAGTGAAGAAATTCTGCTCTGAGAAAAAATTGCAGCCTCCCCGTACAATATCTGTTAACATGATAACTATTCCGCAAGATATTTACCTTGAACTTGCCACACTTGCTGTTTACAAGTAAGCATTTTTTTGTCCAATGATTATCTGACAATAAGTAATGGCTGTTCGTGTCTGTAGAGGCGCCAAAAGCACATTTATTGTGCCACACTATGGAAGGAACCAGAGAGGAGGATGGTTCGGGAACTTCGGGTAAATTAAGTCAGATTTTGAATTCCGCACAAGCCAAAAATTTGCTGATTTTTAGACTTTTTTGTTTAATTGCTGAATAACGCGTTCTTTCCTAGGCAAGGACTTGCGAATCTTTGCAGATATCTCGTCCATAACAGAGAGGGCGTCGCAGGATTGGTTATTATTGTCGGCGCGGCGGCAGCATTTGGATTTATTTATGTTAGACAGAGAAAGTTGGCTACTTTCGTATCTTTTAAACAAATGCTGATGTAAACCAACGATGGTTGCAGGAATTTAGTATTTGTTACTGTACTTAATAACGGACTGCCTTTATATTGTTGCCTGTCCCTCATCTATTAAATGAGTGAAAGGTCATTTTAGCACAACAAATTGTGCAAACGATTTGCAGTTTTGTGTAGGCGGTAGGCAGTGGACGTTTTAACTTGCAGTGAAATAAAGCATGAATGATTCGAATAAATTTTAGCTGAGCAAATATACACTGATGTTTACGAGTGCAACAAATAAAATAAAATTCGTTGCCGTAATTCCGGAATCCGGAAGAGCCGGTCATAGGTAACAGCCGCACAAGAGCACAAACTTTTTACTGCATACATGACGCATTAATAACGAGCATGTCTGCTGACTAACCAAGCTTCGCTTTTCTACAAGGGCATCGCTCTTTCCCAACACATTTTTTAATAACAATTCAGATATCTAAGTAATAAAACCTTTCTTCAAAAATAAATTAATTGAGTATGTCATTATTACTGAGAAAAGCCAAAATCGGTCCCGACCAGGGACGACCAGTCGACTCCATTTCGCTGTTACTTACTCATACCGAGTCGTACGTTATTGTAAATGTGGCAGCCGGTCTGCGACTCCGACCGGGTCTGAGCCGGTTCAACTTCAGACGAACTTATAACCTGCAGGTTCGTTAGGTGCTTCTGCTGCTACTGTCATAAGAATTCGCTTGTTCTACTTCGTGGGTAGTCAAATATCAGATTTCTTGAAACTTTCGCCAGGAATTTTGGGAACGTTTGTTATTGTGATTTCGTTGTGATTTTCATTCACTAAGTATTGAGGAATACTTTTCATGTCAGGTGATAATTAAGTTGAGCAGAATATAAGGCTGATTTCCGCTCGCGCTGGAAAGCATTTCGTTGTGTAGGAAAGTTTACTTGTTTTGGATAACGTTATCCCTAACATTCTTAGCAGAAGTACTTGTTGTTCAAAGTCACAGCTGTAGCGTTGAGTCTTTCGCAAAGGCTCCTGTAAGTTTCTGCTGTTGTGGGATTGTGGCAATTTGTCTTCCCAGTTTATCTTAAATAATGGCATCCATGTAAGAGTACAATGGACTATTAATACCCCGCCGTACTATGTCCACATTATGCCAAGTAAATGACTGATTCAAGCGTTTCTCGGGACTCGCTCGCCCCCTCGTGGCTGCGTTCTTCCGCACACAGCCCGACACAGTTGGTAAATTTTTATCAGCTTCCCCGCGATGCATTTGGATTGATCCAAGTGAAATTGTTCGTAGTTTCGGCCCAGTCTTGGCTCGCGGCACTCCGTTGACGACTCATGGGATCGGGCAGCTGCTGATCGAAAATCGGATAACAGATTCCGTACTCAATGGATCCATGGTGATGCGCAGCACTGCTCGCATTCTGATCAGTTCTTTACTCACGGCAATAATCACAATCGAATCTCAGATTTCGATGAAGGTAGGGCGAGTGCGATAGGAGTTTTTTTACGAAAAGAAATTATACGTTGTTTTGGTTCGTAGAAGTACTGATCCGCCGCTCGCACAGCAATACTTTGAAAGCCAGTAACGGTTTTGGTTCTCGTCACGGCAATAATCATCATCATTTACGGAACGGACGTTCAAAATATGATGAACATTTCCGGCATGGCTCCGCATTTACGAATGTAATTTTGAATTTGTTTTTGGCTTGTTAGCTGGTTTTTATTGGCAGGTTACGAAATTCCGTTCAAAACGACAACACCCGGTTAAGAACGGCAATTATTTATCAGGCACACGTACATGGAATTCATGACATGGGTTATATTATTTTGCTGTATTTGTAGGGTTTGTCTGTTCGCGAGGCTAACACCGGTTCCAATGGGATCTCGTATAGTTTTGTAGCGACTAAAAACCTTCAGGCCACGCATAGACCGAACAGTCCTCATTTGCAGCAAAGTGATTTTCCCTCTCTTACTCCGATGAAAGCTGAACCTGCGACCGCAGCGCAGAATACTGTGTGGGGTAAGTGTACATTGTCCATCACGCTGCTTATTGGTTATTTGAATTAATAGACTAAAATAATATTGTAAGATTTGTTTTCGATTGTATTTCTGTGAAAAGGATTAGATCATCAGAATAAAGGATTTGTCTGATATTAGGTAAACCTCCCCAGCTAACGAAGGTAGTCAAAAGGAGCCTGTCCAGTCAGAGTTATCTGGGAACTGGCGGCACTGTTCTCGGACCATCGTGTGAAAAAGCTTTTCTTGGCGCAGTATTAGGCAGCGACCTCAAGGTGAGTTAGATATTGTTTCGGTGGATTATACATGACATTCCGTAGGAATGATTTCGTGTATCGTAGTTGGATACGAATCAAAGCGCAAGCACTTTGCTCTTTCGGCTTTGACATAATCTGAAACTTTTACCTTATTACCTCCTGGCATGAGGAAGAATTATTATTATGTAGTACAGTATTGCTTAGTGAATCTTTTCGTGTTTAAGTTTTAATGACTGTCACGGCGTAAGCAGCTATTTGTTATCCTGATGGCTTTTGCTTATAAATTTTGAAAATCTTTTGAAAGTTAAAAACTGAGGATAGTTGTTTGGCTGGTTATTGAAGGATTGTCAGCTTTTTTGTACGCTTGCGATTACTGCAGATAAGGATTATTGGTTTTAATAGTCTTGGTACGTTTCAGGAGGATTTTACGCTCGAAAGTAACGGGAACTGTGAAAATGGCCTTACGGAATGTGACTATGTAAGTATAACGTGTAATCATTTCAAATAGTTTAACACTTCGCTTTGCGTAGCGCGTTAGTGTATTGCAGTTTTAAATGTTGGATTTTAACGGAAGTTCGCTTTTTAACTTCGTTTTCTTTTTCAGTTGAAAGTGAACTATCCTGAGCCGCCTTCAAGCCTTGATGGAGATAATGATGCCAAACTGAGTTTCACCGATGCGCATAACGATATCGAAATTCATTCGGAAAGTGACGAAATCTGCACTTGGTCGATTAATGGAGAATCACGGGATTCTCCATTAATTGACCATTGTTCACCATCGGGGATGCTATCGTCAAGTGGCTCGACCGGGAGTGTAGAATCGATAGATTCGCACCAGTCCCACTTGTAAGCCGTTCTTCGCTACTGGTATCGCGGTACATGTACTGCACGTCCTTTCATAATTTGCAGGTCAGGAACGACTGCTATGATGGTCGAAGATCTTTTGGACGAAACGATTGCTGAAGAAGAGAAACTGCAAATAATGCATGCTTTGGAAGAGGTAATTATTACTTACTTTTTGTGAAAAAGCAGTTTTGTATTCTTGTGAAGGAGTCCAGATGACCAGATCAGGCAGACCTTCGAATTACTGTTTGCGTGGTAATACCGAGACGGAGATGCAGATTATATAGTTTTTGATTTTGATAAGATCTGCATCATATTCCATAAATTCTGTTCCTTCGCAGTGAATATGTGTCTTGAACGAGAGTTAAATTTCTGCTTTTGGTTTTAGCTGAAAGAGCGCACTGGCTTTGAATCGTACTACGAGCGTATCGCTGTTAATGACACCAGCCATCGTGAACGGTGCAATTCGCACGTCGTTACCGACGGTAAAACTGAAGACGATGATGAGGATCCCGATGACAGATTCCTGAAATGACTGGTATTTGGTGTTTCGTCGGACTGGATCCAGCCTTGTTGTTTGCCACATTGGCGCATTTTGATTCTGTTATTCCGACCCAGCTCCCTCAGTTGCCTATTCTGCTGCAAGCCACTCAACCTGGTGATGTGACACTAGATTGATTGCCGTATAATGCGATGTTTGTCATTTTGATGCTTCTGATATACTTCCTAATAATAATTTTGATAGTTGTAAAAATGATGAAAGAATTTAACTTGAAATGCACACAACTTTACTTCCGAAATGATTGGGATTTTGGCCTTTCTATCGATTGTAGCAGCACTGATAAGTGACCTCAACGTCTTGTGGCAGAAGTATTGGAGATAGTGACTATTTTAATTTGATTTAAAAAGGTTTGCTTTAAATTTTGCTTGGCTTCTTTGGTGGGTACAGTAAGTACTTTCTGTACGCTTTTTAGTGCCTACATGCCACAAGGTTACTCCCAGAAATGCAGAAACTGCCTTGGCTTTTTCGGTACATGATAGTTTGTTACAGGCACGATGGAATGGCGCATGATGTAGAAAACAAAAATAAAACTAGCATAAAACAAATAAAATGTTCTACTTTTTTACCGTTTCTTTTAATTTTTAGCTTATTAAGAACAGGTTCGACGAAGTTTTGGCAAAAATTGTTGGTCATCTACTTAATTACCAATGATGTTGACCTAACCGTAGATACTGACCTCCAGCGTATGTGATTTGCCCGAAAAAAATTGTATGAGGCAGCTTTAGAAAGATTGCCGTGCTATCGGATGAGAAAAATTCGTTTATCCAGCCACACAGTTTTTTGTATATGGACTTATTCTTTGTATTTTTGGATGGAGGACCGACTGGACCGTTGATACAGTAGTCTCACGCTTTAGTTTTACGAGTATGAACGAGAACTCATACAGAGCTGTTGATATCATTTAGGTAATGTCGTCATAAATGTACAGCAATTTATCAATGTTCCCCAAAAAATTATGGCGACTGGCCGCTTCTTCCGATTGCGGGCAGCGGCCTATACCAGGATAGTATTTAAATCAGAAATCTCTACTGAAAACTGAATCGAGTGAGTCGGGGTGACAAAGCGCTAGCCGGCTAGCCCCAACAAATCCTGATAGTTACCCGTATATATAGTGGTGGTGTATATATAATGTAACAGTGGCCTATCTGGCTACTGTTCTAGTGGGGTGGCGATCAGCCTTTACCACGATTAAACGGCTGTTGGTGTGAAGGTGGCACGACCGGCAACGATGCGGTCGTGGACGCTCTTAAGTCTTAACTGATGTTAACTGATGTAACGCAATTACACAGGTGGCTCCGATTGGGATGACGCAGGTTCATCCCAAGCGGTCAAACACAACAACGTAACTCAAGGCATGTTTAATGACAAGGCGTTCAAGAAACGGAGCAAGGTTGTAAGCAAGGGTTTCAACAAGAGGAGCAATCAAGTAGATGCAAGCTGTAGCAAGCTGAGCACAAGACTGAATTCTAGAAGTTCATGAGAAAGGAAACTAGCCGGTAAAGTGGACAAATTCATAACGCGATGGAATGATTCATCATAACTGGGCGGTCTTATCGTTCGTATAAATACTATCGCTACAATAAGATGGCATTTTTGTGGAACTTAAGATTGTACTAGAGATTGTTTTCTGGAACTTTTGTATTGTATTATTAAGATAAATTAAATAAAAAAAATGCGCGCATCTATACAGCTTCGAAAGGGCTTGCGTAGTATTACAAAATTTACGAGATACTGAGATACTATCACGCAATACTTCACTGTACGAGGTTTAATATGAAATACGCTTAAACTGACATTCGAGGAAGCTGCTGTTAATCGAGTAGTTATCTATTGACTCCGCATGGCTTATCTGAATGAGTGTTATTTCCTGCAACGGAACTAAAATTGAATTGAGCCTCAAGACCGGAAGCTAAGAAGCTGATGTGCAGCACCAGTGCCGCCCCTAAGGCTCCAGCAAATTTATCTATTCCATCATATCTCCACATCGACGCTACCTCGCATAACAATATTTACTCGATATTACCACTGTAAGGAACCAAAAAATTTACGAACAACTATTCTGTACAGTGCGAAGTAAACGTTTTATTTATAGCACCTGCACATGAATTAAATAGTAAGTAGTATTATGTTTATTACTAAGCACGCACAGCTGATCATGATATTACATATGCTCCCACTCGGACAGCTTTAGTGCAAATTTGCAACTTTAATGTTATAGCGCATGAAATTTAGACACAGTTATTTCAAACTTTGATAGATGATGTTAAGTGTTAAGCAGTATCAACCGGAGATCCATCTTTTAAAGTAAGTATGCTGCTGCTCATGAATCATGATTCAAATCACGGTCAATGCCTACGACAATTAAAGGTTATGACTTTGTATTGTACAGACACTTTATCCATACTGTATGAGGTGAGGGTTTGTGGCTAATATATAATTGTACTAGATAGCTAAAGACCAACAGTACGAAAAGTGGCATCATAATGATGTAACAATGTATACTTGGCGAATTGATAATAATTTAAGTATATATACATATTGTATATTTGATAATGTAAGTATCTATATATTGTACATTAGTAAAATCTTTGCATACGTAAGTATTGTATTCTAACATTAAAACGGACGAACACTATAAGGCGGCCTGTTGTTACATACTTTAATGAAGGCACTTTTTGAATTATTATAATTAGTGACGACGTGTTCAGTCATTTCTCGGAATCTGATCCATGATATTGGTCCACGGGACACTTCGATAAAAAAAGAAAGTTTACCTTATCCAGAGAATACCATCACATTTCGGTACACACAATGCCATCACACTTCGGTACACACAATGCTGCAACCAATCAACAAAAAAGTGAAACCGTACATGCCATACCATATGCATCACAGATGGTGTGCGTACAAAATATTTGACTTTGCAGAATAATTACTGAATATTAATTATGTCGGTTTGCGTCAGTTGCATGCTCTATCTAACAAAGTGAGAAACGTCCAACGCGGGTTTTCTAACGCTTCTAATGCTCGAATCTTAAGAACCGTGGTAACTGTTTAAAACTTTTTAGCAGCTTAGTATCGCCTTGACTACGTATACGTACGTAGGTTTATGAAGCCCCTATCAGTTCGTTCGATCAGTTTTCGTTCGCGCAATCACAAACTGAACTGCATTCGCACCGCTGGCTCGGAGCATGAATATGATTATTGCACTTATGACAACTTAGTTTGTAGGTCACGGCATAAAAAGTTAAACAGCGTGCACGCTTCCGATCCGGTCTAGATGAGGACTCGAAGCATCAACTTCCATAGTATACGTAGAGTGACAGCCATGAATGTACAGTGGAAATTTTGGATGGACTTTGCCGATTCTTTGGATTAGCTGCAGGGTTATACTGGTTATACATAGCCCGTCTGGGAAGTTAACTCTACTTAGCCTGTCGCATCAGGCGTTTGATCCAGCTCGTTATACACAGAAGCGCTTTCAGCAACTCCATCTTAATATAGCCGCGTCTCTGGGGAGAGCTTCGGTCGAAAAGTGCGAAGAAAATCGTAATCATCGCTTAACAGAAATTTGTATATCTCCTAGTCCTTCACACGTCCCCTATTGCCGTAAACAGTGTGTCGTTTTGTGCCGTATGCAAAAGGTCAGGGTAAATCGCTTGGGGTACCTTCGGCTTTTATTCTGGTTGACCACTTCGATGTACTTTCATATATCCGCGTACAATAAGCCGCCCAATTGCGTGGCTAATATTGCGGGCTGTGAATGTATCATTTTGCAATACTAGCACTGGTAGCCGTACATGCGTCGCATGAAGTATCCCGCTAGGCGCCACTTAATCTCCACCCCTTTTAACTTCCTTCCGTTTTGTCAATTTCTTGTCCTCGTTTCATATGGACAACCATAAGCTGGTCCCGGCCTGTTACAGCACTACAGCGATAACTGGATCAAAACCGCAAAAACCTCCTGGCAATAATTTATTAGTCCATTGCGCTCTCCTCTCCAGTGAGTCAGGCCGTGTCTGCCTATTAAACTAACTCCTTCAATTGGAGTGCCTCTATGAAAAACCATTAGAAACTTGCTGTCGCTCGTAGTAAACAACGTTCCTCTGTTAAATTTCTCCGTGTTGCTGCTGTTTGCACGGTATAATACTGTTCAGTGTCGCACTTGTTCCGCTGTCTATGTTTTTCTCACTCATGGATGCCTTTTCAAGGATACTTAAATTTTAAGACTTGTAACTTCAGCAGACATTTTCGATTACGCGCCGATTCAACTGGCCGGTGCATCCGAGATGAAACTGCCCGGCTGGCGATGCTGCAGCTATTCGCTTCCTGCACGCTTGCATATTTAAATTGTTTTTTCTGCGATTTTTGGAAACCACATCAGCACCGACGTCTACTTTGTGGTGCAATATTAGCCTGATATTAGATTTTGGTGCACAGCCAAAAGTGTTTTGCAGAATGTCGAGACATGATTCGATGCTGCCGTAGCCGGCTGTATTATACTCTGCGCCGAAGCAATATTTGTACGCTTAATGTGTTTGCGATACATCTGACACCGCATTGCACATCTTCTCCGTGTTCACCAGTCACCGGCTGACTGTGGCCACTGTGTTTTGCAGCAGTTCTTTGGCACTGGCATATTAAGACGCCGACAATCGAAGACGAAAAGAAACATGGATAAACAAGGATTCCACATGGTCGAATGCAGTGTTCAAATTCTTCTGAAAAAGCAGATACATCCTGTCCTGGATTATATTCCTTTATTCCCCGACGTCTTATACAAGTAAATCGTGGATTACGATCAGGTTACATCAATCATTCCTAACCGCTTACGGGCATCATGGGATTTTGGAAGCCATCCTGTCTACGACCGGCTAACGATTACTGTTTACGTAAGCTTTATTGGTCGAAGACGACCTTATATTAGCTTTTTTCCGGCATAGTGACTTTATGAGGAAATGAATTGCGGTATGTCCACTAAAGCGGTCTGTGCTTTTATTATGCTTTCTATGGCAAATCGACAGAGTTGTAAGAGTGTATATTTACTAACTTATCCACTTATCTAGCTGTGACAGTAAATTATCTAGCTGGTAAACAGCCAGTTTGTTAAGTTTGACTTGCGACACAGAAAGATACACTTTCTTACGTCTTATGAGTGTGTGTACACAGTTCCAAATTTAAAGTCCAAGAGAAGGAGAAGCTGAACGATTGTTGCTCGCAGACAGACATGACCACCGTTATGGTGGTGATCTCGAAAAATGGCAGAATCGAACCTCAGCAGGTTTCCGGAAATAGTAGGTCTATTGTGACTGCCTAGTCCAGATAATTTCTGGACGAAAGACTTGGATCGTCTACTTGGATGGGTTAATTTTTATTGTAACATTCCTGCTGTTGTAAGCTTCGTGTAAACTCTTGCAGTTTGCGGTTACTTATAATAATATCAGGGTAAAATTAATTTCAAGGAGAATGCTTTAACATAATTAATTGTGGCTTGTGGTAGGTAAATCGTTTGCTTGTAAAATTAATGGTCTCAGTGTATTAATGGCTCCGTTGATTCGAGCGTTTTAACTTGTATTTTGCAAAGTAAGTAAATATTGTTAAATATTATGAACGTGGCAGAATGTCCGTAGGAAAAAAGTGTAATTACCGATTGGTGTGTTATTCTATATAATGTTATAATCACAATAATCCAGATAAATCGTAAATCGGTCTTAGCTAAACGAGTTCCAATTCCATACACTAGCTGCCTGCAATTATCAAAGAGAAAGAGAATCATATTCGGCTATAAAATTAATATGTCATTTTGATTAAGTTGACGATATGAAAGACGAATAAATGTTAAATTTTTATGGCACCTTGTACATTGTGAGTCCATAAAATGTTACAGTACAGTAGTGCAGTGCATACAAGCTTGAAGTAATAAAAATTTGGTTATACAACCATTGCCTTTTTCCATGCGAGCTGCAATGAGTTGTTAATACTCATGGACAGAAAAACGAACAAACAAATTTTCTCCATACCTACCATTTATGGCGCGTAATCGTGCCAATTATGATAATCATTTCAAGCTTGAATGGAGCAAGACTTTTCGTAAACGTCTAATTCACTTAAAAATTGTAAGGTTAAAATCTTTAGTATCGCTTCGAAACATAGAAGCATACATATGATGGATAATAATTAATATCTTGGTATAAATTTGGCTCCCGCTTTCGTGCACAGTTTCGTTTAGAATTTGTCGGCTTCCGATTTACTTTAATGTTTAAAAAGTAAGAAATAGTTATTTAAATTTCGTACTACTGTATTTCAATTAAGTCACATATTTAAATATTTTTTAACTAACATGACTTAAAAGCAGAAAGGCGTATTAGAAGGTATTTCGCGTTATATATTTATTTACGGTTTGCCACTCACAAGTCAACAGTGGCGCGCTTTGCAATATTTAAAACGAAGTCTTCAGAATGATGACAATGTTCGACGGTGATCAAAATATTTTTATTAATTACTGTGTACCGTGTAAAACTGAACTGTCTGCATTGTCCGAAGTCATGTCCCGACTATACGTAAAGGCTAAATTGGATATGCAATGAAAAAGCGCGAAGCAACACGGCAACAGCACTGTAAAACAAGCTTCACTTTCTTTTCTGTAAGAGCTATCGGGGTAACCGTTATTTCTCATATATCGGCAAGATATTGCTCTAGCAATAGAGGTCTTGTTTGTACATTTAAAGAGTCTTTTGTCAGTAGCGACATAACTTTGATGGATCTGGTAAAGCCAGTTTAACTCATTATTAATTCCATACCTTCACGTAGCGTTGGTAATGATTCTTTCATCATAAAGCCATTGCCACTTGAGCGTGATTAAAATGCTTATTCAATCCAATTCACGAAATTCGCTGTTTTTGAGATTTTGTTAAACGATTATAAAAGCATGTAGGCGGACAAGCTTCGTGTTTATATATTCTGTTTGGAAATGCTTCTTCAAGATACCATACTCGTATTGCGTATGTACATTGCAGAGGTACACAGCTTGTAATTCTTGTTTTGACTTTGCGACGACGGCCATAACTTGTACTTCGTTCTCTTCCTATATCTATATAAGTTTGTAATTTCGTATAAGTACTCGTGCTTACGTGCAACGTTTTTACAAAACACAAAATTTATATTGCACCTGAAAATTTTTGTCTGGTTGATATAAGGGTATGGAGAATTCGAGACTAAAATCAACGCTGTCTTATTGTTAACCGCATGTTTGCAGTGAAAATTCAGCTACAATTTTGGGGTACGAGTTTTCGGGTCGTACTACAGAGTAAATTGCAGTATATATGGCCCCTGCCACACATGTGCGTGTGAAAATCAACCAAATTAAAGCAAAAACGCCGTATTAAATCACTATTCCTAATACAGATGTACAATACGTACTTCCCTGTCCACTGCATAAAAAACAAAATTCGATCAATGCCGGTCAGTTGCATCATATCTGTATATAAATGCACATGTACATGTCCGTGACGTAACAGACCTAAGCTGGCTATACTCCTTTTTTTAAATGGCCGTGCAGCGCTGTAATTTGTTTATTTCTGGATTCGGCTGCTGCAATTTACATACGCCAGCTGTTGACATTCGCACCAATGCCGAAACTTATGATGTGCCGTTTGTTGTATTATAATGCTAGGGTGTTGAAACACATGGAACGCTTCATGCGATGGAAAAAATGCCAAAGCTTCTTGTTCTTTATGTAAATACAATCAGAATTTGCAAATAAATGTGGAAGAATTTCGCACTCATGTGAGAAAGTCAACAATGTGAACTATTTCCGTCGACTCCTGGTTGTTTTATCTAGCGTGAGTTTATTCCAGATGTGACCGGCACTTTTCAAGTTAGGTTAGAAGGGGTTCCATCCATATATGAACGTCTTTAGATTCTGTTTAGATGACCGGCGTATAAGAAGACTGCGCTAAAATGCTGGCTATCGATTCCGTTTACTTTTACTGTGCGATCTCTTAATCACGCGTCTTACACCATTATTTTAGAATTTTTGCCATTTTTCTGACACAAATGTTCGGTTTCATGTGAAACGCAAAACTTTGTGCCGAATGACCAGTGAAACGTAACCATGGAGGTGTCATGTCGCAACAGCTGCGATGCGCATGTGTCATAGTTAATAATGGATATTATGCTTTCGTCATCCATACCTATTCAGCCACAGCCCGACATGCCGCCCAAATCGCTTAGGACAATTTCTTCACGATATCGTTTTTTCTATAAAAAAGAAAAATGTGTGTTTACGTAAAAATCGGTCTCGATAGGTTCATAATTACTTTGATTAATTTCCGAGAGTTTCTTGTATTCAGTACAACAGTAAAAGCTCTCGGAAACTAAACCTTGTGATTATGCGTATGTAAAAGCACATAGTGTATGCAGTTGATTTGAATATGCGCAAATGCATCTAAATGTTATATGATACAACTTATTAATAAATACTAAATGATTTACTGACAGAAAAGATATATTCTGCATTACCGTTTATATACTAATATTGACAAATGTTGCAGCGCGGGGAGTTAAGGAAGTGGATGATCTGGATGAAGATCGGCAACAGTTCATCCTTGCAGGTACAGTAATCTTTTACCGAGAATCCAAATTTTATATACCGCTGTAAAGATTGTGCAATCGAAGTCTGGTCATAATTAACCTTATTAGCATTTACATTACTTACATTTTCCTAATGTGTTTTCATAAAACTCTATTTCAAAGCCGTATAATCTATTCATTCATCAGAGTAGAAATTACGTACTGGTAGCAGCATCAAACACACGCACCTGATATGCCCTAAAAGTAAAAAAATACGTTTGTTATGGCATCTTCAGCCAGCTTATTTATTTTAATACTAATCGGACTTATCTTATTCTGTGTCAGTAGTGACGACTCAGTACGCTGTTCGGTATCTCAGCATTAACATATCAAAGACAGAGTACTTATTATTTTGTGTAAATTTGTGTTATTTGCCCTTAGTTTTTTATTACGTTCTCGATTTCTATTATACAGAGTTTCCTACTGTTTGCTACTTCAGAAATTGTGAATTCTCTACTTCAGTAATTACTGTCGGCGTGAATGGTGGTTTCAAGTGCGGCAGTCATGAACCGCCGCGCGCATTTGCTGCTGGCATTTTTTCCCGTCCTAGTCAAAGCAGGAATCATAGGGTAATCAACAATTGATGGCGTCGATAGCCATCCAGGCTGCCAGTATGTTTGCTGGCGACAAGTTGTGTGGGAAAGGCTGTGTAATCATTTACAGTGTGTATATCACCTTTTGATTCTTTTTGTAGATGACGTCAAGTACGGCACTACGACGGTTGAGCTGGTACGACGGGAACCGGAAAACGGTCTGGGGATTATCGTCGTAGGCAAGTCGTGTGTAGCGTTATTAGTTGCTAATCTTCTTCCACATTCGCTGAAATATTTACACCCATTCAGTTCTGATATTGTATCTTTATGTGATACAACATTTAATTATGTCCGTATATATCGACAACCGGCACCGCATGCCATATTGCGTAAATGTTTTTTATCCCTCATTTATCTGTCTAAAGATCTTTTATCGAATTTCGATAACTTGTTGTAAAAAAGGAAGGGGGAATTTGATACTTTGCATTTGTGATAAATAGTCCTAATTTGTGATTTGGATGTTTGAAGAATGGTTAATTTACGAGAACGGATGGGAGTAAAAATATGAGCGCGAACAGCCATGCTATTATACTGCGTGTTAGAGGACAGGGCGACAAATATGTCATTTGGTGTCGAGATTGTCATGAATGTAACGTGCAAAAATTATATATTATGCCTTCAACAAACTTATAGCGTAACCAGAGACTTCCATTTCTAAAGTATTTTCATATTTCTGCTTATAGGCGGCGCAGACAGCAACGAGTTACCAAGGATTGAGCAAATTCGCCAGGGCAGCCTTGCCGACAGGTAAGCATACTTTACCGTAAATTTCATAAGTTTCCATATCAGCAGTTACTTACTTTGCTTGTGATCCTGCATGTATTTTGATCTATAAGTTTGTAATTGTTTTATGTTTATGAAAGAATGCCGATGCCTGTGTCACGGCAGCCAGGACTGTTTCATGCTGAATGCTGAAAATTACTCCACTTTGTATGCGATAGGGTGCGATTCTACGGTAGTCAGTTAACGGAAACGAAAGTGCAAGATATGTGCAGCTTTAAAATTCAATTCAGTTTTAAAGCAGTAGTGTCCGGTGACTGATTTATTCAACAAAAGCCAATACACGTACAAAAGGCTTGCGCTGGGTACTAATTATAATGATACGAGTTTAAATTTTAAACTTTGAAAAACAACCAAACTCGTTAGTGTCTAGTTGTAGCCGTGTGATTTAAGAATCGTAATAATGTACAGATATGTGCCATACTTGATAATACTTTCAATAAATAACAGTAAGCCGCTGTGAGCGATAAGAAAAAAATGCCGGATCAAAAAGAAGCGTTAAGCACTGTTAACGAAAATAGTTTATTGCGATTTCTTGCACTAACTTGCGATTTCTTGCACCTTTGTACGTTTACGAGTTGTCGTTCTCAGTTACAATGAAATTTTAAATTTTTATGAACTCAAAGGCGGCAACAATATCATCAGCTGGATCCGCTTGATGCGGTAATGTTGCATTTGTATATACTGTTACTACTGTAGGTCCGATGCATTGGAACGGGGAGATTATTTGTTAGCTGTGAATGGCGTGCAAACCACCCGGCTTTCACACGAAGAAATCATCAATCTTTTAAAGCAAGCCGGGCCGCATTTAAGGCTGGAAATCAAATTTCCACTTCCATCCAGTAAGCACTCGCGGCACGTCGACTGCCGCTGACCATAAGCTTTCGTGACAGGAATAAGAAGTATCGAGAAGTATTTATTTCGGGATGTTTAACTAGCGAGCAGTGTTTTTCACACCGATCACGTGATTAAGCCGCCACATCTTTCTCTTTCTTTATACCGTGCACTTTATGCCGATGGGCATACATTGTTATTATGGTTATAGCGCCCGCGCTGTCGCGACGATGCATTCAGAAAGAAACATCAATTTTCGTGAAAAAAGAAAACGACAGCTTTGGATTAACGATTCGAGGTAATCAGCGCCCCGGTGAAAATGCCCGATCTCCATACGTTGTTACGCGCGTACGGCCAGGAAGTCCCGCTGACAGGTCAGTCAATCTCATCCTACCGGAAGTTTGCTTCGCGCAGTATTACACAGGGAATATTAATGTTGTTGCGACTGGCTGGCAATTCGGATGGTTATTTATAGCCTGCCATTTTCAAGAAAAAAGGTTTCAGTAGTTCGGTAAATGCAGTTTACTGACAGTATTGCTACGGTGATCATATATGTAACTTATAATCATAATTTCTGAAGTAGTTGAGTTGCACCGTAATCAGCTTCCTCTGCAGCTGTTGTTTGGAATATGCGTTTCTCTTATTGTATTGTGTTTACCGCTTTTTGAAGAGATGGCTTGTTCCGAGTTGGCGACCGCATCCTGGCGGTGGAGGGACCTCCTTAGAGGGAATGTCTCATGCCCAAATGATGAATTTACTCCGAAAAGCCCCATCATACGCCCGGTTGGCTGTGCAGTACGACGTGCAAGTTTTTGGTTAGTGCTGAGCGATACACGTTACGGATACAATACAATCGCCACATTCGACTAGTGATGTTGGCGCCAAATTCTCCCTAGGCAAATTGCACATGCAATGCCGCGTCAATGGAGCCTGTAAATTGTGTTGATTGTGTATAGATGCTGTTGTGAATGCGAGTGGTCCACTTTCTGTGGAAATAGACCGGGCTGGTGCACGAATGGGCACTGATAAGCCTCTTGGGATAAAGATAACGACCTATCACAACGGGACCAGCCGGGTGCTCCTTATTGATTCCATTGTGCCCGCTTCCATTGCTGACAGGTTCGTGTGCGTTATATACGATACAGCAAACTAAACGATCATGACGCATTTCTCTGCCACCATGTGTACATTTGCATTTAGTAGTCATGCTTATCCAGCACATCTGCAGTACAAATCCATAAACTGCTTTATATTGTACAATACACTTGGTGTTATTAATTACGAGAGGACTACATAAGTGTAATTTGCCGGCAACGTTACATCACAGTCGGTATAAAGCTGTTCATATGGGTGTATAGAATCAATTTGAGTCATTTAGCAATGCTTGCAGAACTGGAAAAATAATGGCTGCCGACGAAGCAATAGCTCAAATATGCGTAACTGTTTGCTCCAGAAAATTGTCAAACATTCGTAAAATATTTTCAGTTTCTCAATATAAATTATACTCTGAGAGTAACTGAAAATAAAAGCCGTAGTCGATAATTTTTTTTTATTAATCATATGTACGTACTGTATATTTATATGACTCCACGTGAACAATAGCGATGCAGTTGACCATCATTTACTCACGGCTGAACTGGTGAAATCAAGTCAATAAGTGGTAACATTGCTTGCAGAGATGTGCTGCTACATTAAAAAATACATATTTGAATTTACAAAGAAAGTACTGTGATGGTAATAATGTGATTACGTAGGTGTGGCGCATTAAATCCCGGCGACCGAATCGACAGCATTAATGGCACCGACTGTTTCGGTATGACCGTCCAAGAGGCCATACAGGTTTGGCAGACGCACTATGAAAATGAATGACCCTTATTAATCACAAGTGGCTGCAATTTGCCAATGGTTCATACAGTTACTGGAATCCGACTCCTCCACCGTAAACATGCAGATCACTCCCGTCGCCGTGCTCAAAGCCGATCAGAATGCTCAATTGGCCAGCGCCGCTGCCGCCGTGGTAACGAACCGCAACGGCAACAGTACAGCCGCTGTCGGCGCTGATCAGCATAACTTCCGTACACTTCCACGCAATCACAGTCCTCCACCGTTGCCACGCCCCCCACCCGCAGTATTATACCCCCATGCATTTCGCGATCCACCACCGCCCCTACCGCCGCCGGATGGGCAGCTGGCTGCCTATCCTGAATCACACCGTGACCAACTACCTGTCACGCGCTTCATCGAGACAGCCACCCGTCACAGCCGGGACACTTCATCCACACCGACACGCTCCCTGCGGGAGACGGCCCAGTCACCCAGTCGACCGCCTCTGAATAACAGCAAACCCGGCAACGCCTATCTTCAGTATAATCGCATCAATGGGACACTGAATTCGCAACAACCGTTGGCAGTGCCGATTTCCCGACATCCGGAGCCACTGCTGCCGACGTATAATCCGTACGTGCGCCGGGAACCGGATGAGGCCAGTGATGATGGGTCATTGTATGAAAAGACTAGCGCCCATGAAGATACAGATGGATTGTCGTTTCTGGTTGTCATCGATAAAAAGCCTCATGAGTCTTGGGGTGTCAGTTTTGCCTACAGACGACAAGATGGATACTCGGAAATCGTTGTGCATAATCTTGAACAAGGCGGGAAAGCCCAAAGGTTAGAGAAGATGTGTAGCGCATAATAACTGCGCATTTAATGAATGTACAAGTACACATGCGAAATAGATTTATGTCAGTGCGGCGCACATATTTCCATAATACTTACCAGTGACTTACCGCCATTGCAAAAGGCGAAATATTGTTTATGGGTTACATTTATTCGGAAGTAACGGCATAACGGTATTTCATAACGCTATTTATAAATGGATTGACATTATTACTGACCTTTATGTACACTACTGTGAGGAGCAGCAACACAAGAATGGATTACGTTTATCTCTACAGAATGCAGAGCCGTGGCGCTTCTAATGCGTATATGCCTATTAAAATAAAAATCTAGTAGCACAAAATTAATACGAATAATGTTTAACACAGTTAAATACTGTGTGTATTTATTTCTACAGAACGGAAGCATTAAGAATTGGAGACATCATTTCCCAGATCAACGGGAAGAACATGCGCAACGCAACGCTACAGGATGCTCACCTTCAACTGGCGTGCGATTATGTTACTTTGAAAGTGCTGAGGAGAGCCGATCCCGTTGTCAGGCAGGAAGCAAGGCACTCACCGGCTGAGAGCGCTAACTCCAGCGCATCTGTGGACAGTGCAGTGGAATCTTGGGAAGGGAATCTGAGGCCACAAGTACCAGCAGCAAGTAAGGAACTCTTATTTCCTTAACGCCAAAGCGGTTTACCATATCTAACTTTTCTGTATAATATTATTGCTTGTCTTGTTCTTTGTTCTCTGCATTACCTGCTCTGTACGCACATCTACTGTAAATGCTTGTCAGTGAGCTTAGGTCATCAGTTTTGCCAGGACTAACACAAGAAATTATATCTTTAGAAAGACTTTCGCTTTTTAACAGTTCGATACTTTTAACGATAAGCGATTTCTGATGCAGGAAATGTTGTTACCACGAACGGCAACTATAACACACTTCGTCAGAAAGGTCTTCCTCACAGCGTATCGGCGCATCACGTTGCCGAAGTGGACAGCATATCCGTGCGAATGCGTGGCAGTGAAAGTATTCCGGAACGGTTGGTAGACCACGAAATTAAGCCATCCTACCGCTACGCAGACAACCTAAAGGATTCTGTTGAAATGATGGATAAAATCCTTACGCTGAACGACTCCTGGTCCGAACGGCAAAGCACGCCAAACAAATCCGCTCCCACCGGCATTATGAATAATCATGTCTCATCGGCGTCCAGTATGAAGACATCGCGGCACGATAAGTCCCAGGTCTTGGACTCGCTGCTGCAGGAACTGGACGATATGAAACCAAAGCGTTCGCACCCCAGCACAACGGGGAATACACCATTAGTACAACCGGCACCAGTCATCCGGCGTGTGAAGTTCCAGACTCCCAACGGGCATATAAGCGCACCGGCTGCCGCGATTCCGAGCGGAAAGCCTGGCACTTTTGAGGTGGTGCTCAGTAAGGATCCCTACTACGACGACTTTGGGTTTAGTTTATCGGATGGAACGTTTGAGAGAGGGGTGTTTGTTAAAATGATCAGACCGTCCGGGCCGGCGGAACTGAGCGGCCTCCAGTCTTTTGATCAAATACTAACGGTAAAACTAGTATACGTACAGACTCTTTATTTGTAACACACATAATGATGCTATTACAACATTTAAAAATTATATATATACCACAAAACTGTACCGTTTGTCTTGCGCAATCACGCATATCCTGCGGCAGTCATTATGGTGCAAAGCATGATCAAGACCTTAATGTTATTGTTTCCTATAAGAATCATTGGTGCATAAAAACAATGAAATAATCTTAGGTGTTTTATTTTCGCAGGTTAATAATACCGATGTTTCCCATTTGGACTGTTGCCTTGCGGTTCCTTTAATTGCTTCAGCAGGCGACGGTATTCGTTTGCTGATCAGTCGACGCTCCCTTAATCGTCGCTTCATCAAGGGCGATGAAAATGATCCTGATGACCGGTCCAGAAATCCAGAGGTGGATGTTTTAGAATCCGATATGTTATGAAGTTTTTTGTCATATAACACTGTGACTATTACTTTTTTAATTTGCTGGGTTGTCTTAGTAATATATTCTGCGGGACTATTCCATCTGTTCCGATTGTCTTATACATATGTCTTATGTCCAAAGTACGGTCAATTTTGAATGATTTTGATTATACTCATAACGCGATTTCTCAACACTTTTGTGCCAGTTGTATACTTACTTATCAAAATACTTTTGTACTTCAATGAAATTAAACAATAAAGGCACGCAGTGTGTAATGCCGTTCAGATGAAGTAATATGAGTACGATGTGTGTTATGATCAGTTACATAATTTATTATCTGAAACAAAACCAATCTCATCGTTGGTATAAGCCTGACCGACATAAAGTGTTGATATGATTATATAAACTGTAAACCTAGATTTAACTGCACATAAACGGTTTAATTTAGCATAGACTCTTTCCATGGTCTACTGTCAATTTGACCAAACTCAGCGCGTCACAAGGTCAGCAAATCAATGGAATCGCATATGTTAATTTAAGCCGTGATCGTATTATTCGACCTCAATTTTGTTTTTCTTAACCTTAATGTGAGCATGCTGCCATGTTAAGTATTTCGTTTAATTTGTTTCTAAATTTTGTTGATTAGCCCCCGAATAACATTGATTTATACACAAAGGTGAGTAAATTTTCCATACCATTTACATCCTCGCAACTGTGTGCACATCTGCACAAATCTGTTCACAAGATCATTGAAAGTACTTCTAGTAACTCCACGCTACAGCAGATCTGTAATCTAGATTGCTAGTAATTCTGAATGAATTTCCTCCTAGCTTATAACTATCACTTCATCCTCGATCGTTTGTGGTTTGACCATCTGGAAAACATTGTGCTGGTGTCGACAAGAAGATCCACATCGTTTTTGACGCACCCACAACTACTAGCGTGTCCAACAGGGTTCAGAGGAACAATGAAAATTTTTTTCTATTGTTTCATCTCGGCAAGTCTGTGTAAGGATGCTTGCTGGATGCAGAATTCATGTCAGAGGCGTGTATGAGTGGGGCATGCTGGTGCAATTGTAAACCGGAACCGTACGAAGCCATTTCCTCGTTGAGTGACAAGACTTCTTCCTCCGGAATCGCGGTAGTTGTCTGGTTGCGGTCACTATGCCGGTCATACGGCCGGTATACCAACGTCATCTCCTCATCATGTGACCTTTGTGGACGAGTGCGTTCCTCGAATTCCGGCTGGAGAAATATAATAAAACCAATGATACTTTTATAAAAGCTGGTAAACGAAAGTTTAATCCAGTCTGCAATAAAGTCTGTATCATTAGAATTTACCCTTTCCGAGTCCGTTTTTGGACGCTGTCGACGGAAACTGGAAGCAATCCGGCGGATGGATACGCGTAATCTCCTTGTGCCCGGAAAATTACTACCGGAATTTGATGAAAAGGAAACGACACGTTTACGGCGTCCGTTGGCCGGTGAGCCTCGCTTTCGTTGTTCTTCGGACTGCCGGCGACCTCGTGGCTGGAGAATGGACTCCACAGTCACGGGTTGCTGGGGCATTGTTGATCCGCCCAGAATCAGATCCGCTTCCGTCAGTTCGCGTTGCTACAACACATGAATATTCTCCCCGATAAATTAAATATTTTTCCATTAACACTTGTATGAAAACGAATGTAATTCTAATTGTTCACTCCAGCACAATTTGAGTAATACAGGCAGCATAATCTCCCGGTGATGCTTTTTACTTAAATACAGTAATTCCTATTGCACAAGCTAGCTAAAAGGAAAAGAAAAATTAATGTGCTTGAGATAAAGTGCATGAAAATTTGAATTATATTTCATTTGTGCATGTGTAGTTTGATACAGCTAATTGCACGGGTACACAGAATCTTTGCCAAGCAGCTAATCGATTAATGATTGTTAGGCCATTTAAGCACTATTTCTCTGTTGTAATTCTGTTTAAATTTACAGTATGCAATGATCGAGCGTCCGATGATACTGCGACACTTTTTTCTTACCGTTGTTCTCTCCAGACATGTTACGAGATGATGGTGCTGTAGATCGAATAAATCGATACGGCCATCATCCACCAGTCTGCCGGGTCTGGATGGACTCAGTTCGTCGTTATCTACACTGGTCTTCGTACGGCTTTCCGCCGCACGCTTTTTGGTAATAAACGCCACGCCACGGGCATTTTCTGTCAGTTTAATTCTGGCCATTCGTGCTTTCTGTTGGGAAGAAAATTAAACGAATGGAACTCCGTAAGCCGATAGCGCTTGATAGATATTAGCAGGGGCACTTTTACCTTTTGAGCTCTCCTTTTATCGGCCCGTTGACTCTGATGATAAATTCTGGAGAAGTTGGAGACTATTACAGGAACCGGCAGGGCAATGACAAGTACACCACTTAGAGAGCAGACGCCGCCGACAATTTTTCCGGCGATAGTCTTCGGTACCATGTCTCCGTACCTACAATTTAATATTGCGAAATCGTTTTATGAACTTGAGCCAGAAATAGCGCTGAACGTTAATTTTTAGCAAACACGGTGATATATCTGTACGCATAAAACCGGCTTTGTAAGAGAAAGGATACACATTTTTCAACAAACTGTTATACAAAATTTTGCTCTGATGGCATACTTTATAGTTTATTTTATATCACTGTTTGCAAGGAATTTCATTATGCGCAGCAGTAATCGCCAATGTTCTGCCAAGTTGTAGGAACAAGAGTGCAGATACAGCTGCGATAGTCTTCTGTCGAAAAGCAGCATTCGTCAGCTCATTAATTGACATGTCATGAACCGCGCTCTTCCCAAAGATTACGTTGACGGACAGTTATCAAACTGATTGGCTAAAGCGTGGAGCGTCGATCCGATTTGCTAAGCAAATCAATATTTTTATTTCATGTACAATGGAGGGGACTGAATCGAAAAACCAACAGAGAGCGGGCAGTCTAGTAATACAGGCAGTAGTGATATTTAAACAAATATAAATATTGTGCGCTATACACCACCAATATCATAGAATACGTAATTTACTACAGTTAAAATAAAGGCTTACTATATTATGTGAATAATGATCAGTTATTTTATTATAAATAAAATTTTGGGAAGACATTTAGAAAGATTCCAAAGATATTTTTATTTGATTCTCAGTACGAAACATAATTATAAACATTTCATCATGATCAGTCAGTTTGCTACGACAGGGTGCGTTATTTATAAGGTCATGAGTTTGCCCCTGTCGTTGGGTTATACAGAACTAACGCTTGCTTACTTATGTTTGAACTAGCTGGATGCCAAAACAAACGTCGCAAAACTTACATTACGCTAGTGAAACAAAGCCCAGAAAACTTGTTAACGTAGCAGCATGCAAATTACAGATTTTGGGTGGCGGTTAATATATTAGGGAGCCTATTTACCAACTGCAACAGCAGTCAGTTCTCGTGCGTAGCCGGAGCAGTCTGCCGGTTCCATAATGTCAGAAAAAGGACAGATTATGAAGTATGACATGGAACATGTGCTTGAAACTTGTCATTTAATCTCCTTTCCCAAGGCATGCCTCTTGGAACTTGTTGAAGGAGCAAGTAAATGATGGTGCTGTGTAGCATGCAGCAGCCGATAGGAAAATTTCAACATCGATTACCTCATCGAAATGTATAATCGTACTTCAAGGCAAAGGTTTCAAAATGATGAAAACTGATGCAGCGCCTATGTACAAGCCGTGGAATTTTTGGCGCAAGGGATAAATGATGAAGAACAAGCACACACTTGGACGTATCTCATAATGCTCACTGCTCCGATGATCATGCGATAGCAAGTGCAAGGCATAATTATGGGCGTAAATTGTTTGTTTAAAGTTATTACTGTTTCAACAGAGTTAATCAACGGTTTCAAATAAACGCTATTAGTATTTTTTTATTACTATAGCCCATATGTGTTATGGTAGCCCATATGTGTTATACACCGTATATAATGAAATATAATTCTCACCCAAGCGTTGTCATTGTGACGATGGTGTACCAAAATGCAGCTGGTATGCTGGTAAATTTGGTTTGCGGATCATTTTTCTCACAGTAGTACATTATAGTGGCGAATATTACAATGGCCATGGCAAGGGAAAATACCAGGAAACCAAGTTCGGAGGCACAACTTTTTAGCGTATAGCCTAATATCCTCAACCCTGGACGAAACCGAGCAAATACAGTTTAAACATAAATCTGGAAATACGTCAAACACATTGCGCTTACCTTGGGAATGTCGAGAAAATTTGAAAATACCTGTAAAACAGCCATAATCAGATCCGCTCAAAATTAGAGAATTAATTCTATACGTACGAAAGACACGGAAAATACGCAAAGTAACGAAGGCTCCGGAAAGTTCATTGTCCATTAAAAGTCCAACGTAGTACGGCATTATAGCCACCTACACAATGAGAAACGTACCGACTGTGCATAAAACAGCAAACATCTTTTCGCCTAATTAAACTTGACGTGATGCATCGTTCGCTGGAAAGCATATTATGCAAGGTAATCTTAAAATTAGCCTAAAGTTGGGCGTTAAACTAATCACCCCATTGACACTTATGGTTAGCGGGGATATCACATATCATGTACAGATTTTATTTTAGCAGACTGATCGACACAGTAGAATGGAAAGGCTCTTGTTGTTATTCCTTCATAATCATTTTAAAGTTTTTTTGAAAATTAATAAACTAACACCTCTCGAGATTCCCTTCGCATATTAAAATTTATATGACTTTACTACTACATAGTACATACCTAATTCTCATATGCAGAAATGGGAAGTAACGGTTTGGTGCATTAATTTTATTAAAAAAACGTTGCTAATGTTTTCTTTTGGATGATAGACCATATATATTACTTTTTTATTGAAATTTATTATAACAGTCGTACCACATCGATTATGGACATAACACTCCGCATAAATTTCCAACGATCCGGAGCCGCATACAATCTGAGCAGATATTCAACTGTAAAAATTATCACACAGGCGGTATCCAGGCAGAAGAAAGCAAACTCATAGCGTTCGCCACAGGATAGCGGTTGACTTTTCTGTCCGGGTGTTTCCAGTGGCAGTCTGCCGCAAGGAACGGTTTCCACAATGTGAGCAATGACAGACACTACAAACAAAAATACACACTGTTTATTTAAGGCTTGAAAAAGTACGGAAGGCGATAATATTAAGATCATATGTAGGCACAAAATTACCACAAAATTGCCACTGGGAAAAACTACGGAGTACGCTAATTGTTGTACGGTTGTGGAGTACATTTAGTATGCAGCGGAAGTATCGTTCTCTCCAGGTGGGAATGCCTTTAAAAATCCTATTACCGCAATTACAGATAAAGTCATGGCAGAATGTTGGCGATGCTTCGCAGCATCCAAAAAAGACTAAAGACAGCTAGTATCATTGAAAACGTCCTTTACTGCATAGTGCAGACCAATTAAGCACAAAAATGTTAGAAATTTTCATTTTCACGTCCCGGCTTTCAGGCCCGATTCCGCAAAATAGCACAACGAATATCTGTAGACAATAAATTAGAGGTATCTTATTGTTAAGCCTAGTTGACCAGAACGATACGTTTGTAACATTCGAGCAAATATTATGATTATGCTAACAACGACTATTCGTAATATAAATTACGGCAGTAGTTATTTCCTTGTAGGATGCTGCAATACCTAATACAGCACCTAAAAGGTCAAGCCAGATTTATAAATACTGGCAAATTCATATATGGTTTACAGATCAAGCGTCTTTTGGCTGATAAATTCTGATACAAGTTTCCGCGCATTTGATTCTCCAAATCAGTGAAATCACTCTTCGTGACTTTGTTGATCAGTGAGTAAAGTTTGTGGTAGAATGCACGTGTTTCTCACTGCATGCCGCACCTATATCAAGCTTTTTCTAGAACACGATAACACGAGTAATTATCTGTATTACTTGTCTGTATACAGCGCGCTGTAAGTAAACAGCCACACTGCTATGGTCCGCAGCACATAGCGAAGTAAGCGAACATTACCGTATGCAAAAGTATAAAAACGTTTCCAAAAGAGAGTTCCATTGCAAATTCAACGTTTTTGCCAGAGCCTCATTTATCCAAAGTGGATACAAATTGAATTTCTGTGTAACAACCTTTAGCGGTAATTTGCGGCATAAAAACGCGTGTAGACACTATATATGTATGCTGTTCGATTCCCGCCCGATAATTGTCGGAGGTACAGTACACTAACTCCGCTGACAGAAGTCTTATGACATTCTAACTCTGCGGGCTAACAATTGTAAAAGGGCAGGGATGCAGCGGGAATACGTGCCCGAACGTATATATACAAAGGGTTATTGAGCATTTTAATCACTTACAGTACAAATTCGATTATTGATCAGGTCTATATTTCCATAATTTCATTTGGCCGCTACGCAATTCCACCCCAGACAAGGTCGTCAGCTGAAATCTAGACTTTTCTTACAGTAACAAACGTAGAATGCAAAGTCTGATTCTTTTCTTTTCAACTGTAGAAGCTGCAGAATGTAGAAAACTTTCTCCAACTTCAATCTATATGTATGATCAATACCACGCTGTTGGCATAGCACCTTCGCAGATTCGCTAGACGCTAGAAAAATTTAAGTAAAAATAACACCAAAACTATAAAAATTAATATGGCTGATTTAATAAGATCCTCTTACATACTATCTATATTTTTTTTAAATATCGTGACCAGTTAAAACTGTTTTTCCAGTATTGAGGTTATTTTCGGAAACATCTGACAATCAAACAATCGGCGGAAATGGCTCTTGGAGTGAAAAAATAATTTGTCATCATGAATGCAGATTTTAATTTGCTGCAAGTAATACGAGTACATATAGGTAGCGGCTTTATTGCTGCTTATAATTATACGTATGGAAATTTGAATAAATTCAGTACATTGTTATTCACTTGCTTTACTATAAATGTCACCGTCAGCGGGATATTTAACTGCCACTATAGCACTGATGTTTTTTCAAGCAGTATTACTTTTACAAATCTTAGAATATGCCTACCTGCAATGAAAAAGCCAGTGACATAGTAGAATGTTAAGGCTGCCGTCCCTACATGCGGATTCTCGAACGCTCTCCACATCTTCTCCCGTAGCCGCAGCGGCACTTTTGCCTCATTAGCTCCTTCATCCAGTTTGTCGTCAGTCAGACGCTCGTTGTTCTCGCGCTTTCGATCACGATAATCTTCATAGCAGCAGTCACCAATAATGTCGGGCTGGATACCGAAAAAGGTCAGTTCCTCATCGAACAATGCGATGCACTCGTGCTTGGGAAAATGCAGTTTGCCCGTACGGTAATAGTTCAGAATATGACGGAACATTTCCGGATCACGATCAAAATAATATTCAGCCGTATCCTCATCGTAAAAGAACTCCCTCTCCGATGAGCCGAGCAGTGTATTGGGATGCTTTTCGAGTGTGCTGCGTCGTGTAACGAACACCCGCCCGCTGACATTGATAACCACCTTATGATTAACCTTAGTGGGATCTTTGTTCGGCTGGGGCGGATCGGGTAATGGCTGCTCGGCCAAGGGTGCCCAGCCGATGGCCGTTGCACGGGTAAACGGCAGCCATGCTCCTACGGATCCCATGCTGAATGTAATCTAATTGTCAGCCACACTACGCATCCTCCGGAATGTCTTTACCATCAATAACCAACGGGCGACATGCACTACTATACACAAACCGTATTAGCGCCTGTTCAGAATAAGCTGGGGGGATATTCACAGCACAGATCAGAGAATCATTACTAAACGTTGCCGCTTAGATGGATTCAACAATCGAGGTCTGTTTGGCAGCTTCATATTGTGATGATACAGCTGGAAAAAATTTCCTCAACGCCACGATCTCACTCTCTCTCAATTTGACGCGCTATCCCCGTGCGCGCGGCATGGAAGAGGGAGCAAGATTTCTCAATGAATATTCAGCAGATTAAGTGGTAGCAGGTGAGGCGTGAAATCTGAATGGAATGCAGGAAAAAACAGGACAATTCGGGGGGACTGGCTTCCGGTGACCCAAGTGTAGTATATGTAATAATCCTACAGACGGGCAACAGCGTAAACACTTGGACTCCCCCACATTTTCCAGGCACTATATATGGCACGGATGGTATTAATTACATAATTAGCATGTGCTCAGAGCATTCAGCACAATCGCCTGCTCAAAATAAATGACATCCACCGTCCGGAAGAAAACAACCTGTGCACTGGGACGGCCAAAAATTTTCCCGAAATTCATGTGCTATTTATGAATGAATTAAAGGAAATATTTGTTGGACCGCGTTACTGCATTTTATACAAACATCATCCGCGCCTCGTACCACAACATTCTTCACATATTATATGTAGATGTTGGTTGTCATTGCGTGAAGCTAGGCGAAAATATCCGCTACCGGATAAACCTGGATGCTATGGTTGTTATACGCACTTTTAAGCGACGGCTGGGCTACGCCAGTCTTACACACATATGTAAGCCGTTAAAATGTGGGAAGTGCGTTCGCGGTGGTCTTTTGTGCAGCTGCAGTACGACTAGTGTAGTGCGTACGCAAAACTAGTCGCGGAGAGCTATTGCCATTTGCATGCAGAATATATCACAACCACTGTAAACCAGAAATTCCGTTCTGCTTATTTTGTGCCTCGCCAAGTGATCCGCATAAAAATCAATAATTGTCTAAACCTTGTTTCACGCACACACCATCCTTCCTTCATACTGTATCAAGTTAAATGGGAATCGCGCAGCGGAAGCGGAGAGCTGGTTCACCAGCAGCATTTATATGTCGTCCAACATTTAATACAGTGAGAAAACTCCCGGTCAGGCGAGACCGTGAGAACATCACCGTCTGTTACTTGATGCACATGAAGTCCGCCAAATTTTACACGACTCTAATATTTTTAGACTGATGTGTTAATTGTCGGACTACATGCACTCCCTGTTAATTGTTATTACGCAATAAAAACTTTTCTATCAATGTACGAGTACAATAATGTGCATATTGTCATTTTGTTTAATCCGAAAATTTTGTATCAACACGTGATTTCGTATTAATTCTTCCCGCAAAACATATTTTTGTTTCTAAATATTTTTGTTTCTAAACAGTTTAACGACAAACTTCTTAGAAAAAGTACATAGCCGTCACCAGTAGTGAAAAAAAATTTCTACTGCATATAGCGGCGTGTCGAATGCATGTCTGACTGTAAGCATGAATATTATTATATAAGCCGAAGTGGAACTATGGAACAGACGAAGTTCGCAAGCATTACAGTAGCAAATATTGGCACACCGATATTTCCATCGTTTGTTGCAGCTTTTACTATCTGTACTCGGTAGTAGTATAAAATCGTAAGCCTGCGTGATCAGCATCTCAAAAATTCTTTAATCCAGCAATACTTGTCAGAACAGATGCTGCTGCACTGACGAAGTACGGTAAGTAGTAAATCCAAAGCAATCGATACTGCGTCAAATAAACTGGTTCAGTGCGATGTTAACTTATGTACTTACAGACGCTATTTACAGATTGTACAATTTACTCCTTCAATATCGGTTTAAAACAAAATTAGAAAGAGACTGGAGTACGTCAAAAGTGCCGGCATAACATCGTTATTCAAGTTTGGAGCATACGAAGTGCTTGCGACGTCCAACAGTATCAAGTGTTGCTATTTATGCCTCCCATTTTTCTTTAGAAATATTACAAACGGCAAAAGATAATTAAAATCACATAAAAGAAAAACAAAGACCATCACAATCATTATCTGGAAATCATAGAGTTCTAGCTATTTATTTCTGACCAAACAGATAATAAATTACCGGTACGGATAACGCAAAAGCTGTGTAAAGAAAGGCGGCAGTAACTATTGAATTAATTTTCATTTTCCACTCCATGCTCTGCTCAGTTCTCTCCAGAGCCTCTGCAAGATCATTCTTCACGTACACAATCGCCTCTGCGCTGGATGGGCTCAAATTTTTCCTCGCGGCTACCAAGTCTTTAACGGTCTGCATCTCCTTTAGTAGGACAAATCGCTGCTCGGTAAGCAACTGCAGAACATCTTTGGACGGTAATGAGCCATCCACTGTGGGTACCGTGACCTGGCCTTCAGGCGCATGTCCCTGTTCTCCTAATAATGTTTTCAGATCCCCAATGAAAGACTCCAGTTGTTGGTGTTGAGTTTTAGCGAGAGCTGATAATTCCCCGGCAATATTCTCCACCGGTACAGCGCTGCCGGCTGCTGAGCGCGTCACCAAGCTCTGCAATTCCCGCATTTTCAACCAATTATTAATCGACGTTCCCAGTATTCCAATAATCGCCCCAATAACCGATCCGATCACTGACCAGTATTTCGTGCGTTCAGCTCGAGATCGCTCCTTTTCATGGCTTTCGCGAACAGCGGCAGATAATAGTGCAAACCTATCTCGTTCCCTGCTCTCTGAATGTTCCAAAACGGTTTCCAAACTGCAAACAGCTTTCACTATATTTGATTAAAGCCGTAGTTAACGAACGACCTTTCAAAAGTTAAATTATCAGCGGGTATTGGGGTTTAACTTCATTCACACACCAGCTGGCATAAAGACAAAGTATAGCATATATTTCTTCTCTTCATAAGTAGGTGGCTGATCCAGAAATCCTTGTCAGATCACAACATACCGTATTTGACCAATTAGTGACCGGGAGTCATTAATTTTTCGTAAGGGCAGAAAAAAACCAGCAATTACAAACAGGAAATTACAAATACGATATTGGACAAATACGATATTATACGATTGGATTTTCAAATTAGTTTGATCACGATTGCATTCTACAAGTATGCTATACAGTCATACAGACAGAGACATAAATAATAATTATTCAAATAGAATATATAATAAATAAATAGTAATTATTATTGAAAAATAAATATAAGAACTTTCTATCTGACCGCTTTGTTATTTAGGCGCGATTATGAACTTCTTTCAAAATATTTCGAAAGCGAAAAACATAATATGCAAAAAACAAAAACAATCGTTAAGCATTCAATCCAGCAACTGCATGTACCATACATTTCGAGAGATTTCACAAATGATAACTCGAAAAACTTTGATGTACCTTCGCTCTTCCTTCACCAGTCGATGCTCCTGTGTGACCAGTTCTAAATATTTGTCTTCGCCGCGAGACGTCCTATCCAATTCAGCACGAATTTCCTTTAACTTGTTTTGAACGCCTGTCACTTGCATTGTTCGCTCCCGCCGTTCTTGCTGTGCTTCGATGAAGTCTCTTTCGGCCTAAAACAGTAGTTTTTAGTGGAACGGACACGAATCAGCATCATAGCACACAGATAGTGCCGCCTTAACCAAACGCTCTGCGGTACTGACTTTCGCAGCGAACAACGCTTCTCAAGGCCGTATTCTGCCAAAAGTCTCACCTGAATAACTTGGTTCTGTGCGTTTTTGACTTCTGTTAAGCCCAGAAAGTCTTCGTACATCTGCATCCAGTACGAAAGTTTCTGGTTTGTCCATGCTGTTGCAGTAATTGCGGCGTTCGCTACAGTCGCAGACACTGGAGGTGATGTTGAGGTGCTGGTGAGACAGCGCAGCGGTCCGTACAGTGCCCGTTGTGGTTTGCAACGTTCCAAGCAGGTCAACAGCAAGCTAGTCGTACGAAATGAAGAAGTCATGATATGTCAATAATCTATTTCACCGTAATACGGTGAGGAGAAGGATTAGGGTTTAGGATCATCAGAATGACCAAGCTCCCCCAGCTTGAAAACAAATTGCTGGAACAAGTTTATACTTTAGTCTGTAACATTCCACAGAACTTAGTCATATGAAATCCAACCAATTCAACAGTGTCGAACGTCGATGACTGAAAAGCGAAAACCCTAACCTAAATGAAAAACGAACCTGACCAGGTAAAGGTAAAATTTAATCTGGAAAAGAACTACAAAGAGAGCACACTATGTTAATGCTCTCCTGCAGATCCTTTAACCAGCTGATGTAGTGAGGTGTGGGTTTGCATAGTGTCCCTAGGGGGCGGTAGCGCTTTCGACGGAGATTCATTACTTATTGCCGATTGTAAAATCGCATCTGTAAAATGTTTGACTTCCAGTCTTCCCTCACGTCGTTCGCGATGAAAACAAATTTTGTACAAAGACGCACGAGGCATAAGTGATGGTAAGACGATATTTTTTGGCCGGTTATAAAAATTAAATAGAAAAAAGTCTTTATTTTTATCACAAAATTTCGTCTCTATACTCTGTAGCCTGTACTCTGTAGGAACAGCGGTGGAATCTGACTGTGGATGTCTTATAAATCGGTGAATATAATTTCTTCGCGTGTAACAACTGCTCTTCGAGCTCGACAGTATGCAACCGTGACGGCTGAAACGACAAATTTTCCCAGCGACTGGAGATTTGATTCTCACAAAGCGGATTTCCTTCGTCATGCTGCTGCAAAAGGGACAATGGTGCTACCTTCGCGACAGAAAGGAGAAGGTTTGGGTCGCCCCGAAATCACCACTCAACGTTCAACTGGCAGCTACGCCGTTCTTGTTCCATTCTGCACGGTCAAAGGGATACCGTCGGTGCTGTTCACCCTGCGTTCGAGTAATCTTGCCAAGCACAGAGGCGAAATCAGTTTTCCAGGGGGAAAATCCGATCCAACTGATAAGGATGTCATACACACTGCACTAAGGGAAACACAGGAAGAGATTGGTGTGCCAGTGCAGAGTACGGATATTTGGACAACGCTGCCGCCCATGCCAACTCGTGACGGAGCGATGCTTTCGGCAGTAGTCGGTTATACCGGTGATGTTTCGATGGATGAGTTTAAACCGAATCCAACGGAAGTGGAAGAAATTTTTACTTGCAGTATGGCTTCACTTTTAAACCCAGAGAATGTGCGTTATACTAGTTTCCGAACAAGGCACGGTTTGCGACTACCAGTATTTGTTGTTAATGACGGGATAACCAGCAGACGTATATGGGGAATGACTGCGGTTATTTTGCTGAATGTTTTGCAATGTTTTGAACCGGGGTTCTGCCTTGGCTGTTTCGGCAAGGTTAAAATGATCAAATGACGATACGATTTCCGTTTATGCCCATACGAAAACTCCATTTTTAGAACTTTGCAAAGCAGTTCAGCCGTTCAGGTAAATTACACATAAATAAACTCCTACTATAATGACATAAATAATTTTGAACTTTTCGCAATTCTGTTACACAATCAAGCAGAAATGCACCACGTGCAACGCAAACAAGCGAAAACCATGAAAGATCAGTTCGCACATGTTTAAATACTATCCACATCCATAGACGCTTGCGCATTTGATGGCTCATTAGAATCCGATGACGTCTGGCAGTCCTTCACCGCTCGGCGTCGAAAAACCAGAATATATGGAGTGGTTTCACTCTGAAATTATGAAGCCCGTGGGAAACCAAGTTGCTCTTTATAAATCCGAAGCTATAAGCAAACGGATTAACTTACCTCCATGTCAGTGTGGTCAGCCGGTCGAACCGAGGAATCATTAAAATTATACCATTTCTGGTCCTGTTCGTTCCGACATACCGCCCAGTAATGCCCGCCGCCCAGTCCACCAGAGTGACACGACTGACCCACCAAATCGTATACTACAGGACGTTCGTCGCGGTTGATGACCAAATCACTTATATCCAATCCACTAAAAATATCAACAATGGTTTCAAAAGGAACACTACCCCAGCATTAATTAAATCGAATTCATTAATTTTACCTTTTTCAGAAAAACGTTCCGCAAAACATGATTTAATAATATAATAAGCCGGTAACAATTATTCACTTTATTACATACAGTATGTGTGAACAGTACTAGTAATTCAGAAGAATATATATATATATGGCATTTCGCACCGCCATAAACTGCAAATCACAATTTCGAAACTAGGTTAAGTACTAGCGATACATGCTGTTTCTTACGACTTCCAATCGCTTTACTCTATCCTGCACTTACGTCACAGGGAATTTCACTTTCGTATTCAGTTTCTCGCGGTAAAAGCGATTGTACTGGAATCGCTTCAAATGCACGAACATATACTGGGGCATTTTGTATAAATCCAGTTTTTTCACCGCACACTTCTCCTCTTTGCAAAATGGGCATCTCCACATGTTTGCTTCACCAAGTTTCTCCTGTTTTAAGAAGAGTCTGAAGCAGTCCTTCAGGTCAACCGTCTCTGGTGTCCGTCCGTACGTTACATTCTTGTCCAAGTCCATAACCTTGGAAAACTTATTTTGATCTATCAACTACATTAATCAAATCTAAGCTGAAATGCGTTTACCGGTTCGGGAGCTTTCATAAACAGTTTATCCAAAATCTCTCCACGGAAGTCCATTGCCAAATACGCTTGGCTGGTGCTGTGGGTGGTCTTGAACGACACACGGGCCTTCTGGTTCATCTTGATCTCATCAAGGGATACACTGCCATTCTGGTTGATCGTACAAACTGAAAAAATCTTCGGAGCAGCCAATATAGCATTGAAAATTTGCGAATTGGCGTTGTCGGGAAAGATTTCTTCGTCCATGGAATTTCCGTCAACGTCCGCGGTAGGAACATCATCTGCATTACCATTTGTTAAGTTCGGCTCTGAGCTGTCACCAATATTGACCGTTTCTTCCTTCTTTAGCAGGTTAGCGTGCGGGCCTAGTCGGGGTCTAAAAAAATCCCCAAGGAATTCTCCTAATTCAATGTTCAAATATGATTCATCTCAGTGATATACACTTCTACGGAAAGACTTACAGCAACTTCAAATATAAGGAAACGTACAGATCCGATGAACGCATTCCTTTTTTGGGTACAGCAATAACGAAAGGAATGTCGTATATCGTCATATTAGAAGACGAAAAATACGACGACGAAACTTCAGGTCTGCAACCGAAATCCAAAACCGTGGCAAAATATATAAACACGATTTGCATTTTATATATAAGCAACAAGTTACAAGAATACGAGCAACATACCTAATTTTTCGAATATACACCACGACCGGAACTTTTTCCTCGTCGTTGACTTTGCAAGGTAATTCATAAACATAAAGACGTGTCCGTTCTCCTAATGTATCAATGGAGGAAGTTCCCTGGTAAACGGTTACAACTCGATTCTCGTGAAGATCACAAGCCATGAGCTGAAGAAAAAACAGCTGAAATGGTATCTTTAAAAATGCAGACAAACTAAAACATCTTACGCAATCTGGGGGCACCGTGTCAACTTGCTTGCTCACTTCAGCGAGAAGATCATTGAAAGTCCCAATTTTGGATACGTTAACTGATTTCTGCCACGACAAAAAAACATGAGTTTGAAAACCCAACCAAGACTGCACTCTAAGGGGTCGATTGGTTTACCTTTATAGGTGGCAAATTGACTTTGTACGGTATAAAAGTGTAGACAATCTTCCTCATTTGGTTAGAAGGCAGCGGCAGCGAATAATACATCATGGGATCAAAAGTGGTGGAAGTCTTTTTACAGTCAGGACACTTCAAAACGGAACGGACTTGGCCACAAAATAAATCCACAATCACTGAGCTGTTCCTAGCGGTATAAGCTTCCCATGATTCACTGGCCTTTTCCTAATCGGATATCTTTTAAATTAACCGAACATGTTTCATGAAATACGTATGACCAACACCTACCGCATCGCTTTTATTAGGATCCTCTTCATCGTTTTGCTCTTTGTACGGCTTCTTTCGAATGCGATTGAGGTCTTCGTGTAAGCAGTCAATAATAAACTGCATGCTTTCTTGTGAGTCCTGTTGAGCTCCGTTAAACAAATGAGTATAACGCGACATAATACTCTGAAAGTACACCCCGTACATTTTGGCACTGGGTAAATGGCAAATGCAAAAAGGGTAGACCTCACCTTGAATTTAGACGGGTAAATCACACCACCTCTACTAGGCATCCAAATCTGAGTGACGAGATCAGCGTATGTTTTGGCTACTTCTCCACCCTTTCCCAAAGGATTATCCGTGTTCAAGTCTTTCTCATAATCTTTAGTGACAAAATACTTGGTCAATTCAGGGATATTACTGATGCACTGGAGCGAAGAATTCATGAAGCAGGTATTTCCCAAATTGCCCAACCCGACCAGTCCGGGCTGCTGGGACGACGAATCATCCAAGCGGCTGACAATACTCCAGGAGGAGATATCTGACCGATTTTGCTGGCTGGACCTCAGATTGTACGACTTCTTTTCCTCCACTGGTCTGTTTGCGGCATTACGCTGCATGCGAAGGCCGTCACGCAGCCGGTCTTTGGCTTTATCATTGTCCAGTTCAAAGTTTTCATCGTGCCCCACTTCCAGGATGACCAACTATCAAACAGGAGAATGCCACTACCAAAACCAACCGCCCTGCACCCACGAAGACCTACGTGATGAATAGACAGATCCAGTTCATTGACCCGCTTATCAGGGTTTGGCTCGGGCATGTCCAGCGTACCATCGGGATGATACAGCCAAAGACGACACTTTTTGCTTTCCACAGCGAACTTCATGAAGAGATCTTGCACACATTCTCCTGATTCCACAACACAAAACAAACAGTATAAGACGCCAAAACAGATTTTAACGCCCACGTCGCAATCCTTACGAATAGTGGAGCCTCGTCGCACACGAACTTTTTCGATCTTCTGGATATCCGGATACAAACAGCATTCCACGATGAGGGGCCGCGCTTCGATCTGTTCAGCCGGAATTCAAAGTCAACAAGAGTGGAAAATACCAGTAAAAAAATTAAGGAAAGTTAAGAAACCAAAATTTAACGCAGCAAACAATTAAAATGCAGAAATAAGCGAATTTTCAAATATGAAGGGCAGGGAAAACGGGTGACGCCGCCACACCTGAAAATTAAGGGGGGAGGATTCATAGACTCTGGCCAAGATCTCTTGCTTCTCCAGGCTTTCCACACACCCAAAGCGAGCAGCCAATTTTTTCCATAATCGCTCTGGTAAAAACTCAAACTCCTCACGCGTAACGACGTCATCCGGTTTCACGTAATTCACATTGTCCACTACAAAATATCGAACAGCATAGTACTTATGCAAACTGTCGAGTCAGTCAGTGTTCACTGTTGAGTGTTGACCAGAAAGAAACCGACCTCGTTCAATAATTTCGCTGTTATCAATCGGACCAGGATTGGTAGTGGGATTTTCCGCATTCTCCTCCAAATATTTCTTCAGCTGATTCCGCCATTTCGTACTGATAATGTACCTGGAAAAATGCCGTTTTCATGATTTAATCGGATTTTTTTTATTAACCCGCTAAGTACTGTCTACCAGATCTTTATCATGAAAAGAGTGTTGAAATGCATCAGACTGAGTGTAAACTAGAAAACCCTTGAGCATATGCAACCACATTCCGACTGAACAAGAAACCAACCAATCTTCTCCCGCAATATATGGATAGGCTTTCTCAGCATCCTCCATTTCTTTAAGGAGACCTTTGGCGTCCAGCTCTTGCTGATTATCCACATCCATGGTCGAACTGTCAGGCTCCGTTTTTATCTTGTCTTGAACCATTGTATTTTTCACGAATGTAAAAAAGATAATTGCAACTACGGCCAACTAGTACTCAGAGTGCAGAGCCAACACATTCGGTGACTAAATCAAGCCACCAGCATGAGCTGCAGTCGTTAAGAAGCAAGAACTGGCGAAATGGAGAAACTTGGACTCTTGGTAAACAGCAAACGATTCGTTTTACTGGCACTACCAGCTACCTACAAGAAGTTCTCTTATAGCTATTAATTTGAAGTCCAGAATAATGTAGGGGTGGAAAACATTAGTTCGCGCTGTTTTTCTTGTCCGTATTAAGAAAAAATGAAATTCTGTAATGCTGGGAATTGGGAACAACGTTATTAATGAGTAGGCAGTACTAGGCACCCATCATTTTCCCGGTTTTGGACCACCCTAATCTGCGGGTTACGTAATTATTTTGGTCGTACTTCGCGAATTTTCTGGTCAGTCGAGATTCGAGAACGGCTAACTAACTCTCAAGGTTGGCGCATAATCGCGCAGCCTGTATCTGTTATTACCTAACTCGGACGGCAGTTGACATAAGAAGCCTTATGCTATCGCCTATCGCCGATTGTCAATTTTCGGCGGAGCGGCCCAGGCCGCCCAGCCAATTCGCCTCAGAAATGCCAGTGGTCACTGGGGGCTCTTGACTGTTGAATTCTCGCTCGATAGCCTTTCAGTCGATTCTGGACTTCTGTTATCCAGCCGCGTCTTCGTATCTGCGAAGGAATTCCCTTAACTGTTTGTTTTTGAATCAACAATTTCTTTCAAAACCAGTCGAAATGTTACGTGAAATCTGGTTTCCGCTGTTAGTCGGTTGGCGGGTTGGGGACCTGGAGTGATCGTAGTACAGCCGCACGAAACATGAACCTATGGCGCTCGATAACCTTTGAATACGCTCGCCTAACGCCCCTTTAAAATATTCGCAAGAACTGTACGGCGCCACGTATACGCCCTAGAGTGCTTTGATTTTGCACTGTTTTGACGCACAGAGTCGCAGACTGGAAAATAGGTCTGAGTGGGAATAAATTGATTATTTATGATAATTGCACTTGTTACTGTATTAGAGATTTTATCGTTGATTATAATACTGTAATTATTTGAACGTTTAATTTTTATTTAACCGTACAGATATCAAGCTATACGTCTATAGTACAAGTACGTGGCTATGCTTTTCTCGCCGCACCTACGAACAAAAACTGACTTCGACTCGCTCAGTGTGCCAGACTGGCAGTCGTGTGCAACGAGCGTGGTGCAAAAGTTGCTTACAAAGCGCTGATAACTTCTTACTATAGGGAATACGAGGTTTATCCTCGTATCCCGGATGACGAATGAATATGAGACAACACACGTGAATAAAATGGGAATTTTATTCATCAGTGAATGCAATACATTGCGGAGGAAAAGGGCACAAAAGGGAAGAGAAAAATATGCCAGTCAAGACTGTGCATATCAACACACTAAGAGAACACATCACAACGCTGGCCACATATCCACCTAGCTGGCTCTGCACACCTGTGGTGACGTAGTACAGAGTTGTATCGTACAACTCGTACCGTCATCCCTGCATGCCACCGGAAAGGGACTCGAGCTCCTGCGAGAGAGTGCTGTTCGTCAGCATTCGTATCCATCCGTATCGTCTCTGGCCAGCGTGTCAATAAAAATTAACATGAAATCCATGAAATAATGAGATTCATTCCGTACAAAATGAGCATCATTAGAATGAGCAAAATTTATCAAGATCATTTCCATCACAATTATTTAGGAAATAATAAACTGTCAGTTTCTTTTGTTAGATCAACAATTGAGAAAAAATTAACACAATTTATTAACGCAAAACTTCAATTATTCCCATTCCATCTCCACCTTCTTTGGTTAGCGCTTCGGATCGTATCGTCCAATTTGGCGGTTGCGGCGTCGCTGCTGATTTTCGTAATCATCTTCATCATAATAATCGTGTTCGTCACGATCATCCCGATCTGTAGCGCGACTGCCTCGTCCCGAGTGGCTTTCGTAGCCATATCCAAGCGTTCCAGAATTTGGCTGCTGATCGTCAGCAGTCTCTCCTTCTTCGTACTGGCGGGATCGATTGGGATCGCGACTATTATCAATGATAATACGGGCGTCGTTAGCCTGAAGGTTTCGTACCTCTGGCTGAACTGGCTGCACAACACGGGGAGTTTTCACATGGTCCATTAACGCGTATTCCGCACTGAAGTCCCGTGCTTCAGGATTAATATCCATGCCTTTAAATCCATGATTTCGTAGATTATCGTTTTCAATCATCGCTCGGATGCGTCTCTGAGCCGTAGCGCGGTCTTCTGGTTTACCGAGCGCATCCACCATACTTCGTCCGTATTCACGCCAGTTCTTCTTTATATCAGCGAGTTCGCAGTGGGAATTGAAATGTCCCAATCGTGCAGCAAATATCAACCGAAAGAATCGTTTCAGTGGATCGTTCACTGGTCGATCTTTCCACTGTGTGTCGCTACTCTTATTCACTTCGCAGATGGCTTGCGTAATGTCCAGGGAAGCACGACAGGCTAGAAAAAACAACGCCGGATTCGTGTCCGGTAAAATAAACTGTAACACATATCCTTCCATCTTCGTGTGTCCACGTATTTGGAATTGGCTCAGCCATTCTGCATCAGGGGTCTGGAGAGGAACTCCGATTCGTTCGCGGCTCAGCTGTGTTTGCATATTGTGACGGCGTCGTTCCGTGTAGTACACATACTCCGCTTCTTTCCGGGAGAATTTCAAGCCTGGAGTATTCTGTTCCTGCACGACTTTGTCCAATTCCGATTTCTGATAAAAGGAATGGAAACTCAACACCATCCTTTTCAGGGCCGTCTCTGTTACGTCGTCTGGCTGAACCGGCTGCACAACACGGGGAGTTTTCACATGGTCCATTAGCGCGTATTCCGCACTGAAGTCCCGTGCTTCAGGATTAATATCCATGCCTTTAAATCCATGATTTCGTAGATTATCGTTTTCAATCATCGCTCGGATGCGTCTCTGAGCCGTAGCGCGGTCTTCTGGTTTACCGAGCGCATCCACCATACTTCGTCCGTATTCACTCCAGTTCTTCTTTTCATCAGCGAGTTCGCAGTGGGAATTGAAATGTCCCAATCGTACAGCAAATATCAACCGAAAGAATCGTTTCAGTGGATCGTTCACTGGTCGATCTTTCCACTGTGTGTCGCTACTCTTATTCACTTCGCAGATGGCTTGCGTAATGTCCAGGGAAGCACGACAGGCTAGAAAAAACAACGCCGGATTCGTGTCCGGTAAAATAAACTGTAACACATATCCCTCCATCTTCGTGTGTCCACGTATTTGGAATTGGCTCAGCCATTCTGCATCAGGGGTCTGGAGAGGAACTCCGATTCGTTCGCGGCTCAGCTGTGTTTGCATATTGTGACGGCGTCGTTCCGTGTAGTACACATACTCCGCTTCTTTCCGGGAGAATTTCAAGCCTGGAGTATTCTGTTCCTGCACGACTTTGTCCAATTCCGATTTCTGATAAAAGGAATGGAAACTCAACACCATCCTTTTCAGGGCCGTCTCTGTTACGTCGTCTGGCTGAACTGGCTGCACAACACGGGGAGTTTTCACATGGTCCATTAGCGCGTATTCCGCACTGAAGTCCCGTGCTTCAGGATTAATATCCATGCCTTTAAATCCATGATTTCGTAGATTATCGTTTTCAATCATCGCTCGGATGCGTCTCTGAGCCGTAGCGCGGTCTTCTGGTTTACCGAGCGCATCCACCATACTCCGTCCGTATTCACGCCAGTTCTTCTTTTCATCAGCGAGTTCGCAGTGGGAATTGAAATGTCCCAATCGTGCAGCAAATATCAACCGAAAGAATCGTTTCAGTGGGTCGTTCACTGGTCGATCTTTCCACTGTGTGTCGCTACTCTTATTCACTTCGCAGATGGCTTGCGTAATGTCCAGGGAAGCACGACAGGCTAGAAAAAACAACGCCGGATTCGTGTCCGGTAAAATAAACTGTAACACATATCCCTCCATCTTCGTGTGTCCATGTATTTGGAATTGGCTCAGCCATTCTGCATCAGGGGTCTGGAGAGGAACTCCGATTCGTTCGCGGCTCAGCTGTGTTTGCATATTGTGACGGCGTCGTTCCGTGTAGTACACATACTCCGCTTCTTTCCGGGAGAATTTCAAGCCTGGAGTATTCTGTTCCTGCACGACTTTGTCCAATTCCGATTTCTGATAAAAGGAATGGAAACTCAACACCATCCTTTTCAGGGCCGTCTCTGTTACGTCGTCAGCATTCCGCAGATTCAAAGCTTTCTGCAGCCGTTCCGCTTGAGTCGTAATGGTGCCGTATCCAAAGTGAATACCCATCATAGTTGGGTGCTGTGAAATGCGCGGATTCATGTGTTCGTCACATGAATCGTCCTTCTCCTTCGTAGGAGGTTGCAGTTTCGGGTCCAAGAAAACGTTCGGTGCCGATGAGAACTTCTTCAAGATCGGTTTGTTGGCGATCTGCTCGTTATAGATGACGGGTTCTCGGTTTCGTCCCCATCCACGGAATGTAGCTGTGACATCCTGGATAACTGGCTCCGTTTCGGTGATGCGTTTCATCAGCGCCGGCATGTTCTCCACTCGTTTGTCGAGAGATGGGTGTCGTGGGGCTGAGGGTTCCTGCGTAGATTTCGCGAACTGAGCCAAATTAACAACTGGCAGCGTACCTGCTTTCGGCTTTTCAGCTGGCTGTGATGGTGGGCGTTCAATATCCCTCCAGCGTTCCTCCTTCCGCCGAATGCGCATGTGCGTTTCCACGATGACTCGTTCGCGGAAGTTCTCGTTGTTATGCGGACTCTCCCAATACTCCGGGCGAATAAACTCCAGGTACGCGGCTACATTCCCCAAAATAGCTTCGTAGAAGAGTTCTGCTACCTTCTGTGGTTCCGTCAATCCGGATAACAAATGTCGTACGCATGGACGTTCGGCATTCTTCTGACATCGCTCACAGTTTTCGTGGAACTTTTCAATTTTATACTCCATTTTACCGGTACGTGAAAAAAATCAAAAATATTCACTGTCGGCTGGCTATGCAGATGAAGGACTGATTTGCATGCGGTTTTTTCCGTTCAGCTAACACGTGCGTCTCATCTCGTTCATTCATGAAGTTCGGAGGCGTGGTAGACAGCTGCAGGCTGTTCGTCAGCCAATCATAGCGTTTTCGCCGTATAATTCTTTCGAGTGGGCGTAATAGACAGATCGGGCTGTTCGTCAGCCAATCGTAACGTTTTCTTTGTCTATTTCCTTCCAACTGTCTTGTATCGGCCATCGTCTTCTTCATAATCCAATTCATCTGCTACTGTGTTTTCGATTTGACTTTCAGCGTTATTTGGCAATCCATTGATGATATATATTCGTAAATAATTAAAAATTTCCCGGATTGTCGATCCATTAGGATGGCGAATATCTCTGATGGCACGATTAACAGCCTCTGTCCAAAAGAAGGGATTTTCGAAGTCTGCATTTATTCGATTCGTAATGCTGCACGGTTGCTGATAAACTGCTTCCCAGCTGCCGTAGTATCGTTCTACAAGACGTGCATTCCTGGCGTGCATTTCCAGTTCTTCTTGAACTCTTTCTCGCGTTATTCCAGTCATACCCGGCTGTGCACGTATTGCCTCCCAAATTCTGACGACTGTAGGTCGGCTTTGCGTATTTTCGACGATTCGTATCGCCTGCGTAATATTATCCATAGAGATAAATACCGGTGCATCCGCTGAAAGTGTTGCACTACGTGAACTTGCGGGAGACAAGAGATCGTGCGGGTTTGTTCGACGGTTTGCTTTTCTCGCGACTGGTGGTCTGGATGTTCCTGGAAGTGGTTCCGGTGCTGCCTGTGTCAGCCGGGCCGAGCGTTGCGTACGCTGGCTAATTCTTTCACTTCGTCGCGGTTCAGACTGTGGTTCATCCAATAGAATTACAGATGTATTCCCCTCGCCAGATGATGTCGTATCGTAACGACGTTTCGGTTCCATCACGGCGTTAGAGTATCGCTTATGCGTCGTTGGTGCTGGGCGTACATCTGGGCCGTATGGTGTTTTTGGAATTTTATTTGCCGGTGTTCCAGTCAGGCCAGACAATCGTTGTCTGCGTGATGCCATTAAAGCATAACGTGGCTCTGGGTCATTTCTCTGGCGTAAAACTTCCATCAAATGTTGTTCAACCAGGGCATCCACTGCTCGACGAACATTCTGCTGGTGTTGAATCCAGTCTACTGCAGGTACTGGAAAAACGGCGTTTAAATGTCGTAAAATTTCGTCGTATGTGGATCCCTTTGGATTTCGAATCTCTTTTCAAGCCTTTATAATAGCCTCTTCAATTCTGTGCGGCGTGTCCATCGTGTAGTCTTCGTGACCACGCTGCAGTGATTCTGGATTCACGTAAGCTGCATCAGTCTGCCAGTCGTTATATGTTTCCAAAATTGTTCCACGCTGCACTCCTTGTTCCAGTGCGTACTTGAATAATTTCATATCCGCTTTACGATTGTGAATATCTTTTTCCCATTGGCGATACTGCTCTTTCAGATAAGCCAAAGAAGGCTTACGCTTTCGTTTCTTGACTGTTTCAATGCACTCCTTGATAGCAACAATCGCCTGGCTAATTTGTGGAATGTCGTACTGCCGTTCGTCGACATGTCGACTGCGTGATTCAGATCGTGCTGGTGTCGATGCGCGTGAAACAGGGACTGAAGACAGTTCCGAAGGGATTTCTGACTGTCGAGACTGCATCACTTCATCCAATTTCTGAATTTTAGTCTGCGTAGACTTTTCCTCTGTCACTTTTCGACGGCGATTCATTCCTTTCGTAGGAATACGCAGCGTAATTGATTCATTCATTGGATCGTCTGATTGCTCGATGAACGCTTCAATCTGTCCTGGCTGTCGCATCTGGGCGTTTAATTCCGCGCGTAATTCTTCCATAATTTGCCGGCGATACTGTTCGTCAGTATTAGGTGGGCCGGTAATTCGTATACGGTCTCGTGGATTCTCTGCGCGTAAATCAGCCATAATCTGGACAGTTTCTCCACTTGATTGACGTGACACTGACGCTGGACGCGTGGCCATAGATGTAGAAGTAGCCATAGTTGTTGTGGTCGTATTCGTTGCAGATGTGACGGCAATCGTATAAATCGGCCTCGGGACACTTTGTTGTGAAGTGATCCACTGTCGTTGCGTTCGTTGTGCGTGTGTCACTGGAGGTGTTTCCTGCAGCACAATAACTGGCGTTAAAGGAACTGTCACTGTGCCGCTTCCCTGCTGATATGGGTTTTGCTGATGCGTCAGCGAAACATTCGGGAGTCGTATCGGCACTTGAATTTCTTGTGCTGCATTTCGGGGATCGTAAATATAGGGACCGCGTAGTGGTGGATTAAAATATCCTCCACGATTCATCGAGGGTCGTCCCCGTCTTGGTCCGCGTCCACGTGATGGAATCGGGACAGGTCGTTGATCCTGATTCTGCTCTCGATCCATATTATTCTGGACGACAAAAATAACATAAAATAATTCCAACTAGTCCACATAATTCTTTTCCGGTAATTATCGATAGAAAATATTCATAAAATTAACTCGTGCCGTTCTGCCCGTTTTATGTAACTTTGAATAATTAATCATTTTTCTAGGGCGTAAAATTCTGCGTTTCAGCTGATTTTCATGCTCATCCTCTAAATTCGTATTCAGAGGCGCTGTCAACATTTCGTTGGGGCTTTTGCGTTTAGGCCCATTAACTTCAGCTGATTTATCCGGCACGCTATTGATGGCGTTTATCACTTCATGTGATTTATCGTTAGTATACTCAGGCGTGGATTCCTGTACTTTATCCGTTGCCTGCGGTATGGGAATTCCTTGCTGTTGCGGTGTTATCGTAACACTTGGAGTTTCGTCTTCGACATTTTCCCACTCGTGTTCGTCACGAGTATCTGGTTCCGCTGGTTTAATTGGCAACTTGATTCGTAATTTGGGAATTTTCCGCAGTTCAATGTCCGGTGATATATACGGTTTAAATCGATCAACTGCCACGTCCATTGTTTTTCCGTCTTTTTGGCATTTTACTGTGACCGTATTTCCGTATGGAAATTTTAAAATTTCGTATGGTCCCAGATACTGCTTTCGTAGCGTATCTACTTCATCTTTCTTCTTTTGAGTTTGCTTTATCCATACGAGATCACCGATTTTGAACGTAGGCGTAGACTTTCGTCGGTTATATAATTCCGCTTTCTTTTGGAATTCTTCTTCAATAAATATTTCTGCTATTTCATGTGCACGTGCGAGGTGATCTGCTGTCGCTTTCAGGTAATCATCCATTGACTCGTAGTCGACGGGAAGATTCGTTTGCGTAACGATATCTTCTGGAATTACTTGTTCCCTGGCGTACAGCATCCGAAACGGGGACATCTTCGTCGTTTTATGCGGTACTCGGTTTCGTGCCGAGACTACAAATGGAAGAAACTGGTCCCAATTTCGTACATGTCCTCTCCGCACGTACATCGCGAGCGAATCTGCTATACTACGCATCTGCCGCTCAACCAAGCCGCGTCCTTCCGGGTGGTATGCGCATCCGAGGTGTCGTTCGATTTTTAAGATTTTCGTAATCTTTTCGAAGAGTTTACTCGTGAATTGTCTTCCTCTGTCCGTATCGACTATCCTTGGTGCTCCATACGGCAGTACCACTCGTTTAACGAAGAAATCAGCGACTGTTGAGGCTTTTATGTTGGGCAGCGCGTCTGCTATCACGAACTTTGTTAGATGATCGATGGCCACGGCGATGTATCGGTTTTTGTTCTTCCGCGTAATTGGCAACGGGCCTTTCAAGTCCATTTGAATTTTGAAGAAGGGTTCACCGACTTTCACTTCTTGTAGTTTTCCTGGTGGTAATTTCCCAAGAATTTTCCGCATCTGGCATCGTTTGCAGCTATCACAGTAGTCGATGATGTCCTGCGTCATGCCGTTCCAGAAGTATCGTACTTCTATCGCCTTATACGTTTTCTTTCTTCCAAGATGTCCGCTTGAAGGGGAATCGTGCATGGCGCGTAAAATGTCTCCTCTCATGTGACGTGGGACAATGAATCGACGATATTTCTGTGCATCCCGTTCCGATATTTTATACAGTACTTTATGCCACATTTCGTATGTGTCATAATCTTTCGGTAACGGCTTCGTCGCATCGCGGTTTTCCAGCTTTAGAATTTTCTTTAGAATTACGGGATCCTTTTCCTGTTCTTTTCGTAAGAACATAAAATTGTCTTCTTCGGTATCCGCGTCATGATCAGCTGGATCGTCCAGCGTAATCACATTTATTCGTGCTGTTGACCGCTCGTAGTCATTTAGTTTCATCCCTTCGTCTTTATAAGCGTCAAATGTTGGCAGTTCATCCAGATTCTCGTCTGGTGATGGCTGTCCAATGGGATTCCGGCTTAAATCATCCGCGTTATCATTCGCTTTTCCAGGGCGATATGCAATTTTTATCTGGTATCGTCCCAGAGCAATTGCCCAGCGTGTAAGTCGCGGATTAATTCCGTCCCGTTTCGACGTTGATCGTAAGAGATTTGCCAATGCTTGATGGTCCGTTTTGACGGTAAATTCACTGTAATCAACATAATGTCTAAATTTATTTACAGCGAATACGACAGCAAGACACTCCAGCTCCGTAGGTGCGTATTTCTTCTCAGCGTCTTTTAACACACGGCTTGCGTAAGCCACCGGTTTTCCATCCTGGCTGAGGATCGCTCCGATTCCTACGTAGCTAGCGTCACATTCTATCACCACGGGTTTTTCCGGATCGAATTTTACTAGAATTGGCGCGTTGGTGAGAAGATGTTTGAGTCGTTCAAACTCTTCGTCGTGCTTCTCGTTCCAATCGGCCTTGACGTCTTTTCCGCCTTTCAGTAAATCGTATAAATTACGCGTTTTATTCGCATAATGGTGGATGAATTTCCGGTAATAATTCGCGAATCCAAGAAAAGAACGTAGCGACTTTTCGTCAGTCGGCTTTTTTCTTGCGTTAATCGCGTTAATTTTCTCCGGATCCACTTTAATTCCTTCCTTGGATACGATATGACCGAGGAAGTGAAGTTCCTCCTTGGCGATGTGGCATTTCGATGGCTTTAGCGTAAAGCCAGATTTACGTAAGCATTCAAATAATGCACGTAATTTCCTTATGCCATCTATCAAGTCTTTGCAGGCGCATATTAGATCGTCTAAAAATGCGAAAATTCCTTCTAGTCCCATCGCCTTTAATGGTTGTATCGTAGTATCCATTGCCGCTTGGAAGGTCGCAGGCCCATTACAGACGCCGAAAGGCATTCTCGTAAATTCGTAAAGTCCATCCTGCGTTATAAAAGCTGTCTTCTGTATCGATTCCTCGTCCATAGGAATTTGCCAAAATCCTTGGTGACAGTCGAAAGTGAAGAAGAGAGCGTTGCCGGCCACGGCTCCCAGTAATTCGTCTGGATTTGGAAGGGGATAGTTGTTTTTGCGCGTGACGTTATTGAGGCGAATATAATTGACACAGAATCTTGTATTCTGCCAACCGGCTAGACGATGTCCATCAGCGTTATGTTTAATCGCTAGTACCACTGGAAAACTCCATGCAGACTTTGATGGTCGTTTGACGCCTTTCGCTAACATGTCCTTCACGTGCTCCGAGATGTATTCTTTTCCCTTCCAACTCGTACGATGTGGCGGGCACTTCACAGGTTTAGCGTCACCTGTATCGATATGATGCTTTGCTACTGTCACTGTCCCGTATGGACGGCTCTTTGATGGAAAGACATCCCGGTATTCGTAGAATAGTTCTATGAGTGACTTCTTTTCTTCAGCAGTTAATTGTGGGCCGAAATGCATCGCGGCGATATTTTCATCCATCTCTTTCTTTTCATCGGCAGTCATTGGCGTGACTTTCACTGTGGAAACTACAGGTTCGTCCTGTATTTCTTCATACGTTTCCAAAATTCCAAGCCAAGTGCCTTTGCGTACAATCTGCCGTTTATCTTTGAAATTGGCCATAAATATATCGATTATCCGGTTTTCCGGCTTCACCAGTCCTTGTACTGGTGTCATCTGCGTTGCAGAGAATATCGCGGGATTCGGCGAGAAAATGTACGGTTCGTTTCGTACGGTATCGTATTTCTTTGGCATTGCCGATATCCACGTGTATCCAGGGTCCACGTTGAAGTCGTCAGTCGCGTAGACTTTTAATAATTTAACGCGTGACTTTGGCTCGTTTGCCCCTTTAATCACCGTTGCAGCTTTTGTAAGCTCTCTATCCACCGTGTCCACGTCATATTCTTCTTGCATTTCTTTCAGGTTTTCTGGTGACATCTCGATTACGCTATTATTGCTGTCCGGTTCGTTAACACGATTATCCCGTGGTTTTATCTTTTGACGGGTGAAGAACGGTTTCTTTGTTGTGGGCTGTATGGTTGTATCCATGCAATCACATGCCGGTTCGTCCGACATTTGTTCGCGTAGCCATTCTCGAGCTCTTCGCGTTAATTCTTCAAGATCCTCTTTATCGGGATTTTCTTCTTTCTGACCCTTATTGTTGTGAGATAGTGGCATCTCAACCGGTGCCACCGGTATAGGGAGAGATGACACTATCTCTGCTGCCGTATTATTTTGCGTTTCGTACGCATCCACATTTGCACACGTGGCAGCTTTTTTTACTGGCCCTCTTTCGTTAGGTGGAATCCATTCCGTCGCCACAATGCGACTTCCACTTATCACAATTTTTATCTTCCGCAGAAAATCCTGTCCAAGGAGGACTTTAACGGCATCCTGCGTTGGCTTCACGTAGAAGCAATGGCCAGTCATTATTTCGTCCATGGAGACAGGAACTGTGCAAGCGTATTGCACGGGAAAATTATGTATGCCGCCTATTCCGCGTATGGAAAGTGGCGCTTTCAATTTATGCGTCTCCAATTTATTTAATTCGCAAAATTGTTGCGAAATTAAGGACGTCTCCGCTCCAGTGTCAATCATCGCGTCCACTGGAATTCCTCCAACTTCAATGCTGTGCGTCAGCACCGGTGCAATCTCCGGTTGATTTAATGCCGTTAATAAATTTACTTCGGCGTATTTCTGTGGAGGGCGGTTCACGGTGAATCCGTGAATATTTATTCCTTCGGCGTTTGTCGCCTTATTATCCGTACTCGTAATTTTATCCGGCGGTTTCGGGGGTACGGGAACAGCGTGGCCGGGATTTACTGGCCGTTCCCTTGCGGGTTTAAATTACCAGCTGCGGCTCCTTGCGGTACAGGATTCCCGTTTAAATCAGTGAAGGTTCGTCCTCCCTGATTATTATTATATCTGCCGTTCCCACGGTTTCCTCCGCGATATCCGCCGCCGCGAAATCCACCCCGTCCTCTGCCACCACGGAAATTCCCCCGGTTCTCCCGCTGATATTCGCCGTTCGAGTCCGCATTATCGGCTCCGGCTGCGTGGCGCGCAATTACTGCTGCTGCTCTTTGGTGTTCCGGGTGAGTTTTCATATAGAATAACTCCATTTCGGGATGGTTATTACAGGACGTGGGGTTGTCAATTTTCGCGACTCCAGCAAATCGGCAACGCCGGGTTTCGTGACCCTTTATCTCACAATTATCGCAATAAAAGGAATTGCGGGCGTAATTGCCGTTATTATTATTGTTTCCACCGCCGTTATTAAGTTTTCGGTTTCCGTTCCAAGGGCGACTGAATTTTCCTTTCGGCGGTGAGGATGATGGCGTGGGAGATTTACGGCTGTCGTCGCCGTTTGGGCTTCCTCCATTGCCATTCTTCCATTTCTTTCTCGTAACCGTTTTCCACGGCTCGTCTTTATCGTCAGCCGTTGCTGCGTTAATTATGGCGTAGCTTTCTCCGTCAACGGTGACCAAACTAACTGTGGCAGTCTTTTTGTCACTTCCGTTTACGTATTTCGGATCGTCCGAAATAATACTTCTAACATACGAAAGCCATTCCGTTGGCGTTTTAGGATCTTTAATTTTCAAGGCCATATGTAGCTGGGGATAATCCCTGATTCCTTTCGTAAGGAATGTACACAGTTGTTTATCTGATCCAATCATACCAGCCATATCGCGTAAAGATACCATTTTCTGGTAATAGGTGTCAATGTCTTCTTTTCCGGCTTGCCAGACACGTGTTGTCAGCTCATTCAGGGCTGTCGTAGCCGGATTCTTATCAGTGAAGCGCTCAGTCAAGAGCGTTAACCAGGCTTCGATATTATCCAGGTGTGGCTGCGATCTGATCGTCAGATTATACCACTGCTGTGCCTCGCCGGTCAATGCCGCTCCTAGCTGCGTTACAGCTGTGGCTTCGTCCCAGCTATTCTGCACTACAGCACGGCGAAACTTTATAATGAAGCTGTCAATCTCCTCCCGGTTTCCATTGTATTTCGTAATTGGAATCGGGGCGCGTGCCGCTTTAATTAATTCCGTAACGTCCTTTACGGGCATCGTGCCCGGTGGTAAAGGAATCGTAACTGGTACTGTGTTGACCGGTGGTGGGCGTCTTGGGGGAGGTGGAGGTGCTGTGGAACGTGCTTGCAATGATCTGTTCGTCAGATCTCGAATTGTTGCATTTAAACGGAAATTTTCCTCCTGCATTTGTTCCACGGCTTCCTGGTATCCTTGCTCGTAAGCAGTAAATTGGGCGTTCTCCACCGTCTGATCCACTTGATCTCTCGTGTATAAAACTTCTCGTGTTTCACGTGGCTTTTCAAACGGTGATTTTCTTCCAGTCGCATCACGGCGTTCGACTTTAAAGTATTCGGATTTTTCCGTTATTTTGACCTGTTTGGCCGGTGCCTCTACGTCTTCGTGACGTTTTTCCTTCAACGATTTAGCGAATTGTTTGCGTAATTTCTCCATTTCGGCCACGTGTTTGCTTTTATCCAGCTTCCGTAGCTGGTCCATTTTGAAAATGACTTTCTTATAACGTTCATTTTCAGCAGTTAATGTCTTATTCTTTTGTTCGTTATTCGCGTTCTCCGTATGTTTTTCGTCAAACTCTGTTTCCATGGCTTCGCGATTTTTCTCCAATTCTTCAAGGCGTTCCAACGTCTCTTCGTAATGTTCATTTAATTGGGACAGCTCCCCTCGGAGATGTGTATTTCGTTGGACGACTTGATAAAATGCGTCTCGTAATTCCGCTTCAGTCATATCTGCGGCTTCTTTGTCGAGATTTTCCTTTTCATGAGTATCAGTGGTCGTATTTTGCGAATCGTCCACCGTTGGTTTTTCCGTAGCTGGTTCGTCCAGCTCTTTTTCCGGTTCCTTCGTGTTATCATTTCCTTCGCCGATCGTCGGCATTTCATTTTCAACATTTTCAATGATGTCTTTCAGATTGTCTTCGTTCGCCTCGATCATGGTCGTATCGAGTTGATCTCCGTTCCAGGGAGAATCTCCTCGTTCGTTATCGCTGCCGTCTCCCACCTGAAATTTCGATGGAATCTCCATATTGTCGGTTGGGTGCTTCCGTCCTTGGAAAATTCTCCTCGCAGACGTCTGCGATGATGTGTCGTCATCACTGGACGATTCCTCACTCTTATCGTTGTTTTTCGACATTTTAGCAGCTCCCAATTTCTTTGTCTGCTGGCGCGTCGTAGCGCCAGTAGCAGTTGACGGTTGCCGAGGATTTGGTCGATCAGCGTACATAAACATGGTTTCCTCCATGTTATCGCGTGTTCCGAACGGGAAGATGCTTTTCAGTCCGTTGAAAATTGCGTATCTCCCAGACATCGTATTTCGTGATTTACAGTATACAAGTATTTTCAATTACAGTCAATGCATAGGCAGAAAGGCACGGCTTTATTGCAGTAGCAATATTTTTTTTCGTATGCGGATATATCCGCTTCTTTTGTTATCGTGCTAGGCTGATAATGATCTAGCTACTATGCACTTACCACAGACAGACAGTTTACAGCTACCAAAATTCCAGGCACGTAACCAGGAAATTCTATCGTAGAATTTATCTGAAAAGGTCAGGAATTTTTTGTATTTATTCGTAAAGATTTCTGTTCGTCAGAAGTAATTCTAGAAACAATTCTTTAATCGTTTGGCCACTGCTGGTTTCGTTTCCTTTGAAATGTACGGCGCGCATACACGGTTCACTGTTGTCCCTATGACACAGTGTGTTTCGTACACAGAGATGTCAGGCGTTCAGCAGCGTTATTCCGCGAACTGTTCGCGTCGTGAGGTTGATTCTCTTCTGGAGTTTATTCCTCCCTTTCCACTGCTCGACAGTGAAAAAATTTTGATGGTGCCCAAATATCCGCAGGAAATGGGAAATATGGATCCGTCCGATCAAGGATGGGATCCAAAGATATGATTCCAGTCTGCGCTGTAAACAGCACAGATCGAGGCTCTTCTAGAGACGAGATCTTTCACAGATCTGCTACCATATAGGGAATACGAGGTTAATCCTCGTATCCCGGATGACGAATGAATATGAGACAACACACGTGAATAAAATGGGAATTTTATTCATCAGTGAATGCAATACATGGCGGAGGAAAGGGCGCAAAAAGGGAAGAGAAAAATATGCCAGTCAAGACTGTGCATATCAACACACTAAAAGAACACATCACAACGCTGGCCACATATCCACCTAGCTGGCTCTGCACACCTGTGGTGACGTAGTACAGAGTTGTATCGTACAACTCGTACCGTCATCCCTGCATTACCATTAGTTCTTGTGTACTCGTATATCGGTTTGGTTTCCACATAAAGAGAAATCAAATTCACTGTCGCTCGTTTGCCTCCTTTCTCCATTTTTAGTTGTCCATTACAGCGATTCCGCCGCTTTACACAGCTCTATGCCACAAAGGTGTACCGACGATACCGCAATTACCAATTTACCACCTAGTTCTTGAATCAGTTTTGGTAAAGACAAAATGTATTCGCGAGGAAACCGAGGCAGAGGTCGGGGTGGCCGTGGCTATTCCGGTGGTCCCGGTTGGCGGAATGCGCAGTCTGACAGTGACGGCGATGGCGCATTCAGCATCCATCCACGTTCTAAGTTCCAGCGAATGGGCATTAGTACGAACAGTATCCAACTGGAAGAAGTAGGATTTTACTCACTGTACGGAGATACAGAAGAGGAATTGGTTATCCGATCTGATAGAAGCAAATTGCGCGCAATGACGGTCCGGTGCGATGCTGACGCTCCAACGCCGGTGCACTTCAATCTGGATGCTGGATTCAATACTGCCAGAAAGGGACGATATGTCGTTTTCAACCGGGAGATGCGCATCCTTTATCAGTGGCTGGAGGAACATGCCGATGATGATCGAATTAGACGCTTGAGGTAAAGCAAGGAAGTACTTACGACTTGGCGAGAAGTCAGGGAATGCTACATTGAAATAATTAATTCTCGCATTAGGTAATAATTGATAAGCACTGCATTAATGGCGGGTTGTGCCCTATGTAAGACGCGGCTTCGCGTGAGCCGTGGTCTACGGCAGTACGCTACGGTATCAGGGTCTGTAATTGCCATGCTTTCCATTAGGCCTTGTACACAGCAGATCCGGCAGTTTTCGAAGATTGTTTTGGGGACGATTGATAATGTATTTTTATTCGTGTCTGCAGGCACGATACTAAAATTCTGGTCAGCAAATCGCTGTTGTCGGAGCTGATCAAAATCCCATACGGTCAAGATGCCAGTAATGCTACTGGTTACATTTTCGGAGCGGCTAAAATTGGAGGGAAAGTCATTTTGGGTAAAATTCAGCGCCCGGATATAGATATCACAGCCTTGAAGTCTCCGGATCACGTACGAAACCTGGAAGATGATCGCGGAGCGTACCGGTACGCGGGAAATTTTAACTTTACACTGTGTACAATGTATCAGTGTGGGCTTACCGTAAGGATTGTAAGATCATTTGCCGCCTTTATGCTTTGTATCTGTAAAATAATTATGTGGTCACTGATTCATTTGCTGGTACGTTTGATCACTGCACCATTTGCTTTACTTTTATTGCAGGGGACGACGATACGAAGTTTACATGACGGCATTAGGAGGTATTTATTGTACAGTACAATAATTAGTTGGTATTTGGTAATGTTAAAGCGGCGTATTCGAATGGTCTGTAGTCTTCGAAAGTAGAAGTCAATAAATAGCCTGTAGTATTGTCTCTGTGTACAAATAATAACATCTTATGTTTGTACATTATGCAGATGGAGCCGATTCGGATGATATTGGAGTGGATTTACCACGTTATCGCAGTGTAATGAAACTTCGTTTCCGGGATATTGATATGCTTATCGAAAGTGCAATAGATGGAATTGATCCGAATTCGTCTGCACCTGGCCCAGGAAAATATGTGGACTTCACTATCATGTTGGCAAATGTCCTGGAAAACGAGATGAAACTGTACAGGTAGGATAGCCGTTGCCCGTTAGTATAAATATTTGTAATTGTAGAGGGTGCGACCATACTTTGATTATTGAATATTGAGGTGTGATTATGCTACTCTGAATAGGGCAATAATAGCTCAAAAATTTCGAAATGTGTATAAGTTTTCCAATCTGTTTGCAAATCTGTGGTGTCCATGACTGGCATTTTCCATAAGCTTTTGCCAGTTGGTGGAACCTCCTGGTCTTTTGATTGTTTTGTTGAAAAGAAAATCTTTTGCGAAAGTTTTCATCCAATTTTTTCTAGGCAGCGATTGTTTCGCTGGTGGACAAACAACATTTTTATCGGTGTGGGCAATGTTCACGTTGGCGTCCACGAGGATGGGGTAGTGAACGAAGTTTACACATATCATATGAATGATATTCCGCAGCTTGTTAAGGTAAGCAGCGAAAGCTGATCGCCGATATTCTGATTGTGAATTCTAATCGCTACCTGCTAATATGGCGCTATTAACGCTATGTCGCATGCCTAATCAGGAAAAGGAAGAGGAGTTGGGTCGTCCATTGTGGAATGCTGAAACATCGCTGGGATTCACCTATAGTTTACTTAAATTCGTGCTGAATTCAGTCGTGGAAGATTGCAGAAGGTGAGCAGCGCCGGCCTGTTCCTTGAATGTGTTACAAGCGATTGACAAAGCAGTTTGAAAACTGAACCATAGAATGATGCTGAAATTTGAATTTCGTAATTTTCAGCTTCGTGTATGAAATCACTTCGTGCAAGGAAACTGGGAAGTTCAGCTGTACAGCCGTGCCAACTGAGTCCGCTGTTGGACATGTGTACATTCCAGATAACTTAAACACTTTTATCTTTTGATGCATGCGGGCATGTGGTCGTTATGATTCACCACGATTTGCGAAGTGTGAAGCTAAGCATACTGTACGCGAAAGTTGGTGTTCCCCATCCCAGATGACCTTGTTTGATTGTTTATGCTTATAATGCAGTCACATTCCACACATTTCCAAAGCCTTTTTTTTCTAATTTTTCTGTTTATGAAGTGTTCCAATTTTTTATAGTAATGTTTTGTATGTTCCTGAATTTTCCAAACCATATATTGGCCAGTGTACAATAAAATTAAATAGTGGACTGCAGCATCAGATCTTGATTGTTGAGTACTAGATTTTATTAGCAGCAATAGAGTAAAATACTATTCTATATCAAACTCAATTTCAAACAATTTAAAATCAGTCAAACAATCTAATGCAGCTACCGCTTCGAACACATCGGTTAAACAACACCGCCTCGGAGAGTATCATCTCATATACCATCAAGCACGCTTTAAATAAGGAATGATTAGTTACGGAATAAACTAAAATCAGAAGTGCACCAATTTCCGGCAGAAGTCTACCTACAGTCTACAGTATATAATTCAACCCAGACAAAACTGCAAAATTAGATATATCACAACGACAGCAATCTGATACCAAAACTGCACAACTCGATACAACATGCTTACGAGAAAAACGTTTTAAATTATTACTTGTCTATGCAAGCAGAGGTTACAGAAAACATGTCCTGTCAACCAGCTGCACGATTTCTTACACGTTTAATCCTCCAGATTACGGAATTCTTGCTGCATTCTTTCGTAAAGCTCTTCAAAATCGGCTTTGATTTTGGCTTCGCCATCCTTCACCGGATCTTTGAATTTCATACTGGTCAACTGATACAATGTGTCTGACATGGCTTCACGAATAGTTGCCCAGGTTATACGGTTATCTGACTGAGCGGTCGATTCTACGGCATGTTTAGCCAAGTCATAGAAAGCCATCATATTCCGTAGCATGCCGACACTTTTATAGAATGGACAATACCGATCATATGGGGTATAACCATTTTGCTGTGAAAACAACAAAAATGTTTTGAGGAGTTCATATCAAGTTAAATATAATTAAGAATGCACAAGCTTACTTGTAAAAAGTCATCTTTAACCAGTTTGGCAACTTCCAAAGTTATTTTGTCAGCTTCCGCGAGAGATGCTTTACCGACAAGCTGCACGATTTCACTCAGATCTTCTTCTTCTTGGAGAATTTCCTTGCATTTCGTTCGCAGAGGAACAAACTCCGGGAAATTACGCTCATAATAGTCATCCAAGGCGCGCATGTATTTACTGTAGCTAATCAACCAGTTCACAGAAGGGAAGTGCTTGCGCTGCGCTAATTTCTTATCCAAGCCCCAAAACACCTGCACGATACCCAAAGTAGCCGATGTTACGGGATCGGAGAAGTCACCTCCGGGAGGAGAGACAGCACCCACAATACTAACAGAGCCCTCACGTGCCGGGTTGCCTATAAAAAGCACATAACGTTTACTTAATTTCAGTTTCATATTTTCAGTAACCATAATATTATAAAAAGCAAATTATTCCCGCTATGTTTTGCGTACTGCTATTATGCTATATACACCTCCATTAAATTTTATGAGTGCCAACTATGCTGTCAAATTCAAATCTTACCAATGCAACTAACACGTCCAGCACGTTCATAAAAGGAAGCTAATCGAGCGCCGAGGTACGCCGGATAACCACTGTCGGCAGGCATTTCAGCGAGACGACCGGAAATTTCACGGAGAGCTTCGGCCCAACGCGATGTGGAATCAGCCATCATAGAGACGTTGTAGCCCATGTCACGGAAGTACTCACTGAGGGTAATACCGGTATAGATACTGGCTTCACGAGCGGCCACAGGCATGTTACTGGTGTTGGCTACCAGGCTAGTGCGTTTCATAATGGATTCTGTTTTCCCGTTTATCTCCACCGTCAACTCCGGGAAATCTCGCAATACTTCCGACATTTCGTTACCACGTTCACCACAACCAACGTAGATGATAACGTCACTATTGGAGAACTTGGACAAGGCCTGAGAAATAACGGTTTTTCCACAACCAAAAGCGCCAGGGATGGCAGTTGTACCCCCCTGTAAATTAGCCGTCACAACCGGTTGTCTAGCCCAATATCAATCGTAATAATTATATTACTTATACTTTAATACCTGCACACAGGGGAAAAGCGCATCCAGTACGCGCTGACCAGTCAACAAAGGATGGTTGGCGGCCAATTTCTCCACGACAGGCCGCATTTGACGCACCGGCCACACTTGGCACAGCGTGTACTTCTGCTTTTCCCCATCGAATTCGGTTTCCAGAATGGTATCGTCCACCGTATAACTGCCCGGCGGGGCGATGTAGGTGATTTTTCCCTTGGACCGCGGCGGCAACATGATCTTGTGGTTAACGAACACATTCTCCTGCACAAAGCCATAAATATCGCCGCCCGTCAGATGGCTGCCCACGCGCATCTGCGGAATCGGATCGAAATTCCACTGCGCCACACGGCTCAATGCCGGGACGTTGATACCCTTGGGGATGTAGATGGACTGGGAATGGTCATGAATGTCCTGCAGAGGCCGCTGGATACCGTCGAAGATGTTGCCCAGGATGCCCGGACCGAGCTCCACCGAGAGCGGCTTGCCCGTTCGCAGCACGGGATCGCCCACCGTCACACCGGATGTCTCTTCGTACACCTGAATGGTGGCCATGTCACCCTCCAGACGAATGATCTCCCCGACCAGTTCCTCATGACCCACACGCACTAACTCGTACATAGCGGCACCGGCCATCTTCTCCGCGATGACGACGGGCCCGGACACGCCGAACACATATCCAAAGCGCGACTCCTTCTCTTCATCCTGGATGAATGGTAGATTCTCTTTATTGTATGTCTTGGCCATCTTGTCCACAGGAGCACTGCACAGGCAAAACGGATTACAGTTTAGGAGGAGCAATAGTAGTGCCACTATTTACCAAATCGTAGAAAAACATGAATGTCACGTGCGTTGATGTTCCTCAAGAATCTTCCTTGCTTATCATACTTTAAGTTTACCGAAGATTGTTAAAATAAAATTCGGTAGCAGGATAAATATTACGGCTAATAAAACGGCTCTAGTTTAGTCACAAATGCGTAAAACTTGTATTGAAAAAATAAATGCTTTAAAGCAAAAACACAGGCGTCAGGCGACATGATTGCACTGGATCACATGATCAACACTTCGCCTAGCTCACCACAGGAAAGCAATCTCATAAATATCATGGGTTTCAAACAGCTAAAAATTTTCAAACTATATAGATAGCTCAGCCCTTTAGTAACGAAAAGCAGGAAAAGATCAATAAAATACACATTTCAAATTTTAAAGTTTGAATACCCACGGTCGGAACTATTCTGCAGCCAGCTCACGAAAATAGCAACCACCAGGTCCTTGCAAAAGTACAACGCAAATCTATTGCAAGAAAATGTGGAATCCTTCTCGTTCTACTCAACCAAAGCGTCTCCGTCAGTAATAATATCTGGGATCCAGAGGACAAACTAGACCAGGATATGCGACTAGACTGCCGTACTGGAGATGGTTTACTTTTAGAATAAAAAATTGACGAAAAAGGCAAGATAAAAAAGGGATGCTCGCCTTCTGTGAACAGACCCACACACGAGATGGGTATACGGCATTGGCTTAGCGGTTGGTCATTTGTAATTGGTCGGCGTTGCGGTCCGAGCCAATAGCGGTCCTGCCACAATCAACAAGCCAGCCCACAAACTGCGGCTTAGTACACCCGGGCATTCCACGCTAGGGAGGCCCTTTGGGACGAAAGTCACCAGAAAAATAACACCTTCCTATACAACCATCCGGGCCAAAATACGCATGACTCGGCATGAGCGTGGACCTGCGTGGTTAATGAAAAACCGCATAGCGAGGGAAGCGAGCCGTAGGGCTATTTTGTTCATCAAAACCAGCAGCCTTTTTCCAAATTAATTCCAATCAATCCACGCGCCTACGTGAGGTTTCCACAGGAAACGTTCCGAAGGGGGTTTTATTCATTTCTTCATGGAGCAGCAAGCCCAGGTAGCACAAGACCGTTAAATCGAAAATTGACTTCGTTTAAACTTCAAAGCATGTTATTACCTATTTAACAGCAAAAGGAAGACACGGTGTCCACGCTGTCTTGAACGAAGCAACGAAGCGCGCACTGAGTTCGGCAAAAGTGCCATCGTCCCTTAAACCGGCGGGTTTAGACAGAGGCGACGGAAAGCGGCCCGACGGGGTGACAGCATTCCCTTGGAAAACTGGAAAGCCGCTAGTGTGGGATGTAACCGTGGCGGACACATTTGCCCAAACATACATCGCCCAGACGTCTAGGGTGCCGGGAAGTGCAGCGGAAATACGCGAAAATCGGAAGTTAGGAAAGTATAGCGGGCTGGCAGACCGTTATATCGTTCAACCGCTGGCGTTTGAAACTACGGGCACGTTCGGACCACTGACGAAGAAATTCTTCAAAGAGCTGTCGAGAAGATTATCGACAGTACAGGCAACCTCCGCTTAGGAGAGTTTTTACGCCGTTTTTACGCCAAAAATTGGTACTGAGATTCAGCGAGTAAATGCAGTTTCTATTGTTGGTACATTCAACGACACGGTAGAGAAGGAAGATGACATTGTGTAATTTGCCTTTCATTTAGCGGAAGGGAAATGATGTTATGGTTTTTGTTAACCGATATTCTTGTAATACATTGTCCAATACGAACCTCAAATACAATAAAGACTTTAACAGTAGGAGTTTTAAAAATAAAAATATTGGAAATATAACCAACAAAAAATTGTGCAGAGTGCACACTCACTGCACAGAGCACAGTTTATCAGACATATATATTGTTGTTCAACCTGTTTGGATGACCTTTTGTTTATTTTCCGGCTTGCTGGTTTCTCACTGGTCAGTGCAGCAGTAGATGTGCAGGTGATGTGCAGATCGGCTTGCCCTTTTTGCGGCGCCAAAATGTTGCCTTGTTGTCAATTACGTAGCACTTTGTTAGAAATTTTCGTGAAATTGTGAACTACATGTACTTCTATTGACGATCTTGAATTGTACCAACCACAGGACAATAAAGGCTGAGACACCTCGTATTAATCTACCATTAAGTAAACAATTTTTCAAGCATTCTTACGTGCAACCAAGGTGGGGCAACAGTGCTGGCCACGATTTACGACATTACTGCCAATTTTTGTCGACTGAGTTTTGCATACCATGGTTTTCATATTAAGCAAAATTTGTTCCGACTTTCGAACTGAAACCGAAGATCTGGCTCTATCCATTTTCTTATTACATGAGTACAAATGATTCAACTGCATCTCCAACTGACTCATCTTCAGCACCCCAAAAATCGAAATAGTACACGTAAAAGATACGACCGTAAAACGAGATAATTGAAGTAATCAACTCTGTAAAAGAATCTGGAGTACAAACTGAAAATAATCTGTAACGATCAAAAAAGTTATGGCACTCATATATGGCCATACTGGCTGCAGAATGATTGAATTTCTTTGGTCAGCAGGACGGATGCTAAACCGCGCCCAAGGAGCGATCTCAACAGGTCCCATACTGTTCTAGTATCAGATAACGAATGTAGACAGTTGTAGTAATTACTTTTACGCAAAAGGAGATTGCCACGGTGGGAGAAACTGGGTTAAATTATCAAATCACTATCCATGTCTCTTCACTGTCACCGTAATGCGCGGCTATCACAGTATAGTAGCAAAATTTTTGATCAGCAGGATAGATTCGCAGTTTTCACCGCTGGACAGTCTGGATCCAAATCTGAAATCCACATAACATTATGGAAACACCTTAGAGAAACATATTATAGAAACACATTATCGAAATTAACTGGCTCGTTACGTACGTTAGTAATGCAATAAAACATACTTCTCTCAAAGTCACCCAGAAAGCACTTTCGCTAACAGCTCGTATCCGAATGGCCAACGAAGGTTTCTTGGATGCCAGCGCTCCTTCAGCAATGCCTCGTCGAAAGTTCCCGACCTGTTCCCAAGTGTACGTTTCATTTCCTGTTCCCGGGCCAGTCGCTACTTCCACAACCGCATCATAAAACTGATCCGTTGGATGTTCGGCATTCCCAGATTTGAAAAGATACGAGGAGATAATAATCGGATCCTTGAATTCTATAGTAACTGTATCCGCCGGTTGCGGATTCAAAGCCCAAAAATAGTTTTTTCCATTATATGCATCTTCCAGTGAGTGCGACTGGTAGACTTTCAAAGACGTCCAAATTTTCTTCGTAGACGGGTTATTTTCATGGGGTACAAACAAATCTACTTTTCCAAAATCCTTTTCCTGTAAAAAGATAATGGTTTAAGAAAAAAGTAACAAGAAAATACTTGATTGAAATAAAAATTTCTTGTACCGAAAAATGAACTGCAATGCAAACCCATGTGCACGCAGATACGATTCGAAACAAAAAATTTACCCGCAATTTTTGCACTTTGCCCTTTAGAGACGACTCTACTCCCATATGTTGAAATAGAGCTGGCTTGAACCTTTTGACCGCTTTCTCCATTGCTTTTGGACAGTACTTGGTATCCGACAATTCCAAGCACACTTTTACAAAAAGATAATTTGTGAGGAGCCAGTCAACCGGCTTGGTTTCATAAAACAGGAGGATAAATTCAACAAATGTCGGCAACTCCGATGAACGGAACAGTTTTCCTGGAAACAAGCGAATATGTAATCAAAAACCCATTTTCTTCTTTACAAAAATGGGGCATATCATAAAAACCAGTCAGTGCCAAGCAGTGTTCCCGCGCGGCAATTACACGCTAACCAACGGACATAGCTATTTGACATAACTTTAAAATCCAGCGTAATTTTGCATAAGTAGGCTATTGCATGAGTTGGCTAATGCTTATCTTACAACAAAATACGCAGCCAGTCCTGTTTACCGATAAACCCCAAACTAGCGAACTCTGCCATAATGAAGTCATTAGCCGTATCCACAAAGGTCTTTATCTTTGTAGCATAATTAGGTTTCGTCACTACATCGTCCTCCAGCTGTAAAGAGCGAAAACAGCAATAAAACATCTTTGGTAATTTCCGTCTTTTTCTCCACAGAATTAGAAGTTACGTGCACAGTTACTGGGTAATAATTCAGTCATAAACGCGGATCATTGTTAGCGGCTGATAGACAATAATAATAACCACAACACTTACTTGAAGATAATACGTCCCTTTCGTATGAGCATACATCATCAAATACGCAAAATCCAACGTCTGTTTCGTCCTCCATCTGCAAACACGGCAATAGTGGCAGCTTATAATACTAATGCTCAAGAAGATTAGTGTTTATCAAAGCTGCGCACTTCATGCGTTCGGGAGGATCACCCAAAGTAGGCGGCAGTTTATCAAAATCAGGATAATAGCTTGGCGACGGAGCGAGAATTTCAAGTGTTCCTTTTTCGATGTGAAGTGCAAATGTTTCCCGTAATTCATTTATGAAAACATCCGTTATAGCCAGATTGGTAATGTCGGCAACCATTAAAATCACCACCACATCAGCCTCTTCACTTTCATTAAGATTCCGTAAGAGCGATTCAAGAGTCTCATCTACATAATTGTGCGTAGTCCTCTGAACCGTCGGGACGCCGATAACCAATGAAACTGCAAGCAGAAAAAATTACTCAATTTTACAGCATGCATTATTATTTTATAACAACGTTATTACAGAAAACCCAAGGAAAGCACAACAATGAGTCATTCGAATTTTCAAAATATCACTTTCTAAACAACCATTTCTTCTTAACGGAGGGCTCATAATTAAAGCCTTTTCTAAACTACATACTATTTATTACCAGAAATAAAATTGCCGCAGAATGCCAGTTTATTCAAGAACAGGTACTGGAAGTTTAATCCCCGGCGACATAAAAAATTTACAGTGATTAAATAATATAATTATACAACGCACGCAAGCGCAATGCCAGATTTAGAAAAAAAGACAAAAAGCGTGGATGACGCAAGAAATTCCTTTTTTGTTAGGTCGTAACCTCTTTCAACTCGCAGCCCGCATTTATAGGTACCGCCCAAACTAGTTGCAAATATATGTAATAACCAAAAATATTACAATTGTTTGTGTACGCAGCATGATTACAGTATATCCACGGCAAATATTGTAAAGGATCGCTCTAGCAAATGTTAATTGTGTAACATGCCAAGTAAGTACTTCCTTCATAATAAAAAAAACTGCTAGTAAAGGCTGGATGTCCAACATACGGGAGAATATGAATACTTACTTGCATACGCTTTATATGCACATTGCACCACTACCGAACGAACAATTGCAGCATGAATTTGCAATTTCGCACATAATTATAATAATATTCACCTCGAGTAAACAATAAATACGCAGTTAAATAGCGCAAGTACAAAGAGACTGCCAGGCAGACAATAGACTTCTTGTACAGAAAATAACGGAATTTCTACCGAAGACAAACACGACAAAGCTTTAAAGTCAGACTGTATGTCAGACTCAGTTGTACGACTTTTATAGCATTTCCTCGATGAAAAAATAACTGTTTCACTGTTACTGCGTTCCGAAAACCTAAACCATGGATCCGCATTTGAAAGCTTCATATTTCTGACACAAAAAATGCAAACTTTACATGCAATCCCTAAATATAGTATGTGTCGCTTAAATTACGGTGTGAAAAGGGTGTCGCGACGCCGCAGTTGCTGCAAGAAACTAAATCTATAAAAAATTTCGAATAAATCCACCAAAACCGATAAACTTTTTCAACTTACCCCGCTGCCGACCTTTTCCAATGAGTATTCGAGGTATAAGAGCATCCGGTCTATCCAAAATATGTGGCATGTGTTGAAAAACAGTCGGTATCTCAAGTAGACCATCTCGAGACAAAATGTCCTCTGGACGCAATAAATGACCAGTGCTATTATTTTCCACTTTGCGGTTGCAAGGCTGGGTTTGTGTCATATTCAGGAAATGGAGTCTTTTCTGTCGTAAATGCAGCAAGTACTCCGCGTGGGAAAACTTGTCTTTCAGTAAATTCAACTGGTCGCTGATACTGATTTGACGAGCCATAAACTCTATTCAAAGACACTTAATTTTAGGATATCATTATCAAAAGCTGCAGGTTTATAATGCGCACCGCTCGTGGTTAACCGAAGCTCCCGAAACCAGTTCCATGTGTTTAGCAAGGCATACGGCAGCAAAAACACTGTCAGTGCCACGATGATCACTGACTTCCGCCGCAGCACGACGTTCATGGTAAAAGGTACCAGATAAGCGCAATTCTTTTAGGCCAAGATGATGCAGAATGGCGGGCATATGTCGCACTGGAGATCCTCAGCTTCACTGGGGATGTTTTTGAACAGCAGTGATGATGGAATCAAGATGGCACAAAACTGTCCTAGAGCTGCAACAAAAGTCAAAGCGTTATAATAAATTATGCCACAGTGCACTACAACAATTATAATATTTTATGTAATATCCAGGTATTACGTAAAAGACCAACATTGGTCTTTTACGTAATGCCTGGATATTACATAAAATATTATTGTAAATTTTGCGATTAATCGTAAAATTCACAAACTTTTACCTGATTCCAACAGACAGTTTTTGTTATGGTACAGCAAATTAAAAGCTCCAAGAAAAACAGTCTTCGACAATCCCATTACAAGTAGAACTGTAGAGGTACCCATACTCGTCAAACAAATATCAGCAATTTCCATAAGGTTCTGCGTAAGCAAGTGCTGTTGATAACTGCGGGCGATAATTCACATAAAACTAAAATTATATTATTGTATTACTTTAAACCATTTCTTTTAGTGCCGCAGTCTGGCAGAGTCACATAAATTTTAAAAAGTACGTTTCTATACAGGTGGTAATTGCGATCAATTATTCGTACATGTTAATTGTTTATTGTAGCTGTAAGGCTCTAGAAACTCTTCAAAGACACAATTAAAAAACTTTGAAATCCAGACATTTTAACAACCAGCTGACTGAATAGGTTAAAGTGTGCTTCAAGTGGACCGAGAAGAGCATGCTACTAAAAACAGACGAAGAGATTACCTACCGTATTTCGACGACAATGTGTTTAAGTACACCTCCTTCTTAGTACTTCAAAAGATTAGTATTTGTAAACTCTTTTACGATAGCCATCTGCACTGCAACCAACGCCATACGCCATGTGCAAACAGCAAATACTGCAGCTGACGGTGAGAAAATAATAAATTATAAAGTGGCAAAATTATCAACTGCTGGTCCTAGGATACGTATCATGCACGACGTAGATTCGAGCAAGTGACGGCAAGCCAACGACAGATTTCAGCTTTTAACTTCCAAAATTGCTAATTACCATTTACCACATACCGAATTTTATCGTTTACGGGAACACAGTTCTGCATTCCTTCCATCCAGCAGTCCACGGATGGTTAATGGCTAGAATGCATTTCAAAAATCCAGAATTCAACGGCATAGCCTGCATAGGGGCTGAGAATATAATCTAGTAAATAATCTCCGGCTTCAACACAGCCACACACCAACGACGCGAAGCAAATAAGAAGGCCGCAGGTAAAGGCGATCGATAACGTCCTTCTTCCTTGGCGTTGGTGCGAATAATCATAATCACCGCCTGCGCTCAGACAGCGGTGAAATAATGCAAAGGTGGCTCAATTTCGTAACTGTACTTATAAGCGTAGTGCGTGCTTCAGCGTTCAGCTGCGTTTAAACGGATATGGAAACGATGAAGTGCAGGAGAAAAAAAGGATCTTCCGTAGCCAGGCCTGCCAGGATAAACGAATTAAAGCGACCCGGCCGGCGGTAGTTCAGAAATCTATCAAACGCACCAGGGGAAAGGTTCACAGAATTAACCATTAGACAGATAACGATGAAACGTCTGAATACTGAATAGCCTTCAATAGCGTCACATTTTGGCAGTCCAACAAGCAAGTAATTTTACAGGATTAATCACTAACTTCAATTGCAGTTCACCATCAGAAATTGAAATTAATAAGACGCAAGTATACTCTGCTTGACTGCTTCCTAGTTCCTACCAGACAGCTTTATCGTGCTCATTACATTACGTATAGATGAGCTGCCACAGGTGATCTCTAATCACATGAAAAAAATAGATGGACCGGAAACGATTTCGCCCGTAAGCGGCAATGCTACACGGCCAATGTTCGTACTCCATTGCTTGCCTTCAGAGCTGAGTTTTGACAAGCGGATGTTGCTAGAATAATTAAAATACTGGGATAATTTGCATAAAGGGAACGTAAACGCCCATATTTCTATAGCACCAAAGTTATAGATATAAGCAATTCTCTTAGAAACCCATGCTGTCTCGCACTTCCGGCTAAAAATGCTTACATTTGGCGCAGTTAATTATTTCTGTTGGCGCTTCGGGTAATTTCGCTGTCGGTTTTGCCACGGTTCGGCATTTTTTCCGGTTCGTGACGTCACGAGCTCTGTGGCAACTCTGTGGCAATTATGAAAAAATTAGGCATACTAGTATTTACAGTACTTACTTACAGTACTTCAATTCGACAAAACCGAATATAGTATAAAATTCTAATTAAAAACTTACGGACTTTGTTATCACTCATGCAACAAACAAACTCATGCACTTCTCGTACAACGTACAAAACACAGCACACTACAAAGTCTACAATACCGTCCGGTGCGTGCGATAGCGTTTTCGAAGGTTAGAGGCGTGCCTACCAAACGGAAGTTGTTTCCATTAGACGAGGAGAAATCCTGGACGTTTTTCGCAATTTTGAAAAATTAGTAATAATAATAACTAGAAATATACAAGTACAAAAAATTAGTGGCTACCGTAACTTATAAAGTTAATAATAATAATTAAAATAATAATAATTATTATTCGTTTTGGTTGAATTATGATTTTGGAGCCTTGAGTTGATATAGCGGTTCGCCGGTTTTTCACAAAGGCACAGGACGCGAATAGTTGTCGAAATTGGTTTGATTAGATTTATACCACTGAAGCGCTTCACCTTAAAGCAGCGCTTAAAGCAGCTTATTCTTGTTCTGGAATCTTATTCGGTGTTTGATTGTGTAATTTTCCTGCACGTTTTGAGTCGATCCTTCATGGCTTCCAGTGGAATCATATTCGAAGATATTTTCGATGTCAAAGATATCGATCCTGATGGCAAGAAGTTCGATCGAGTGTCCCGATTGTTCTGTGAAAGTGAGTCTTTTAAAATGGATTTGATTCTGGATGTGAACACTCAGATTTACCCCATGGAACTTGGGGAAAAATTCCGTATGGTGGTGGCCAGTTCGCTGGGCGACAGCACGGACCGGGAAATGCCCGAGGATGGGGAATATCGCGACATCTCTAAATTCCCGAGAGCGGAACAGTATGAGTACATCATGTACGGTAAAGTTTACCGTCTGGAAGGAGACGATGCTTCGAGTGAGTCTGGGCGACTGGCGGCCTATGTCTCCTACGGCGGACTGCTCATGCGTTTGCACGGAGACGCCAGCAATTTGTTGTCGTTTGAGGTCGACAGCAACGTCTATCTCCTAATGAAAAAGCTGGCTTTTTGAGAATTCATATAGAAGTACTGGAAGGAGAACGGTTTTTTAATTGTGGACGGATGAATTTTGAATACGCCGCTTTTTTGGAGGATAACGATAATTATTATGGATTTACTGATTTCGTATCTCATCATTTTCAAGAAAAGAAAAGGCACTTTGATGTTATTACATTCGGATGTCGGGATGTACTTTTAAACTTTCCATCACGAACGTGAGTTTTTTTTGGCAAAGGGTTAACCTTTAGAATGTTTGCTCTTTTTCTTTGAAATATGGACGTTTTGAATTGGTATTGTTCGAACTTTGTTGTACAGTGTACGAGTACTTACCTGGTTGTGACTTGTTAGTAAATAATAAAAGAATTTGTGTAATAAGTAGCCTTTGGTCAAATTGGTAATTTTGTAATAGGGGTTGAGCGATGGAGCTCCGTGTCAAATCCTTGGGTGCCCGGAGTTAGTTTCCACAGATTTGAAACCTTATTCTAAATTTTCTTGTTAGAAATCTGTGCTATTTGCCTTCTAAAAAGGACAGTGTTTTCAAGCTCAGAGTACAGCGGAAAAATCATTTCTAATCACATCAAAATTTGATCCAAACAAAAAAGCGGCAAAAACGTAAACTTCACATTAGTTATGTAGAGATCGCAGGTGAAACACTTTAGCAGCGGGAGAAGTAATGTCCGCAATTACCACTTCCTGACCACTTTTTAAACCCAGATCGTATAACGTTTTTTCCAAATTTCCTTTCGTTTGTTGCTCGAGGCTGGCCATATACAGGGTTCGTTGTTTTCCTTCTATGGATGCGGTTACAGCCGGATTCCTCATCTGACTAAAGGAAATCAAAAAATGATTGAATTTAAGTAATGCTCACTTAAAACCCCTAGTCCATGATGGTATCATACAATTTTGGATTGACTTTCAAAGACTCGATGAAGTCTCCCAAGGTTTTGGTGAAATCCACGTCAAAAGTAACCGACATTTGGGAACAGGCCAAACAGTCCGGCTACAATTTCGATACTTGAGTGTTGCTGTTAATAAGAATGATAAAAAATAAGCCAGTGCTTACATTTCGTTCCATCTGGAAAGTATTCGTGTATATCCCATCGACATCATTGAAGGACAAGAAATTGCTGACAGGTGAATACATGGATGACGCGATCTTGAAAACTTCCGAGGCGCATATAGCTAGCAGTAATAAACGAAATTGATTAAAACAAAATACAAAAAAAAGAATCAATAAGTTAAATTTACCAGCAACTACCGCGTTAGTGGAGGCAACTGCAGGAATAATATGCTTGACAACTCCTGCAAAAAGAAACGGCATAAGGCACGTAGCTGGAAATTATTGATCCTCTAAAACGATCTTTGAAATTAAAGAAACAAACCCAACGTCAAACGGTACGTGACGCCCTGAATGGCAAACTCTTTTGCTCGCTCTTCCGCTTTTCGCCAAATCCAGGTTACGTGTTGCGGATCATCTCCATCTACGTTCACACCCACTAAGAAAAGAAAGCATGCTTTTCTTGACATGTAACCAGTAAGATTATTAGCAAGATAATCGATCATTACCCCCAAATGGCTCTTCCTTCGGCCACAGTAAAATTTTCGCGTACTCAATACAGTGTTCAGGTAAACGAGGAGTATGAGCAATAGTGCACATGGGAAAATTGACCTTTATAGACGATACATATTAGAAACGCTTCTTGTCTGTTGAAATATGGCCAAACTCACAGCGGGAGGATAGAGGTCCAAAGAGCATTCCAAACAAGCGCTAATACCAGGGGTCACGACTCGGACATTGCCCTTGAATCCTTCGGTTCCACCATCAACGAGCGGGATGATGGTGCTTGGGTCAAGGTTGCTATCCTCATCGAACGAAAGCAGAGAAAGCTAAAAACATATAAACTTAAAGTACAAATTTATCGCCTTGAAGGAATCTGCATGTTTTTATATGCACCAGCATTCCATTCATCCATCTTCGCGCCACAACGGAATCCAAACCACAGACAACAATACGAAATCCTGTAATACAAGCGACGGAAATATATACTGCAAGCTGGTCATCTCATTCGCGACTGTGAAAAACAGTACAGTAACCGTCTGTCTTTTTACCTCGATAGAAATCCTCATCAAAATCTTCAATTCGGTTGCAGAGACTGCATATCACAGAAAAAATATGTAACTAAACAACCGCAGAAAAATATCATGAACAGCCGTTCTTACGCTTCCACTCGACACTGTGGCACTCTTTCGTTGATGAAGCGAGCAGCACATTCGGCCTTGCTTTTGCCGATATCACTTGGCCTGTCAGATATTTCAAATTGGAAAATGTTCCAAGAAATGTTTTGATTTGGTAACACACATTTGCACTCGTTTTGTCTACCTGAACAAAAATTGTCGGTTAAGATTGGATAGATCAATCGTGTCCATGTCGATTACGGTCAGCTGCCGGAATCCAAGTAAAGCCTGTAAATTGTAACAAAAAAAATTGACGTGATCCAGGCGTGACCTGAGTATCTTACAGATTCATAACAAAAAAAGAAACCACTGGAATACCAAATCTTTGAGCAGTTCACATCCCAAACCACCTGCTCCAACAACGAGGATTTTGCAGTTCTCGCGCATAAAATTGACCAGCTGCAATAACGACATAAGCACTACAGTAATACCGAATATATACAGATAGGTTTAAGCATCAAAATTATATCAGACAGTCATATCTGATTCTGTATTATTATTATTATTAGCATCGCTTTAGGCTTGACTGGTGAACTGAGAATTGCAATGTGTTCTTCGCATGTGAGGAAGCCCGCTTGTACTTGCATTGATTCAATCAAAACGTATAAGAAAAGGTTGACGGATCTGGTTGCCTACCTCCGGACAGCCTTCAAAATCCGGGAGCGCCAAACCTGGAAGCATAGGCCGCTGCAGTAAATTATTCAGAGCGCGCAGTCGGCTGTCACTGGTCGTTCCACTGAATTCGTTCATGTTGAAATCGTCGTCTCCGCTGTCAATTTCTTCTGATGCCATTTTTTGCATATGAAATACCGTACGAACTCTTCTGGAGATATTTTCCCTGGTTATGAAATGGTTGAAGTTAAACACTCACTACGTAACTAAAAAAAGCTATCCTTCTTGTACCGTACCAGTCAATGGCCTCAGTGCGTACTGCAGAACTCCTGGACTGACGCTGGATATCCGAGTCGGGAGACTGCAGACTACAAGCACTCACCACGATATTTTTTCCGCTTTCGGTTGTTATCGCAAACCGCAGCGAGAATGATTAAGGAAGATCTTCCAGGCTTATCGAAATTGCAGACAGTTGCTTTACAGCTCAACTCGGATGTCTACAAAGACGTAAACCGATATAAACGGTTGAAACTTGAAACGGTATTAAAAGCCTTGTACTGTTGTTCGTACTGCGGCGGGTCATACTGATTTGTGCCACTGCAATGACTCACCAATGTTTTGATGCGTCTGCTGCCCATTCATATGGCCGTCTGCTGCGCTGCAATAAAAGTTTCCCTTCATTCAATTATTTGCCTTTGTACGTATACTCTCTCTGTTGTGAATTTCGTCATTCATTAACGTTTGGGAACTTTCAGTTTTGTGTTCATCCATCCATTTAATGTAGTAAACGGCGTCCCGCAAAGCGATTTTGGATTTTGTCACGTCCAGATTGCAGTTTATGACGTCACACATATAGTCTAAAATACCATTGCATTTATCGCAACCAAGTGTTTTAGTTTACACACTAGTTAATTACACTAATTAATTAATTAAGGTTTTAGTCAATCTTACAAGTACCTACCAGAAATGAACTTGTTATAGCTAATTTTGTTCAGAAAAAAACCCTGGGTTAAGTGATATTTGAACTATGCGAACTTGAGATCACGTGACCAAGGTATAAATTTTTAAGTTACTTTGTTGAAATTCAGCAATATTTGCTAATGGCGTCTAAAGTGTGTGACACACGACTTTTTAACGTCATAAATACAATGCAAAATCTCCATTAAAATTACCAAATTTAGACCCTAGTTTGTATTATCAACTGCATGGATTACAGAATTATCGTAATCATACACGTACATACTAGCTTGCGTGCACGCAATAAGCTGCTGGAAACACTGTTACATTAATCGCACAATAAAAGTATAGTTATGAAAGTGGGCAGTTCATGGTACAGCCATACCTGTTTGTCCTATAAATAAATAAGTATCCTCAAACTGTAGAAATAATAATGCAATATTTAACTGAATGGAATTTCAACGCGCCAGTAGCGTCATAATTAAAGTGCTCCACCATGCCACAAAAAATGCATACTCAGGATCATGCTGAACAGCCAAAGATAGTTAGAATAAATCTTCCAGTAGTGTACAGTGTACTTCATAAGGCGCAATTCATATGTATTGTACATGAGTCCCACAGTGTTAAATAGTTTATTATTCGAGCCGCTCAGGCTGTATGGCATTATTGACGAGGTAGTCGCGCTTATGTTCGAGCGCTGTTCCACGCCGCAAGAATGTAAACAACTTGTTGTGTGACAGGGGACTCATCTTAGTACGATGGGTAAAGTATACAATAATGTACACCATACAGTATTATACGTAAACAGTATACAATTTTGAGCTTAACAGCTAATACATTGCAACCCACAAGCATTGATTTATTAAGAATAAATTCCTTAAATACTTGAGACATACCATTCTATGTAGAAAAATTGGATTTACAAAGTACTATTTTTAAAACGGGGTACGTACTCGTATTATCATTTTATTGTAATGGTTAGATAAACAGTACACATAGCGTTCCACGCCGTGCCCACGCGCACATCAGGCACCCCACCCATCAACGCATCAGAGATACGGATCTTCCCTCAACCATGAGCACTATCCTGCCTTCGCTGCAGCTACGTTAGCGACTAAAAAGTTTTGTTTTGCATCCAAATAGTGCGCTGAAGGATTTTTTATTTTTCTGTGCAATTGAGGTAAAACATCCTCTAGTAGTAATTTTATGACTTTGTAAAACCAAAATCACAAATTATGCTGTTTTAAGATGTGCACACTATACAACCGCTCACGCTCAATAAAATATTGATCTGCCAAACTGATATGATGAGCGCGCGTATGTGTAACGGAATGCTTTGCAATACTCAGTTTACATAATTATTACAAAAGAATGATAATGCTTACCCTGTTGGGAAAAAAAGTACTTAGTATAGCCGATTTTTTCTCTATAGAATAATGGTATGCTCAAAGTATTTACAAAAATATATTCTTATCAAATTACTGCTTTTCGGTTACAAGCAGGATTTAAAAATATGGGTTGCTTAAAGGCACAGGTGGATTGCAATGTGCGCTGGGCGGCGGCTGTCGTCATAGCCACTGCACTTTATATAATCGTTGTCAAAATGACAGACTTATTAATTGCAGTACTGCAAATAAATTACTAAGTTATTACATTAAACAAAAAAATGAGTAAATGACTGTAATTGAAATATTTCGCGTGCGCTAGCTTTGTTCAGTTTTTGAAACGCTAAGGTAGTGTGGCATGCCATTGTAATGAACTTACAAGCATGAGGACCCAGTTGTCTTTGGATTCCAGGCAGGTGCTTAGGCTTAAAATAAGCTTATAATATAGTCTATTTTATCCCATTTTTGCAGTACCGCTGATATGAAGGATAATATTTAATATGTACTCAAAATTATTAGAGAGCTGGGATGCACTATGGCGATCCATTTGTCTTGGTGCATCATGTTAACTCTCCTGATGTTGGTTCTCATTGAAAACACGAACATAGTGTTCAAGATCCAAAAGCAATGTTCGAAAACCGAATACGACGCTCGAAACGAAAGCATAATGCTTGTGCTTCGTGTTTAAAAGCGCAGACAGGAGCATCATCCGCTGAGACAAACCGTTATTAGAGCGCATTTGAGCTCTCTGAAAACTTTTGAGTGGTTTTTAAATCTTATCTTTTATATCAGTGGGGTAGCGAAAAATGAAATGAAAATGCAATATACTCTAAGCTTCACTTTAAGCCTAAACACCAGTCTGGACTCCAAAGACAACTGGGTTCCTATGCTTGTTAGGGTAACCTCTTAATGTGAAATGCTTACTGTTCTTTTACGCAAACCATTTGAAATCTGGCTTGTCTTATCAGTTTTTTGCTTAAACAAAAAATTGGTTCCAGAAAGGAAACCGAAAGAATGACTTTGCAAATTTAACCGCAAAATAAATGTTATCCATCAGTACTGATTTAACAGTACGAATTGCTGTACAAATAAGAAAAGGCTGTTTTGCAAGATAGCCGTTAATGCTTTTTGCATAGTGCATGGTGCTCTTGAAACGTATGCGATCACAGTTGAATGAAACATTGTACACAAAAGGCTGACTGATATTTGAGTTTGTTAACAAAATTAAAATTTTATCAAAATTACAAATTGTTGACTACTCTGATTATGTAAAAACTGATAAATAAAAGCATGAAAGCATTTTTTCTCTTTGCCGAACCTAGCAATGGTATCCAATTTTTTATTGTTGCTAGCATACATTTCTGTTCCACAAAACGAAGGGTAACGAACGTTGACTACTATAGCAGAATTTTTTTGCGAATGATTTTGCAACAAGTATATACTTCCTGCGAGCTGAGTCGTTTACCGCAGTTTTTTGCGAAATTTTACGCATCTAGAACTGTATAGATTCAATCAATAAAAAATAAAATGTTTCTTTAAGCCGAGATTGTAAGACAAAAATTTTTTTTGCATAAATTTTCGAAAGATGGCAAAAATAGGGGGTGCATGAATCAGGCATCAGAAAAAAGTGGTAGTCGGGCGTTCAAAAACATCTGGATTATAACGCCACCACGCTAGCATTTTCCATACGGTAAAAGAGTGCACTACTGTCGTGTTTTACTGCTAAGGCGACAGAAATCACTTCCGAAATTCTGTACTGTATGATATAGCGTTTGTTGAGATTTGATATTGTAGAAGTATGTTTATCAGCCTTTGTTGGCAGATAAGTTGGTACAGTAAGCTATTGTCAATAGTTCACAGCTTACCGAAAGTCATCGAAAACAAATTCTGCAAAGTTGACAGTTAGGACAATATGTTGACATTTTGCAAGATAGGGCAATCTTGCAGCAATAGCCAAGAAGCAAAAAATATTAAAGGCTATATCAAGCAAAACGTTCAAAAAATTGCCAAAATTTGAAAAAAATGTAAAGAAACCCGAAACGCATAGCTAACGCACGGTTCTACCCTGTCGTTTGCTGCAATTTCTATAAGAAGTATAATATAACGAAGTTTTTAGTGCACTTATGAAGCATGGTTTAGTAAAAATTAACAAGAAACAGTTTTCTTTGCGCCAATCACAAACCTGACGGACGACTACGCTGCGATAATTGTACAAAATTAGACAAAAATCTGTAATTGTTTTTCTTAATTTTTTGTAAAATTAGTGTTAAAATTTTTTAGCAATACTCATTCGTTTTATGAAGTATCACTTTCAAAAACATTAGTAATTCATACGCGCACTACTCATATGGTCGTTTAACTGGCTGCAGTATGTCAATGGGTGACGGTTGTTGAAAGGGGTCATCACGTATTGCTGCTTCTACAAACCGATTTCCTTCCGCTTTTTCCCTTACTCATTTCAACATAGCGTACTGTATGCGCTGTCCAATACTAATAATTTTTTTAAAATTTGAAACGGTGTCCTTACAATAACGTCGTTAAAAAAACGTGATGAACTACACACCATGCCACCCTATCCACTGCACTCCACCAGTGTTACCACCACATTTATGCGGCAACGCAAAATAATGATGATTCACTTAAATTTAATTGAATAAGTCTACTTTTTCTTTTAAAATTGTTCCTTAGGTTGATTTTGTTTCATTATGCACATTTACCACTTGCACAGCCACAACGCAGCCGTACATACATGGCGATGACCGCCGTTTTATGGTGTAGTTCGGTGACACAAGCGGCGTGGCAAAGTGTTGCCTTCTTATTGGCTTTTTAGCGATGTATTTGAAAAAACGGTTTAAAATGTTTTAAAAATTTGAGACACTGTGTATAACATATGCTGTGCTGAATTGAGTCCAGGAAAGGAAATTGGTTTGTGGAAGTAAAAGTAGTAGTTTTTCGTGATGGCTACGGTGGACGTCCACCAAGCTTTGATTTGCTGTAGGTGCCCATTTAGGTGGGCATTTAGCGACCAAAAGGGAAGAAAAACAACAAGTCACTGAATTGCTGTGGGTTAAAATGAGCACGAAGCTACATCATACACAAAAACGCAGCCACAGAGCAACCAGATTAGTTTTACTCTGACGCGATTCATCATCAAAGTTGCGGCCCATTAGTACTTCGCTTTAGGGGTTCGAAGTGGTGAGTTGACCTAGGTAGGACTCGTATTGACCACAGGCATTACTGTAACGAGCACGCCACCCCGAACGGTCAGCGTTGATACAGGCTGACGACTATAGACATTGCCATGGGGGCCGTGCATGATTTGCACGGATGCGTGGAGCAAAGAAGCAGTCCAAACAGTTTTAGAGGTGCATAATGTGCTAGCGTTGCGCACTCGGATATGTGCTTCAAGTGGATCTCACATCCTAATTAACCAATGGTAATAACATAATTTATCTACACTGTTTTGCCAGCTAGCAAACGTTTTGCTTTCAAAAGTATTGTTTGTGCTTGCGTGGTTAGATCTTTGCACTTAGGACAACCAAGTTCTTTGCAACTGATGACTTCAGGGAAATATGCTCCCGAAGCTCTGCTTTTCCAAATGTTATTTGTGTAAAATGTCAGTTGTACTGAGCGTTCTCCAATCTTTACTAAAAAATTCTGAATTGCTCACCACACAAGCCCATGAGAATGTCAAGACTGACTGTGAAAGTTGGCTTGGTAACGATTAAGGTTTGCAGGAGTGGTAAACCAGAAACAATAGCTGAGGCCAGTGCCACAATCACACACTGCTATTCGTGTAATAAACCTCTTCGATTTAGCTATAAACGAGCCAATATCCACAACAACCTTTGGCTTGCACTCTGACATTTTTCACTATTATTTTAAAAATATGTGCCTTGGGGAGCAATCCTCGGTTTTTCTTGAGGTCATGTAGCAAAACTGCATAAAAGTGAACTGTCGGTCAATAATTTGTCGGGTAAGAAGTTGTGATAATTATCGTACGTCAGTTCAGGAAATTGTCATTAAGCAAAGCGAAGACGAGTAAATTGCTTCCATAAAAAATGAGCACGTGTTCACAATTTTTACGTCTTTAAAAGGTTGAAAAATTTGATTTTACATCAACTATTGTTTGTTTTTGTGGTTTCTTAATTTGCTGGCACGATAGTCACTGCCATATGCGCTCTTAAAGATTACATTTACTTATTGATAGTTTTTAATCAAACCTTTTTAATTATACTTGACGCTAGTACTCGACACTTGACGCCAGTAATGCTCAACGCTAAATATGGTGAGCATCCACCTTCTTAGTGGATTGGCACATAGAAATTAGCCTACGGCCTGGATAAAGTTGGACGAAGTGTAGGAAATACCAGCTACAGTCAAGTTTCCATTTGCAGCTAATAAATTGCGTTCTTATAAATGTCATCTTTTAGTTACAGAAAGAAAAGGGCACAAACACATGTAGACAAGAAAAATGTCACCAAACTGGTCCAACGTGGATAT